TTGGTTCAGCGGCTTCTGTGTCGGGAGGACAAGACACGATCACTGTTTGGCACAATAGCTATTATTTATTAGCACACTTCGTCACTACAAAAAAATGTATTAAAGTTCTTAGACTCCTTATTTTTTCTACCCCTTTCCCCTTTCCTAGAGGTCAAATCGGGAGGGAGAAATCGTTCTTCTGTACTTCTGTCCTTCCATCGTAAATACTCTGTCTATTTTAATGAAATTTCTTTGGTCTCATATCATTAGTTTCGTTTCCCCACTTCATGGAAGGTATGGCTACTCATTCCTATGTGTTCTCTTTACTGCCTGATTGTACTAGTACTCTTTGAGGTGCAGTTGAGCGAAGCCAGTTTAAGCGTTTTGATCATTCGTTTTCTAGCACTTCTAGAAGAACAAAAAAAAAAAAAAAAAAACAATAATAGGAAATTTCAGAATATCAAAATACACAAAGAGAGTGAGTAGTCGTAATGGGAGATGATAGGAAGAAGGAAGTCCAGAGAAGGAGAACAAAAGTCCTTTGGTACTATAATAATATACGCCACCAAGTATTGTACGTTTGTACGTGTTTTTAAAGCTTCTGTGTAACAAATAGAGTACCCACCACAATTGACTAAGTTTTTGCTGTATGCTCAAAACGAAGTGGATTGAGACAAAGAACTACTCTCTGCGCTTTTCTTTATCGTTATCGTTAATTTATTTCTCAAACACCCATTCAAGCAAGTATGACACCAACTGTTTAATCTAAGATCAGGAAGTTATTACTCCCCTTAAGGAGGGTCCTTCCAGCAGATAAGGTTGGTTAAAGACTCGTGCTTCTGTGGCGATCATCCGCCTAAATGCCATCGAAGATATCGTGAGAAAGCCAGCGGGACGTCCAAGGAAGGTTGGAGACGAAATGGCTCTACATCTTAAACTAGGGCTCAAGCGTGGTCTTTTTAAATCTTCTGTTGATGCTCAAAAGGAAGCCAACAAGTAACTACCAAGCCCTGCATCAAACACCGCCATCAGGAGATGCCCTAAGAGAGTTAGTATGAAGACAAGAAGGGTTGTCAAGAAGTCTTACCTAAAGAAGCAACACAAGAGAAAGTATCTCCAGTTCACTCTATACATCAAGAATGGATTCAAAAGACTGGAAGATTATCGTTTGGTCAGATGAGCCCAAAATCAACCGTATTTGCTCAGATAGGATGAATTGGGTCTGGGATGACCAAGAAAGAGCCATTAATGAGCGGAATGTTCGAGGAGCAGTGAAGTTTGGTGGCGTAGGGTCATGGTATGGGACTGCATGTCATGGAACGGACCTGGCCGGATCTGCAGGATTGAGGGAACCATGACTGCAGAAAAGTACATCGGCATCCCGAGGAAGGATCTGATGCAGTCTGTTCGGGACTCGAGTCATGTAGAGGACGGATTCGTCTTTCAACATGATAGCGATCGGAAGCACGCTGCGAAGACAATGCAGGCGTACTTGCGGTCAGTGGACTAACAGAAGAGCCTAAAAGGTTTCTAATGTGGCCAGCACAATCATCTGATATAAATCTCGTCGAGTACATGAGGACATAGCTCAAGAGGAGACTTGGAACTATCCAGAACCAACCAAAAGCTGCAATGAGCTATGGAGTCGCATTGAGAAGGAGTGATACTCAATTCCGCCAGAGTTCTACCGGACACTGACTGAGAGCATGCTAAGAAGGCTCCAGGCGGTTTACGAAGCCAAAGATAAGCACTATTACCTAGAGATGTAGAACTTTTTAGAGGGTACCGACATAATTGGCAAAGTGACTAGATTACCATTTATTGATCATATTGACACTAGGAATGACGATATTGGACCCAGAGTTGGATATGCTGTTTATTATCCATATTGTTATGTTCATTCAGTTCTTTGCCTCAATCCACTTCGTTTTGAGCATACAGCAAAAACATTTAGTCTATTGTGGCCGGCACTGTATGTTTGGCGTGATGGTTCTGTTTTTATGATGTCACGTTAATTGTTTGTGAAGTCTCATTGATCCCTGCCAATATCCGAGGCACTGCAGAAAATTGGAATAAAACTGATCATAATGAAGGCACTGTGGTCTTTACTGTCCTAATACAAAACAATTGTTACTCGGCCGAGTGTTCTAGCAACAATAAAAAAAGGAGTATAAAAGGCACTCTACAACAACCCTCATCTTCCTTTCATCAACTCCCAACAACAACAAACTACTCAACACTCACAAATAAAAAAAAGCCTCTTCTATTAAACAAAACTTCTCAAAATGTCCAACAATATCACTGACCGCGTCTCGCATGGCCTCTACTCAGGCATTGGGGATATCAAGAAAGCTACTGGTGAAGCCATTGGAAATCCTGACCTTGCTTCTTCTGGAGCTTCCCAGAAGGCTCAAGCTGATGCCGCTCAAGCTGATGGATATTCCAAGACTCACGCCGAGGGCGCTGGCCACAAGGTTCAAGGTCGTGTCCAACAGACTGTCGGCTCCATAACGGGCGACCATGATCCCCAGACGCGTGGCCATGCCAACGAGCTCCAGGGTGATCTCGAGCGCAAAGTCTAAGGAAAATGTCGAAAACTGTCCTTGCTTCAGACAATGTGTAGGACTAATAATTTTAAATTAATTATATATTAAAAAAAACCCTTGATTTTTGGCTTGAGAAAACATATACTTCGCTACCTCTGCTCACGTGTAAGTGGTTGCGGGGCTATCCTTACTTGCTCTTCCGCCAAGCATTATTCACTATTGTTTTATTTCTAAAGCTCCAAAGCTCACCAAAAATGACTTCTCAGAGTAAGAGTGTAAGAGATAAAAACATTTAAAAGAGGGCCAGACTCCTCGCCTGTCTGCAGATAAACAGACAGCCTATGACGCACCACGTGGAGACGGTGTAATTGCGCGTCCTCACCTGGATTGTCTCAAAGTCTAAAGCGGCCTTTCCGATCATTGAGTTCAACACCATCCATTAGGAAACATATCATCAAGGCCTATTTCCTGTAAAAGTTTAATGCGGCTCTAGTAAAGCCTGGGTGCCACCATGTGGCCATCTCATTTGTGAAGCGTTGTGTCGCGGCCTAATTTCCTGAACTGAAAAAACAATGACGAACTTCTGTTAGAGAGAGGTCTTGGTAGTAGAGAAGATTGCCCTCACTTGCAGAAATAAAACAAGGGTGCTGACCAGGTGAAGTATTATTGGGGCCTTCCGTTTATACCAACATCTTCATACCCGATTTGATCCTTTCTGGTCTTGCGGTGTCACTGTTGATAGTAGGTTTTTTTATTTCCTACGCTAAAATGCCGTGATGATGCTGGGAATGACGACAGATTTGCCTTAGTTACTCGGATAGGTTCATGTGCTCACTTTTACATGGACTGACCGTAAGCCAAGCGCACTCAGTTCATGCAATCGCTTGCAAATATCAAATGAGAAGGAGCTCGGTCTTAAACTTTGAATAGCGTGAACCTGCCCAAAGCGACTGCACGGGTACCCCGTCAAGGAGGAAAGAGTTGACACACTAGTTATTAAGCTCGTTGGAGGCTGGGACAATCTGAGCTGCGGTCCGAAGCCGAAGTAGGAGTCACCGCAGAAGCGTTAGGAATAGACATAAAAGAGTAAGGGTAGATACAGAGGGAAAAAGGGGAGGGGTCAGGGCAAAGGGCCCAGTGTGCATTGACAAAGCAGCACTACTGCTCCGGATGCTGTTCAATTTATGATCATTAGTGGAGATCTGTCACCAGCGCTGGCAGCGGGATTGACAGCAGATGTAATTCACTCAAAAGACGGAAAGGGATAAAAGACAAAGAAATCAAAGACGATTGTTGCTCACAGGAAAAGCGGAAGGGCTCTCACAGACACATGTTGCGAATGAAGATAAAAGTAGTGAAGACTTCTGGCGAAGTAAAAAAAAACATTCAACATTAGAGGTTGGATTATTTTGGCCACATCCTTCCTTTTATCTTTACGTTGCTTCTCTTCGTCATCTTTATCCAGCTATAACAAGCACTCAGGACATAGTAATACCAGAGCTAGAACATCGGATGCCGACCACAAGTGAGCTTGCCTTTGGAAGCATTCATGCTCAAAAAAGCTTGAAGCCTGCAGCCTAAATAGATTGTATTTACTCGAAGACATGGCAAGCTTTATTTTTTTTTATTTTTTTTTTTATTTTTTTTTTATTTTTATTTTTTTTCGATTATTGTTGTATCGTGGTTGTACATTTCTTTGATATAGATTTTAGTGGCAGAATTGTCTATAAGGGAAAATATCCTCGAATCTAGGAACCGTACCCGTCATTGATACTGGTTTACCGCTCATGGTTAATTGAAACGTCGCTTCGAATCGGAATTTTTATGAAAAATAAAAAAAAGAAATATAACTACGTTGGCATATTTTTCTATCTTTCGCTTGGAGCACGAACGCTGACTGCGCCAGCTCTAACAATCTCGATATTATCTGTTCAATTCAACAGTCTTCTTTGTCACTGACCTACCTCTGCGTGCAATCGTTGTCTAGAGTCGCATAGTTATTGGGATTTCAGTCCGAGCTATTATAGTGAAGAGAGTGATGTGTTCTCCTCTACCTTTTCCTGACTTGGTTTGTTGGGGAGCTAGATGAGGCTTCAATTGGAAAAAAAAAAAAAAAGATTAAAAAGCCTCCTCGCCACCAAATCTGAATTGCATTGGTCCGCCGTTGAGTTGCGCAACGGACACGCTAAAGTTAATCATGAAGAAAGTAATTAAAATTCATGTGCACAGATCGTATTATCTGCACTTAACCTTTGGGCTGTGCATCTGGTTCTCCATGTTCATGCTCACATTGTCGAGTCGACCATAAAAAAGAGCGATAGAGCCCTCCACTTTAAGATCTCTTTACTTGTGTTCAAAAGTAAATTGTCTAGAAGTCGAATACATGTTTGTTGGTGTCTTTTACGACAAAACGCCGCACTAAAAGTTTTAGGATTTATAAGAGTCTTTCATGCTTTGCCACCGTGCATTCCTTCACTGGATTGTAACATTCTTGCCTTATTTTTTCTCTTCTCTCTTTCCTTCTCTCTTTTCTCTTCTGCACCTCCCTCCAATACACCGCAGAGCACTCAGGTCCTATTTCCTCTTTCTTTTCGCAGCTCCAATACACAATTGCACATCCCTCCATTTCTCACTATCCACAAGGAATTAGGAATGAAGATCTCACTTTCAGCAGCGCTTGTGTTGGCGCTCTCTTCTGCAACGGTGTCTGCCTCGGTCATCACGTAAATACCATCGTCGTATCATTTTTTTTTATTTTATTTTTTTTTTTTTTATCATGCCTCCTTTTTTTTACAAGATTCAAATAACTATTGCAAACGTTGCAGTTTCAACGAGATATTGAAATTTTTCTGCGGAGTATTGAATGAGTTTCCTCTCTTTTCGGTCTACTCATTCCATTGGATTGTGTTTCCATTAAAGTTCATTGTCATTGTCGACAGATGTGATGGCACTGAAGGAAGGGGGAAAGTTGGTTCGACTTTCGGCTCTGGACATAATAGATTTATTTATTGGTCTAGACCTTAATGTTTGTTTACATGGAGAAAAAATCTCTCACTCTCCCTAACCAGTAGCTGCAATTTTTTTTTTATTTCTATCCAACAGACTACCTATCAAGTCATACAGAAATCAGGAGCATCTCAACGCTGAATCCTTAACCAAGCGATACCTTGAGAGACTCGAAAGGCGAGCTGCCCCTTCATTCACAACAGCACCATTGACTAGCATTCGTCAAGACATTGTGTACAGTACGTATCTTCTCACTCTCTCCTTCACTTGATGCTTTCCTCTCTTGTATCATATTAGTTGATTTAATCTTATTATATCAAATCCATCTCATACAGCTGTCCCACTCCAACTCGGTACACCACCACAAGACTTTAATGTCCTCATTGACACAGGCAGCCCTTACACATGGGTATCTTCTGTCGAATGTATTAGTGCGGCCTGCTTGAAGTCCAAGCGATATAGCTGTTCTGCATCTTCGTAAGTCTCTCTCTTTTTTTTTTTTTTTTTTTTTTTTTTTTTTGGTTGTTGTAGATTTTATACACTCTGTAACTCTTTGAATGCAGCAGAAAATTAATCATCGCCACCATTATACTTTTGAATTTTCTTTCTCGTCAAAAGGACCTGCCTTGCCTCAAACACAAGGTTCAAGGCGGAATATGTCGATGGAGACAATGTCTCAGGGCTGTATGTTGCAGTAAGTACCTCATTTACATGCACTTGGTTTAAAACCTGAAGTGATCGTTGATCTTTTTTTTTTTTTTTTTTTTTTTTTTTTTGTTTCAAAAAGGAAAACTATGGTATCGGTTCATTAAAGTTTCGAGCCATTGCTGCCATTGCGACTATTCATGAAGCTCGCATGCCCCCAACGGTCGATGGTATCATGGGGCTATGGTACTATGGAGCAGGAAGCAATATCCCAATCTTGAACGTGCTAAAGAACGATACTGTACTGACAGAAAATGTTATTGGGATCTGGTTGCAAAAGGCGCCTTCTGGATCTGTCACAGCACCTGGAGGAGAGATCACATTTGGAGGTGTCGATTCCAAGCGATTCACAGGATCGATCTCTTATGTTGACTGCATTCCCGGTCGACCATGGACTGTAAGTTGTTAAAAAAAAAAAAAAAAAAAGATTGGCCTTGTATTTTATTATATTTACAAATTTAACACACTTTTTTTTATAATAATGATAATGATATATCTATAGATCCCATTGTCAGGATTGTCTGTAAAAGGACAGAGTATCCCCGTACCAGGTGTAATGGCTGCTATTGACACAGGCTCGACAGCGATGCTTATACCCAAGTCTGCGTCTGATGCCATCCATGCAAACATTCCTGGTGCAGAACAGCTGGTAAGTTTCCAAACGACATAAATGTCATTATTATGATTTAAATAGCCCTTTGGTTTTATCTTTCTAATATAGACCATTCATCTATGAACATATGCTCTATTATCCAAATGCTAGATTAATCAAGGTAATATCTGGGTAATCCCTTGTTCTGGCAACACACCCGTCACCTTAACGTTCGGAAGCTTCACTGCCGATATTCCTTACTCCAGTCTAGCGATGCAAAGTACTCGCCAAATGACCTCTCAAGGAGAGTATTGTTTGAGTGCTGCCATGTTCCCAACGGGCACCACTGCGGTGATTGAGGAATGGATCATCGGAGATGTTTTCCTAAACAACGTGTATTCAGTCTATGATTTCCAGAATAATGCAGCCAGTGGAGGTAGAATTGGATTTGCACAATTGGTCTCTGGAGGGACTGGAGGAGGAGGAGGATCTGATGGTTCTGGCAGAGGTGGAGATGGTAATGGTGCTGGTGGAGATACTGGTTCAGGAAAAGATGGAAAAGACGGAAAAGATGGAAAAGGTAGCTCCGCAGGAAACAGAGTTCCCATTTTGTCCGTCCAAGCATCCGCTCTCATCTTGATCAGCGCAATATTTGCCATGCTTTAATTTTTTTAATTTAAGGGTATCACTTCATCAATGAGATGTCTACGTTAAAGACTTATTAAAATAAAAGATGTATAAAAAGACCAAGTGTAGTTCGCCAATACACCAATTATGAAAAGATGTCCTTACATGCTAAATACAGGCTACACGATTGATGCCTTGCAACAAAGTAATATTTATCGACTGCTATTTGAATATCTGATGACAGACTTTTTTTTTTTTTTTTTTTTACCAAGGATAGGAAATGGTGGCGGCAGACAAGTGGTTTAACATGTTAACATGGGGAAGAGCGAAAAAATACGTCGGATGATGATGACACAATTTTGGGCTTTGAAATGAACTTTATTATGAACTGTGGATTAAAACACATTACACAACAGCAACTGATACATGCCCAACTATGGAGTTAATTGATTTTTTTTCCATGCTCTCATGTCCATGCCCATACCCATGCGCTTCTTCTTACTGTCTTCACGCATTAGCTATTGCTCTCTTTCTTACTTTGCGACAACAGAAAATACATCAGACATAGCGTCTTTTTTTTTTTTTTTTTTTTTTTTTTTTTAATAACGGATCATCCTTTCGTAACGGTGGATCATCTTTCTGCCATCTTCCTCTTCCTTTTGTTTTCCTCTTCTGCATATTTGTCCTAATTCATTATTTCTACAAATCCTACAACCTCCCCCTTCTCCTTTCTTTCTCTCCTTAGTCCACATTGTTGTTACATCTTTGTTCTATCTCGCCTAATGAAGATCTTACTTTCTACAGCGTTGATACTGGCAATCTCCTCTGCTGTATCTGCCTCAGTTATCACGTAAATATAGCCCTATATCTTTTTATTTATTGGACTTGAGGCTCAATCAGCACAGAAAATTCAATTGGAAGAAGGAAGAGGGATTATTCAACAATGCCCTGCCTGCCATTGCCCTTTGACTTCCTTCTCCTTTGCTCGGTTCACAAGGCGGTTGAAATAAATACATAAACAAACATGCACAGCATACATTACAAACGTTTGTGATTATCTACATCGTTTTTATTGTGCAAAAGAAAAGGACTTCAGTTCCTCCATTCACAAAAAAAAAAAAAAAAAAAAGACATTGGAATTAGCGATGATGAAAGAGAATTTTTTTTTTAGCACAAGCTCTCCTATTTTTGGAAAGCGGTTATCCCGAGACCATTAAATTAATACATCCTGTACTGCGTTGACATTAACAAAAGATAAATTAAAAGAGAGACAACGTCAACGTCCTTAAACAGATTAGCAGCAATTGCAACGAGGAGATCATTGCCATATCAAAGAGAAGGCGAGAGAGGATGCAAGGCACGGAAACCAAAAAAAAGAGATACTTCGCCTAATTTCTAATGTTTGCACTATTTTTTTTTTTTTTACTTAGTTTACCTGTGCGATCTCAGAGGAATCCAGAGAATCTCAATGCAGAATCATTGACAAAACGATATCTCCAGAAGCGTGCTGCTTCCTCCACAAAGGTACCTTTGACTAACATTCAAAATGATGTCATCTATAGTAAGTAAGACAGCTACATGTCTCTTTGGTATTATTTTTTTCTCTTTTCAAGTTTTCTCTATCTGCATGTCTAATTTTTAATTTTCTTAATCGACAGCGGTTCCACTTGGGCTTGGTACTCCAGCACAAGAGTTTAATCTGATTATTGACACGGGAAGTCCTATCACCTGGGTCTCCGCCAAGTCATGTGTGATAGGCGGATGTCTCAGAACAAACAAGTTTGATTGTGCATCGTCCTCGTACGTTATTATCCATGAAACAAGCGAAAAAAAAAAAAAAAAAAAAAAAAGGCTTTGTGTCTGAATGACAAAGAGATTAACTATTTTTATTGACTTGATGATTATGATGCGTAATACGAATAGAACATGCAGGGCTTCAACAACACCATTTAATGTCTCGTATGTCAGCGGGCAAGGTGTACGAGGCAACTATGTTGCTGTAAGTCTTTTTTTTTTTTTTTTTTTTTTTGAAGCCCTTTATAGAAATCAACAAAGGCAGACGACCTAAAACGATGTTCTATAACTCATCATTTATCATCATCAACACCATCAATCTTAGGATATTTACAAGATCGGCTCATTGCAATTCCAAGGGATCGCAGGCGTGGTAACGACTAACCAGGCACGTTTGCCTGGAAGCGTAGATGGAATCATGGGTCTGTGGTACTATGCCAGCGGCAGTGACATCCCAATTTTGAATGTGCTCAAGAACACGACAGCATTGACAGAGAACATGATCGGCGTCTGGTTGCAGAAATCGTCCGGATCGAGCAGGGCTACATCTCCTGGAGGAGAGATCACATTCGGAGGCGTTAATCCTGCTCGTTACACGGGTGAAATCACTTATGTCGACTGTGTTGCCATGAGACCATGGAGTGTAAGAGACATTCATATTCTCTCTCTCTCTCTCTCTCTCTCTTAAAAAAAAAAAAAAAACTTGTTCAGTCTGGAGTAACCATTTCATTTTCATTAATATGGATGTGCATAGATCCCCGTAAACGGAATGACTGTGAACGGCAAGGATATCCCAACGAATGGAGCCATTGCAGCTATTGACACTGGAACGACCGCTATGCTTATGCCAAAGACGACAGCGGATGCCATTAACAGCGCTATTCCTGGCGCTATCAGCCTTGTAAGTCTACTTTATCTTCTACTTTTTGCCCAAAGTATGTGTGTTATATATTACATCTTTCACTCTGACATTAGCTTTTTTTTTTTTTTTTTTTTTTTTTTTAACTGGTATAGCCACAGGAAGGAGGCTTATGGGTTTTGCCTTGCTCGGGTGATGCTCCAATCACCATTACGTTTGGAAATTTCAAGGCAGAGATCCCATACACAAGCTTGGCGATGCAATCAACCCGTCAAAGGACCAGCCAGGGTTACTACTGTACAAGTGCGGCCATGTTCCCCACCGGTGAAACGGCCACAATTGATGAGTGGTTGATTGGAGACGCCTTCTTGACCAATGTTTATTCAGTCTTTGACTTTAATACAAATGCTGCCACTGGAGGTCGAATTGGCTTTGCAAAATTGTCGGGTTCTTCCTCGAATGGCGATGGAAACAACGGCGGTGGTGGCGGCAGTGGTGGCAACAATGCTGGAAACGCAGCTGCAGGTAGATCCATCAAGGGCGTCCAAACCTCTTCTATTATCTTGATCTTGGCTAGTATATTCTTTTCTATGTTGTAGTCTTACAAGAGGATAGACAAAAGGAGGAAAAAATAGTTTTGGTTGTAGCTTTATTTACTATCTCATTTAAATCAACAATGAATTCTCCAAAAACATTTCCCTTTATTACTATAACAGGGATTTGGAATCATCGCCAAATAACCATCTTTCCGTTTGCCATGCCACTGGCTAATAAAACACGATTTGGATGCCAGGCATTGACTGCAGGAACGGTTGTCAGAACATGAGCATCCTTGAGATTCGCCATGAGGTCGCCTGTGCCTCTTGAATAGATATCTACAGACTTGTTCATATTTCCGATCGAAAACCAATTGAACTGGTGGGCCCAGACTGCGCGCAACATAGTGACCCAACGGCCACTCTGGTTGTTGTGATGGATTCGGACGGGTTCTGGAATCTTTTTCAAATCCGGCAATGCAGGGTCAAAATTGTTAAAAATGCGCACTTTGTCATCATATGATGTGCTTGCAATGCTAGCGCCTGTTATTTCAATGTTAAACAACAAGGAAATAATTAATCGATCATTTAGCCTTGCTTTCCAGTTAATTTCTATTGTTATAAAGAAAAAATCAATACGTAAAACCTTACCATCTGGGCTCCACATGGCGCTTGTGACACTCAGTCTATGCGGAAACCCGTCCAACTCTGGGATGACATCGTCTTCCTTATTATATTGCCCAAATGTTCTGACATCCCAGATCTTCATCGTCCTGTCTAGGGAAGAGGTGACGATCAAGTGTCCGTACTTTGGATTCACGTTTACACATCCAACTTTTTTCTCATGCAGGATCTTGCGATAAACCATCTCGTCCTTCGGAGTACGAATGTCCTTGAGTGTAACAGCTCCATCATTGTCTGCGAGCCAGAGTTGCTGACCTGTCGAGTCGATCGAAATGGATCCAAGGTGATCTGACACATCAGGCGAGACCACATATGACTCCATGAACTTTTGCTTTACCAAATCCAGGTAACGCACTGAGCCATCATAAGATGTTGTGAAGAGCTTTGTAGGGTCTGTAGGGGAATATTGCATGCTGGAGAGTGTTCGAGTGTGGGCTTTGTATGAATAAATATTAGGCTCTTCGTCTAACTCTGGCTCATAATCATCTGCTAGAGATTCATCGAGGTCCCAGAACCCAAGGTTGCCGTCAATATCACCCCCACACACCAAGACCTTGTCCTTGTTTTCATGGATGGCCATACAGTAGATACGGCCTTGGCAGACCTTGACAGTTGGCCAAGGTCCTCGAATCTTGAGGGCTTGCACCTGTTTTCGCAATGATAGCCCCTTCCCGGATTTGGAGGATGATGTCTTTGTTGGGTGACTAACTTTACCAGCATCGGACGATGCGGTTTTTGAAGCAGAAGTGGAGGGAGAGGGAACAGTTGAAGCTGTAGCGACTGCAGAAGCGGCAGCACGTCTAGCGGGTCTAAAATACTTTCTGATCCCTTCCTTTTTCTCATTCCCATCTTCCTCCTTTTTGATCAATTTGTCTTCGCCTTCCTCTTTCTTGGTCAATTTGTCCTCTTCTTCTTTCTTGACTACTTTGTCTTCTTCCTGTTCTCTTTTGACTGCTGTAATATTATCGTCATTATCATTAATATTAAGCTCGCCATCGCTTTCATCCTCAATGTCCTTGACCCTAGCCTTTTCGGGGACATAGGTTGCTATTTCCGCCATCAGTTTTGCAAATTTGGAGTCATCGCCATATCCACTCGTGACATCCTCCAGTGAGAGAATTCCAGCACGACGAGCTTTTTGGTACTGATTTATTGTAGTGACAGTTTCTTTGTATTCCTCCAGCTTGCGCTCAGCAACAGGACTATTTGGCTACATAAACCAAAAATATTATTATTATTATTATTATTATTATTTTATTTTTTATTTTATTGGACAAAAAAAAGAAACAAATAAAAAACAATGCCACCAGTTTGATATAGGATGATCAAAAAGCAAGAGAAATAGTTTTTTTATGGGAAAATTAACGTTACCTCGATTTTTGCTAGGCGATTGGAAGTTCGTCTAGGTAAAGGAACTTCAGTGCTCTTGATTCGTTTTTCGCGCTTGACGCCTGGAGTGGGGGCAGAACGCTTATTCCGATCTAGACGATGTGATGATAACTGAACAGCAGATACGGCTTCTGGTAACTCGAGCAAGCGCATCGCTTCCCTGTTCTTCCTGATATTCTCCAAGCGCATGCGCTCGCTTGTTGTAATCGTATCAAAATCATATTAATGCATAAAGGAATAGATCAGGAAAAAGTGAAGCAGGATAAGAGAAAGAAAGAAAGAGGGGGAAACAAATGTGTATAGGAATCCAATGGAAATATGTCAGGCTATTGGAAAAGCATGTCTTTTGGCATGCAACGCCACCAAAATGTACAAAAGGTTAAATAATTCAAGTGAAATTACTATTCTGTAAGGCCATCAGCATGAGTATCGTCCTCCTCCTTCTCTAATTCCTCTTGGTCTGATTCTGAAACGTATTCTTCTTCCTTGTCATCATCGCTGTGAGCTTGTCTTTTTTTCTGATGTCTGGTTTTCATTTTTTTTTTTTTTTTTTTTTCTGAAGAGAATCTGAGTAAGAATGAATAAATAAAATCTTGTCTCAAAAAGTGGTGGCAAAAATTTTTTTTTCCCTCTCAATTTTTGTATACGGAGGGATGTGGGCACGAGGATAGAGAATTGGACCTAAAATGACTCGTGCCGATGCCATGCATCATTCACACCAAATTTCTAAACAAACAATATTTTCTCTTTCCTACTTCGCTTCGCTCCTTATTTTATTCCCCTGCAGTAACAGACTCATTTCCATCATTCCCATCAATACCCTCACAACTACTCCCTATTATAACTGTCAATAGTTTATTTCTCAATCACTCTTCTGCACAATCTCACGATTATTACCACTACTATTATCATTCTTTTCTATTTCCATTGATTGAATCCACTTCTCTCACTTTTTTTTTTTTTTTTTTTTTTTTTATTTCTTCTTTCCTGGTTCTGTAAACGCGTTTCATTCATCATTCATTCTTAATGGCACCCTTGACACCTTCAAGGCGCTCTAGTCAACCGCCTCCCGAAAGGAATGGCTCCTCCAAAGATTATACTCATATTACCCCTGTAAGGGCCTTTCTATTTTTTTTTTTTTTACCACGCGTCATATAGCGGGGTTATATATTTTTCTATGCCACAGAAAAAGTCCTTTTGAGAAATGAAGAGGAAAAAAAAAAAAACCATTGACGATTATTATTATAATTTTTCTTGGTCTCTTACTACAGTCAAGAAGTAGGTCCGCACTTGGCACAACCAGCATTCCACCTAGAGTCGATAATCTGCTCTTACCTGGTGTCATCGGCACAACTGTCGAAGGTCCTAAAACACCAAATCGTATGCGACGACTTTCCAATCAACTTCCTAACTCCAGTGTTAACTTCCATGGCATTAGCAACAATGACAGCATCAATAGCAACACTAACAAACGCAACAACAATAGCAAAGGAAGCAATGGCAGGACTACATCACACGTTTCACAATCTGCATCTCATGAGGATATGCTCTACACAACAACAACAGAAGCAGCAGCAACAGACTTACCTACTGCTAAAGCTTATCAGCAGAGCCATTCAATTCATAATAGCAACGGCATGTCGTCTCAGTACATTGATGTAGAAATCAGTAACAAAGGAACGTCCTTTGCACCTTTTGTCGACAATAACAAAGACCACGTTTTCTTTGGTACTCCGCAGGGAAATAAATACCGAAAGGCATTTAGGCCACATGATACCCCTATTGCGCCTTCTAAGCGACAAAGTAACAATCTCTACAGCAGAGAGTCAGCTGGTCATGACCTCCCCTCACCCCATAATTATCTTATTGAGGATGACTATGACGTTGATGACAATGATTACACAGAAGGCATTCGTTCCAATAATGCGGTTAGAGAGGATAATACTCTGAGACTAGAGTTATCGCCTCATCATAGGCCCCCTGAGAGCTTTCCAGAGGGTGTTGACATTAGCGAAGATCATGACGCCTTTGCTAGAGAAATGAACGGTCATCGTGAGAATCAATATCAGGAACTTCACTACGATAGAGACCAATACGATGACCAACACCATTCTCACTTTGTGGATGGGTATAACAGCAAAGGGCTCGACGCCGATGGCGGTTACGACAGCCCTGATAATAACAATGTCTATAGCAATGAGGATTATGACGATGGAGACCAAACACTTGACATCGGTGGATATGAAGATGAAATCTATTCCTACAATCGTCTTCGCCCGAATATTTATGCTGATCCAGCTATTGACGATGAAGACAATTCGAAATATGATACTGGGGTGGACGCCGAGATGGCTGAATTGAAACGAGAGCAAGAACAACTGGGTTTTATCAAGCGCATTGCCAACTTGTTGCGGAAGCAGCGGGACGAGTATGGCTGGAGTACTCCTAAAGGCAAAGATAAAAAACAACCAATAGATGATGGCTCTGATAGCGATATGGATAAGAACCTTACTAGCGCTCGTGTCCGCAAAGGATTCTATCGTAAGCAGCCTCGCACCCGTCCTACGCCTGTAGCGAGCAGAGCAATGACACCACCATTACCCGTCCGCCGTACAATCACACCAGCAGAGCTCCGCCAAGCTAGAACACCTTCTCCACTACCGTACTCGGTGACACGCCGTGTTTTGACCCCTCCAGCCACTGCTCGCCCATCCCTGACGCCACCCTCTGTTTCACTTATGAATGAGTATGTCAAGAAGCCGAATCCTTTCGAAGTCCCTATTATGAGACAACTCGACTCTGGTATTGCCTTGACTGCATCTCAGGACTCTGATGAGTATGATCAAGCAAGAGAGAGCCATGAATGGAGGCGAATGAAGCCTGCTACTTTATCTGGTGAACGTGTTCCCACACGACCTAAGACGGAGACGCACTTTCAGGATGAACAGGAAGTTGCGTACATGAGTGCGGAGAGTGACGCTGATATCTCAAAAGCATACGGTATTTCTTCGTCTACAACTCACCATCGCTATGTCAATTCAGGCCGTAATCTCCGTCAACCTTCCCAGACTCGTATGGGGCATAAACGAATCTATCCATGGCATGTGTTATGGCGTATGCTTCAGGATGGATTTCGTCAGCTTAGAGATCTATTATATGCGGCCATTGAAACTGCTCTATTTCTTTTTGGACTCTTGCTATCTTGGCTCTACCTGATCTTTGGCTGGCCATGGCGCCAGAGACAAGCTTTTTGGAGGACAGGTGAGGAATGGGCCCGTGCGGGCGTTGCAAGTGGCTTGCTGAGTCCAGGAACACTTTTTGGGGTCGCTCTTATGTGTATTGCTGTCTGGGGAAGTCATCAGTTGGGCTATGGTATCTCTTCAAGCCAGGGCCTCGGTGATTGCAACAACAGCAATGTCACTCAAAGCTCTGGCCAGACGCCATACATGAGAGAGAGGGTTTCGGATACATGGAGCAAGCTAAGCTGGAGAAATTCTAGCCTGAAGGACCGTTCATGGTTAAGTTGGATCCCTCAATTCCCTTCTATCAGCCAATGGATCCCATCTCGACCTACTGGTAAAAAGTCAGGATCGGCATCTAGCAGAATCCAAATTCCATCAGAGCAAATTCAGTCATTTGAAGAGCTCGAGTCGGCTGTCAAATGGATTCAAAAGACGTTGGTCGAGCTTGGCCAAGCTGACGATCAGCTTAGTAAGGAATTGCAGAGTAAATTTGACAGCATGTCGCTGCTCATTCAAAAGAAGCTCTCAGATCTTGAACAAGCAGATGAGGTGCTCAGTAAGGAGCTACGGACTAAATTTGACGGCATTTCGGTCTGGGTCTCTGGCGTGGAACACAAGTTGAATCGAGTCTCGGATCGGGTGGATTCGCTTGCACAGTACGTAAAAGATGGACGATGGATTGAGCAGACAGTTTTGGAGCAGATTCGAGATGAAATTCCAAAGCATTTAGTAGTTTCTAGGGATCTCAAAACTGGAGAGCTATCGATTCCGAGCGAGTTTTGGAATACAGCACGAGAACTCTTCGTCACCCCAGAGCAAGTCCAGAAGACTATTGAAGACAGGATTTCAAAACTAGACATGGACCCAGAAGATGAGCATGAGCAAGCTCCATCGTCATCGTCATCGTCATCCGGGAGATGGAGTTGGGGATCTTTCAGGAAGAGCTCAAAAGCAAAGAAAGGCAAGATTATGAGCTGGGATGATTTCCTGCAAGAAAATGAGCGTGCGTTGTCAGATTTCGTAGAAGGCCACATGTTTAAGGTCTCACGAGGCGAATTTTTGAGGCTCGTAAGAACAGAGGCTAATATGATCTGGCAAGGCGTGGAGAAAAATGTAATGGAGCTATTGGAGAAGCAAGGAAAACTCCATGGCAAAGAGGCACCTCGTCGACGGATAGGCTTCTATGGATCATCTTCTACCGTAAGTGGAAACCAGGATGGTCGTGGTAACACTGGTTTGACGGAGTTAGAGAAAGAGTTGGTTTCCGGGTTGATCGATGAGGCCCTAGAAAAATATTCTGCAGATGCAATTGCTAAGCCAGACTATGCACTCTTCTCAGCTGGAGGACGTATCATCCCCCGTCTCACATCTCAGGATTATCATCATACAGTTGCTCCGACCTTTTGGGGTAATCTGGGCCTCAAATACTTTGTCAAGCTACCACGGCGAGAGAAGCCAGCTCAAAAGGCGATTGAACCAGACATTCATGCAGGGGAATGTTGGGCAATGGAAGGTCAGCAAGGTCAGTTGGGGATTCGTTTAGCAAGAAGAATTGTAGTGACAGAGATTACGATTGAGCATGCAGACCCGAGTGTGGTTTTGGACATGGACAGCGCACCCAAGGAGATCGAGGTTTGGGGACTTCGAGGAAGCGAGGATGCAGCGCCCACCGCAACCTCTCACCATGCTTCTGTGGTGAACAATAACGATAAAAACAATGATGGTGAGCTGGAGATCAAGAACAAAAGGAACAATGGTAATGAGGGTATTAAGGAGCAAGAGCAAGATTCACAAGAGAAAAAAGAAGAAAATAATGAGAAAGAGGATTTGCCGTGGCCTGGTGCTATCCTATTGACCAACGTGGAATACAACGCTCAAGGGGAGGGGAAGCATACCAAACCCAAGACAAGGCAGACATTCTCGATTCCTTTGTCAATGCAGAAATGGCCCTTTGTCGGAGTTGTTCTCCGGATCAAATCGAACTGGGGACATCCCAAGTACACATGCATGTACCGTGTCCGGGTTCATGGCTATGAGCCTAACGCATAAGGTCAAAAAGAAAAGAAAAAAAAATAGTGCTGTAATGTCTGCTGTATTATTATATTACCACCATTCTCTTTCGTTCAATGTAGTCTCTTTTCTTTTTTCACTCGTCCTGTACAACTTGTGTATACTATCAACAACTTTAGTCTAGCCAGTTCAATTTATTATAGCGATAAAAATACTCTATTTTCAGCTTGCAACATTTTTTTTTTTTTTTTTTTTTTTTTTTTAAAAAAAAAAAAAAATGGATACAGTCTTTATGCTTTATAAGTTTATTGTTTTTATTAGTCGTACCAGTCGAGGAAGAGTAGGACAAAACTAGCAAGGATGAGGAAAAAGAGGATCCATTTTCGAGTGGTATTGCTCCGTTTACCAGCTTTAATTAACTGTTCGTTTCCAGCATCAATGTGACTGATTGCTGTTAGTGCTTCCTCGTGTAGCCGATTGGTTTGTAGTGTTTGTACCTCAAGATGCTCCTGGATTGTTGAGTGTAGCGATGAAAGCTCTAACATAGAGGCTTCCAGGTGCCTACCATTAAAAACAAAATGAAATAAAATAAATAAAAAATTGAAAAAGAATACGATAAAAGTGATTTTTTTTTTTGCTTGTATAATTTATACCTGACTTGGTTCAATTCTGTCTCCAGTTTTTGAACAATATTTTCATTCTCCATTTGGAGCATTTGTCTTTGCTCAGCAGTCAGACTATTTTCGAAATCTTGTTCATCATTGTCTACAAATCCACCAAATCCATTATTATTATTTCTATGGTTATGACTACCTTGATGATAATACTGTGCAGTTGAAACGCCTGTTGATGGTTGTGGTGAAGAGGTTCTACTGATATTTGTTGAACGATCATTAAGGTCGCTGTCTGTTGCCCCTGCTCCATTACTTGTTATCGTTGCTGTTGCTGTCGTTCGAGCATTAGTATTTCTCCTGTGTGAGAGCCCTGCATTGAATGATATTCCTGAGGTAGACTCAGGATCTTGTTGACGTTTGAGACCATAGCTATTCGAGACTGTCGGTTTTGGTAACGCTTTGTATAAAGAGCTAACATCATAAGGTTAAGTATAGGCAAAAAAAAAAAAAAAAAAAAAAAAAGTTTAATACAGAATACGTATTCTTTTTTTTTTTTTTTTTTTTTTTTTTTTTTCATTAATGTATCTACCTTTCTCTTTTCTCCATCTCGCGAGCTATTCTGGCCTCGTATTGATCTTTATGCAGTGTGGCCAGGCTTGCAAGGCGTTCATTCAGATAAAGAGTGACACCTTGTCGATGTTGAGCCAAGTGATCGACAGATCCTGCACCGCTAGCTGCCATACTCAACAACTGATTCAATCCTGCCACAGCGGCATTGCTGCTATTTGTAGTAGTGTTGGCTCTTTTCCTACGATCTATGTAATATAGAATATGATGTTGAAGATGGGAGGCGAAGAATAAAAAAAGGTACATTAGAAGTATTCTTTCATTGTTCTTTTGTTATTGTTGTTGCTGGCTGTGGTCGTAGTGGCTCATTTATTACCTTGTTCAAGTGACTCTAGTTCCTCAATAGCACCTTTGATCTGTCGCATCATGACTTTGACTTGTGTATCAATACTGTCTCGGTCCTTATCAGAAAGTGATGTCAATGACGAAACAGTGTCCAAGAGATCATTCAACACTTTGGAGGATGTGAACGATTTTGATAAGGTGTTATGGCTATTGTTGACATTGGGTATAGAGTCTGACCGTCGTGGTAAACGCATATTGGCGCCTAATGAGTTTCCTGATCCACCACGCGAAAGATTGAGATATGCAGGACGGGTAATGAGGATAAATGTTCGGAGATCCGCTATAGTCCTCGACTGAAAGTTGTAAAAAATAAAAAATGAGAACTTTCAGCTTAAAAAAAAAAAGTTCTTGGTCTTTCTCGATTCACTTACAATTTGGTGGGCTTCTCGTATCCATGGATCTGTTGGTGCCTTTGGGGTTGGTGGTTTCGATACAGCCCCAGAACGTACGCCAGAGGAGAAGCCTCCTGATGCTTGACTCAGGTCCTGGACTGTTGCATGAAAGATGTTGGTAAGGTCCGGCATGATGGGAGTGTTGTTTTTCTCTTTGTTGTCCTGTGCTTCTTCCTCTGTATCACTGCGCGGCTGAACAAAAAAAGAAAAAAAAAAAAAAAAAAAAAGTCCTTATAATGTCCGTTCCCTGGTTTGATGGAAGAAAAATGCAATAAATGTAACGAATGGAATTTTGACCGGACTCTTGAAGACTGGAGACGTGGCTTTTTTTGTGAGCAATTAAGTATGGTGTGATGAATAAGATACATGCTTTTACTTTTATTCGTTCTTTTCTTCAAAGTCGATAATCCTTTGATATGAGGATGTGATGAAAGTAAAGGGGGGTATATATAACTATCTTTCTTTTTACATGTTCAAGAGAGCTTGTAGCTCTTCTTCGGTCACAGCACCTTGTTCAAATAATTCTTCCAACTCTTCATCATCAGGAATCACAGGGTTTGCAAACCCTAAGTTGTGCTTCACGTGTGTAATATCGTTCTTCAAGGCTCCATCCCAGACTTGGCTTGCGTTCTGGACGAAGCCGGCTTTCAAGCTGCCATTGCTACGTGACGAGGTAGTGGAGGTAGTAGATGTGACTGAAGCCAAGGATGCAGTCGAGTGGAATCGATTTGAAGCAGGAGATAACAGATACATGGACGTTGCAACATCCTTGTTGTTTCCTGCGGAGATCGAAGATCTATGGCCCATACCGTTTACTACAACTGAAGGAAATCCAGCACCTTGCTCTGCATCTTCACCATCTTGAGCTTGAGTTGTAGATTTCACACCATTGCCATTATGGGAATCAACGCCCATCTTGTTACGTGGGACAAATCCTCGGATTCGATCAAAGCCCAAGAATTGAGTTAGCTGATGAGTTTCGATCGCATACTCAAAGTCTTCAAAGATACCTCTGTACTCTCCTCCGGAGAAAATCTGAGGCAGTTGTTTCTCGCCTCCATTCTTGCGGCGCATATACCATTTCGCATCCTCATCCACAGAGACATCCACGAATTCGAACTCAATATCGAGCTGCTCAAGAGTGTCACTGATGGATTGTTGTGCTCGCTTGACCTTCAAGTTACCACTGACGCTAGAGCCATAAATCTGCACCTGCTTCACTTTGTATCTCTTTGTGTTCTTGAGCCTAAATGCAATAATATATAATAAATATTAATAATCTTTGCCGCTAAAAATAAAAAAAACTCTTATTGCATTCACACAAACAAAATGATTGATTACTTACATGGCGCTGATAGAAGCATTTTCCAAATCATCTGTCAATTCATCAACACGCTTCTGAAGCTCTGCAGTCTCAGCTTCCTTGGCGGCCAAAAGTTTGCGAATCTCCTCCATCTCTGCACGGACTTGGTTCAACTGCTCTTGAGTTTGTTCATTGACTCGATTCAGCTCTGCCTCCACTTCTTCTTTGGCTGCCTTCGCAGACTTCAGTTCACTCTTGAGCTTCCCAATCAACTCGTCACTGGCGTCCGCCTGATGAGACAGCTTGTCCTTCCAGTCTTGGATCTGCGATGCGTGTTTCGTATTCAAGTCTGTGATTCGCTTCTCTTGCTCCTCTTCCAAGGCCTTAATCTGTTGTGAAAATGAGTCTTTTAGCTCCTGGATTTCTGCATCCTTAGATACCTGCCTCTTCTCTTCCAGGTCTTTTAACTCCTCTGCATGCACTTTTGTCAGTTCCTGAACCTTGGAGTCATATTTAGCTGTCCAGGCTGCTTCCATGTCCGCACGAAGGACCTCAAGTGCATCCGCATGCTTCAAAAGGACCTCGGCATGCTCTTTGAGAGATTTTTCGATTTGTTCTTCAAGCTCCTTGATCTTAGCATCCTTTTCGCGTTCAGTCAACTCGCCTGATGCTTTCAATGACTATCAATAATAATAATAATAATAATAATAATAATAATAATAATAATAATAATAATAGTAATAATAATAATAATAATGAAAGAAGGCGTTAATATTCTCCTGAGGAAAAACAAAAAACAAAAGGCAGAGAAACAATGCTGCATTATCATGCATGCATGCGTGATGATACAAAAATATGATTGTGCATATTGTTTACCTTCAAGGAATCAGCAATGGAATCTCGTTCCTCAATCATAGCCGATAAAAGCGCATCATGCTTCTCCTTGAGTTCTGCAATCTCCTTTTCACGTTGTGTCGCCATGTCCTCTAGTTGTTTTTGATGTTCTGTCTTGGCAATGCTAAACTGCTTGCGCAGCTCTTCCATCTCGTTCAGAACCTGCTGAACATCGGATGAGATAGGCTTACGTTGGGGTTCAGGCATCATCGTTAGTTCTGCGAGCTCTTTCCTCATTCGCTCCTCCTGTTCTTGAAGCAGTCTCAGAGTATTATCATGCTGTTTGTGATTGTTTAGCAATTATAGATATAAAGATGTCAAAAATAGAATAGATATCACTATTAGCTCACTGTTCGAACTCTCAAGCCCTCTTTTCATTATTTTTTCCCCCCTCTTTCGTGCGTGTCATTACAAGTGAAAAAAAAAAAAAAAAAAAAAAAAAAAAAAAAAAATGCTGTAAGAAATATGAAACTGTTTTTACCTTCTCTTGCAGTCCGTTCAATTGTGTGCTCAGCATTTTGACTTTGGCTGCATCCGTAATCGGACGAGTAGTTGTAGTACTGTTGGATGCAGATGCAGTACGACTAGTTGATGTGGTAGTGGTCGAGGTGGCTGGTGATTTGCGAGCTGTTGTAGCGCTAGTGCTAGTGTTAGTACTAATTCTACTACTTGTAGAAGGTTGTCGAAGAGTAGAATTTGGGGATGGATTTGTAGAACTAGGTGTCCTACGACTGGCTAAAGTACTTGGAATTGAAGCTGTGCCTGTCGATGTCTTATTTGCTGCTGCTGCGGTCGACAAAGATGAGGATGTTCCTGAAGAGGCAGGCGTGCGTCGTGCTGTGCCAACAGAAGAGGCGGATGCTGATACGACCGATGTTTGACTGGTTGATCGTGATAATGATGGAGTGGCCGATGGACTTGAACGCAAAGATGATACGGTCGCAACACCAGAGCTAGAGGCAACACGCCTTCCTAACGTAGCTGGAGTACGTGATGGACTACTATTACTAGTCGTAGCCGAAGTGGGCAAAGCTGGGGTTGAAGGAGATCTACGAATAGCAGGAGGAGCAAGTGTTTTTCTTGTGGATGAGGGTGTTGTAGGTCGAGAGGATGAGATCGATCCTACGGTGGGAACAGAAGAAGTGGAAGTGCTGCTTCTTAATAAACTAGTAGGAATCGGAGGTCGGGACCTGGTAGTCGATGACGAACTAATGGAAGAGGTCGGAGTCTTTGATAAAGACGAGTTGGCGGATTTGACCTTTGTGGATGATATGGTAGTAGCTGTGGATGCTCCGGCAGCCCTTCCTGCAGATACCGACAAAGGCTTCTTTGCGCTACTTGAAGCTGCTGCAGGCTTGATTAATTTAGATGGTTTAAGAACTCCCTGTTGCTTTTGAGATGGTGTGGCTATTGCTGTTGCGTTTTTATGACTATCACGGTCAAGTACAGGATTGATGTTCTCTTTATGACTATCGTCCTTGTCTGAGTTCTCGTTTGATGTTTCCTTTTGTCCGGCAGATTCTGTTGCTGCCGCTGTCACTATCTCTGTTTTTGTTTCTGATTCTGCCTCTGCCTCGATATCAACGGGAGGCAAGAGAATGATTGGCGGTGTAGAAGGGACCGTAGTCAATGTGTTTATTGATTCTGTAATAGATGCACTCTGTTCTATTACTTCTGCCGATACTTTCGTGGGATTAGTTGTCGTTATTACTGTCGTGGGTGTTGTTGGATGTAAGGTGTCAGGAGAGGATGGTGCTGATGAGACAACTGTGTTGGTATTGGAGGAAATGGACAGAGCAGGAACAAAAGGTAGAAATTCTGTTGTATCGCTAGATAAATTCTTGAGGCTGGTACTGATGGTGAAATGGCTGTCATCGTCGCTGTCATCGCTGTTGGGGTTATAGGTGTGGATGTTACTGCTAGCATTAGCAGGGACTTCTTTGCTAAAGTCGGCATTCTGAACTGGACTGAGCACATTGGTTGCAGTGATGCTGACTGTGGGGTTGTTATGTTCAGGGTCCATGATTTTGTCTCAGTTGTAATCAGGCTGTGGAGAGCTAGTTTGTGTGAGTGTAAACTTATTTTGCTACAGGTCAGAGAAATTGGGAATACGACGGAGGTAGAATAAGCTGAAAGGAAATGTGTGGAAATATATGTGGATAGATGTGGATTGGTGTGGACGTTGATAATAAGTTGATGAACAGAAAGTGAAAGGGTAAGAAGAAGAGAAAGAGAAAGCAAAAGAAGCAAAGAAAAAGAAAAAAAGTAGACGTTGCCAGTGATGGCAAATGTGTGATGAAGTACAAAAAAAGGGGGAAGGGCGAAGTCAGCAGAACAAAGTATTCGAAAAGACGTTCGAGAATACATTACATTTTGTCATTTAATGAAAAACTTTTATTGTGAATGTTGTGTTCATCATGTATAATGTATGCAAATGTATATATTTTGATTCAAATGCTATGCTTAGACAAAGGCGGGGGTAAAATGCATATGTAATCCGATCTTTTCAATGACATCGATGACAGGGGGTGAAAGATCATAATGATGCTCATAAAGAATTTATTATTAGTAACTTAAAAAGTGCAGCCCATTCGCTGCACAGGGCGCTTTTTTTCTTTCTCATGTAACTGCAAATGTGGTGCTTATTCCAAAGAAAAGAAAACCTTCTCTCTTCAGCCCATCATGAGGCAGTGACAGATCCTTTTTTTTTCCTTTCTCATTTTACCTTCTTTTATTGCTCTCATGGTGTGGGATAATACGAAAAATATAGACGATACATGATTAAAAGAGCATGTGTTGAATGGTGCGAATAGAGACGTGGCAACAAACGAATTTGTGGCCAAATAATACTTTGGAGCCCATTTTCATATAACCAATATCATAGTTTAATTTCTCTGAAATTGCACTTTTGGGATATCCGAGAGAGAAATACACATGTGGGATAGGAAAAGATGTTTTGTAATGGCAATTTGAAATAGCTGGGGGAGAGGAAGAAGGGGAAGGAAATAAAAATAAAAAAGTATGGGGTTCTAAGAATGCTCCTGGTTTCGTCAGCTGCAAGTGCCTCCAATGTGAGAAAGGAGACCTCATACTATACATGAAATAAATGTTACCATTGGGCTTAATTGAGAACTGTGCCCTATTTAAAAACAACTCGGTAGCCTGAAGAGCAAAGAAATCAACCAGATAGCACTAACCAACAGAAAGTCTCCAAAAACGGAGCGGCCATTCATCACCACTACGTCTGATCAAGCATGTGTAAGAAATCAAACTCAGTTCACCATAAAGGAAGTGGTTTTGACCCCTTGGTCTCGCTTCCGTTGACTCCTGAATATTGCTAACGATAATTATTGCTCCAGACTCCATTTGCTCTTTGTCGTGGCGCAGCCAGAAAAAAAAAGAAAGAAACGCACAGGCCATTCCATGTTCGAAATTGAAGCAAAGGAACATGGCAAACTGCTCTCACTAACACATGAGAAGGCTCTGTTCATTCATTCAAAAGATCCTTTCCCAACTTGTCTTCTCAATTCTAATCAACCCATGCAAAAAGGACACCATTAAGCAGACAGAGCAGGATTTTAAGTTGAAGCAAGCGTTTTTTTTTTTTTTTTTTTTTTTTTTCACTACATGACAGGTGCTTGTGAAAACCAGAATAGGATTCTCGAAACTTGGGATAGTTGACCCTCAACATCGTAATTTGTGGGCCCATATGCTTATTGCAAATGAAGTTGAAGGGTAGCCCTTGGATCCATTTTTAACTAATGCAATTTCACACTGGCTAGGCTTGTCCCTTATTTTTCAAAAATCTTACTCGGTCGAGATACGTGGCGGTTGACTAAAGTGGTTAATTTAAGGAGTTAGGATGATTACTGATCGAATGAGTGGTTCTTTGGTGGCCATAGCAACTATGAACACCTACAAGGGACATCAAGTTTCAGACAATAAGTTTATGCACATTCTTCTTTCAAGGAATGACGCCTATAAGGCCTAAGTTAAATGCTAATGGTGCGCAAGCAATGGACTCGAGTAGAGTGCATACACTATCTATGCCTTTAAGTACATTCAATACCTATCTCGTTGGTGCCAATATGGAAGTAAAATATTCCTCAACATCCATCCACGCTGGGTTAGCTGCCCCCACTACACGGTACCCAATATGTGAATCAGGTCGAATAACCACAATCCCCCCTGAACCTTTGCTCCAACTAAAGCCATATTTTCGATGCAATGCTTTTGTACTGTCCAAAAATAACTTCCCATCACCCAAGCTTTTAGTGGCCAACACATGGAAGCTCTTGCTTTTACTACTGCTGTCCCCCGTATCGTCGCCAGTGCCGCGTAGCAATTCAGTGATTGACCCGAAGCCGCCACTAATGACATGGAGCTTGAAGAGATCCTTGTGGTCCTCGTAACCGTCATCAACCTTAGAAGTATATGACCATTTGGCACGCCAGTGGGATAGATATCTGTTAATGTTATGCTCAAGCTCCTTTGCAGTCGTGGTACTAGCACCCTGAATAACACTGACAGACGCGCTTGTTTTGGATGTCAATAACATATCGGAAGTGAATACTAGAATGTGGAAACGACCTACACCATGTAGGATCTGGTGGAGACGGATGGGCTCCAAATCAACGCTATTATGTATTTCACTACATACTGTAGGGATCGGACAAATGGTGCCATCTCGGGCGCGCACGCCGACTTGAAATTCGGACTCAGGCACGGGCTGGACTGAATGACGTCTATTGATTTCATTTTCATTATACCGAATGTCAATCTTATGATATGACAGAATACAACATAGAGCGTTCCATTAGATAGTAGTATCCATTTGTCCAAAAATAACCATAGAAATCCTTAAGCAAACAACACTCTCAGCCAATCTAATAATTATTCCCATTACCATGCTGAGGTCAGTCGTAAGTGAAAGCGCTTTCATGACGCCAAAGATCAATGGAGCTAGAGTCGTAAATAAGCGCCCTTGAAGCGCTGAGAAATACCCTGCGGCTCTATTCCTGAAAATTTTCGATGACACTGCAATGGACCTATCTGCCGCGGGCTCTCGCTCTGCGTAGGTCTCCAACAGAGCCTTGGGCGCCAAACCATTGATGACTAATCCCAGTTTCCAAGCCAAGTTGTGCGCATCACATAGGCCCGTGTTCAGGCCCTGACCGCCAGCAGGAGAATGGATGTGAGCTGCATCTCCTGTCAAAAAGATGCGATTTTTGTAGACAAAATGCTCTGCACGGCGTTCGTTCACCTTGACAGCCGTCAGCCAGGATGTCTCCTTGATCTTTAATTTCTTGGGTGCAATGCATTCATTTACTAGCTCCTCAAATCTTTCGGATGTAAGTTCCTTGATAGTCTGCTCAAGGTCTTCCCCCGGTTCAATGGTGAAGCCTTCGATCGTGATACGCACTTGGCCATTGCTCAGAGGGAAAGCGGTAATGAATTTTCTGTTGACACCTTGCAGGAACCTAATAGAGGGCATAAAAGTTGAATATCAATTAAGAGTGAAAGGATCAACGTAACTTTTTTTTTTTTTTTTTTTTTTTTTTTTTAAATATAAAAAATTAAACTTACATCACATTCTTGATTTCGAGATCGCCCTCATATGTACCATCCCACAAGAATATCTTAAGGTCGAGCGTACGTCCTGGGAATCCAATGTTGAGCCTTTGTCGGACAGTCGACCGCCCGCCATCAGCAGCGACTAGATAGTCAGAACGAACTACTTGCACTTCATATTCCTTAGTTGCCTGCTCTGTAAGCGGATTGACATCTCCAAGCAGTTTTGGTTCATTTGCAGTGGTATCGTCTCCCGAACGGTCTCGTCGGATTGTGGTTTCTACAAATGATTTTTTCGTCCTCTTCCTGATCTTTTTCTTGCCGCCATCCATTTCAGCTATCTCTTCATCTCCCTTCCATTCTACTTTTTCTTCTTCCACTTCCTCCTCAACCACTTTTGTGTCAATGAGCTCCCAACCACGATCGACTTTCACCCCCATCTTTTCAAGCTCCTCTACCAAAATCTCCGATACCTTGGACTGTTCCATGAAAAGACAATAGCGGTAATAGCAGTCAATATTGCCCAAAGCTGGGAGTGTCACCAAATGCTTAGTTCCATAGTAGAACTGAAGGTGAGTATCAGGCCGTCCCCTCTCAAGGGCCTTATCGACCAAATCGGTAAATTCAAAAATCTCGAGGATCCGGGCTTGGAGGCCCAGAGCCTTGGATAAGGGAGAAATAGCCATCGCACGTTCAATGATGCGGACAGGAATCCCTAGTTTTGTGAGCAAGTAGGCCTCGAAGAGACCTACGGGACCACTACCCGATATCAAGATAGGAACTGAGGCTACGGCGCCATTAGTACTGCTTTGTGAGTGTATAGAAGAGTACGAAGAGTTGACAGGGAAATTAGAAGGAGCAGGGGCGGTCATCATGATGTGATGTTGGATAGGATAAAACTGAACGGCATGAATGTGAAGAAATGATTTTCTTCATTCTGAATTAGAGATGAGGCGGTATGAAGGCACCTTTATAAATGTATAGTGTGATCTTCATAAGGAGTACATTCGTATGAAATGTGACATTACTGCTACCGACAGGAGTATAAGACATCCTCCGATAAGAGGTACGATTTGAGAAACAATTCAGGTTTACACTCTCCCATTGCTTAGTTATCATAACCGAAATACATTCTACAATACTCATTGAATTGGCGGTTAAAACCCTTACCCTGCTTTTTATCGGTGCTCAAGGTCTCTAATATCTGAATAGCATTTGATGACATGTAGCCCGTTTCATTTGGTCATGATACCTTATATTTTTTGAATACTTTCGAGTGTATTGGCAGCCAATTGGCTCGCTTGTTGCGAGTATTGTTGCAAGTCCGTCACGCAGTGAAATGCCATCAGAACAATTCAATCATCGTTTTTACATTAAAAATATAAGGTATCATGACCAAATGAAATTGGCGATACACTCCAGTCTCACTGTTTTTCAAAATGTGGTATCGAATGCCGTATTCCATTTTCTTTTTTATTGGGCAACCTTAAAAAAATCTAGTCGGATAATAAGAAAGGCCAACTCAGTTTTATTAATCAATGACACCTCAGACTCCAATTGCGTATTCTTATCCACTAAACGGGGTATCACCCTCCAAATAAACACTTGGTGTTAAACCTCGATAGCGCAGCCACGCAAATAAACCCCTCACATCAAAACCGATTTCGGTCAAATTAAAATTGATTTATTCATCCTTCACTAGCTCTGTGAAAAGACAGTTCATAACATCCTTGCCCACACATTTCTTTTTTTTTTTGTTCACTTAACAAGAATAGATTCAAAGTATTGGTCAACTTCCTCCCATGATCCCTTGTTGGTACCAAGGACGCGGTATCCAATATGTGAATCCGGTCTGACGACAATGATGGCTCCTGGTCCATGTTTAGCATCCACTCCATACTTTTGATGCAGCAGCCCGGTCTGGTCCAAGTACAGTTTGCCCTCTCCTGGGTTGTTGACCAAGAGTGCATTGATGCCCTGTGCTTGTGTTTGCTGATTAACCCTATTGATACCATTTTGTCCACCATGGCACTGCGAAACTGAGCTAATGACATGAGCCATAAATAGTGATTTTACTTTGGGTTCAAAGGGGATCGCTGCTGACGACCGCGCAGGTGATGATGCTCCAGAATCGTTATGATTCACCGCTTGATGTGCCGCATCCGTATTTGAATCAATCAAAGGATATGCCCACCTTGACCCCCAGGCCTGAAGATGGGTCCGGATCTCATTGGATAGTTCTTCTGCTGAATCGATAGACTCAGGGGTACTCTTTTTGGCCGCTGGCTTTGGTGAGAGGAAGTTGTCCGAGGTAAAGACCAGGATATGGAAAATACCTGGACCAGGCATCAACTCGTGAAGTCGCACAACCACGCCTTCCACCGGCGCGTACCCCAGATCCTGTTTCTCGATGACCTGTAAATCACCATCGCGAGCTCTCTGACCTACTTGGAAGTCCTCGGAGACAGATATCTGTGACTTTGAACGTTGGTTGATGGCATTTTCGTGGTACCTAATCTTCAGCTGTTAAAGACGCGAGAAAAATAAAAAAATGAATAAAAGCGACTGTTAATGCCACGTATCGTAGTAGATAAGAGGGAATAAAGGTAAAAGTCGACAATGGTCTGTTTGGTATACCATAGGAACCGGATTATTGTCGGGAGAGAGAGTAGTGAGATAAGGAGCAACGTATGGAGCTATAGTAAATGCAATATTCCTGATAGTTCTCGTAATAAAATCGTTGCCCATGGCCATCCCAATCATGCTGTGTGACAGCTTGATGATTCCATCTGCTACAGGCTGATATCATAAAAGAGAGAAGAAATAAAACGAGACCAATGCCATAAATTAGAACACTGGACAAAGGCACCCATGGCCTTTTTTTTTTTTTTTTTTTTTGCTTCTTACTTTGCGCTCAATTTCATAAGTTTCAAGGATATTTTCAGGTGCATTTCCATGGAAAACGAGGGCCATCTTCCATGCCAGATTGAAAGAGTCTTGAAGCCCCAAATTCATTCCTAACAGAGATCAGCAATGTGAGTACACACACACCATATTCAGATTCATTAGAGAGTTAAAAAATGGGAGGATTTGTCACAAGCAAACAAAAAAGTATAAATCGAGTACCTTGGCCACCAGCGGGAGAATGCACATGAGCAGCGTCCCCAACTAAAAAAACCCTGTTCTTGTACGCAAAATGCTCTGCCTGCCTCTCATTGACGCGGTAGTATGTCAACCAACTGCTATCGAGACACTTGAGTTTCGCAGGTGCAACACAAGCTGATACCAATTCCTGGAACTTTTCCAATGTCGGCTCCTCAGATTTGAGCGCAGCATGTTGTTCTGGAGTCAAGGTGCCGTTATCGAGTATGATACGGATTTGTCCATCCAGCAGTGGGAACGCTGCCATAATATGATTATTTGCACCATTCACAACACTGACGTATATAAGTTGGTAAATAATTGTATAAAACAGATAATGCACTCAGATCACATTTTACAATAAAATATTTTTCCCACACCTACTTTCATATACTCTTTTTTTCTGGTTCAACTTACGTAATGTTCTCAAAGGGAAAGTCCGACTCAACATTTCCATCATAAATGAGAATGTTGTTATCCAGGGTTATTCCTGGAAATGGGATGTTCAACTTGTGGCGCACTACAGATCTGCCGCCATCGGAGGCAATCAGGTACTGAGATCGTACGATTTGGACTTCATACTGCTTGCCTACCTCCTCTGGATCTTCTTCAACTACGCCCAACACTTTGTTCTCTGTCTCCCGAATGTTGGTTCCGGTCAAGGCTCGACGGATCTTTGTCTCGACCCATGATCGAGTCTTGTCTTCCGGATCTTCCACAACTTTTGTGTCCATCAATTCCCATCCTCGATCGACTTTCATCCCCAAGGATTCCAATTCCTCTGTTAGAATATTGGTCGTTTTGAGCTGCTCTAAAAACAATCCAAAGCCGTAATGAGATTCCTTAGTGGTGAGTGCGGGGATGATTGCGACAGGCTTGGCTCCATTATAAGCATGGAACTCGGATACACGCTTTCCTTGAGCTAGGAACCTGTCTAGGATACCACACATCGCAAAGTTCTCCATCGTCCGTGAATGGACCACGAGAGCCTTGGAGAGAGGGGAGACTTTAAGGTGGCGCTCGACCACTCGACATGGGACATTTAATTTTGTAAGCAGAATGGCTGCAAAAAGACCAGCAGGACCAGCACCAGAAATGAGGACTGGAATATCGATATGGGGCGGAGGGGAAGACATGAGTGGAGTCAATATAGCGATGGATATTTTAAGTATGTATAGATATTGTATTTCCTTTTTACTTTAACTTTTTGGATGTGAGTTGAGTAGTTTAAAGATCGGAAGAAGGGGAAAAGAAGTGAAATTTATATGTTGCAAGAGCTACCACAAGACTTTGGTCCGTGTGCAGAGCTTTTTTTTTTTTTTTTTTCACTTTCTTTTCTAAGTCTCTGACAATTCTTCCGGAGGGTCAGACAATGATTTATGCTTTCCGTCGTCGTGCGTTCATGTATTGCGTGGCCCCACCGCGCGCGCAGTCGATCTCTTTTTCAATAATATTTTATATTATGCATCTTTGAAACATTACGATAAAAAAATAAAATGCTTAACGTGAACATGGTTCTGTGACAGGCTTATTTCCAACGGTTGTATCTTTTCCCGCCTGTCGACTTTGGTTTTACATGCATGTAAAATTTTCCGTTGTCTCACCATCTACTTTGGAGTGCTCACAAACCCTTTGGTCCCTTGATTTTCCATCGTCATCTGCTTCTGCGCAGCCTTTTCTTCCTTACCTTACAAGGCTTCCGAGCTTATGCAGGTTTACCTACATGTAGATTGTTAAACCATAGTATCCACTCTTCACTCCCCTAACTTCCTCATCTTTGGAAGGCACAATATATTCCACATCGCCTCTCTATTGCTTGTAATACTTCATTTATTTCTCAATTTAACGCTAATACTCGTAAGATGAATCTAGGGACAAGCATCAAAGATTGACTTCAAGTACTGATCCACATCCATCCATGCAGATTCATTCGTACCCAGCACTCTGTACCCTACATGTGAATCTGGACGGATGACCACGATGGCTCCAGAGCCCGTCTTCACGGGAACCCCATATCGCTCATGCACAATTCTCAAATGATCAAAATACAGCCTGCCCTTGCCTGGTTCCTTATTGGCTAGAGAATCAGCACGAATTTTGGAAGGATCTTTGAAATCAGGCCCAGAGATGGTCTCTGCCAGAGCGCTAATCACATGCACATTAAACATGGGTCGCTTGCTCTTCGTTTGCCTTTCTGTCAATTCTGTTTGAGATGATGTACTAAAATGAACAGCTCCATAAGCCCATTTGGAAGCCCATTCTCGAAGGTAGTACTCCAGATTTTTCCTCAGCTGAGATTCGGTTGTGAAGGCAATGCCCTGATGATCCGCTTGTTTTGATGTTGAGGCAGTGGTCCTGAGCATATCAGAAGTAAAGACCAGGATATGGAAGGTGCCTGGCCCATGGATCAGTTGGTGCAGGCGTACAGTTTCCTGGCTTGTCTGACCACCAGGCAATACCCTGAGCAAAGGGCCATCATGAGCACGCTGGCCCACTTGATACTCTTCAGCTGGCTTGCGCTGGGTCTTGTGAGGCTGGTTAATAGCGTTCTCATTATACCTGATGGACAACTTTATACATATTTATATATTCAAAGGAAATGGGTCATGAGTAAACATGTTGTGAACATTTCAAGCTTTTCTTGTTGTATCTTTCTTTTATATAAACGGACATCTTACCATAGAAACAGTAGCCGCTGGGACAGCAATAAAGCGAAGAAGAAAAGATGCAAATGTAGTTACGCTCTTACGAATAATTCTGTGATAGAGCTTCTGCGAGAATCCAGTCGCAAACATCCTAGAGGACATGTTGATCACATCCCTTGCGACAGGAATACGCTCCTCTCCGTAAGTTTCAAGTATCTTAGGAGTAGAAAGCTTATTCAAGACCAATGCCAACTTCCAAGTCAAATTGTAGGCATCTAAAAAGAGAAATAGCGTTAAAGGTTAAAAAAAATTACTATTCCGTCATTGCGTCTTAAAAAATAATCCCTGATCTTGCCTAATTGCTTTATTTTGTTTATACCTTGTAGCCCCAAATTCATGCCTTGTCCTCCAGCAGGTGAATGCACATGAGCAGCATCGCCCGCCAAAAAGATCCTGTTCTTGTAGGAGTATGAAGCTGCTTGACGCTCGTTTACTCTGTAAAACGTCAACCAGCTACTGCCCTTGATCTTGAACTTGTAAGGGTCAGCTGTAGCCTGTGCAATCTTTTCGAGGTCCTCGTTTGTGGGCCGCTTGGTTCGATCAAGATGGCTGGCATCTACCATGATACGAACATTCCCAGTACTCAATGGGAATATGTTCATTGTCTGATTATTTTTACCATTGATCACGCTATACAAAAATATCATGTTAGAACAACATCACCGAGAACAATATTTGTCAACTGATTTTCAAAAAGAAATGTCTGTCAGACTTACGTGATATCACCTAACTCTAGATCCGTTTCAATATCGCCATCAAAGAGAATAATATTATTTTCAAGTGTCCTTCCTGGAAATGGGATGCTAAGCTTATGTCGGACCACTGATTTACCACCATCTGCTGCTATCAAATACTGAGATCGGACTACTTCAATCTCATACTTTTTGCCAGCTTGCTCTGCGTCCAGTTCTATTTCTCCCAAGACCTTACTCTCTGTTGACCTGATATTGCTGCCATCCAAAGCTCTTCGAATAATGGTTTCTACCCAAGTCTGACCACTAGCCTGGTCTTCTATTACTTTAGTATCCATGAGTTCCCAGCCTCGATCGACCTTGCCGCCATGAGCCTCTAGTTCTCCATTCAGGATTGCTGTTGTCTTGGCCTGTTCCTGGAATAGTGCGTAGTTGTAATGTGAGATACTGTTGGCCAAACCTGGGAAGACTGAATGAACCCCATTAAAATAAACATTAAAAATCGAGAGAGGATGGCCTTGGGCCAAGAAACGGTCAATTAGACCTGTCTGATCCATGATTTCGAGCGTGCGTGCATGAAGTGATAGGGCCTTAGACATAGGTGAGACTTCGAGTTCACGTTCGATTAGTCTACAGGGTATTCCAAGCCGGGTGAGCATAATGGCCGCCAGAGTTCCCACGGGTCCTGCACCGCTGATGAGAACTGGAGTTTCTGATGTCCTGGAAGGCTTTGTCGTTTCGGTAGTCATGACTAGTTTCCTTATTGGCTGTTGGAAGGATTGGATTTTCTTTTTTGTTTTCTTTTTTCTTTCTCTTTCTCTTTTTTTTTTTACCGTTTTATATCCTTTTCATAAAGCGAAGTGATGAAGAGGATGTAAACAAAAAATAAAAGGAGCATTCTACATAGAAAAAAAAAGAAAGAAAAGATCGGACTAAAAGCGGCGTGAGATTGTCACTCACAAATCATAATATCTCCAAATGCGTGGGCATAAAGTGCCTATGGTTCTCTAGAGGAGCTTTTATGTGTGTATATATGCGCAGTAGGACGGACAACACTGAAAAAGGGAATGTTTCCGACAAGCTTAATTTAAAATAGAGGATCACTCACTTCTTCCTCTCCCTGTGTTTGAACAATAGCGTCAATAGCGAGGAGGCTCCATAGATATTGCAACTCGTAGTGCATGAGCATTACGTATTATACTTATTGAAGCATGTGTATTTCTTATGGCTGAGTTCGTTTGACAGGAATTTAGGAATCTCCCGATGACATTCTCTTGCGCATCCTAAATGTCATTCTGCTTGACTACATGAGGAGGGCCAAAAAAAAAAAAAAAAAACAAAGACTGAATACGTTCGATTTATTGCTATTTCTTCCAGGTGCCTGAATTGTTTTCCTTCTCAAGAACAGGGTAAAAATATTATAACGGTAGCTTTCTAAGACTTCATAGACACAAAGCCGGTTTGCACAACTGTTCCCTAATAAAGAGGGATGTTCTTTAGTTCTTTATGAATGAGCATCTACAATCCGCTCACCATATTTTATGTGTCTCTAGCATGGGAACAAAATCGCATAGCCGCATCGGAGTAAGGATGATCAACGCCACTGATCCAACCGTTGGGACTTCTCTTAGTCAAACCTTGCACATATGTTTAGAAGAGTGGAAATGTCGATCTATCAAAGCCGACGCATTATGCATTTATGTTTTAATCAGAGCTTGGTATTTATGTGATGGTCATGATGGATGCTACTTAGATGCGGCTGTGGCCACGAGTGCTGCTGCGAAACTTGTTATCATTCTTGAGATGGTCAAGCTGTAAATATGAATATTAGGATAGTTTGTAATACCGTAAAGTAAAGCTGAGAGTAGGATGATAAAAATGAGGCGAGAACATGAACAAGAAAAGAGGCCGAGCCTCAGCAGCATGGATTTATTATACTTGGTTCACGGCAACCAGAATAGATAATTGCTTTGGTTGCTTCAGTTGCTTCAGTTGTCAGGATATGGCTGCTTAATATCTTCATTTCACTTTGTGAAAAAAAAAAAAAAAAAAAAACTCGATAGACTATGAAATGCCCGAGTTCGTCCGTTGAAGCATGGAGACTCCAACCAAAGCATGTCTTGCAAGGAAGCGTCTCCACTCCTCTACTACTTTCCACCATCTTCTTGAGCGACCTGTCTACTAGAGTCTTCTTAATCCACTTTTATTCTGTCAGATAACGAATGGGTAGGAAAAGGTATGGTGAGTATTTGGAAAGCATTCTTTGTCCTACGTTCATGCATTCTCTAATTAACAAAGAATTAATAGTCCACTAATTCATTCCAAGGTATTTAATAGATCTATGAAGTCAAAGTGAAGCCCACAATTGTAACTAAATACCAATTAATGTAAAACTGGCTGTACTCTCTCCAAAACAATATATATAATACACCGCTTTTTTTGTCTTAGAGAGGGAAGATCTTTTTTTTTTATTGTACATATGCTACAAAAGTTCGCGCCATATGGAATCAAAATATTCATGGCTCGACCAGTTTTTCTTTTTTTTTTTTTTTTGCTGAAGTTACGTTCTCCTCTTTAGACAATGCGCTCAATATCGCCCTCGAATTCGTTGGCATGGCCTTTTGTCTGGAGCTCGCGATCACCAGTAGCGGATCCGACAACTTGCTGGGCACGGCCCTTAATTTGATCGCCGAGGCCTTCAGCATGAGTCTTAGCTTGTGCAGCAGCTTGGGCAGTATCGGCCTGGGTCTTCTGGGCAGCTCCTGAGGCAGCAAGGTTTGGGTTGCCAATGGTCTCGCCAATAGCTTGCTTGGCACCTCCAATAGTGGAGTTGGCGGCGTTGGAGAGACGGTCAGACATGTTGGACATATTGAAGTTTTTTTTGCGTGGTGAGTTGTTGTTTGTTGTTTGTTGTTTGTTGTTTGTTATTGTTATTTGATGTTGTTATGAGTTGGAGTAGAAAGTCTTGAGGAAAGCCTTTATATACTTTTTTTTTTGCACAGGGACATTGATCATCATGACCTCACCATGATTAGTTTTTTTTTTTTTTTTCAAATTTTAAAAATGGGTCTGTGATTCGAGGATCATCTTGAAATAATGGCATAGTGAGGGGGCCAATGGTATCCCAAAATAATTTTAATAGTAATTTTATAATGACATCATTGGTTTACAGGGGACAATGGGAACCATCTTCTCTCACTCACTTGCAATAATAGATCATAGGTTCTCATGTCTGCGCTTCACATTTCTATGTCATATGAGATTATGCCAATCCTTATATTTCACTAATCATATCGCGTAAATTGTCTGACTAAATGAACAAATCTACCTGTCACAGCCCGCTTGTTCTCAAGTCCAGCATGACTTCCTTCCGCCTTTTCCTCACGCCTACGCGCGCCAAATGGCATCTGAGACTTTGATCACATCTCGAATCTCCTTGACATCATGTACTCGAACGATACTGGCACCGCCAGCTACAGATGCTGTGCAAGCGGCTGCAGTGCCATATGTACGCTTCGTTGCGTCTTTCTGTTGTGTCAAGTGTCCAATAAAGGCCTTTCGGGAGGGTCCAACTAAGCAAGGATAGCCTGCCAAAGGGCTTGAAGGATCTTGGATCATCTCAGGTAAACGACGCAACACCTGCAAGTTTTGATCACTATCTTTTGCAAATCCAATACCAGGGTCCACAATGATATTCCAACGATGGAGGCCTGCTGCAATCGCTCCCTCGATCGACTTGTTCAATTCTCGAGAGATCTCTCCTACCACATCATTCTTTTCCCCATAATCTGTCTGAGACATCATGGTCTTGGAGTCCCCACGCATATGCATCAGGCATACTGGTACCTGCCATTTGGCCATCACGCTGTACATCATGGGATCTCGACGACCTGCAGAGACATCGTTAATTAAATCTGCTCCAGCCTCGATCGCCTTGTCGGCTACACTAGCTCGGAATGTATCCACAGAGATAGGTGTCTTGAATCCGCGGGAACGAAGCAGTAAGATCACAGGAACTACTCGTTCAATCTCTTCTTCTTCTGAAATTTCTGGAGCATTTGGACGAGTCGACATTCCACCGATATCAATGATATCTGCACCATCGTCTACTAGCTGCTGTGCACGAAGAGCTGCTGCTTCAGGGGTGCTGTAGTTGCCACCATCACTGAAGCTATCTGGAGTTGTATTTAAAATACCCATAATCAGCGTCTTTGCATCCCAATGTACAATATTCCCACGCAAAGGAATTGATTTATGGATGATATCGCTCTTGGTAATAGCAGACTTGTTCTCTTGTTGCTTGAGTAGCAACTGTGACAACAGTTGATTGATATGGCGATACAATTTGGGATGTTCCACATCCTTGGCAATGCTTTTTTTTTACAAAAAAAAAAAAAATATAAAATAAAAAATAAAGTTTCAATATCAAGTAGTAAAATGCCGCATGAAACACATGAATCATGAAATAGCTGCAATTAACATGTAACTTACTCGCAAAGTGGTCGAAGTACAAACTCGCGCTCCTGCATGGCCGCATGAGGGATGGTCAAGACATCATCATGATACTCAATATGGTCATACAACAAGATATCAATATCGACTGGACGAGGTCCATTTCGAATCGTGTTAAAGTCTCGACCCATCTCCGTCTCGATCTCCTTGATCTTCTTCAATAGATCCAACGGCTTCAAATCCGTCATAATCTTACAAGCTGCGTTCAAGAACGATGGTTGATCTGTCACATACATAGGTGGAGTCTCATACAAGAACGAGGTATCCACAACACGCACATGTTCACCTTGCTCTAGTTTTCGAAGTGCATTTGTCAAATTAGCTGCGGAATCTCCCAAATTGGATCCCAAAGCCAGGTAGACTACATGAGTTAGATGAGCCGGAACAGGTCCACGGGCCTCAACCTTGAGGCCTACACCCAATGTAGCTAAACCAGGGATGGCTGAGGTATGGGAAGCACGTCTTGCATGAGTCCTCGCTGCCTGGGATGCATTGGCAAAGAAGGCGCGATCGCGTGTAATTTCCACACCTGCGGAACCAGCAAACACGATTGCACTGGGTTTCTCCACCTTGACTGTGATCTTACTCACATGGCACTTCTCAATCGCAATCCTGGCCACAGAAGTCACGAAGGCCTCTACGGTCTTATAAGCAGAAGCCTCAATGTATTTTGTGATCGTTCTCACAATTGTACGGTAGTTGTGTGTCTTTGAGACATAATCTGCCTTACGATCCGAGGTATCGTCGAATCCTGGATAAATCTTCAAATTCACCACGACGACTTGCTCCTCTTCACGTTCCCAAGGGTTCACGCCGATAATACAGGACAACTTTAAATCCTTGACAAAGATAATGTCCTCATGATTAAATCGGAGAGGACTAATGGCTGTCCCAGCAAGCTGCTCCTCTGTGTAATCTGAGCGGGATCGAGTGATTTCAACACCTGCAGAGGCTGCATGCAACAAAGCGCGAGGCTTATCAATCCGAATCGTGAGTTTAGGTGCGTGACATTTAGTGATAACGACGCGGGCAATTGAGTCTGCCAAGGCTTCGACAGAGCGGAACTCGGTCTTTTCGGAATGCGCCTCCACCGTCTTGCAGAGAACACCATAGTGAATTGAGTAGGGCTAATTGTATCACAAAAAAAAAAAAAAAGTTTTACATTAGTACTGTTCTCTTGAATAAAACAAAAAAAAAAAAGTAGTAGACGATGATGGGCAACTTGTTGGATATTTACCAAGTGATCTGTATCTCCAGCCTGTGATACACTGGTGTAAACGACGATGTTAATGATGATAGGTTGGCGCTTAGAGCGTTCCCAGGCATCGACTCCGATAATGTTCCGGACAGTAAGGTCGCGAATGCAGATCTTGTCTGTCATGGGGAGGTCAACGATGGCCTCATTGCTTTTCTGATGCTGATCCATGAGATGCTAGGTCTATTCTGGTGTAATAACAGCAAATAAATACTTGAACTCAAATTTTTTTTTTTGTCCTCAGTCTTGACCCACGATTTTTTTTAATCTTTTTTTTTTTTGTAAAGCTCCCTCTGATCCTCTTGGAATATTAGTCCTGAGCTTCAAAAGTGATTTTTTTTTTTTTTTTTTTTTAGTCAAGGAAGGAAAAGAGGAGGATCAATGTCTTTTTTTTCACTTTAGCCTTGTACCCTCTTGACAGCTTGTCTGTGGGTGACTGTTTGACTTTTTTCATTTATTTCTCATGCGCACATACGATGATTGGCCGATGCGTCTTTCATACTCTATGGCTCCAACGAAAGGAGTCATCTTGTGTCGTCTTTGTCAAAACGAAAAGTTGAGCTTTGGAGGCTTATTTTTTAGTCGAAATGGTTATTTAGTATTTATACAACCATGGTCGGGTTTAATCTCATAAAACTATACAACCAGGGCCAAAAACCCAGGCTCAATTGCTCTTCCGCGTACCCCAGTCACCTACTATCCTCATAGATTCTTGATCACCCTTCGTCAGTCGCTCGTCTGCTAGTAGGCCTCCAAGACATTCCCAGGGGTCCTTACCTCCGCCCCATTTGAGGACATGTTCCCGCAGCCTCTCTCCAGCTTTCCTTGACGTTGGTGACGATCTGAATACTTTATTCCATATTTGGCCTGTTACGGTCCTTCCAAGTAAATACGAATAATACCCAGCTCCATACCCATACAAATGCCCAAATCCTGTCTGCCAGGCAGTCCCTGGTACCGGCGGTACTACTCCAATAGCCCTCTGTAAGTCTTCCAAACTTTTTGTCGAATTAAATGAAGCCTCGCCAACGATCGGTGAGTAGTACAGTTGATCTAGCATGGCCATCGACATTTGAGAATGCAACTCAATGGCCTGGAAGGTCGACCTATTAGCCTGGTGAGCCATCAATAGTCCTGCTGGTAAGGGTGCCCCTGTCTGATGATGAGTTGCAAATAGTCCTAGGACTGCAGGATCTGCCAAAAAGTGCTCCATCAAGATCGATGGGATCTCTACAAAATCGATTGGACACCTTGTTCCGGCCACATTATGGTAGTCTGCTCTTCCAATCATGGCTAGACCATAGTATTATTGATAATAATAATAGAACATCAGTAACGATATACAACCTTGGGTAATCCAAATATTACAAGAGAATAATTAGAACTTACAGTGCATAGCGTGTCCCATCTCATGAAAGAGCGTTTCGACCTCCACCCAGCTTAGCAATGCTGGTTTACCTCCTGCAGGTCTAGAAAATCCACAAGATAACACAGCCAGTGGAAGTTGGTACCGTCCTTCTTTACCAACCATACGAACACCAGGATCCGCCATTGCAAGCTCGATTCCTTCACGCAACACCATTCCCTCTGCAATATCATGTTCTTCATCATCATCATCCACTCGCCGTGAACAGCGTACGGTATAATGGGCAGCATTCAACTGTTTACTCGAACGTCCGTATAGATCGCAGTAGATGGTTCCAATAAGTCCCTCATGCTCGTCCACCACATCCAATTTCTGAACATCATCATGCCACGTCTCTCCTGGCTGGACGGTCCCGGGCACAAACTTGATCCCATAAAGACGTGAAAAGAGCGTTGACAGACCATCCATCGTTGTTCCTACTGAAAAATAAGCTGAGATAGGGTCTCCATGAGGCATTGTATTCGTCCTGCTGCTCACCAAACGAATATAGAAATCCCTGTCCCATGCCATCAGCTTAGCATCTTTATCCTTTGTATGCATCTTCTTCGCCTTTTCCAACATCATCAATTCTCCATCCACCTCTGCTTGGTGACTTTTGCGCAACGTCTGCAAGAATGCACTCACGTTCTCAGGGTTTTTAACCATTTTGTCACCTAGAAACATATGTCCATAACTGGGTAAGCCCACTAGTTGTGCCAATTGATATCGTGTCGTCAGTAAATCATCCAAGACGGCCACTTTGGCCTTATCCTCCGCCATACTAGCCACATACATGTCTCGACGGACTTTCTCATCCTCCACATGCTTCAACACCATCTGTGATTCCCATCCTGTGGTTGGCACGATGGCCACTTTTTCGCCATGTTTATTCGTCCTCGTGATCCGTTGAATATAACTCGGTGCAAGTCCCTGGAGACGCGAAGGTGGACTGACGGGGATAAAAGCCGGTCCTGGACCAGGTGTCGATGAATTCTGCATGAAATCCCTGCCTAACCCTACAATCTTATCCGAGAGCAAAACAAATTGTGCACGCTTTGCATCCGAAAGATGAATACCGGACTTTTCAAAATCGCGTAGAAACACAACCGCCACCTGTCGTTCTGCCTCCGAAAGTCCTTCTGCGATGCTTGGGGTATTCAAAACTTTATGGAGAACCTAAATGAAAAGGTTGTTGGTTTTTTTTAAAATTACGCATATATTTCAGAAGAGCAAAAAAATAAAAATAAAAAAAAAAAGAATGAAGCATAGAGAAACCTACATTGTATAGTCTTGGATCCGTGTTGAGGGTATTCATCCATGAAAAGAGTTCCTCATAGACAGTCTCTGCTCCTTGACGCCATGCATTATCAGGGTGGAGACACCGTACTACCTCTGCTGCATCAATCACCTTACAGAGCACGTCACTCAGTCGGTCGAATAACTTGATCACCTTTCGCATCTCATGTTCACCTCGTTCAGGTGCATTTGCAATCCTCTCCACTAACAAATGACCTCGCGCAATCGCTGCATTCACTGAATCCAAAAAAGTTTGAGGTGTTTTCAAATTCGGATACAAAAACAAGCCCTCTGGTGCAGAGGCTGAGGCATGTTTGGACCGTGAACTTGACACTGCTGGACTATCGAACAACTCACGGAGTGATGGTGTCGTTGTGGTCATCAATGCTGCTGCTAGGTTATCATTGAGTAGTCGTGGTGCCACTGCTGCTGCCGAACTTTGCGTTTGCGTGTTTACTCCAGACGCAGGGCGAGCGTGGGTCGTAAGAAAGGAGGCGCCCGCACGTCGTGGTATTGACCGTATTGTCCTAGGACAAGTTCTATAGAATGTACTCCATGTTCTAGCATTATTGCAGAGAATGCGGCCTAGTGCAGCCGACATTGCTAATTCCGAATTTGAATTGTGTTTGTGTTTGTTCGTTATAAAAATAAAAGACCAGTCAAAAAGTAAATAAAATGGGTTTCTTTTATGCAGCACATGAGCTCATCAATAGGTCAGCCAGCATAAATTCATACACCAAGAAGTGGAGAAAAAGAAAGTTTATTTTCATTCATTTATCGTGTGATGATGCACCAGAAGGCTTGTTTCTTCATGCTGATACACGATATTGCAGACCATTGACCTCCGGTTCAAGCAATTGGCTGCACATTGCTGCTTCAATCTCTTTAGCTTGCAGTTCTGCTTCTTGTTGTGTTGATGAGGAGACCTCCAGATAATACTTGATTTTGGGTTCTGTTCCGCTCGTGCGCAGCGTGAACACGCATCCATTCTCGAGATAGAATGTAATCATTTGTGCTGAAGGAGAGACAGGCAATGTTGGGACACCGTCCTTCTTTGAGGTGTCGTAGCCCAGAGTTAGATCACGCACATTTGTCACCTTGTGAGGTCCGATGTGAGTAGGATATGTGGGTTTGTGAGAGAATCGACCTGTTTCATCATTCTGCGGCGAAGCGCCAAATCGCATTTTGTTGAAGATCCTGTCAATCGTCTCTTTCTCATAGCAAATAAAGTAAGAGTTGGCAGACACAAAATAGCCATACTTCTTATAGAGGCTGTCAAGGTAGCCTGAGATCTTTACTCCTTTCTTATAAAGCGCAGCGGTCATCTGAGCAAAGCATCCTAAAGCACTAACACCATCCTTGTCGCGGACAATATCCCCCAACATGAACCCAATAGCCTCCTCATATCCAAAGATGACATTGTAACCTTCCTTCTCCAGGTCGATGGCTCTGTTACCAATCCACTTGAATCCAGTGAGAGTATCTTCCCAATGGATGCCCTCAGTCTTTGAAACTTTGGCCAACATATTGGAAGAGACTGTTGAGCAAAGCATTGCAACCTTGGCTATAGGAAGGACATGCGGACAAAAATAAAATTATAATCATTAGTCATCCTGTAGCATGTAGCGTTCTCAAACAACCCTGTTTGAAGAAGATGAAGTTGAAGTTGAAGAAAAAAAAAATACCATCACTCTTGCCAGATGATCGCCAATTTTCGAGAGCATTGCATGCAAACATAGTTCCGATCTGATTGCCAGTAAATAAGATCCATTCTCCATTGTCCTGCTTCTCTGCCACCGTGAATCTATCCGCATCGGGATCATTTGCAAACACGACTGTAGCTCCAACTTCATCAGCGGTCTTGAATGCCAATGCAAGTGCTCCTTTTCCTTCTTCTGGGTTAGGGAAAACAACTGTAGGGAACTCTGGGTCCGGCTCAATCTGCTCCTTCGTTGGGATCAAAGGCTTAAATCCGAAACGTTCAAAGACTTGCTTTGCAAATGGGTAACCGACTCCATGCATCGCAGTGTATACAAACTTAGTGTCGGATGCTGCATTATCTTCTTTGGCAATGCATAGCTTCTCAACCTGGTCAAAGTAGGCAGGAACAAGCTTATCTGTAGGGTCAATAAGTGCTGGGTTTTCAAAGGATTTGTAGTCCCAAACCCAGGGATCCAAGTTATCGAGGATCATCTTGGCAATACCCTCGTCATGAGGAGGAATAATCTGGCATGCATTTCCCCAATAAACCTTGTATCCGTTGTCCTTCTTGGGGTTGTGCGAAGCAGTAATCATGATACCGCAAGCAGCATTCAATGATTTGACACCAAAGGGCACCATAGGTGTGTGGACTAGATCCTTATACGCATAAACCTTGACGCCCTTGGAGAGGAACACACCAGCTGTGAGGCGGGCGAAGTCGTTGGAGTGATGACGATGGTCATGACCAATGACAACACCACGCTCCTTTGCATCCTTAACATGCTCCAATACATATAGACACAATCCCTGTGAGGCCTGGATGACAGTCAGGTCGTTCATGCGAGAGAACCCTGCTTCCATTGAAGCACGTAAACCTATTGTTTGACAAGATATGAGGAGATTAGAGATGAATTAGTTAAAACATAAAATTCCCTTGAGGAATCTGCCTCTTCTTTAAAGTTGCAAACGCAAGGACATCATACCAGCAGTGCCAAATTCGATGTGGTTTCGAAGACGAGCCTCCAACTCTGCATTGTTGTTGGTCTCAAGTAAAGTCGAAATCTCCTTGCGGGTCTCTGGATTCTAACATTAGAATGTTCATGAAATTGTCCATTAAAAAAAAAGTTTAAGGGACGGCATTATAGCCTCCATGAACAATCAAGACTGAAACATCCTGATGCTGTACCTGATCAAGACGCAACCATTCCTGTGCGAGTTCAGTGATGGAAATCCTGGATGCCATGAATGTTTTTTTTTTTTTTTTTTTTTTTTTTTTCTTTTTTACTTTTTGCGAAGGCGAATGGAAAGAAGTTTAGAAATGTGAAATAGATAAGGCGGTTGAGAGAGAAAGAGAGAATAGAGATCACTCCCCCTTTATTTGTCTCTCCTGTCTGTGTGCGCTATTTTCGCACGCTACTTCATTAGTCTATGGATAGTCCATTTCCCATCACGCCTCAGTCCCTGGTTCTGTTCAAGTGCCGAGTGAATACCCTGAAATGGCAAAAAAAAAAAAAAAAAAGTGGGTCCAAATTTGCGGGGACATGTCGTTCTTACAACCGATATTTGGAATACCCCTCCATAGTCCTAAAAATGGCGGTGCCTACCTGAATTGAATATTTCAGAAAGAGCCATTTTATTTTATTTTATTTTATTATATTTTATTAAAAAAGTTTATTTTATGTGTATTCTTTTTTTACTCTATTACATACGCTCTACAAGACGGAAGCCAGCAAAGACAAATGGGTAGTTGGACTGATACCAGTTTCTGAAGCTACGGCGTTCTGCGACCCTTGGATGGGTTGCCCAAGATGCACCGAGAACGGCCATATGCTTCTCATCAAAAAAGTCGCTTGAATATCCAGGATACAGCTTGGAGGTCTCAAATGCATCTCGTTCTACCAATGGAGCAAAAGGTGTGCAAGTCCAGTCCCATAAGGCTCCAGGGCCACTGAAGTCAGCAATGGTTGCAGTTCCAGTAGAGATAGATGACTTCTGTTCATTTGGCGCTGGATACCATTGACGGAATCCATAGTTTCCAAGACCGGTCCTAGGAGCAGTTGATTGCTTCAGTTTCAGGGCGATGGAGAGCTCATGCTCTGTAGGAAGTCCGTAATTTTGAGCACGTTGTTCAGAAAGCCATGCAATGTAACCCTTAGCCTGAATTTGAGAGCATGACACAGGCCAATCTCCTGCTACAGACATGGGTGCGGGTCCATAAACGGTCTTAATGAAAATGTCATCCTTGATTAGCCAGGAAGCCGGAATCCGATCATCCTTCTTAAATTTGATGGAGTCATCACTTGTTGCTTGTAAATATGTCAGATACTCCGTATTAGTCACTTGACGAGACTGGATCTTAAAAGTTGGTGGTGGTGTTCTAGTCGTGACCAAGGGATGTTCGTTGTCCCAGCCGAATTCAGACTGAAGATCGCTCTTCTTTGACCCAAAATCTTCTGCTTCTGAATCATCATGACCAAGTGTGAGGATAGCCTTATCCAGCTGAGAAGGATCAATAGTAATCCAAGAAGCAACAGGGGCCTGTGAAGGATTTGTAGCGTTGGTAGTAGATGCCTTGGTAGTTGACCAAGACGCAGGAAGTGATGGAGGAGGGAGAGTGTTGGGTGATTGAACCAACATGTACATAAGGGTTTCTAAGTGCATTACTTCATGCTCAAACGCCATGAACAACACACGGGCTAGCCGGCGGGTCATGGGATACTTCTCCTTGTTGTCCATAACTGCAAACAGTCGTTTCCGGACGCGATCGCGGAAATCAATGATGGACTCGATTTCAGGCCAGGTATCTGGCACTTCTGAATGGGCATGGCATTTGGTAGGATCATCCACATCAGGATCAATGCCTCTCTCAAAGATCAAATTGAAATACTTGGGCTCAGAATATTCTTCATTAAGCACCCTCGAGAGCTGAGTGTCCAGAAAGACAGGGATGTGACCCAAGTAGAAAAGGAAGGGATGACGCAGCGCAATGGGTTTCTCCAAGAGCATCGATGGATGTTGGATCATCGACATGGTGATCAAATCCCAGGACTTCCAGAGCTCAGTCCATTCCTGCTGCGAAGGGCATGCAGGTGATGACTCTGATGTCGCCTTGAAATAGAATGGGGTCTTGCGGACAATATGAAGATCATATCGATTACTGGGACTCGTGAACTGGGCAATCCTGGTCATCTCAGTCTGTTCAAAAAGCTCTGTCGTCTCTGCAAGGGACCATTTGTACGAATATTCTACATTGATAAGCTCATCTTTTACAAGTGGAATACGACTTTGTCTTTCCATACCCGACTCCGTCGTCTCTTTGTAAACGAGCTCGTGGGCCTCTTTCACTTGATAGTAAGCCTCATGACGACCGAGCTCGGCATTATACTGAGCGAAATATTGGAACTTGTTGCGGTCGATAAAGTCCTGCTTCAGTATGACGTTGATATGGTCCAGGCCATTCATTATAAAATCGCGGGTAACACCCTTCGGGTCATTGTATGCGATAGTGATTTCTTGCGGATCATTACGACGATCGATCCCAATGATCCAGTTATCACCAACATTGAGCGTCTTGCGATAGGAAGTAATAAACTCTTGTGCCTCTACCCGGGTCAGATTGCCAATAGATGAGCCTAGCCAGACAAGTGTTTTAGGAACGTCTGATCCGAAGGAACTAACAAAGGCCAGACCTTCTTCGTAGGTACCCCATAGGCCTGCGGTCTTGACATTGACGAAATTACCGAGAGATTTGAGCGACTAGTAAGAAAATACAGGAGACGGACAAACAGAAATGTTTGTAAGTTAGGGTCAATCTGGGATATCCAAATATTGACATAAACTTTATAAACTCAGGCAATTATGCAAACTGTGGTTGAAGTGTCCCATCCATGCTTGAATGCTCACAGAGGTGCATTCACACACATGCACCGCAAAATAGGTGTCAAAAGAGACCCGAGTGCATAGGAGAAAGATGGTTCATGGCCTCAGTAACACGCATAGAAGGCCAAGAAGGATTGGTTTCAGTCTGGAATACGTGCGAAAAATGGAAATATAATTTTAAAAAAAAAAAAAAAAAAAAAAAAAAAAAACGGGGCCAGTGCCTAGTCCCACGTTCGCTTCAAAGCACTGTTGCTGGCCCATATACGTAATCTTTGGCTCTAAACAATCGATACAACAATGCGATCATGCAAGGATGGCTCGGATAAATAGAGCAATTGAGCTGGGCTGACACAAACGCGAAACCACACGCACGTTCATGGGTCCTGGACCAAGTTGCAAACCATAACTACAACAAATAAAAAAAAATAGCGCCTCATCCGTCTCAAAAAATGCAACAAGGACCGTGGGAGCCTTGAAGATTTAAAAAAAGGGACAGACAATGGAAATGGATGGAGCAAAATGGAGTAACTTGTTTGGGAAATAAATAGAACAGCAAATGGCTCAGTTGCTTTATCCAAATGGAAAAGGGGAAAAGGAGACAATTCAACTGCACTACATATTCAATGGACATTGATCGTAAAAGGGAGGGATGCGCGAAATACACATGAATACATGAGCACTTTTTTTAGTCCAAAGATGGCGTCAAATGACGATTTTTTTTAATTTTTTTTTTTTTTTTTTTTTAAAGCTCACCTTGGTCAATTCATCCAACATCAGGTCAAGCGCATAGTAGCGAATGTTCTTGCGTTTCCTCTCGAGCGCATTCAACAACAGCACTGTCTTACGAAGAGAACTATCAATTACAATACACAATATAATTTTTTTTTTTTAGTCTGTCATTCTGGTGTAATGATGTGTGAACGTGTTTCAAAATATAAGATTAACAAAGTGATCGAATAAATTCAGGGATGGACAATTACCCTGCACCAAGCTCCACAACAACACTGTTGTCTGGAATGAGCTCAACAATCTTATCGCCATCGCGCTCAAGGATGTCGATCTCGTCCTGTGTGAGGTAATACTCGTCCAAATACGTAATGTCGTCAAACAGCTGTAGGCCACGATCATCGTAAAGAACCATCGTGGGAATTGTCTTGGGTGCACCAGGAGCTGCAGGACAAAGTCCGGATATGATCATCTTTGGCAGATCAAATGCCGGAGCTGATTCGGCTGCCATGACGTTGTCCTCAAGATCTGAGACACTGCTGTTGCTGTCATTCTCAAGAGTATCATCTCCAGACGAAGCTGCATCCATCATACTATCCGAGTCAGAGGATGAGGATGGGCTCTCTGCACGGGCATCAAGTCGAAGCTCGACCACGTCAGCTTCCTGGTTTAGCTCTTGGGCAGCCGATGGAGGACTTGGGTACGTATTCTGTACATTATTCTTGCTGGCTTGCTTGAATTTGTCAGGCCCTTTTGCGGATGAACGAAGATCAATGATAGTAGGAGAGTGCGATGTGTCAAAGTTTGGAGACAGTGGAGAAATGGGAGAGGAAACCATGGCTATAGAATATATTCAAGTAAATTGCTCAGGAGTGGTATAGGACTGCTAGGTCAGGTTTTTAAAAGGTGTTTGGGGGATAAAAAGGATTGTCTAAGGATAAAAAAAAGAGAGAGAGAAGAAAGTGTTGATATTTAGATCGAGGTATTTATTCGAACGCGTGCCCTGATATTGATTTCTCGGTTAAGAATTATTGAATTATTAGAATTATTAGAAGTAAAAAAAGGGTCCGTGTAATATGCCTTTGCAAACATCATTTGACATCATTCTTATTCTGATGGCTATTTATCCATGTATAGATGTTTATCATTTATCCTATTTATTCTATTTATTAATTTTCAATGTTACAGATCGCTTGCTGGCACAGGTTACCATGCATTGATCAGGCCGTGTTAGAAACTACTCAATCCCTAATCACGTTGACAAGTCCATATTCGAATACTTCAGTCTTAGGTTGTCCCACTTTCAGTACAAGACACAATGTTACAGCCCATTACCTCAAAGTAAACTAACGACGACTGCGCGTCTTGATAACAGTAAACCAAGACGGAATGTAGTAGAAAGCATTATTGATTTTAAAAGCGCCTTGCATCCAGTTAGTGTTTTTTTTTTGCGACAAAGCGCAAATAAATAAATAAAGGTAAACAAGGGCCACAGAATAAAAGCCAAGTTAAGCACAGTCTGAGGGGAAAAAAAAAAAAGCGCATGTCGAGGCCGCTGACAAATCTGAAAGTCCCTTTATAATTGGACCTTGCTATCATCAATTGACACTTCCTGCGGCAATTACAAGCCAAAACGAGGAAGTGAAGCAAGCACTGCGCAAGGTCGATCAATCAATGATCAATGTCAATGGATAGAAAAAAAAAAAAAAAAAAAAAAAAAAGAGCCTTGATCTCCGCAGTGTTCACTTTTAAATTGGTGGCGCACATCGCCAGATGAAGTCTGCGCAATAAGAAGGATCTTCTGTCGATCATTTGGATGCACATTATCATTTACTGAAGTCTTGTATGTAGCTCCTTTTTCATTCCGTGGCTTTCCATCGCGTTAGATCCATTCTCTTACAAAGCATTATGGCGAACGCGCGTCATTTTATCTACATTACGCGGTAGATGCAAAAAGAAAAAAAGAAAAAGCTTTATTTTCATTTGACTATCACATATTCAAATTTTATGAGATAAATTATTGATAGATTGTGATGGGAATCATTTACACATGACAGTCAAGTGAGACGAGGGTCTGTGTTAATGAGTAAAGCAGTAAAAGCGCGAAGAATTGACTTCAGGTCCAATGCAGACAGTGGCTTTTTTTTTTTTACTTTTATTTGACATGAATAAACTTCAAGCGTAATTACATTTGAGTTTGAGGAGATTTGGAAGCAGTTGGCAATTATCCTTTATCGGGTTAGCCTGTCATGCTGTTCTAAATGTCTGCTTTCTCTCTTTCTCTTTCTCTTTTTCTCTCTCAGCACCACTCCAGGTACTAAATCTAAGGTCTTGAACTCCTTTCCAAATCTAATGCTCGAGGTATAGGTTGTGAATTCCTCCGTTCCCTAACATTATTATTAGAATTTACTGTTTGATGATTTTGACCACTCACGGTGACCAAACTAATGGCACTTCCCGGTATTGTTGACGAGGTGCCTCCCCCTCCGCCTGATCCTCCGCCTCCGCCTGTGCCCCCACCATCATCTTCATCAAAAGGAGCAAACGTCCCTGGTTCCTGTTTCTTAGTCCATCCACTCCTGTACCTTTTCAGTGCGAGGCCTCCTACGGTGGCCAAGATGACTACTCCGAGACATACAAGAGTCCAGTTCCGCCAAAGGACAGCTCTAGAAGATGATCCATCCTCAGAGTCGGATTCGGCAGACGCTGGAGCTCCAAAAGGAGGAGGAGGATTGGCTCCTATGACTGTCGTCGGTGGTGGTTTTGTGGTCGTTGTAGTCGTCAAGGTGAAACCGGGAAATAATGTGACATTAGCAGTTTGATAGGCGGGTATTGAAATGATTGATCCATTCCAAACTGTTGTGACGATGTGTGTCTCCGTTGCTGGAGGCCATGTAATGCTTGTGTGTGTCGCTGGCATTTATTGCGGAAAAAAAAAAAAAAAAAAAAAAAAAGCTTTCGAGGAATGTCAATTATGTTTTTAAGTGGGCGTGGTCGTGTTAAAATAATAGCCAATTGTTTTGCTGATTGGTAGCCAAGTAGTTAAAAAAAAAAAAAAAAAAAAAAAAAAGAAATGTCATGCAAACATGTAGAATAAAAGAAGACGAGAGAAAGGAGAGGAAGTGGAGGGGAGTTGCTGGTGTTTCTGTTTCGGTGGTTCCTGAAATAATAAGACGAGTTTTTTGCTTTTTTCTTTTCTTTTTTCCTCTTCTTTGTTCTGAATATAGTTGCAAGTTGTTTTCTGAATGCGTTGAGAGGAATTGAAATTGACAATCGAATAGAAGGGCAGTCAATGAATAGGATAGAAAAGGGGAGGGAAATGAATTGGGCGAGTGCAAATAAGTGAACGGACGTTAAGCATTTTCCTTTCCTCCCATCATCCCATCCATGCATAATAAGCCACCAATCATAAGACATGAATGCAAAAAAAAAAAAAGCGCGGAGGTGTGTTTGTTTTCCAACAGCTTGTTCGCTCATCTTTCTTCTTTACTTTCTTCATCTCCCTCGCCTCATCCACTTCAGACTATTGCAATGGCTCAACCTGTTCGCTCCGTCGACCGCCGTTTTACCACAACCGCTTTTACTTACCCGGGATATCATATTGCAGCCTGTCATGGCGTAGTTCGAGGGCAAGTTGCGTGATATCCATAAACAACTTTTCATTGGAATAGAGGAGAATAAACATCTTGTGGGCGTTGTTTTTCTAAGGCTGTTGGATCTTTTTTTTTTTTTTTTTTTTTTAAAGTTACTTGTTCCAACAGCCAAAAACAATATCGGCAATATCGAACATTCCTCTTTCTAATTGACATTAATGTTTCTTTCTATAACATCAATAGGCTGACCGTTAGGAACCCTAATGTAATGGACATTTTAAAAAAAAATTTAACCAGAGAATAATAATGCTGGGACGCAAACACAGCCCCCCCCCCCCCCCTGCACACCCACGTTGACACGTGTACTCTTTCTTTTTTCTTTTTTTTCTTTTGTTGTTGGCAAGGCCGGAAAAGCAGTGATTGGTGCTTTCGCGTCTCTGGCTGGTGGTGAGAGCTCTACTTATATCGAAATGGCTGAGAAAGCCCGAGAACGTGCCTTTCTCAGGATGCTGGAGCATGCTGCCGCGGCTGGTGGAAATGCTGTCATTGGAGTTCAATTTACTGGCCAGGAGATCATTCAGGTAATTTAGATACACACGTGAAAAATGAAAAAAGAATACTGCTTTATGTTTTATTGCATGAACTTTACAAACTAAGCTAATAAAAACTAATGGGCATTTTTATCAAACTCATGATATGATAGGGGTAAAATTCAAGGCGTTTTTTTTTTTTTTTTTTTTTTTTTTTTTTTTCTCAGGTTTAAATCTTAAACTTCTAACGCGTTTCTTTTTTTTTTTTTTTTTTTTTTTTTTTTTAGAATGACTGAAGTCATGGCCTATGGTACTGCTGTCACCTTGGTTCCTGCTCAGCAAGTTGTTCCTCAACAAGCCATGTCACCCCAACCCATCTACAACGCTTCACCTTACTCACAACCAGCTTCGCCTTACTCTCAGGCGCCCCTTCAGCAACCCACAGGATCTATTCAAGTTCAGCAGCAGCCCTTTTCTCCACCCAAGAACTAAGCTGGTTACATTTCCTTCCTTTTTATCAAGGACGAGTAGTAATTAGTTAATTAATTAATAAAGTGGTAGTAGTAGTGGTAAAGAGAAATGTATTTTCTACTATTTCTAAATGTCAATATGTTTTGGAATGGGTCCTACATCTACACCAATTTCTTTTGCTAGCTGTTTGGCTCTCTTGATTCTGAATTTTTTGCTCTGCTCCCACCACTTACCCGCCCCATTCGTCAAGCGTGTAATCATGTTTGCCGCCTGTCCTTTCGTTAAAGGCCTATGCTGAGCTTTGAGTTGTCTAATCTTCTCCTTTGCCGCTGGATCATCTACTTCGGCCTCATCCTCATCTTGGATTGCGTCATGGTCATATCCTAGTTTGCGCAAAAACCTCAACTGTGATTCACTTGCTGGTTTCTTGCGCCATCGGGCATGTCGTCCCAAAATATCGGGAAAGTGCCCAATGTTCTTGGCGACCCACGTATCTACTCCACGAAGGCAGTCCTGTAATGTGTCAGATTCAATAGGCAGCATGGTTGCTTTAGTCATAAAGTGCCTTGACGGACCACCCTCTTGATTGTTATCATCGATGCCTTCATCCTCCATCCTCTTCTTTGCGGCAGCTGCAGACGCATAATAGTAATTCTTTTGAAAAGGCGATGCAGCATTTTTATCCACCGCTGGCGCCATCATCACGCGTTTTTGGCATCTAAACAGACCATCCTCGGGTGATTTTTCAATCTTGAGCGATAGTGATTGGACGTTGAGCACAAATGTATCTGGTCCTACATTCACCCACGCATTAGGGGACATATTCCACAGACGTTTTGGCATTCCACTACAGTCGTTCAAGATTTGATAGGGATTTTCATATTCCAGCACACGAATACGTGCCACCTTGTGACCTGTGATAGGATTTATTGACTCCACCACTTCTGTCTCTTCTGAGTACTGTGCAGTTGCAGCTTGGGCGATCTCAGTCTCAAGTGTGGTGATCTGCTCCTTTTGGAGAGCATCGACATCCTCTTGACTGCTAATGGCCGCTGTTTCTACAAGGATTCAAACATATTATGTAAAGATTAATGAAAATGATATAGAGGGTAGCTTTAATTGTGATGTTCGTCAGTATTAAGTATACAGCATAATATTGAACTTACTATTAGCTATGGCACTGGCATCTAGTCCAAGCAATGTTGGTAGATTAGCAAGGCCCTCGCCTTTGACAATGTCCACAAAGTCCAAGACGTGGCAGTCTTCTTTGCCAGGATGTAGCCTCATACCACGGCCAAGCATTTGTAAGAAGAGAACATTTGATTTTGTAGGTCTCGCCATCAAAATACAATCAATTCCAGGAATGTCTGAAATAGAAAGGTAATGTTAAGGAAACATGTGCTTCAGTTAAATACATTGGAGTACATCAACTCATGAGCAAGCACAAAGCTCTGTACGGGATCATACCTGTGCCCTCGGTCAAGATACCACAGTTGACGATTATAGGGAACTTTTGTTCACGGAAATCTCGTAGTAACCGTGCCCGCTCTTCGTCACTTGTATTGCTAGAAACCCCTCGTGCGTCGTATCCATATTTCCGAAACGTTTCTGCAAGTGTTTCTAGGTGAGCAATGTCGACAGCGAATACAACTGTCGACTTGCGTCCCGCTAAAATTAACGACAGCGAGGTTAGTTGATGGTTGGAGATATTACCGGACCAAATTAAGTCGATTCGCAATAATGAGCACGATTTGGCTAAACAATATATGGGCATATCCATTACCGCAGTATGTCATGTAGCTCCGGACAACGATGTCGTTGCGAATAGGGTCATTGACTTTGATAGAAAGTTCTTTTTGCGCAAAATCGTCCCCCCTAACCTTAACATCTCGTAAATCAAACTCGGTTTGGATTGCTGATACACGAAGGCCACAAAGCCTAAATAAAGCAAGCAATCAGCATTCCATGTGATAATTTCATAAACTCAACCATTCAGCTCTAGATCACTTGAATACATTCAATGATGGAATCCGAACTAAAGCTCATATTACCATTTGTCTTCAATCATAGTTATGAAACCCTTGTGATATGAGATGTAATCAAATGCGCCTCGGAGCATTAATCCATCGTGACGCCGTACTGTTGCTGAACAGCCATAAACGAAGATGTGAGTATTTGGTGTATGTGCTCCGAAATGTTCCAGAATCCTGATGTATGACTCTGCAGCTGCATGATGAGCCTAGCATTGTTGGCCCCAAACCATAGAAGCGTGGAACAATTGTCAGCCACTAGCCATTATTCAATGCCAAGTCTTGCAGTCAATATGCGAAAAAATGCACTTGCCTCATCGATAATGATGCACTTGAATTCTTTAGGATTATACTTCAGTATTCGTGGTGTCCCAGCTCGTCCCAGCGTAGGAACGCTAGCCACAATCACATCTGCACTCATATCTGCACTACGCTTTCCTTGATCTATTGAGACAGTCTAATATGTGCGTTTTTTTTTTTTTTTTTTTTTTTTTTTTTTTTAAAAAAAAAAAAAAGAAATCATTCGATCGTTGAGCTATTTGGTAAAAAATTGAGGATCTTAAATGGCTTCTCGTAATCAAATGTTACCAGCCCTTCGCCATTGCGGAGAATATGTGAGCGGGTCTGTTCTAAAAGCTCCTGTCGATGAGCCAAGACTAATGTCTTGTTTGCACCTGGGAATGGCGCGGGAACTTTTTTCATTAGGTGTGAAAAAATGACCTGTAGATGAGTATAAATTGAAGAATAAATAAAAAAATAAATAAAAAAAAGGCTTTCATGTAAGTTTCTATGCCTTCAATTCACTTTCTGAAGAACAATCACCTCATATACTGGGCATTACCGTTTTGCCACTTCCGACAGGAAGTGAGACAATCTGTCGCATAGTGCCCTTTTGTAAATTTGAAAGGCATGCGTCGATGCATTCCTGTTGATAGGGGCGCAGTTTCGTTGGCGTAGGTGGGCTTATTGGCACCATGGTAGCAATAGGCTCTTCCGCTACTTTGATTGATTTAGATGATTTTCGAGTCCGAGTCGCTTTTGTCTTCTTCGCTGGCTCATCAGCAGTGACGACATTTGGTTTGTTGGCTATCACCTTCCCTTCTTGATCATGAACAGTTGATTTTTTGTTGCGGGTGGACTTTTTTATTGTTGCCGGTGCTGGTGCTGTTGCTGTTGTTGGCGCTTCTTTTCTGGGTGAGATTATAGTCCTTTCAGTCAGTACATTTTTCTCTGACTCTAATTCGGTCAGAGAACTTACACGGCTCTTCCGTGATATCCGAGTAGCGTTAGGAGAAGGGTTCGTCCTTACAACATTATTCTCATTCTGAGCCAACAAAGCTTCAGTAGTATATAGTCTAAAAGTTGTCCTCGGTGCTGGTAAAACTCCACGCGTTACTTGTCCCAACGCCTGTGCTCCTCGGTTGACACCCGATCCATATTGTAAGTTCTTCTGAGTCGAGACACTAAATAGGCGAGCCGAGCTATCCCCATTCCTAAAACATTGATGAATCCGTTGAATGCGCAACATTGCACGTTGTTGAAATGAATGGTGGCAAACTTCTGTAAAGAGTAAAAAGGGGAGAAATATAAAAAAGTGACTTTTTATTGTTATAGCCCTCTATTGTGATACACCAATTCCAAACACGGCCCAACTTGTCACAAGTAGCACAGACCACACCATTATCCAAAAATGCGCTTGTCTTTTTTTATACTGTGGCACATCGTCCTCGCCACTTTCAATGTGTACACCGAATCGATGCTCCCCACTCTCTTCGTCCGATTCGTCTGAGGAAGACGAATAATCCTCGCGCAGACGATCGCTTTCATGTCGTACCCGGTCATGGCCATATATTATATCTCTATCGCCATCTTGGTCGCGATTTCGAGCTGCAGGATATTGGCTTGATGATGGTGATTGTGATAAATTATTAACTACACTTGCTCCCATCCTTTGCTGAGCAGCGGGTCGAGGGGATCCAGGGTCCTTTGTTCCAATTTCAGTCATTGACATCTCTTCCGCATCCGGCTCGTCCTCTAACTCAAAGATGGGCTCCATAGTCATAGCTTCCAGGACTTCGTGGCTCCTTCGCCGTCGCCTTCGGTTCCTTCTTGAACGTTTCGACGGGACTCGACTTGAAGACCCATCCTTGTTATATACGCCATTGACAAGGCCTGTCTTGCCGCCTTCTCCATCAGTCCAATGGTAATCGCCCCACACAAACACTGAGCATGCAAGGAATAATACAATTCCTACAAATAGAAATAGGCCTAATAGTTGGATGTCTTCGCGCTCCTGCTGTAGTTTGTCTTCTTGAGGCGGGAAAAAGTGATGATAAAGGCGATCGAAAAAGCTTTCGGATATTCCCATGCCATCTTCTTCGACAGCCGTAAAATCTTGCATCATCCCTACAATGGTTCCGAACAGAGTGGCACCAATGCTATCAATAGAACGATGTAGTCCCAGGCCTGTAGGAACATGTTTTGTAAGCACAGGCATACTAGTGACAATAGAGAGAGTCCCCAGTGACAGAGAAAGCGCGAATAGGAACATGGGTATGGTTGGGGGAATGGCGTAAGTCGTGAAGGGTACGAGAAGAATAAGGTGTGTGCTAATGATTAGGCCCGCTGTCACTAAAAGTAACCATGCACGCTTTCCAACATTATCAATGAATGTTCCAAGGAAAGGATAAATAATCGGAGGAACTGCCAAGATAATTGAGGCTTCCCAGGCTGCTTGTTTGTCGTCAAGGTCGTAGCGATGCTTTACGATGTTACTATAGATCACGATTGTTTTTTTTTTTTTTTTTTTTTTTTTAAAAAAAAAAAGAAGGGACGCGTGTCAGTCTGTACGTCCTCAGCAGTGTTTTTCAATCTGCTTTAATTTACTGCCATCAGGGACTGTACCTTGCTTGATGCATGAACGGGTTCCAGCTTGCCCCGACCAGGAAACTGATCGTCAGCAATGACCACAATAAAGTGGAGAACCCATATACTTCTCTCCAGCCAAGATGTGTCCGTTTCTCTTTCAGTAGGATCGTAATTTTGGTCATAGTGTCGGCGTCCTTCTTCGGTTTTTTAAGAAGTAACAAAAACACAATATTCATCACCCATGCAATTACGGATATAATCAATGCTACTACGAAGGGCGTGACGAATCCAAAAGGCTGTAAAGTACTTAGAGGAACCGATGTTGCAAGCGCTAAGAATCCTGCCTTTCATTTCGAAAGATCAAACCCCGCCACAAATAAGAGTTCTGTGAGCTTTTTTGCTTTTCTGCTTTTCTGCCAACAGCCAAGATCATAGCTAAAAAAAAGACGGCCAGTCAGTATGCCGTACCACTTTTCCACTAGTCAACCCCAATGCCAAGACAAAAGCAAGGTTATGCTTCCGGAAATACCTAACCCAAATAGTTTCTTGGATGATAGTAATAGGGGCTGCTCCTAGGCTGTATTATTTCATACGTTATTAAAGGTTGTGGATAGATAATAAAGCGTATAAGCATTCATTTTTAGTGCCAGAACCATCATTGCTCCAGGTTATGCAATAAAAGCAGTTAGAACTCCTTCACCAGGCCTTATTAACATTATATGCAACTTGATGTCATACCCAAATAGACAATATCCTATAATCATGGTTCTGATAGAGCGCGTCCAGCAACCCAAAATCGCAATAAGCTGTCCTAAAATGACAATCGAGGTAAATGCGATCGAACTAGGCCCTGTCCCATAGCGCTCGATTAACAGGCCTCCAATAAGTGGGATAAGTGTGGGGAACAATGTTAACGATGACTGTAATAGTGAGAATTGTGTGTTGGTAATGTTCATGTTCTACAATAAAAAAAATAAAAAAAAAAAAAAAAAAAAAAAAAAAGGATTTGACCATTAGCAATCTTATCCTATAGAAGCCTACACATCCACACACATAGTAAGTAAAGTTCATTTATACCTCCTTGAGCACATCTTTCAGTGGCCCTGTGATGCGCAATGTAAAGTGAGTTGAAACACCAAGCACGACTGCACAAAAGAACGCCTGTATCCTAATGGTCCAATCTTCAGTGTCCTCTTCGTTTGATTTTTCATTACTTCTGTCATGATCCTGTGAATCTATCCTAAAAATTTGTTGTTGACGAAGATGTTCGTCGAACTCTCGCTCTGATGGCCTAACTAACTCCTGGATCTCTGATGCATGGGTCCCTTCACGCTCTTCATCGTCCTCTCCGTCCGGGCCCCCTTGTCCGCCAAAAGGTGACTGGTCTGCTCCTGGTGTGTGTGGTGGGTTACCAAGACGGTATGCCGGAGAGTCCAGTACCTCTGAATGAAGCGGCTGATAATCAATGCCTCGATTCTCGGACATGACGAGAAAAGTTTAAAATGAATTTTGAAGTAGATGCGTGGTCAAAGATGAAGCATTCAGTGAAAAAAAAAAAAAAAAAAAAAGGAGTGTTTGTGACGCTCTGTTTCACAAGCAAAGGATGTAACATGTCGCAGGATCAACATGTTCTCCACATAGGCCTACAGACACAAGGCACTTGGCTGCTCAAGGAGTTGATTGATAGCCAAGGCTCCAATTGATCATACTGAGAAATCATACTGGGAATCTGGACTTGTCTAATGAATTGCGCCATCTTTTGGACTATCTGAGAATGAAGGATCCTTTCCTCTCTACCTTTCATTCGTCATTCTCAGCTCATTTTTAAATGACTCTGAAAAAGTCACCATAAGAAATGGTCACCGACAGTTGTTCAGCATCGTAAAAGTAAAATTGTCTCGGATGAGATATTTGAAAACATTTATTATCGCATAACGTTTTATCATCACCTTTCTGCGAATTAATGAGAATGGGATTCCTCAAAAACAAAACCGAGATTTAGAGTTTCGTCGTTTACATGTACTTAGGGCCCTTAGATCATGTTGTTTATTAGCTCTTAGATGAAGAAGAAAATGCAAGCGTAATCAACCGTCTTCATTTAATCTTATCATACGTACGTGCCATGCACCTGTGTGTTCACATTTGTGGAGGTTGGTTGAGTCAATGACAAAATAGTTTATATTTATGCGCCCCACGATGTCTTTGTTGACGCTCCGCGTATTCGGTACTAAAGTGATCAGGACTGATTTTACTGACTACATATTGGAACTAAACACATGTAAGAACCTTTACTGAGCATTGTGTTCTAACTGCATCTAACGTAAAGGTTACACTGTATTTTTTTTTACAGCAGACATGGGGAAAACGTAATATTGAACGGGATATTGTTTATCTATGACAAGAACAAGATTCAATCACTTTTGTACATTTAAACAAAATGTGGTATGTGTCCAAGACAATTTATCATTGCCCACTTGATTTGAAAACTCCTTGGTGCAAGGAAAAAAAAAAAAAAAGAAGCTCACAAATACATTCATATTTCCTTCCTCGGTCTTTGTGAAGTTGTGCGTAGATGTTTATGGGTGTAGAAAGGAAAGATGGACAGGGAAGTGCCAGTACATGGTGTATACATGGAGTGATCCCATTGTTTGTATGCAAATGTGTTGATTTGTGTGTGAATGTGAATGTTCAAGGTTATAATATGGTGAGCCGCAGCGATATTAAGAGAATAAGAATAATAGAGTACACATTATGATAGAATTGGCGAGGGCTTGTGTATTTATCCGTTCTCTGCCGTATCCTTGCTCCAGACATTTTCTCTTTGTTCCTCGTTCGCCCTACCCCCTTGGTCGTTAGATTCGCACGGAAGTATTGGAATAAAATATATAATTGTTATTATGCTACTGAGTGCTATTATGAGTGAGATATAGTATAATGAATTGCCTGTATATGACATATAATAGGTTCACCAGCTTGGTCTAGTCCCAATCACTGTTCTGTTATATTATTTATTTATTTTTTTGTAGGAGGAAAGGGATGGATCTGTGTATGAATGAATGTATGTCAACCTTGTCTGCAAGCCAAAAAAAGGACATTGTTGGAGACAGCAGCGATTGCATACAGCCAGCAGTAGTGGATTTGAATGAGACGAGCCTGCAGAAATAGCACTCACATATACCACACATATACACACACAGGAAGAACGAATCACAGTGCACTCTCCCCTCTCTTAAAATTTTTTTTTTTTTTTGGCTCAGTTGAATTGTGCATGTGTGTGGTGCGGTGTTGACTACGATCACATATACACAATTCATACAATCTACAGAATAGTTCAACATAGTAATAAAATACTCAATCGAAGTCAGTCAGTTTGTGAGTGTAAGAAAAGTAAGAGAAAGTAGGAGTGCAAGTAGCACAGTGTCGAAAGATCCTGTCCAAATAGAGCGCAATAATGTAACTATAGTCTCAGTATAGGTCACGCTGGTACAAATGCCCCTCGCTCAATTTTTGCTGGGCCATCTGTCTGCTCTCTCACAAAAGGACAGCCAAAACCCGCATTCCCCCCGCTGAATTTTTTTCTCTCTTCTCTCTACTACTTCCACACTCTCTCTCTATACTACCACATATACTCACTCCACTCTACTCCCAAGGAAAACTCCATATTGTAAGTAATCATATCCTCCATATGCTCGTAATATGTTAAACAACCACAAGACACAGGCTTGATTTTTATTATCGCCAACTAAAGAGGCGATCGAGAGGAGAAAATTCATATCCATATCATTCATCCTCACTGCTGGAACGGACCAAGGCTCATCCCCATACCCGAGCCACCATCCCTCATTCTCATCTCACTTTCTCATCCCTAACCCGTCATAAAAGGCTAAATAAAAAAATATAAAAAGACAGACAGACATACATATACACTCCTACATCCACTCCCACACAATATTTCGGAGCTTCTTGCTTCACACAAAAAAAATCAAATATTGCACTTGGAATAAATAACATATCCACGTCAATTTTGCAAACATGCTTTTGCGTGGGTGTCTGTCTGGTGACGGGTAAAAAAAAAAAAAAAAAAAAAAAAAAAACTGATCTGGGAGCTGAGATGACTGACAAACCAAATAAAAAATAAAAAAAATTGACTATTATAGATAACGCATAATGCCCAAGGTCGCAAAGAAAGACGCCAAAGTGTCAAAGCGTGGCAAGAACGAGGAAGTCAAGAAGAGGAAGAGAAAGGCCAAGAAGGACCCCAATGCTCCCAAGAATCCTATGTCTGCCTACCTCTTGTTCTGTGAGGAATGGCGCGAGAAGGTGAAGGCTCAAAACCCTGATTCATCCTTCGGTAAGTCATTCAGGATCCATCGTGAAATACGGTGAAAAAGCAAAAAAAAAAAAAAAAAAATAGCCTTTTTTTTTTTTTTTTGAAGTATAGTGAATAAGGCTTTCTAACTGAATATGTGGCTGGCTGCATATGTTCGCTGACGCGTTCATTCCTTTTTATTTTTTTAGGTGAGATCGGACGTCTTCTCGGAGAGCAGTGGAGGGCATACACTGAAGACCAGAAGGCTGTAAGTTGACCCAAATTGCTTAAATCCGTTTTGACTTTTTTTTGTTTTTGTGACGCGTCGCGTGTTGCTAAATTTTTTTTTTTTTTTTTTTTTGCTTGTCAAAAACAAAAATTAGCCTTACGTTGTAAAGCACGAGAAAGCCAAGGCCAAGTATGCCACCGAGAAGGCTGCCTACGATGCTAAGAAGGCCCAGGATGACGAGGAGGATGAGGATGAGGAATCTGATTAAATGAGGAGGTTTTCTTTTTTTTTTTTCTTTAACATATACTTTACGAGTTTATTAGTTTATTCAACTTGTTCTTTCTCGCGGTGGAGAAATATCTCTATCCGATCCCTTCTTTCTTCGTCTATTTGTACGGATAGAAAACGTTGTACTATTTTCTTTCTCATCTTGTTGTCTTCATTAAAAATATTGCCTTCATATCAGATAAGATCCCATTATGCAAGAAAAAACAAAAACATACATATCACACATCTACGTTATGTGTTGGTCACATGATCTAGATCCCCTTTTCCTAAAAGGAAAAATCATTTTCGAATTCATGCGTTCATTTTTTTTTTTTTTTTAAACTTGCTTTGTTCTCATTTCACAACAACAATAACAACAACAAAAAAGAAACATTCCTTTCCTTTTCAAAATGTCATTCCGGCTTCCGAAGAGTACCATGATTACCATTTTTCATGACCCTACCTGCAAGCTCTCAAAAGAATCCTTGCGGCTTCTGAAGAGAGCAGCTATTACACACAAGTTTGACGTGGATGTGGTTCAATCAAAGAAGATCCCTCCAACGCATGCTCAAGTAGCTGATATTATTCGCTATCTCGGCAATGGATCCGAGGCAAAAGGAGCATCGTTGATTCTCAAGGAGGATGCTCCAAAGGTATCCACTATTAAAGAAGCGCAACTGGCTTTGGATGGTAAACCAGGGTTATTAAAGAAACCGCTGATCGTCGACTGGGATAATCGCTTCGCCATTGTTGCAGATGTAAGTATACCGTCCTTTAAAAAAAAAAATAAATAAATAAATAAATAAAAAAAAAATAAAAAAATAAAAAAATAAAAAAACTTTGTGGCTATAAACCCATGCACGTTTGATCATCGATTCATAAGTCTAAATTCCTTTCTTCTTTCTCTTTATTAGCCACCATCATTGGTCCAAACGTTTGTCGATCATATCAAAGATAGGAGATAATTAATTTCAATAACAATCATAATGATCACATTAATAGAATAATAGAATAATAGAATAATAATAATATCAATTCAAATATTTCAAATTAATTTTTGTTTTATCAAAGCAGCTTAATACAAAAAACTCTATACTGCATGGAAGACACCAAGGAGACCCATGGAGATGCCCTTCATGAACCCAATCTTGTATTCGCCAGGCCTCAGTGTCTTCTGTAACTCATACAATCCTTGTCCTATCTCCTTCATCGGATCAGGCATAAACCCGCCCACCAATACGGGCCTAGGCGCCGTTTCTCCCTTCTGTACATTAAAGATCTTGACGCGGATGGTCTGTGTAACACCACTTTGAACGCGTGCTGTAATAGGCTCCATGATTGAAAACGAAAACCCCAGTACATCATACGTCTCCATCATGGGCATTGCGTTTGCCCCACTACCATTATTCACGATCTTGTACTGCAGAACGTTGATTGAGTGACCTTCAGTGCTAGTCGCAGGCATTCCATAGACCATCAGTGTCCCGAATCCTGGTGTGGGGCAAATACATTTGATTGTCATGATGATACCCTTCTCATCTTCACGAGTCCAGTGACGAGCTGCCTTGATTCTTTCGCCTGTAGTCTTCCAGTCCAGGTGAGATGCCATGAACGCAGTTGCTCCATTCCATGCTTGTTTCTCAAGCAAGATTTCAAGCTCAAAGTAATCATTATCTGTATACACCGTGTGCGTGCTATTCACTCCGATTGGGACAATACCCAGCGTCCATGAATCTATCATTCGGAAAGGCAGCGCGCGATACACATCCACATGAATAGGTGGGTTCAGAAATTGATCTTGTGGTTGATTTGGCCAATGACTATAGATTAACCACTCTGGGCGTATCAGGAAGTACTGTGGTTTAAACATCTTGCTCATTCCCGTTGTCGGATCATCTGCTCCTGCACCCCATGTCGAATCAATTAATAGGCATTCTCCTGAAATCGTTACCGCATTCCACGCATGTCCTGCACCCAACGAGTCACCTCCAACCTCGACCCCATATCCACGAGCAACACCCGTCACCTGTGTCACACCCAACTGTGCCGGAGCCGCAAGAGCCATGAAAAGATTTGAAAACCCTGCACAGACTCCAGTCTTGGTTCGGAGGACGGTCTCGGCAGAGTTATCGCCAAAGTTACCGGATAATAGTCCCTTCATGTTATACTCAATATTAGTAGCGAGCCATGTAAAGATCGTCCTCAGTTGTGCCACTTGGTCACCTTGGAAGGGCGATGTCAAATAGTAAGAGAGTCTAGCAATGCTTTCCTCTTCGGACCGTGGACATGACCTGGCATGGTCGTCCATCGCTGAAAAATCTGCTAGGCTTAGATCTAGTCTCTCACCATTGAATTCTGGTGTAAACATTGGTGAAGTTCGATTGAGTGCACTGACAGCATCTTCGCCTGACTGAAGCTCAATCAATGACGTGCATGATACTGAAGCCTTTTGTGAAAAATGACTGGAAAACCCGTTAACTGTGGTTGTTGAGGTTTGTACGCTCGAGAAAGACTGTGAGGATGAATGATGGCTATGTGTCGTAGTCTGCTGCTGCTGCATTTGCTGTCCAGGGCGCTTTGGTAGAGGGGGACGCTGAGGTAACTCTGGTCGCCGAGGCAGTTCTGGACGTTGAAGAGGTTCGGGGTGTTGCAGTGTTTCAGGACGTTGCGGCAGCGTAGGGCGTGGAGGAGGAGGGGGAGGAGGAGTTGGTTTTTGTGATATAGTTGGGCGCCTTTGTGGAAGAGATGGTGGTATAGGTGCTGGGATAGGAAGAGGCGGCTCGATCTTGAACTGCGTTTGTTGCACACGCTCCGCTGTCTGATCATCACGAACTGGAGTAATGCAGGGTAATCTTCGTGGTTTGGAAGGTGGCAAGGGTGGGTGTGGAGGTGCAGGTGATTCTTCATTTAGATGTAGCTCCTCAATCTTCTTCAAAATGTTTGATCCCGACCGGTTAGGAATAGGTGATAGTTTGTCTCCCTGCGTTGACTCTGACGACCTTGGAGTAACTGGGGATCGGGGCACGGCGCGTTTAGGTAGAACTACACCGGTTGTCTGTGTGACGGAGGACGTGGTTATTGATACTGGTACTGGCTTTGGAGATGTGGGTGTTGTGTGTTTTAGTGAATGAACGTGTGTTGAGGGCACAGGGACCAGATTTTTCTGATATCCATTCGTTACTAAGGTTTGAGGTGATTTTGAAGTGGAGATGACTCGTTTCGAAGATTCGAGAGGTGTTTGAGCAGAATCTGAAGAGATATGACTTGAATGCTCGGCTGGCGGTTTCTTAGTAGAATTCAATCCAGCTCGCCTGTTTTCCAGTTCAGCTAACCAAGGTACAGCAGGCATAGTCGTTGAATGTATCGGAGACATTGGTGCGTTATCCTCCCTTGGCCCTTGCTCTTGCTCTTGCACCTTCACTGGTCCATGCTCCTCTTCGTCTTCTTCATAAATAGAAGAGGTATGTTTTTCAGATGTTCGGATTGAATTGACAGAAACCATGGATGACGGACGAATGATTGGTGGTTTGGCCAGTCCTTCAATAATACTGAGACGACGCGGCGATGGTACTGGCGCAATCCCGGTTGGGGTCTCAGGAGTTGTAGGAGCATGGAGAGTTTTCTCATTATCTTCGCTTTCGATGTGGGTATGAGATGGTGCTGGGATAGAGGGTATAGGTCGATTGGGCTTGGTAAGAGAGACAACAGAGAGCGGGCGTGGTAATGACCGGGGCGGCGGTGCTATGCTACTGTGCTCTCTACTGGTGGGTGGCGTTGGTGGTGGAGGCAGCGATCGCTTTGGAGACGTAGCTGCAGCCTGGGGTAATCGTTCATCATCAGTTGTTGTAGGGAGAGATGGTACTGGTCGTTTTGGTGGTGTAGCTGTTGATGAAGGAATAGGGGGTGGTGGAGGAAGTGAACGTTTTGGAGCCATGATCAGATCGCTTTTCGGGTGGGGTGTAGAACTGTGCGTGAATGAAGACCCACTGTTGTACATTGTAGTGGTCGTGCCGATACTGGAGAAGCGACTCATAAAGTCAGGTAGTTATTGAATATCAGTCAAGATTTTAATGGGATGCACAGTTGCCACGTTTCTGAAAGATATTAAAATAAGAGTACAGAAACGAGAGAACGAATTGAACTTCCAATGGAATGAAATGAAGTAAAAATGAGTAAATGAAAAGAAGGAAGGATGGCCCAGGACAAAATTTATTGCGGTTTTTCGTATCGTACATAGATTTGATACACCGATGCGGGCGAATAAATGAAGAGGCGCCACCATATGTATTAATCCGCCAGGGAGCCCTGTGCGACCTTCACACATCACTGTCATTGTTGAGGATCTCATGTGACAACGGGTAAACCTTCTCTTTTTTTTTTTTTTTTTTTTTTTTTTTTATTTCAGGTCAAAGGGTGGCAAAGTCAGTCACATGATCATTGTCTACTTACCTTGCATCCTTGCCTTTGGAGGAGCGTTAAAGTTTTGCCTTTTCCACCACTCGAAGCAACGACTTGACTTCTCGTTTTCTCCACTCATTCCTTTTTTTCTTTTCTTTTTTTTTTTTCTTTTTCTTTTTTTTTGTTTCTTTCATCCACAAGGTCACCGTATCTATTTCACCTCCTTTGAATCATGACAGCCCATAGTGAATCTAGCCCTCTTTTACATAGCAAACCCAATGCCAACGATACACCCTATACCCCCTCCACTTTAACTTCCTCAAGTACTGTGGTTTCTGCTTCACCTGAAGCTACTAAAGATAGAACTACAGCAGTAGCAGCAGCTCTACAACGCCATCAAGAGACGAGGGGTCTTTTTTATATGACCCTTTCCGCCTTATTTTTCAGTTTTATGTCCCTGTTGGTCTCTCTGACCGCGAAGACCATTCCTTCTTTTGAGATTGTTTTCTTTCGAGGTGTTGTGCAAACATTTCTTGGTGTTATAGCCTGTCGATGCCTCAATGTTTCACCCTTTGGAAATAAAGGCGTTCGGTTTTTGTTGTTCTGTCGTGGATTGGCAGGATCCTGTGGATTGGGGTTTTTCTTTTATGCGTTGAGTGTCATGCCTCTGGCAGATGCGACCGTCATCTTCTTTTTGGGACCTGTCTTCACGGCGATCTTGGGTAGGATTGTTCTCAAAGAGCCTTTCGGTCCATTGGATATGTTGGCTTCTGTGGTTTCGATGATTGGAGTCATCTTGGTCGCGAAGCCCTCAGTCCTGTTTCATCAGGATCCAAAGAGCTTCAGCGACAATAGTTCGTCCGCTGTCATGATGATGTTGCTACAGAGACAAGGAGAAGATCATCATCGACTCTATGGTGCTTTGGCTGGGATTTGTGGAGCAATGTGCTCCGCTGTGGTAAGTCATTTTTACAATAAAAAAAAAAAAAAAAAAAAAAAAAGGGAAAAGGGGAGATTCCAATAGCACTAATAGTAAAAAAAAGGGTCATTTAATATGCTATGCTGAGCTGGATTTGTCAACACACAAAATACGGCAGGCACTAGCGGATCTGGCGATGCAAAAGACAAACCCAATCTTTCTCCGAAACAAAAGCAATTCTTTGATCTGCATACTGCGCAAAAAAAAAAAAATCCGACCTCTTTTCTCTCTTGATTTCCTGTACATGTATTTTTTGCACATCAACATGCATATTTTCCCATGACGTTCGGACTTTTAAGCATCTTGCGGGATCTGAAGGTCTCCTGTTAACTTTTTTTTTTTTTTTTTTTTTTTTTTTCTCCCTTTTTTTGTTTCCTTTATTTAGGCATATGTGATTGTTCGCAAGATTGGAAAACAAGGTGCCCATTCCATGCAACACGTCGTCTACTTTGGTGTTGTGAGCTGCTTTGTAAGCATGATCGGTCTATATGCTCTCCAAGGTGGCTACAAAGCACCACAAGGTACTCTTGTGTGGACAGGCATTATCACCCTCGGTGTCGTTGCATTTATTGGACAGGTTCTTTTGAACTCGGGGTAAGTTTTTTTTTTTTTCTTTTTCTTTTTCTTTTTTTTTTATTTTTTATTTTTTTTGAAAAATGATAGCGTGTACAAACACGAATCTTAATTCTAATACGATGACTTTTTTTTTTTTTTTTTTTTTTCCTAATGTTCAGCCTACAATTGGCGCCTCTGGGACCAGGAACTTTGATGCGCATGAACGATATTGTATTCGCATTCATATTCCAGATCACCATTCAGCATGAAAATCCCGATTTCTTCAGCGTCTTGGGTGCCTCTCTCGTCATGCTCTGCACCGGCGGTATGGGTCTCAACAAATGGAGACTCGAAAAGAAAAGACAACAACAACAGCAATTGTTACAACAGCAGCAACAAGAGCAAGAGGCATAAGACAGTCATACCTTCTTGATGATTGTTCATATTTATCGAGTATACTTCTAGCTTTGTTTAGACAATGTATATACAATAGAACTTTTTTTTTTTTTTCTTTTTTTTTTTTTGTTTAGATAGATTACGTTTATGTTGTTCAATAAAAATATACAACAGGTTAGACCAAAAACAATAAAAAAAAATGGCGGATGAAAATACAAGTGGAGGTTGATGTGTTTAAAAAAGGATGAAAAATGAATGAATAAGTAAATGAAGCTGGGTAAGTGAAGGAACCCTCGTCTTTTTCTTTTTTTTTTTTTTTTCTTTTTTTTTTCTTTTCTTTTCTTTTCTTTTTTTTTTTTTTTAATGATTTTGGCCAGCTCCAGCAATCTTGGCCCGGTATTGTGCAACGAGCATAGCATGTGCCTGCTGCTGCTGCTCTATCGACATCATCCCTGTGGAAATACCCAGTTGAGCTCCCGCACTAGTTTGCAATGATGGTGAAGTCACACCTGCTGCAGCCGCAGCCGCAGCAGTTGTACTCAGATCCAAATTGGACCAGTCCCCATTAAACATCGCCATCGGATTCTGCACTCCTACTGTCAGTCCACTAATACCTCCAGACCCACTTCCCAAAACATTTTCAAGACCAGTCATCACGGTTGGCCCAAATGGTGCTGCACTCATCATCTTGCCATTGGTCGTGGTCATGATGGGAGGTTGTTGTTGTTGCTGCTGCTGCTGCAGCAAAAGCTGCTGTTGTTGATGAAGGAACTGGATCTGTTGTTGCTGCTGGGGTGTAAGAGAGCTATCCATGCTTTGGATTTGCTGCTGACGCTTCAGGTAGGCCATGATTGCCTGTTGCTGTTGCTGTTGGAGTTGCTGTTGCTGGAGTTGCTGTTGACGTTGTTGCTGCTCATGAAGTTGCTGTTCCTGCTGCTGACGGCGACGGTTCAACATATCCTGGTACATCAGTTGCTGCGCACGCTCCAATGTTGCAACGCCTTGCTGTTGTTGAGAGAGCGGCAGAGTTGTGAATGCATAAGGCAATTGAAGTTGATTGGTCTCCAACCCTGCTGTTATTGATCCTAGACCAGTCTGCATCTGATCTTGCTGCTGCGATGATAGCCTTTGTTGCTCTGAAACAGCTTGTTGCTGCTGCTGCTGCTGCTGCTGCTGCTGCAAGATACTTTGAGAGGATGGGTATCCCTGATGACCTGTATTCGAATGCTGCTGTTGCTGCTGTTGTTGTTTAATCTGCTGCTTTTGCTGCTGCTGCTGTTTTTGCTTAGCAGACAAGGGCCGTGCTGATTGACTCTCTGCATTTTGTGCCTGGGCTGCACTAGCCATCGCTTTGGATTCTGAAGAGTACCTTCGTTGACGCTTGGGGAACGTATGTGTCGAAGTGAACGTTGTGGTCCCAGAACTCATTGTTGTTGGTATCGATGTGCTGATTCCACTCATTCCATTCACTTGATTCGAGCCATCTGTACCGACATTTAGCGCTGCTCCTGTAGGCGTGGTTGGTGCAGAACTAGCGTTCGAAGAGTTCAGAGGACCCGAGTTTGGGAGATTGAGATTCATTGACTCCTTCTTGTCTTGAGTACTAGTTGCCGAGTTGAGCTCTATACTTTTACGCCGCTGTGCATTCTTCGTTGGCTTGTTCGGTGCATGCAGGTCGTCTGAGGATTTTGAAGCTTGCGTAGAAACAGAGCTAGATCCATCAGTGGATTCTCCATTTACTCCAGCTGTCTGCCCAGTACTAGCATTAGCTCCGTTTTGGCTCGTGCTGTTACTGGCATTCGCATTGTTTCGGTTTCGTTTCTTGATAACGTCTGTTTTGAGACTGAGCGGGCGGACAACGCCATGCAACTTCAGGAAGAGACCACAGGCATTGCAAAGTGGCAGACCTTCTGGGTTACGACGCCAAAGAGGTGTGTTCTGAGTACTGCAGTTGGTACATTTTGTGGGTATCAGTGGTACAGAAGATGCATTATCTGTAGCGGAATTAGAAGTCGAGATCGAGGTTGAGCTCGAGTTGGGGGTCGAAGTTGATGTTTCAGAAGGATTGTTATTCGGTGTAGAATTAGCAGGTTTCTCAGAGGATTCCTCGGAAAATGCTTTGGCCGTTGAAGTATCAGCTTTTATTTCTGCAGACTGACGAGCATGTGCACGAGAGCGCTTTCCAGGAACGATAGATGAGCTTGATGATGTTGGTGGTGTCTTTTTAGTGATGGGTGGACTGTCAGTGGTCCATGCAGGTTCCTGGTGGTTAGAGCTTAATGAGCTTGGGGGTATTGATATTGGTGGTTTCTCAGCCTCATCTGTGTCCATATTCGCATCTTCTCTCATAACACTGTCCGAAGGAGTCGATTGACTGATAGCAATCCCATTTGAATCAAAGGAAGCCGTCTGTTCGCTAAAGAAAGTGCCCGGCTGGCTGGTAAAAGGCAGCAGCTGTGCCGGGTCGATGAACCCGGAAGGCTGTCCTGTTTGAGAGGTAGCATTCAAATCATTTGCCGCATTGAAAAACCGTGCGTCCAAAAGCTCGGGATCCTGGATAAACCCAGATGTACCATCAACTCCCCCAAAGTTCATCATGGAGATCAAATCTCCATAATTTACTTCACCAAACGCATTAGTCCCTTGTTGTAACTGCTGCTGAAGAAGCTGTTGCTGTAAAAGATGCTGCTGTTGCTGCTGTTGCTGTTGCTGTTGTTGTTGTTGTTGCTGCTGCTGTTGAGCAGCTGCAGCGAGTAAATAGTCGGGATAAAAAATATTTTGATTTGACGTGGCAAGGGTATTCGCGCCTAAAAGATTGTCATCTGTAGTGTAGTCAGGTACACTTTCAGTCTTAATACCAAAGGAAGGAGCACTGGATGGATTTACCAAGAGCTTCTTTTGGGTCGGAGACTCTTGCTTAACAGGTACTTCATCTCCAGATTTTGATCTGGCTTTTGATTTGACTTTTGGTCTCTCTGAGGATTGGGTGGGGAAGACTGTTGTTGGGGAGGAAGGACGGGAAGATTCAAAGTCTGAGTCACCTGATGAAGCATCGTGAGGGATATTGATGCTTCCGAGGTATGGGTTGGGCATAGGGCTGCGGAATGTGCCTGCTGCTACTGACTGGAGGTTTGTTTGTTTGGCCGCCTGTGACTGAGTAATTTTATCTGTTGCTGATCCCGACGACGCCTGTTTTTTTTTTTAAGAAAAAAAAAAAAAAAAAAAAAAAAAAGTTAGAATAGAGGATAGTAACTGTAGTATGAGCATAGGACAATAAATTTACATATGCTTGCATTTAATTTACCTTGCCCTGGTAACTTGATAGTCGGTGTGTGCTATTGCGTGAACTTGAATGTCCAGATTTACTTCCTGTAGAGCTTCGAGAAAGGGTCGGCCTACTACTGCTTCCAGAGCTTCTATTACTTCCAACAGAGTTGAATGTAGTGCCAGCACCAGCGCCAAAATCTATAGAGATGGAGTTGGTTGGTGAGGGTGTCACTCCATTCATAAACGACCCTGTTGTGGGGCTTCTGCTTGGCTGGTTGGAATTATTATTATTGAAATAGCTATTGTTAGTGTTGGTGACGTTGATGTTGTTGCTGACAGACGATTTCTTTTGGCGGGAGGAAGGGGAAACAGATGAAAATTTGAAACCATTTTTCTGTGAGCTTGGAGGACTCTTGATGGGTGTCATCGTTGGAATACCACTAAACCTCATCTCTCTGGGCGAAGACGCTGTAGAAGACGCGTTCGATTGGGAGCCGTGGTCGTCGTCAGAGTCGGATTGCATAGTCGCATCATAAAATCCTGAGGTAGTACCGTGATGATTTGGTGCAGGAATGGCGATGCTCATGCTAGGCATGGGTTTGGAGCTCATGGTATCCATATGACTACAATTTTATCAGTAAATACGACACAATCATAGAGATAATAATGAGTAAAAAGGATCAATGCAGATGACTGGAGGGTCGCTCTTCCTAAAACGCTGTAATCAAGGCATCATGCTTTTCATGATGGACAACATGGCTCAATGTGATATTTAATATACCTTGGTTGACCAGCGGGGACAGGACATTCCAGCTCCATACTTTGTTCCCGCTCCTTGTCTTCCTTTTCCTTATTCTTCTTATGCAATGTCATAGCCATCATACGCCAGGTGAGATTCTCAAGCCGTTTCCCGTTAGGCAAAGAGTCTTTTGCCTTGGTATACAAGCGCCAGACTTGAGCAGCTAATGGATCCTCTTTCGCCTGCTTGACAGCCTCGTCCTCTTCAGAAGTCTCCTCATTAGTAGCCTCACTCGTAGGATGGACATTATGATAGTCAGTTCCGGATATAGGGCCTGGCGATCCCACCTCGGAAGGGTGCTTTTTCCTTGGTTTTGGTTTTGGGAAATCAATGGTGGAGGAGAGTAGAGACTCAGGGAGGCGAGCTGCAGAGGCGGGTTTTTTGCCCTTGGAGCCAGACCTATAGCTGCCGTCGTGAGAGGGTGCGGGGGATGAGGGAGAAGAGGGCGTGGGCGAGGCGTGATCGTAGCCTGGTGAAGTTGGGTAGTGTGGTGAATTATGATTCATGGCGGTGGAATGCTGGTTGTCAGTGGTTTATTCCTGTCTTTAGCAATGGATGTGGAATAGGCCAGAACAAAACCACTGCCTAGAAGGAACAAGTTTTGAGGAAAAAAAAGAAAAAGAACGAAGGGTAAGGATGGTTAGAACAAGTGGCAAGGGCAAAGTGTAATAGGAGGACAAGGATGGATAGAAAGTGATTGTGTTTAATGGCAACATCAATCAACTCTAAAAAAAGAAAAGACTGAAAATGTTGGATCCTTGATTGTGCATTAAGGATTTTAACGAGTATTATTTTTTTTATTTTTTAATTCCTGTTGGGGAGGTTTCAGTGGAGAGAAGAAAACGGACAGCGAAGGAAATTTCAGTGGAGGCTGAGGATGAATTGCAAATATGAAAAAGGGCGTATGCTTACAAGACAAAAAAAAAAGGGGGGGGGGGATGGAAGCGAAGGGAGATGCAATTTGCAATGATGAAAATGGAAGAAAATGATTATATGAAGGAAGGAAGGAAGAAAATGAAATGAAGGAGGAAATGAAATGAATAAAGAAAAGTATTTTTTGACGATGGAATGTGTTGGTTGGTCAACGTCCTTTCAAGAACGGATAGAGAACAAAGAGGGTGTTTGTGTGTAGATGAATAACCAAGCCATTGATTCTACTTTGTATTAAGGTGAGCTGCAGGAAAATGAGAATTGGGTAAACAGGAAAAGAGGAAGATAAAACAGGAAAGCAGATAAACAGGGGCAACCTGTGTGTGGGGAAGAGTCCCTGATAATGTTGGACAAGCAATCGACATTCGGGGCAACGCAAATGTGTTTTTTTGGTTCCTGCCATTGAAAATTGCTACTAAACCCAAAGGAGTCAACAGTGCAACAGTTTGGCTGATATTGAAGGCTTTCTTTTTGACTTTGTTTTTTCTTTTTCTTTTCTTTTTTCTTTTCTTTCTCACTAACTGGCCTACTGGTCTACTGGTCTACTGGTCTACTGGTCAAAGAAGGATTGCAATGGTGGTGGCAAAAGAGAAGTAGGAGGTACCATCATCATAATAATAATAATAATAACTAATAATAATAATAACTAATAATAATAATAACTAATAATGATAGTAATAATGATAATAACTACTAATAATAATAACAATAACAATAACAATAACAATAATAAAAGTAAAAGTAATAAATAGGAATAGAGGTGAGAAATTCTACATGTACATTACATTCTTGTGTGTGAGGAGAAGGAAGAAAGGGGGACGTGTCTTTTCAAGGGAATATTAAGAGATGCAAGTGGGGGACAGGCTGCAAAAGATGAGAGCACTGACAGGATAGAAAAGATTATGATGTTGTGATTTATGAAGTATGCGTCTGTATGATGTTACGGAGTGTACGGGGCTTTTTTTTTTTTTTTTTTTCTTTTGGGATATCTCAAATGCATGCATTGGGAAAGAAAAAAAAAAAAAAAAAAAAAAAAGAGAGAGAGAGAGAGAAAGAATTGGTCTAGGGAGTGCAAAGTACAAAGAAGAATAGGAGAGGAAAAAAAAAAAAAAAAAAAAAAAAAGACACCAGGAAAAGGGGTTGCAAAGAAGAATGTGTACATGTGTACATGTGATTTGCATGAGAATGGAGGCAATCGTGTCAGGCAAAGTCAGAAGAGGAGGTTTGTTACCTGTGCAAAGAAGAAGAAGAGAGAAAGAAAGAAAGGGAGAGTGAAGGTAAATGAAAGGAACAGAATGACTACAGAAACGAAAGAAGCAGGTGGGATGAAAGGAAAATGGATCGACAGCAAGATGAGGAAAACCAAAAAGGACTAAAAGGAATAAAGGATGCAACAGATACACCACAGGAACAATGGTCGATGCTTTTTTTTTTTTTTTTCTGCGTGAGTGTGACGGAAGAAAGAAAAAAGAGAAGAGCTTTGCCTTTCGGTTTGTGTTGGCGAGGGGCTGTATAGATCTCGAGATGGTCATGAAAAGATCGGGAGTAATATGAAAATACAGATAATTGACCATGTCTGGTCTTAATTTGCTGACGACCACTCCACATGACATGAGATCTGTGCTCGTCTTCTTATTTGTGCTGGATCTAATTAAACTCAACTACATCACACAAGCCAATCTTAAAGGCACAGCATCGTCGTCAAAAGATGGTTCTTTATTTATTCAGATTACTATAGCAGTTATCATGCATGAAAAAAAAAAAAAAAAAAAAAAGTGTATCTTGAACTTTACTGATGGACAACTGTGTCAGGGTTCAATCGGAAATCGCTGAAAGTAAGGAAAAAGAAAAAAATACTGGATTAGAATCATAGAATCCCAGATACAAACAAAAAATTTTTTAAGAAAAGAAAAAAAAAAAAAAAAAAAAAAAAAAAAGTATTGTCCTAGCTTTGAATGCTTACATAAATCCAAGACTTCCATCTGAGCTCATCGAGGTCATAAGCGATCGCTTTGGGTGAAAGGCTGCTTTGAAGACGCGTTTCTCTATGTTCACAAGCGTTTGCAGTGTTTGCAATGCTAGTCAATTGACTCCTAAAGACTAATTTCTTTCTTTTTCTTTTAATGGCTCACTTTTTGTCAAAACGTTAATTCTTACCATGAACATCAATTGATTGGCCTGCACCTCGATGGACATCCTTCCATCGAATATCCCAGATATTGATCTTGGATTCAATCTGCATTCCACTGCTAACGATAGCACCAGCAGGGTGCCAAGATGGCAATATCTGCTTTGAAAGTCTGTCCGCACTGTCAAACCCGAACTCGAGAACTGGCGTTTCAAACCTTACTCGGGTATCATGCAGCAACAGCTGGTTATGCGTTGTAGCTTGGCTTATCAAAAACAAATTCGGATCCACAGGATTCTGCAGGATGGAATTGATTCGACCATCCTTGTTTTTGTACTCCACTACAATCTCTGATCGGACCATGTCAAAGCCAATAACTCTACAGTCGCACCCTCCCGAATAGAGGACATTGCTTTGCGAAGCATAGCATAAAGCTTGTATCGTACTAGTGTGCTTATTATGAAGGGGGCTTTGTTGGATCGGAGTACGATTTCCGTCCGTATATTGTGATGCAAACTGCCATTTGACCTGCAAGTGAGAAAAAAAAAAAAATAAAAATAAAAATTAAATAAACACAAAAAAAAAAAAAAAAAAAAAATTAATACAAGAAATCCTTGAGCCCTGACATTTTATCATCATAAACGAGTCTCATGCAAAGTACCGCAAAAGACTAAACTTACAATTTGCTTATCCACACCAGCAGTAACCAGAGACATCCCATTCATATCTTCAATTAAAGAGCTAACACACACAATACCACCTCTGCTCCCATCATGAGGTGATTCTCTTAAAGGTTGAATTGTCCAAGAGATCGAGGTAGCACTCATCCCTAAGGCTGATCTATACGGTTTGGCTTTCTCAACATGAACAAGTGCCAATTGATGCTGGAGTGGGACACCTTCCTTGTGAGCACTTGCTATAGCTAGCGTATTTTGACCCACCCAGCACATATCCTCACACCATGGTTGGTTCAGGTGGCTTCGAGGAATTGTCGAGATCAGATGACGGTTCTCGAGATCCCAGAATTGAATAGACCTACAAATACACATAGCGTACGATATCCACTCTTAGTACAAGTACAAGTAGCAATTTGATCCGCATTACTAACGCGTATTAAAGAAATAAAAATAAACCATGCAGCGTACCCATCCAAGGAGTTAGCCACCATAACCTCTTCCATATCAGCTCCAGCAATTGAAGAATGCATAACCATATTTCTTGGCTTCCTCGCAAAAGCCTTATTACGGATATCGGCATGAATGTTTGTAAAAGTCTCCACGACATTAGACGCAGCAATCCTGATGCGGTCGTCATGCAAGGATGGCCCGGCAGTAGAGTGCTCTCTTTTCGGAACTCTATCTCGGTCGGACGTTGAGAATACAGGTCTCTGAGTCTGCTCACGATGAGATTGAGCTGATCGGGATGGAGAAGGTGGTTGTGGCAAGCCTTGAGTTCTCTTTGTTGTTGTCATAGAAACAGTATTTCTAACAAATGATGCCAATGTGACTCTGTCATTGCTGTTTGGAATACTAGGCCGTCTTGTAAGGGATGTCCGATCCGAGCCAGGACTCGCGACCAGCGTATGCTCACTCATATGACGGAAACGTCTCTCGAGTTTTCTGCTAAGATCCCTAATTTTTTTAGATGAGGTTTTGACTTTATCACTGTATTTTGCATGTTTGGTTCGAGTGCGCTCCAACTAGTTGATACATTTAAAAAAGTACAATGCCAATGAGATTTGTGCAGACAATTAAAAGCATGAACACATGTCCTTATGCAGTCATAATCAAGAAACCCATACCTCAAGCATCAGATCATGAATAACACCATGCATCTTGAGTGCAGAGGCATTCGTCGTTTGTAGCTGTTCATGATCCGAATCCTCAGAGCTGGACGACTCAGAGTCCGAGGTTGATTCTGCTGAAGAGGAATCTTCTTCTTTTGTCGACTTTTTTCGTAATCTCCTGGATAAATCAGGTGATTGACTACTTCTGGGCCTCTTTTGACGACTATCTTCTCCTCGCTGGGGCATCATTTCGGAGGGTGTGGCTGAAGTGGTGGCCTGCGTTGACACTGGAGGTTGAGTTGAGGCTGGAGCAGGGACTTGGGTTGAGGTAGAACTTGAAGAGGAGGGTGGGTTCCTGTCTCGTTGGAAGACGGAGGTGGCGAGTAAGGAGAGAGGGATAAGAGGTTTACCATCCATACTGGAAAGAGATTTTGTGTGTTCAAATTATATTCGTCGTCAGTTGCCACCAAAAATTTAGGCACAAAAAAAAAGCTGTTCTTCTTCTTTAATTGATTATTGGTTTATCAAAATTTGTATTCAACGGGTACAAATAAGCATACAGAACAGAGCAGTGCAGCAATCGAGATGGTACGACAAGGAATGAATTGAAAGTGGAATGAGAACGAATGAAACAAAGAAAATAAAGACCTTTCTTTTTTCTTTTCTTTTCTTTCTTTCTTTCTTTTTTTTTTTTTCTAGGCGGAGCTGTGTTCTGTTGTTCTGTCTTTTTTAGAAAAAAGGTGTGGATACCAAAGTGGCTTTGTCTAGAATACGAGAGCTAATTTATATATTATACTTTATGCTTCTAATGAGATGTTATTAGGCTCGTCACCAGCCTGAGGGTGCAGATGCACATCCTGAAAGGCAAATGTGGCTTGCTCTTGCAGACACTACTCTCTCACTCAGGCTGGTGGTGACCCTAAGATGTTATTACAATATTTGAACCGTTCATTCGGATATTTGGTATTTGGGGCCTACCTGAGCAATTGTCCATAACTGTTATCTGTCGATTGCGGATGAACGCTCATAATGGGATTACGGCTCTGCAGTTTTTTGGCTGTAACACAAATAAAGGCCTTCAGACTCATAGAACTAGCCTTGCAGTCCGAATAGGAATGTTTAAGCTTACAAAGGATAGGGCAAAATACTGACGGCCGAAGTTTGTAAACCCAATGCAATCGAGTTTTAATTGAACATGGTATTGTGGGCCTCGTTGCTTCGGCCTGCCAAGATTGAGTCCATTGTGCCTGTCGTGTCACATCCGCAGTGTTGCTTGTTGTTCCCCTCAATTTCACTCACTTTCCTGAGGTTGCGTCGCGAAACTCCTTTTTGTTCAAGTCTCTTTTCGCATCTACACTGACCATGCACGGCCTTTCAGACTTTGTCTTCACTCGAATGCTCAATGAGGACCCTGTCCTCAAGACGATCGCTATTCTCGGCACATTACCATCACCAACAGACAATAGTCTTGTACAGCCTGCCATCTTGCTCATTGAAAAGACTCATTTCGCAATACAAACCACTGACAGTGACATTACTCAACGCATCTCGGATCTAATCTCCACTGGCAGTAATGACATTTACAATTGGTGGAATGCCATCCTCTCTCCGGGAAAAAGCAATGACCCTGATCTGAAAATGACCGTTATTTATCCGGCCACTGAGGCTGTAAGGAACTTGGCACAGTAAAAACAAAATCAATCATTCTCTTTAGCGAACTTTAATATTGACGCGACGCGTAACATTGTTTGAATAACATAGCATATTGCCAAGTACTCGCACCAAACTCGTAAGATGATCACAGAGACTGCTGAGGTCTACAGGACGGCTGTATTACCATGGATCGAGAGTCAGCCCAAGAGCAGAATCCAATGGGTGGAGAATATTCTAAGTGGTCTTAAAGAGCAAGAGAATGTCCTCTTTCGAGATAACGATCCCAATACGGGATTCATTATTTTGCCTGACAGGTATATTGTCAAGATCAGCTTTGAGATTGTCGCTTTTAATTTTTAATTTTTATATTAATTTGTTGAAACAATCATTCCTTCTGCGATTGTAGTAAATGGGACAAACGAACATTGTCCTCGCTCTATTTATTGGCCATCTCACAGAGGTCGGATGTACGTTCCCTGCGCGATCTTAGGCCAGAGCATCTGCCCATGCTTAAAAATATTCGAGACAAGGTTCTGGCTATGGTCCCTGAAAAATTCCCCGGTGTAGCCTCTGATGAAATCCGCATGTTTGTACACTACCATCCCAGTTACTGTAAGTTTCCGATATCCAAATGTTCTCACCTCTTCTGTTAGTAATATTATGAAGCGCGTAAATATTAATGCCAAATATTGCCGTGTGTGTATATGTATATGTATGTATGTGTGTCTAGATCACTTCCATGTCCATATAACATATGTGACAGCTCATGTTCCAGGCAGCACTGTCGGCCAGTCTCACCTGCTGGACACCATTATAGATAACATTGAGAATATTGATCGGGAGTATTACAGCAAGGCTTCGCTTCGTTTTGCTTTGGGCGTCAACCATCCCATTTATGAGATAATTACCAAGTCCCAGATCGCAAACTGATGGACGTCACAAGCCCATTTCGATGTGCAACTAGACTACGCATATAACTTTCTGGTCCAACATATGATAGTAAATATATATATATTTGCTCTTTTTTTTTTATTTTTTTTTATCAGCCCAATGTTCATGGCTGAGGCTCAAAAAAAAAAAAAGAAAAAAAAAAGAAAAGAAAATCGTTAATCCGAATGTCGTTACGAGGAAGATTTGCTCGTCTCTAGTCTTTTTCTTTTTTATTCTTTAACCCCTGATCAACCAATTGGCGTTGGAGACTTGAATAAAAAGGTCGATTCCACTCATACTACCATGTTTGGTCAGTCCGCATGAAAGCCTCCTCTTCATGCTCGTTTTCTTTTTTTTTTTTTTTTTTTTTTTTTTTCATCCTGCGGTCCAGACAATTGACAACGATGTCGGATTATCAATATGCAGTTGAGCTGTTTTTTTGTTTGTTTGTTTCCACGGATGAAATCAATTCCGTACATTCGGAAGCTGTGCTCCAAATGAAGTTGTTCATTTTGCATGTGGACATGCAGTACATGTATATACATGAATCCCGAATCCTTTCTTTTCCTTTCTATTCTTCATCAAGAAAAAAAAAAAAAATTTTTTTTCTGTTGCCTTCGTCGATTTTCTTTTTTTTCTCTTCCCCCTTCCTATCCCTTCTCATCTTTGCCTTTCATTTCTTTCTTTCTTTCTTTCTTACACTCTTTGACCTAAAAGCGTGCTCTTATAAAACTTTTCTTCTCCAGCACAGAAATATATATTAACCCTCCTCCATTTTCTCCATTTCCTCAATTATTGATAAAATCGCTCTAAACCTTCCATTTAACTCTTCTTCAATTCTAGAAAGTTTCTTTGGAAGATTGTGAAATACATTAATGCCATAAACCCTTTTCGACTTTTAACAAACGGACAAATAACAGCATTCAGTTTTTTTCCCCCCCCCCTCCTCTTATTTTTTTTTTTTTTTTTTTTTTTTTTTTTTACAGATCACGCTAAAACCCGTATTTTTTTTTTTTTTTTTTTATTTATTTCAGGAACAGAACAGAAAGAGTTAACGGATGAATCTATCACCATCAGTGCAATTGAGGAGGAGATGCACGTCCCTCTCAATATCTTCCCACCACATGTACAAACAAAATCATAAACAAAAAGATCATTATGAACAACAACAACAACAACAATATGAGCTGCGCCCACCTTCAAGTAATTTCCTTCTTCAACTTTGTATCCTTTTCTGTGTGACGACATCCATGATGGCTTCTACAACGAATGCATACCCAATCATCGCACTTGATGAAGGCCATCGAGTTGGGGCAGCTCAATTCATGAACGGAACACATAATCCTATAAACGGCTTTGACGGTCCAGTGATCTTGGACGTTGGTCAGAAAACCAGAGTGACCTCCGAGAATGCCATCCTTGGGATCATCCTCATCGCCTTGGGTCTCGTCCAGGTCTTCTTTGGCTTCAGACTCATCCGCGCGACCCTGGTCGTAACCGGATTCGTATCCTGGGGTAAGTTCTTTGAAATGAAATGCAAAAAAAAAAAAAAAAAAAAAACTTTTTATTTTTATTTTTTTTATTTTGCTCCCTGAATTTTGGGGGTAGAGTAGGCAGAGCTCCTCCAAAAGACCACTCCACTCTGTCATCATCCTGCTCACACTTTTTATTCAATTACTAACTTACATGTATATATATATTATATGTATATTTGTATATATATTTCATAGCTTTTGCGGTCATCATTCTCATGGTGACTCTGAATTGGAACATCACGTATCTGCTCCTCAAACCTGAATACTATTATTTCTGGATGTGGTTCTTGGCAGGAATTGTCGGAGCGATCTTGTCATTCCGTTTCTGGGACCTCGGGGTAACGTTTTCTGGAGGGTTCGGAGGCTTTGCAGTCGCGGTTGTGATCATTGCAGCGACGAACCATACGATGTCCGGTGCGGGCCGGTACACACTTTTAGCAATCTTTATCCTCATTGGTGCAGCCATTGCCACATTCTTTGAACGAATCTCCATCATCATTGGGACCAGTTTCGGAGGAGCGTTCTTGTTCATGTATGGGGTCGATGAGTTTGCACAGGTCGGGTACAGAGAGATGTTGGTCATCTTTGAAATTGCGGGGAAATCTCTAGTCTACCATCCGAATTCTCGGGTGTATCTCATGTTGGGGGGCTGTCTCCTCTTGGCCTGTGTAGGGATCGCATGGGAATTCTGGCATCATGCAAAGCCTTTGTGGGTCAGTCGTGAAGCTGTCTTTAGGATCTATGGTCGACCTTTTGGGAAGAGACCCCACGCATTGGCAGGTCAGCGTTTTTCACAACATATTTCCCAGATGGATTGGTATACCTATCTGGTGGGCTGCCTCTGTCTAAGGAGAAAGACAGCAGAAGAAGTTCTCTACGAGGATTATGAGGAAAAGGAGATTGAAGACAGCGACTTTGTCGTCGTTGGAGCCACTGCTAGCCAAAGCCATCACAAGTTGCCATTGAAACTACCACCTCAGCCACATCCTCAACTCCAACTACCGCAATCACCACCTATGAAGGAGGAGGAAGACTCAATAGTCGTTATCGTTGAGGCGGAACATGGTATCAACAGTGGTAGCAGCGCTAACAGTTCAGGGAGTGAGAAACTGTCGGACTCTGAAACTATTGTTCCAGGTGAAAGTGGTATATCCTCCATTAAGCCACCGAGCCATGTCGATCCGCTTGTACCCGAGTCGTCACCATCACCATCACCATCACCATCACCATCACCATCACCATCAGTAGCGCCGGTCGAGGTTGTGGTGGAGGAAATAAGCTATCAGGATGACAGTGGTGAAGGGGTGGTGGTGCCTGCTGAGACGTATACAGAGTCGATTGTTCAGTCCAGTGATGGCACGGCTGTATCTGTATTAGAGACGAAGACAAGCACAATGTCAAGCAGCTCTTCTGAATCTCATGCCTGTCATAGTAGCTCGAGGAACGAGCAATACCAGTATCACCATCAAAGCTCATCTAGGATAGCTACTACTGCTACTACCACTACCATTACTACTACAATTGGCACTAACAGCAGTAGCAGTAATAGCACCGCTGCTGCTGCTGCTGTTGAAATGGTTTCATCTCAGTCCATCTCTTCGTCACAGACAGCTTTAGAACAACAACAACAACAACAGCAGCAGCAGCAGCAGCATGATCTTAACAGTAGTTTAAATGTGTCCTCAACTTCACGGACCGAAACTGTGCCTCATTCGGCGTTGCCTTCTCTGAACAGGTCTAGCATCGCTGTAACGTCGGAAAGTCATCATGTTTCCTCCACGTCGACATTTACTTCTTCCTCTTCATCATCAACAACCGTGACAAGGACTACAGCTACTGAGGGAGGGCAAATATGAAGGCTGCATCAGAAAAAAGAAGCAGCTTGAGCATTTTCCATTGTATTTAGACCAAGGAACAACTTGTATATAATATTCGCTGAATAAAAAAATAAGTAAATAAATAAAGTAGACTAGAATATGATTTTATTTTTTCATCTTTTCTTTTTATCTTACGATATGCATTTTCTGATCCGTCCTCCTTTTTTTTTTTTTTTTTTTTTTTTTTTAGACTTATGATTAATAGTTCTTCATGGCATCTGCAAAGATCTTCTCCAATGCTTCAGAACCCGTTTCTAATGGAGCCAGTTTAGTCACGCGGTGTTGAGGCAGCGTTCCCTTGACCAAGGCTGGGATATCGTCCTTGGTGTAACCCAAGGCCTCCAATCCATTGGGTACGCCTAGGTTCTCCAAAAACTTTGTCAATTGTTCGGCTAATAAGGGTCCTGCACTCTCGGCCTTCCGCACCTTGGATGAAACATCTGCGCCAAAGATCTCAGCCGCCTTGAAATGGCGATCAGGACATGCCTCGCCCGTGTACCGGAAGACTGCTGGTGCTGTTACCGCCACGGAGATTCCTAAAGTGGGGAAAAAAAAAAAAAAAAAAAAAAAATTAATGGAATATAAACGGCCATGCAAAGGGAGCAGGATGGATCACATTTAGTTGCCATTTCATTACCATGGGGAACGATCTTGTGATCGACATTGTACTCTGGATGTTTGTAGCTTTTGTTAAGTCCACTAATGGCTATAATTCAAAAAAAGGGTTTAAATTGATGAATAAAAATCCTAACTCTAGCTAGACCTTGCCTAAGAAAGAAAAAGAAAAAAAAAGAAAAAATGCGTAACTTACGATAGCTCATTCCATGACAGAGCTTCATGAAGTTTGGGGGGAGGAAAAATAAATTTTGGTTAGTGATTTATCCGAGGGAAATATTTTTTGCGACATTTTTTTTTTAATATTTTTACATTACATGAACACCCGCAGAGCCAAATCCAGTTCCGGCAGCAGAGGCAGCTAGACACATTTCAGCATTGGCCTCCTTATCCAAAGGATCATTAGCAGATCGTGCCAAGTACTTGACAGTCAATCTAAGGGCTTCCAAGGACCAAATGTCCGAAATTGGGTTGGATCCTTGATACGCTGGTCGTTCTGCTGGGTTAGTAGGACGGGGGGTGCGTTCGTTATAAGGTATGGCTGTGTAGGATTCGAGCGCATGGCACAGTACATCCAGACCTGAAGCAATTTTGACTTGGCGGGGCATGGTCTGTGTGTTGAGTGGATCGACAATTCCCAGGGTGGGTCGCAATTTACGATTGGCAATGCCTGTCTTCACATTCAGTGGTTTGTAATCAAAGATGGCCGTCCCCGTGGTCTCACTTCCTGTGCCAGCTGTTGTTGGAACTATTGGAGGGGCAGAAAAATTGATTTGAGAAATTTATGTGTGATATTCCCACGGTGCTTGTTCCCTGTCCCATTTTTTTTTTTTTTTTTTTTTTTTTTCACTCACAACTCCACTCTTCACTTTACCAGCAATCAATGGCGATAATGTCTTGTGGATCACGCTGCCCTTCCCGATCGGCGAATTCACAAACTCAAGTAGGTCTGCTTCAGGATAATGCATATACAGGTTGGCTGCTTTGCAGGTATCCATGACAGAGCCACCACCTACTGCCAAAAAGACGTCTGGTTTATGTTGCTTAGCAAAGTCAATGGCGTCCTGGAAGCTTTGGTCGGATGGTTCGACCCTTGTACGGTCATAGATTACGAATGGGACACCATTCGCCTTGAGAGACTCGACTACAGTCTTCATTACAGGCAACTTTGCAATGTTGGGATCGGTCATGACAAGCACCTTTTGCGCTTTCATATTGGCCAGATCCTGACCCACCTCTCTGGTCACCCCTTCACCAAAGCGCATGGTAGAGGAAGCCATTTCGAATGCATATTCTTTATCACTTTGAAGGTGGTCATGACCGCATTCTTGAGTGTGATGATGGTGTTTGGAAGTGTGATCATGTGGCTGTTGACTCTGAAGTGTCTGTTGTTGCTGTTGCTGTTGCTGTTGTCTTTGGACAGCGCGAGCATGGGAATGTGCAGGACAGGTACAAGACTTATTCATGAGTGAGATCAATGACCTGATCGATCCCTTTGAGGACTGAGCTACTCTGACAGCTGACATGGCTCTTAATATACACTTATATTTTTTGTTTCCTTAGCTCTGGAGAGTATGTGTGTGGCAGTATATGAATGAAAACAGAAGCAGCAGAAGAGAAAGAAAGTGAGAGAGAAATTCGTAAAAGAGATGAATGACGACGAAATAAATGAATGGATGGCTGAATGAGTGAATGTATAAATGAATGCGAGCGAGTTAAATGCAAGAACGTAAAGCGAGCCGAACGAGACTTCTCTCACGAATTGCTTGTGTTCCCCTAAGATTGTGTTCCCCCTCCCTCTCTCTTGGTTCGAGGAGTGAAGAACGCGTCTGTGCAATGTGTGTCTGTGTATTGCATTGTGTATTTGTGGTACGCGTTTTTTCACATGGAATCCGTAGTCAATGGAATATACAACTATGCAAATACGTTGGTACGAGTATCTTGTCTTTGGGGCACGACCTCATCGGTTGTCTGGGAGAATGTTACAAACGTGCAAAGCAAAAGGGTCCTGTCAAAGTCACGTCACATCTGATTCTGACCTGTGCTTTAAGGTTTATAGAGAGATTCTCTAAATGGGATTGAACTTGCAAAAGAAGTCGACTCGGAGATGTGGGAAGCTGTCTGATAACTCATAACTGAAACCTCATTTCTTTGGACTCGATCAAACCCATATAATCGACAATATTGCTGAATAGCATGTTCTTATAGTTCCTCATCACCTTGGGTGGTTATGGTGGTGATGGTGGTAATATGTGTGTGTTTGGAAAGATAGGCGACAAAAGAGGACGGTACGAATGAGCAAAGTAGAGAGGAAGAAATAATTAATTGTGGAGACAAAGGGTATCACCAGCTTTTTAGTAAAACTTAATTCAGGAGGAGATGGTGTGTCCGTGTGCGCGATTATAAAAAAAAGGCGCGTAGATACACGCGTCATATTGTCGATTAGACCACTTTGGTCCTCCAAGTGGAGTGCGTTTTTTATTTTTCCTTTTCAATCCGTTATCATCCGCTTCTTATCATTGTGTAGGAGAGTGCCATGTAGTTGTATATAGCTAACCTCTTATTCATTTCCGAATGTATCGAATTAGGGAAGAGGAGGAGGAGGAGGAGCAGGGGAACCTATTAGCTTGTTGTATATACATGCATGAGCCACGGGGTGAAAACCTTTTTTTTTTTTTTTTTTTTTTTTTTTTTTCGGTATTCTTGATGAAGGTTGTTTTTTTTCTTTCCTGGCTACAAAAAGCTCTTTTTTTTCATATTAGCACATGTACCACGGGGCTTTGAGTTGTACAAGGGTGCAACAAGTGGTACTACAGCACAAAACTCATGCACAACATGCGCGTTTCGCCAAAGGAAAATCTCATTTCCTCCACAACAAACAACCTCAAAAAAAGTAATCCGAAAAAAACTAAAAAAAAAAAAAAAAAAAAAAAAAAAGGAATTCATATTGTTATGCTATGCCAACAATAATAACAAGCTTTTATTATTACTGTTATTTATTTTTCCTTCATTCTAAGGGTTCCACGGGTAGATCGAATGTCTAGACTATAAATTGCTTAGGTCTAATGCCGTTTTGTCCAATCGTAAAAAAGCCAGCCAATACACAAATGCAACAACAACACACACATATGATGATGTCCATTATATATCTATCTTTTTATTCAAGGGTTTGCTTGACTACAAGACAAAGATTTTAATGTGGGCTGTGAACCTAATTGCAAACCATAAAAATAAAAAAGTGTCGCAATGGGCTAGTCTACCAATGACTTTAGTTTATAGAGTTTAAAAAGAATTTTTCCTTCAGCCGCATGGGGATTGTGCAGAGCACAGAGCAGAGAAGCAGAGAGTGGAGAAGAGGAAGGGTGAGTGAAAAGACAAGTGCCATTTCTACGAAATGAAAAGCCACCTTATATTTTAGATTGAATTTAACAACAGTGTTTGCCTTCTGATGGCCCTGACAACCAATTTTCCGAATGAAAAAAAAAAAAAAAAAAAAAAAAAAAGAGAGTTTGTAGTCCTATGACTATAGGCTGACGTATGGGGGATGTGCCTGTGAAGGTGTGGGGGATGTGGAGGATAAGATGTGCATTACTAGTTGGGCACACATCAAAGCTTATTGACAAATGAAGAATCAAAAAAAAAAAAACATCCGAAAGGAAAAAAGAGGATCAAACCCTTGAAGTGAGGAAAAGATTTAATTTAGCGCTGTAATGACAATGCTGTAACAACCTGGTTCCTTGATTTGAATAACAGGCTGCAAAATTCGATAGAATGAAGGTTATCTTTTGTAGCGTATGAAACGGAAAGTGTGTCTCTCCAGCCACGCGGCATACCTGTCTGGTTTCCCTTGTGTCCGATATATCCAATAAATATGTATCCTTTTCTTTCTTTTTTTTCCCTCCCCATAGAGATTACCAACCGATCATCCCCCTTTTTTTTTTAAAAAAAAAAAAGAAACCCCTCTTCCCACCACGAGACATATAAAAAAAGTCTGGATCAAGGATTTGGACTGCCAATGGACAATGGGGTGAGTGACAGATAATGCAGAACGATGAGCCTTCAGAGGATCAAAGTTTAAAGATAAGGCAATGTTGTACTATAGTCAGGCCAGTAATAATGATAACAATAGTAAATAATATATTAATTATATATAAATATATTGAATATTTATTTTTTATAATATATACATTGTGTATAATGGACCCATTCCTTTGTACTCCATTGGGCAAGTATTGATTCCCTGGGCATGTATGTATATATAAGACAAAGCAAGTCAGAGAGACACAAGAAGGAGAAACACATCAATAACCAGACCTACGATAGATCGGGAATGTGGAGGAGTGTGAAAAGAAAGAAGCAAAGATGAATGTCGATGCAAAGCAAGGAATGAATGAATAAAAAGATCTGTCCACAAAGAAGGACCTTGGATGACGCATGGTATCAGGAACATGTTATTGTTCACAATGTAATGTAATCCCTTTAGTTTTCTATTTTGGATCCGACTGGACCGCATACTTGTTTTTATCCGATCCGGTTAAAAAAAAAAAAAAAAAAAAAAAAAAGCGCTTCTCTTACTCAATATGGACCTGCCTTCCCACTTTCTGAAAAATGAGTAACCACTTGGAGTACGCGATCTCCTATTTTTTTTTTTGCTCATTACGACAGAGGTATAAATGTGAGATGGAGAAGAGAGGATGGGTAAAGGATAAATCGGGGCATAAAGGCAAAAGCTTAACGCCAACAGCGAAAAGAGGTTGTTGTGATGATTTATAGTTTTATATGTATATATTTGTATAAATACAATATCCAACATGGCCGAGTGAATTGAATCCTTCCACCTTTCTAATTGAAAGTCGGTTCCTATTATATAAAAAATATCGCTTTATAAATATCGCCAATTTTATTTGGTCACGATACCTTATATTTTTAATCTAAAAACGATGATTGAATTGTTCTGGTGGCATCTCACTACGTGACGGACTTGCAACAATACTCGTAACAAGCGAGCTAATTGGCTGCCAATACACTCGAAAGTATTCAAAAAATATAAGGTATCGCGACCAAATGAAACGGGCTATATAATATAATAGCAAATAGAATAATAAGGTTGAGTTTTATATCCCTTATTATATACCAACATCAATGGAGTACTGTTTGGATGTATAGCTTGTTGTGGAGGGGTGAGGATCAAAAATTAAAATGGACATTTGCCTCTAAGCAATTGTTTCCCAACTCGGTTACTAAAAAAAAATTTCTTTGTAGTGATGACAATCATTTTGGGGAATGAAGGGCTCTTAGGAAGCAAATGAAACCTGTGATGAGACCCCCCCCCTAGGCCAGAATAGGCTTGAGATCAGGAACAAAGGATGACGGAATTGAAATCCGATGAAGCTGGTGCTTGATGTTTTATGGAGAATATGAATAAGGAAAGGAATGAAGATTTTTTTTTCTTCTCAATCAAATATGCCTAACGATTTTTATGTTTGTTTTAACGTGCGTACGATAAGGGTGTGTGTGTGGCAGGGGAAGAAAGATGAGGCGTTGGTCAACATTGCAATGTCTGTATCTGCGGGTGAGAAAGAGGGATGGAGATAGAGATTGTGAAATGCTTAGATAAAACAAATGTGTCAAGTATATACATAATACATAAGAAAAAATAATTGTTAATTGTTGCAACCGCAATATAAGGTTGAACAATAGAATTGAATATATCCTTATAGACGACCAAAACAATCGAGGTCCAATGCCAGTCGTATAAAAGAGGCACAACAACATTCACCTTCTCTCTTTTTTCTTTCTTCTTTTCTTTTCTTTCCTTTTCTTGTGCTCTAGCTCATCTTTATCTTTCCTCTCTCCTCTCTCCACTCTTCACTCTCTTTATTTCTTATATATCTTGTACATATAAACAATCTTTTAATCCTCGCATTCAAATAGAAAAAAAAAAAAACACGTCAAGGTAAGTTTGTCGAGGAATGAACATGAATGAGCAAATTGAGCGAATGAGTGAATGAGCAGTTCACAACCATCGCGATGGGTGTTGTGAACATTTCTTTGCAAGTTTGTTCCTAATGATATTAATGTTGTCCCCTTTATTATTATTATTCTTGTTATAGGAAAGTAAATAAAAATGTCCGAAGGAGAAAATACCCTGTACCCCGTCCCTGCCAGACTCCACGATGCATCCCAATGCCCTGAGCCCTATGTCAAGTCTGTAGAGCAGTACAAGGAGATGCACCGCGAGAGTATTGAGAATCCTGAAAAGTTCTTTGGAAAGGTATAAAAAAGTGGCAATTTTGTTATTCCCAATCAATCATGGGATTCTTAGAATGCCACAGTATATACGTGCGTAATCAAGATATGAGAGAACCCTCCCCCCTGGGAAGCATTGCAGATGACTGGAAAGCTTGCGGACTAATATCTTGCTAGCCCCTGGCTGGCAGATTTACAAATCTGGATTTGGTCCTTCACAAAAAAAAAAAGCACAAAGCAGGCTATCCAGGCTCATCTCGCTTGATAATGGCGAACAAAACCCGTGTGTTTTCTCAAAGTGGATGTATCCATTTCTTTTGGGAAATGAAAAGTTTTTTTTTTCTTTTTTTTTTTTTCTTTTTTCTTCCTTGTTAATGTGAACAATGGATCGAGGAAATGGATCTAGGAGAGATATCTTCCTTCTTTTCCCCAATGGTTTTTTTTTCTCCCCTCCCCTTTTGTTCTGCTGTACGTCCTATAGATAAATAATGGTCTTATCAATTGGTCACAGATCTTGAAATGTTGGATTTCTGGTTCCTTGTGGCCAGTCGTTTGCTCACTTGAGCCCAAGCCAATTTCCCTGACATTTGCTTTCTCCAATCATCTTATTTCCATTCCATGATATTCTATGACCTACGATACTCTATGACCCCCTTCTCCCCTCAATGTCTCTTTCAATAGAAACTAATCTTGATAAAATATTTCATACTCTTCCCTTTTGTCTTAGCTGGCCAATGAGCTCCTCACGTGGTCAAAGCCCTTCACCACCGTCAAGCATGGTGGACTTGAACATGGTGATGCCGCCTGGTTCCTTGATGGTCAATTGAACGCCTCCTACAACTGTGTTGATCGTCATGCTTTTGCTGATCCAAACAGAGTATGTTTATATTGACATATTTAAAAGCATATCATCAGGATACAATCAATCGCCTTGATCTCTAACTTTATCCTCGGTTGTTGTTGTTGTTTTTTTTTTTTTTTTTTTTTTTTTTTTTTCTTTTTTCTTTTTTCTTTTTAAGGTTGCCATTATTTATGAGGCTGATGAACCCAACCAATCCGAGAATATCACCTATGGTGCACTTCTTCGCGATGTCTCACAGCTCGCTGGTGTTCTCCGTGCCCGTGGCATCAAGAAGGGAGACACTGTAGCCATCTACATGCCTATGATTCCCGAGGCCGTTATCGCTTTCTTGGCCTGTGCCCGTATCGGTGCTCTTCACTCTGTCATTTTCGCCGGTTTCTCTGCTGAGGCTCTCCGCGACCGTGTCCAAGATGCCGGCTGCCGCTTGGTCCTGACTGCGGATCAGGGTAAACGTGGAGGCAAGACCATCGAGACCAAGCGCATTGTCGATGAGGCCCTCAAGGCCTGCCCTTCAGTTGAGACCGTCATTGTCTGCCAACGTACTGGTGCTGATGTCCCCATGACCCCTGGTCGTGACTATTGGTGGAACGAGGAAACCTCCAAGCGCATGACTTACCTTACCCCAGAGCCCATGAGCTCTGAGGATCCTTTATTCCTTCTCTATACCTCCGGTTCGACCGGTCAGCCCAAGGGTGTCTTGCATACCACCGCTGGCTATCTCTTGGGGGCCGCTGCCACTGTCAAGTATGTTTTTGACTACCATCCTAATGACATCTTTGCCTGCATGGCTGATGTCGGCTGGATTACTGGTCACTCTTACATTGTGTATGGACCCCTGGCCTTGGGCGCAACCACAGTCTTGTTCGAGTCGATCCCAACATACCCTACCCCTGCTCGCTACTGGGAATTGATCGCTAAGCACAAGGTCACTCAGTTCTACACTGCCCCTACAGCCATTCGTGCCCTCCGCCGCCTTGGTGATGAATGGGTCGAGGGACATGATCTCTCCAGCCTCCGTGTCCTCGGCACCGTTGGAGAGCCTATCAACCCAGAGGCCTGGCACTGGTACAATGACAAGGTCGGTAAAGGACGCTGCGCCATTGTGGACACCTACTGGCAGACCGAGACTGGTTCACACATTGTCACACCACTCCCCGGAGCTATCCCCACCAAGCCTGGTTCCGCCACTGTTCCTTTCTTTGGTATTGATCTCGCAATCTTGGATCCAGTCACTGGCAAGGAGCTTGTCGGCAATGATGTCACAGGAGTGTTGGCTGTCAAGAAAGCCTGGCCCTCAATGGCTCGCACAGTCTACGGCAACCACCAACGTTACTTGGAGACTTACTTGAAGCCCTACCATGGTTTTTACTTTACAGGTGATGGTGCCTCCCGTGATGGCGATGGATACATCTGGATTCGTGGTCGTGTAGATGATGTGATCAACGTTTCAGGACATCGTTTGTCAACTGCTGAGATTGAATCTGCATTGATCATGCATCACTCCGTTGCAGAGACAGCCGTCATTGGCGCTCCGGATGATGTCACCGGCCAGTGTATTCATGCCTTTGTCTGCTTGAAGCCCGGTATCTCTCAACACTCCACTGATCTCACCAAGGAGCTGATTCTTCAGGTCCGCAAGGTCATCGGACCATTTGCTGCTCCCAAGAAGATCTACTTGGTTGAGGATCTGCCAAAGACTCGTTCTGGCAAGTTGATGCGCCGTATTCTGCGCAAGATCATTGCTGGTGAAGCTGATTCATTAGGCGACATCTCCACTTTGGCTGATCCTAGCGTCGTTGAAGTTTTGATCGCCAAGGTTGCCAAGGCTTAAAAAAAAAAAAAAAAAAAAAAAAAGAGTAATAATAATCATCATTTCACCCTCTTCTTCCTTTCCCATCATTCCCATTACATTGTAAAAAGAAATAAGAAAAAAAAAAAAAAAAGAAACCCAGAACAACAGGTTGTCTGCATATGGATAGAATGTCGTGGTTTGTAAAATTTGTAGAATTAAATAAACATATAAAATACTCTATACACACACAAATATATATTTATTGAATTGCTGAACACGTGCACAGGTTTGTTTAAATTATATCATAGGCTGCGCGCTCTTTAAAAAAATCAATTGATACAATTATATATATATTTATTGAGCTTCGTCTACTTTGAGAACTGTGCTCCTTCCAATTTTTCAAAATGCTTTCTGGCAACACTGATGTTCATAAGAGTTGCAGCAGATTCTATTCAGGGTAACCATGAACCAAAAGGGGAAAAAAAAAAAAAAAAAAAAAAGGTTAGGATATGAGTGATCAGATCAGACTTCCATTTCAGAGGTGTTAAAGGAGTAAGGGCCTTACGGATAGTTGGGTCCGACATGATAACCATAACATATGTATTGCCTGTCAAGTAATCGATAAATCCTGCAAAGTTGGAATGTCGTACTTCCATGCTTTGGAAGCTACCCTGTGTCCTACTGTAAAATATCATTCATCCATTACATTAATAAAAGGTGTGTTAAAACAGCATGCCAATGTTGGATTAAATGACCATTTGCACACAAAAGCTTTTTCTTTTTCTTTTTTTTTTTTTTGTAAAAGGCGAGCAAAAAATAAAGAAGACAAAAAAAAAAAGGAGGGCACACATACGAGCACGACAGCTTGAATTGCTTGATAATGTTGCTGATTTTTTCAAACCGATGCACATCACCATAATCAATACGTGTGGAATGTGCAATCACCAAGAATGTCATTCGTTCAAACAGGACAATTTCATCCGCTTCACAAATCCTACAAAAGTTGTCCAAATGACTCTCCAAAAGTTGAACATTTGGGATCAGTGAATACACAATGGATGACCATGCCTATGAGCACGATAAAAAAAATTTTAAATAAAAAAAAAAAAAAAAAAATTAGAACCATTGATTATGAAAAAGCTTATTGATGATGAAATGATAGTGCCTGGTAATACTCGTTAAGGCTGGCAGCTGATATATACCTTGTACAATGTCTCATCCCAAATTGAAGTCCTGAAGGGTATCACTTGAAGAGGCAAAGATCGTGTCTGTAATTCGAGGACACGTTCATTATAGATCTTATCACGTTGATCCTCCTGTACAAGATCCATCTTATGAATTAAACAAAAGATCTTTGCATCTTTGGAATTGGTCATGATGGCTTCCAAGCATGATTGATAATAATGCATATCCTTTTCAACATCCCTGCTTTCCACATCGAAGACATAAATTAACACTTCGACGTTTTTAAAGATATGATCACGTTGCGATGCAAAGTAATTTTCCATGAATGCCTCCTGACTGTGTCGTACAATTTTTTTTTTTTTAAAAATATTAATAATAATAAGAAGAACGCCAATTAGTTTTTTTATGCAATTGATTGACACTTGATGAAAAAAAGCAAGCTGAAGAAAAAAAAAAAATCTTTGACCTTTTTTTTGCTTTGCCATAAAATAAGCTCTCTTTCCAATTTGTAATTGACTCACCCTCCACAATCCCACAAGTTCAATACCAAGTTTCCAAGAAAGCGGACGTGTGAATTCTCGACATCAACTATCAAAAAAACAACAGTTAATTGATTATGTTTAGTTTCTTAGTTACAGCTGTAGCAATCATAAAAAAAAAACAAAAAAAAAATGTAGACGAACAAATATGCACATGCATTAGAATGCCCTTTTTTTTTTTTTTTTTTTTTTACGTGTATGCATGTTTCCTTACTGGTTGCACCAAGACGACGAGTGTCTCTTGCAATATAATTTGAGAAAATGATGGAGCGCATGGAGGTCTTGCCTGACCCACTCTTTCCCATCAATAGCACCTAAAAATCATTTTTTTTTTTTTTTTTTTTTTTTTTTAGTAAAGACATGCATCCTCGTGTAAGCTTTTTTCTTTTTCTTTTTCTTTTTTTCAATAATGTATTTTTATTCTCTTGGAGGAAGAAGAGGGATAGAAAAAGGCATTTACTTTTTTCTTCATGGTTCTTCAAGGAATATATGAACTTGAGGCTTGAGAAGGAGAAGGAGAAAAACAATGAAACAATAAAGGCTGTTAGAGGATGGCTGTCGTGTGCTGATTATTCAAATGGAATAGAGTGTCGTGTATAAAAGAGAAAGAAAAAAAAAGATGCATGAGGATGAACGTGAGAAGGTGTGAGCACACATCGTGTTTTTTTTGGCTCCGCCGATCACGTGCGCAATGGATCACGAGCGTCTGGAGGGTTGCGCTGGAAAAAACAATGTTTTAACTTTTAATACGCTTCAAAAAAGCAGATGTATAAGCGCCCGTGTTAGTTGATAAAGTCTTTATACAAAACACGGCATTTCTACACCTTGTATAGCACTGCCTAGCCTGGCTCTTTAGAGCCCTCTCTCCCTCCGCCTAAGACTGAAGGAGACACTACCTGGAGATGATCCAATGCAGTCTGCAATTTCATTTAGGCCTGTTGTCTTTGTAGAAAACTTTACATTTTTTTTTATCCCTACACTCTTACAGAGTCACCGCGCAAGGCTCCTCTCATTTTATCATTAGCTATCCTGCCAAGTTCATCCTTAGTTCATGTCCTTAAGAGCCTACGTTTAACGAACGGTCTGGATTTGATTGACATTTATAACAACATAGCTGTCCTCAATGTTATACGAGTCTCTGGAACCATATCCATTTTCCCAAACGGATAACCGAATCAACTAGCACAATTGTCCAATAAAGCAGAGTTAATTTACTCCATATATCTTTCAATGAGGAGCCAACAATTGGCATCCATCTTGGTTGTCTATCAAGGAAAAGGCTTTATTGACACTACAGCAGAAGAGACACTGGTGATGACCGAATCCATTACCGCAGCTACATTGTCGACATACAAGATCAAAAGAGAGAAGAGAAATGAGAATGTCCGGATTTCAGATTTATTGAACAACTTATGATGACCACTGTACTTGGCAAATATCATAAAGCGATAGATAGGCACATGCTCGGAGGGTGTCGAATCGACCCTTTTCTGTTGGTTCATCCTGTGTTTCTTGAAAGGGAGACAGATTGCCTATGCCATTGTTCAACAGCGATATAATGTCATGACCACTCAGTTGATAGTGTAATAGCTTCATCTTTTTCCACTGACGTTTGAAACCTCTCATCTTGGGTAGGATCCCTGCAAGGAACAGAAGTGCACACACAACAAGTCAAAGTTAGTTCAAACATTGATGGCTATTGCTCGAGCATACAAAGCATACAAAAACTATGATTGTTTCACTTACAATTCTGTGAAGGGAGAATCAGTCTCCCAATCATTGTTGCCTCGAGCGCTTAACAGCGCTAATGAGGGAACCCCTCGCAGTTCTCGCTACTGCCATACTGGGTTTGGGCTTTCCGGACCGCATTCGAGATGGTATATGTGCGAGACACATCCCACCAATATTTCCGGCACCAATCGCATCACGATCAAATACACCATGCATCTGCGGTTGTATTTTAACCGTAGTAGAACTGATTCTAGGGAGCTGGTGCGGTTGTTACGGTGACAATGTACACTAGTGCGAAATCTATGAATACCACCTAACAAAATGGCCTAATGCTATTCTCTGCTGGAGACAAAGATTCGAGCCTGCAATCAAACGATTTTCTAAATCTCGAATGTCAGCCGTTTTTAGATCAATATGGAGATTCGTAACGTACCTCTAGTGAAAAAGGAGCCGGAAAGGAGGTAGAGAATAATAGAGACAGCCACTGATGTTTTGCTTGTCTTTAGTCTGGATAGAACAAGGTCAAAGTTGGGGGATGTCCAGAGGAGCCGAGGTTATTTAAAGATGGATGTAGTGCATCGTGATGAGTATAGGCTTGATAAATGGCTTTTGCTGGTTTTTTTCTTTTTTTTTTTTCTGATTAGTTTTGCTGGTTGATTATTTTAGTCTTTTTTATTAGCTTCCTAAGCATGCAAATCGAGTAGGTCGGAGCACCGGCATTGCTTCTACCCACCATAATTATGACCTGATATGGTCGATAAGATGCCAGTAGCCGGTTGTTTCCTGCTCGTAGAAAGCACGGAAAACTGGATCTGGCCTAGCCATGAGTTGATGAAAGCTAAATGAGTAAATTTGCCCGTTTTACAGTCCAAGGGGTGCACTAAATGATTAAGCCCAAAAGAAGTACCAACATCTTGGCCTGTGCGCCACTGGCGCAAGTCCCTTATTTTTATTTTTATTTTTATTTTTATTTTTATTTTTATTTTTATTTTTATTTTTATTTTTATTTTTATTTTTATTTTTATTTTTATTTTTATTTTTTGGAACGCATAGATGGATTGGACTTTTGAACAATTTAGAAGAAACCGATCAACTATATTACATATCAGCACTGCCAATGAAATAAAAAAGAGTGCGTATGATAATTTCATTCTCTTGATAGCCATACTCATGGCACAGAAATATTCAACGTCTTTAAGTGTCCAATCAATTTAATCATGCATGCGTACCAATGGGTGGAACAAGCCAATCATTGAAGCCTGGTTATATCATGGAGGCCATGGATGGCGTTTGAAGGAACCCATCATCGAGCTCTGGTCATTTTTGGACGGGCTTAAAACGTATTTATTCAAGACTTGTGATTTTTTTGTAATGTCTCGTGCCATGGCCGTGATGTTGCTTAGCACACAACCACGGATCCTTACGACTTTAGTAAATAGAAAGTGATAATAACAATAATGAAATAAATAAATAAGGTAAGCATATAAAATAGGTAAGAGCAGGTAAGAACAGGTAAGAACAGGTAAGAACAGGTAAGAACAGGTAAGAACAGGTAAGAACAGATAAAAAATATGGAAGAATTGGTAAAGAGATAGGTAAAGAGACAGGGTTACTTTTTTCCATTTTTTAATATTCTTATCCTTACTTTTTTCTATTATCCTTTTTTACTTTTTTTTTTTTTTTTTTTTTTTTTCTAATTCTCTATTCTTTTTCATTACTTTTCATTATGTTTCTTTTCTTTTCTATTTTTCCCTTTGAGATCCAGTGATCCAGTAACCCACGAATATATCATATTACGAAGCTCCTTGTTGTAATTTAGGTCATATTGTTTTTCCTCACAGCTCTCACAATATACAGCATTGATATTTTTAAGAGGCAAAAAGTAATTTATAATATTTACATTTATTTCTGGTCTTAACATGTTTAGTATTGAGAGTCGTTATTCCTGTACACAGTTAACATCATTCCTAAGACTGATTTCATTCCATAAGTCGATCCCCATGAATTGCCCCTTCTCTGGATCCTAGAAGCCTTGAATGAGCTGTCTATTTCCCGATGGGGCGTGACGCCTTCATGATCTAGTCAGCGAGATGAGGTCCAGATGCCTTCTTGATTGGACCGATTGGGACCTTGATATGCCTATCCTCCTTGACTGAGTCATCATCGAAACGAGGTCCCTTGAGTGGCTTGACTCCATAATCATATCTAGCCTCCTTGGCCGAGTCATCATCGAAACGAGGTCCCTTGAATTCAATGGGGAACCGTCTAGATTCCTCTTTGACCGAGTCAACGAGATGAGGCCCAGAAGCCTCCTTGACTGAGTCATCAATGAGATGAGGTCCCTTGTACCAGATGGGGTGTCTAGCCTCCTTGGCCGAGTCATCAACGAGATGAGGTCCCTTGAATGGCCCGTGACTCGATCCATATATAATTGTGCCCCATTTAGAATCCTCCTCGACAGAGTCATCAACGAGATGAGGTCCCTTGAGTTCAATGAGCTTCCATCTAGATTCCTCTTTGGCCGAGTCAGTGAGATGAGGTCCAGATGCCTCCTTGACTGTGGCGAGTGGGATCTTCTTGATTGGGCCAGCTATAGAGTTAAATAGGACAAGATGGTAATGAGCTGACTATTAGCATACTTGAACAGTGTATAAATACAAAACACGCAGACGCAAACATGCACAGGAGTATGGACAGGTGTAAAGATCTTACCTTCGGTAGACATAACCAAGGCGGCAGCAGCCACGGAAAGGGCGGCGGTGATTGAGAGCTTCATGATGTGAAATGGATAGAGAAGACCTGAGGAGCTTTTTACAGTGTTGTGATGTGTTTGAAAGAAGAAAAGGAAGAGGAGTAAAAGAGTCTGGTTTTATATGAAAAAATACATGGATGGTGAAGCACTTGGTACACCGAGCTTGACACACCGAGCAACCAATAGGTATCTTCAAGTCAAAGATACTTTCCTGTTTGGCTATCTATACTCTATCTCAGTAACATCAGGGATCTGAAACACTCACTAGATGTAGAACAGATCGCTTGTGCCGCTATGACAATGTAGTGGGACTATTAAGATATGTAGTCAAAACGCTTGTTTCACACATTTATGGCTATTCACGTTTTATGGCGCGTGACATGCTCCTCTAACAGTCGTCAATTGAAGTCAAACAGCATTAGTCGAAGTGATACGCTTATGAAACACCCAATCACGCAAGTCTTGTCGTCATACAAAATTAATGAGGCAGATAAGGTAAACGCAGGATGGGCAGCATATAAATCCTGTAGCTAGAAAGACATAGCACGCATGTAGGATAGTTGGGGTAGTTGAGCAGCAGGATGCAGTCATGTATTACAAAACCAAGCAGACGAAGCTGCTTACCTTTGCTGCCACTATCATGATCGATGCATTTGTCTTTGGGATGCTCAATCAGGGTCTAACTGTTCACACTATAGAGGCACAAGGCCAATGCGACAGTATTCCAGTCTTGGGGTTTTTTTTTACCCCTTGGTAGCCAATTGGCCTGTCTTTACTTGCACATATTCTACAGAAGAATAATAATAGCAGGTATGCTACCCCTATCTACTGATTACTAGATTTGATTGTTTAAAATGTTTCTAATGATGAACCTAGTTGAATCAGAATTACTCGAGAAACTTCCTGTTTGACTTAAAAATCACAAAGCTTATCTAGGCAATCCGTCCAATAGCTAAGATATAACACTTATCTAGGGCTGAAAACTAGAACACGAGCTTAAAGCTCGACTCCATCCTTCTCAATCTGGGGAAATGGAGTTGCCCTTGTTTCGGGTTAAATAATCTAAACATTTTCACGGTAAATGCGGCTTACAGCGTCCATGATGAAATGAAGCCAAAGTACGCTAGGAAAATCATACCTCAAGTAGTGAGGCGGTTCAACACTGAATCGAAAAGCCTGCAATCCCTTGGGGCGATTGAAAGCATATCGTTAAAAACCTTTAGAGTCTCCTAGTTGCTTTGGTTGAATAGCTATCGAGTTTCTATACTGAGGATGTTTAGCGCAGATGTGCCTAGACAAATATTCAGCAACAGGTTACAAAGGTTCCTATCTAGCTTCTGCTTGAAGATGAAGAAATCCTATTAAATATTTTCGAATCTCTGAATAATTATAAGTATCAATAGAGATTATGGTTCCCTTATGCTTATTTGGTGTTTACTATGAGTAAATGAGGTCACCATATATCGAGATGTCAACAGATCTTCAAGAAATGATGTTTTATGTTTGAATACACGGTAGGGCCAGGTCCACTCTTGCAAATCCAAGAACCCCTACCTAAGAGGTTCAAACACTCCCAGCTGCAGTCTAGACTCATGTTCCCACTGGATGGTGTTCTAGCTGAGGCTAAAGGATACGCTTGCAGCAAGCCCAGTTCATGAAGCACTAGTGATTGGAGCACGACATGCTATCTCTAGTCAGAGAACTTGTGAAGCCAGCTTTGATCTTACAGGTAGGCCCTTTCGTGAAAAAAGCTCCACCCGAAGCGTATCACTTTCCCTTCAGCAAATACAAAAAACCAAACTTTTAATCTCGATATGTTCACGCGTACACTGAATAAGAGCTCCTCCTTCTGTGCAGCATTCACCTAGCATCGTTTACAATACCTCTCATGTACATTTTCTGGAAGATTCAGGCTCGACTTATGCGCTTTACATGCCCATCGTATAATAATTTTCTCATTTTATCAGTAGTCAGATTATCGACTTCATTCTAATACACATCTACGAAAACTAGAATTAACGTATAGATATTGTCTTTAATTTATTATCAAGCAATGAATAAGTTTTCAATTCAGACTAAAATGCAAGGCTAGCTAGGCTATCCGCTTGGTCACTTTCTCTTTCTCTGTTGTCATCCTCCCCACCTCAGCAACAGCTGCTTGTCCTTGAACCTCTGGTAAATCCAGGTGTTCTGATATATATAACAACATAGTCTTGGCTATATATGGCAAAGCTGCACTTGTGGTGGCTATCATCCTGGTATGTATTTTTTTTTTTTTTTTTTTTTTTTTTTTCCCCCGGTAAGCAGGTTATTACAACGCTTTCTCCATGTAGAGCTTGCCTTTGTAACCTGTTGCTGAATATTTGTCTAGGCACATCTGCGCTAAACATCCTCAGTATAGAAACTCGATAGCTATTCAACCAAAGCAACTAGGAGACTCTAAAGGTTTTTAACGATATGCTTTCAATCGCCCCAAGGGATTGCAGGCTTTTCGATTCAGTGTTGAACCGCCTCACTACTTGAGGTATGATTTTCCTAGCGTACTTTGGCTTCATTTCATCATGGACGCTGTAAGCCGCATTTACCGTGAAAATGTTTAGATTATTTAACCCGAAACAAGGGCAACTCCATTTCCCCAGATTGAGAAGGATGGAGTCGAGCTTTAAGCTCGTGTTCTAGTTTTCAGCCCTAGATAAGTGTTATATCTTAGCTATTGGACGGATTGCCTAGATAAGCTTTGTGATTTTTAAGTCAAACAGGAAGTTTCTCGAGTAATTCTGATTCAACTAGGTTCATCATTAGAAACATTTTAAACAATCAAATCTAGTAATCAGTAGATAGGGGTAGCATACCTGCTATTATTATTCTTCTGTAGAATATGTGCAAGTAAAGACAGGCCAATTGGCTACCAAGGGGTAAAAAAAAACCCCAAGACTGGAATACTGTCGCATTGGCCTTGTGCCTCTATAGTGTGAACAGTTAGACCCTGATTGAGCATCCCAAAGACAAATGCATCGATCATGATAGTGGCAGCAAAGGTAAGCAGCTTCGTCTGCTTGGTTTTGTAATACATGACTGCATCCTGCTGCTCAACTACCCCAACTATCCTACATGCGTGCTATGTCTTTCTAGCTACAGGATTTATATGCTGCCCATCCTGCGTTTACCTTATCTGCCTCATTAATTTTGTATGACGACAAGACTTGCGTGATTGGGTGTTTCATAAGCGTATCACTTCGACTAATGCTGTTTGACTTCAATTGACGACTGTTAGAGGAGCATGTCACGCGCCATAAAACGTGAATAGCCATAAATGTGTGAAACAAGCGTTTTGACTACATATCTTAATAGTCCCACTACATTGTCATAGCGGCACAAGCGATCTGTTCTACATCTAGTGAGTGTTTCAGATCCCTGATGTTACTGAGATAGAGTATAGATAGCCAAACAGGAAAGTATCTTTGACTTGAAGATACCTATTGGTTGCTCGGTGTGTCAAGCTCGGTGTACCAAGTGCTTCACCATCCATGTATTTTTTCATATAAAACCAGACCCTTTTGCTCTTTTTCCTTCTCTCTTCTTCAAGCACCTTACAACACTGTAAATAGCTCCTTAAATCTCCACTATCCATTTCACATCATGAAGCTCTCAATCACTGCCGCCCTTTCCATGACCGTTGCCGCCTTGGTTATGTCCACCGAAGGTAAGGTTTTTACACCTGTCCATGTGGATGTGCATGCTTGTGTTTGTGTGTTGTATTTGTACACTGTTCGGGTATGCTAAACATTCAGCTCATTACCATCTTGTCCTATTTAACTCTATAGCTGGCCCAATCAAGATGCCAATCGCCGAGTCGGATGGAGCAAAGAACTCCATCTCCACCGACGGCACCCATATTAAAATCCCTCCAGTCGCTGAGTCTGCTGATAGCATCCATATCAAGATCCCTCCAATTCCCAACTCTCATATCAAAATTCCTCCTCAAAGCATCACCGAGGCGGATGGGCCAAAGGACCCCACTTTCACCGACGATATTCATATTAGAATTCCCCCAATCAAGCCTTAAATGGAGTGAACAAGCAAGGATACCACTCATAGAATGAAGTTAGCCTCAGGGATAATTCGAGTCGGCTAGTGGTTGAAATCACGAACCTCTTACTCTCGATACTAAAGAGATGAGGCTAGGAATAATAAACATTGTAAACATATACTATTATGAACTACTCTTTGTCTCTTAGAAATATCAATGCTGTACGTTGTGAGAGCTGCTGTAAAAGAAAAATAATCTGATCTAAAATATAAATTATAAATTACCGTATAGAAAGAGGTCCACAGACGGAGGGAAAGTCATTTTTAACAAGAAAGTCGCACTCCTTTTTCCTCTGCTGTTTTTGCTTCTGGCTTTTTGTCTGCCCTGTTTCTGCATGTTGACTTGCAGCTTAAGCTTTGCGTAACGTAGAAATGGACCCTTAAACTAAAAATTTATACCACTCTTCGACTCCTCTGTGACTCTCTAAGAGCGGCGTTTTGCTTCTGGTAAACAAGCAAAGTATTATATCCTACGCAAAGATTGAACTCATTCTGATATCATATGCATATACTCGACATACATCTCCATGCTGATCATAACGGTTGCAATCCTCGTTATGTCAAGACAGCAATGTATGAGTTGGGGAAGCTCAAATATAATTTTAAAAACCTTGCTAGACATTATTGCACAGTCATACGGTCTGGTCGAACTTTTTGTCAAAGTGGATTTTATAAACTCGTCACCAGCCTGTGTGGCTTATGTACAACGCACTAACGCTCAATGACAGACTGGGACCAAAGTGAGAAATTTCTAAGCGGCACAAATCACTTAGAAGGAAAATCATTCCCTTGTGACCTATATGACAGAATTTGTCAATGAGCGTGAGTGCACCGCACATAAGCTGCGCAGGCTCGTGAAGAGCCTCATTTTTTTTGATAAAGTGCATAACTGACAAAAAAAGGGAAGGGATACCATTTTTTGCAAACTGAAGGTTGCATATTTGAAAGTCCTTCATAGTGTTGACGCTTTTGTTCTTCTTGATTGACCCAAAGTAATCTATCTTACAATTAATCCAATTAATCCAATAGGCAAGCAACGCAGGCCTCCTTTTTTTTTATTTTCAGAAAAATCGTTTTCTGAGCTCGGTTTCGTTATTTGTAACTAACATGCATGCATGCATGCAGCGGATATTAGTTTTGCCAAAACATCAACGAATTCTCTATTTGGATTGGTCCGGCTTTCCAAATGGAAAAATGGGAAAATTATAGCACGAACCTAAAAATGGTATTCACGTTGTATGTATACCATTACGCTCTACAACTTTATAGCTCCTGTTCCGCAGTCAAGACGCCCCTCGTTGCTCCAGATAAGGTTTTTTTTTTTTTTTTTCTAATCAATCATGCAAAGATCGGGCAAACGAAATAGAATTCTAAGATCGGGGATACGTAACCATTATTCTTTAATGACAAAAAGGTCAAAAGTAAAGTTTAGTAGCGCACTCTAGAACCAGCAAAGGCTTATTAAAAACGGCAGGTGAATTGACAGCATCTACGATGTAGCTAAACAAGCGCACTAATTGGCTCCTCGATACAAATAGTTTTAACTATGAGTTACTGACAAACCAAGACGGACAGTATCTCAAATGAGCATTGAAGTAAAAGTATAGACAGGCAGACAGGTAGAAAGAGGTATAAAAGCTGAACGTCGACCACCAATCTTTATTTTTTTTCAACCTCAACATAACACACCATAACAAAGAAAAAAGACATTATCCCAAGTCCAAATCCAATTCTATATCCATTTCCAAACTAAATCCACACTTCCTAATACATAAGAAAGAATAACCATGACTGTTTCTAATACCAAGGTCTCCGAGGACACATCTGTCACTTTCACCGGATGGGCTTCTACTGGAGACCTCACTGTCAAGCCTTACTCATACCATCCTCAGCCATTGCGTCCGGAGGATGTCGAAATTGAGATCACTCACTGTGGTATCTGCGCCTCAGATACCCACACCATCAATGGCGATTGGGGCCCATTGAAGCATGGACCTTGCATCGCCGGACACGAACTCGTTGGGAAAGTGATCGTTGCTGGCAAAAGCAGTCGTCATCAGGTCGGTGATATTGTTGGCGCTGGTGGATTGATCGAAGCATGCGGTCAATGCAATGAATGTAAAAAAGATCTAGACCAGTTCTGTAAGAAGAAAACCTTTATCTTCGATGACACGTACAAGAACGGACGCAATGGCATCAGCTACGGTGGCTTTGCTGATCGTATCCGTCTGGACAGCAAGTTTGTCTACAAGATCCCCCCACAGATCTTGCCTGCTGAAGGTAAAACACACGCGAAAATAGAAATAGTAAAAATAATATTAAAGAAAAAAATTAACAATATTTTAATCTACCATTCAAAATTAGCTGGTCCGCTAATGTGTGCTGGTCTGACCACTTATACTCCCCTTAAGCATCTTGGTGCTGGCCCTGGTAAGAAAGTCGGTATCATCGGCATCGGTGGTCTCGGTCACTTGGGTATCCAGTGGGCTAGAGCTATGAACTGCGATGAAGTCGTTGCGATCTCCACCGGTGAGAGCAAACGTAAGGAGGCCAAACAACTCGGTGCTACAAGATTCCTGAATTTCAGTAAACCTGAGGAGATAAAAGCAGCTGCTGAGTTATTAGATATTGTCCTTTGTACTGGTTTGCCTGACGACGCTGACTGGGGTCAATACTTATCCCTCGTGGCCAACCATGGCAAGTTTGTGGTCTTGTGCGTGCCTAACAAGCCCATATGTGTACCTGGTTTGCCCTTGATCTACCGTGATGTCGCTGTGGTTGGATCATTGATTGGTAGTAGGAAGGACAACGAGGACATGTTACAGTTTGCAGCCGAGAAGAACGTTCGTCCTTGGATCGAGAAGATGCCAATGAGTGACGCTAATGCTGCGCTCAAGCACTCAAAAGAAGGTCGTCCTCGCTATAGAGTTGTTATGGAAACCGTGGCCGCTTCCCGTCTCTAATAGCATCATTCCATTCCTCCTTTCCTTTTCACTTGGAAAAGTATCGCATCAGTCCACCGGTCATTGATCAATAATCTACACAAGCACAAATAAAAAACATAATTGATATCCTTAATTCAAAATAAGTTAGTTGTCCTATCCATGTAAAATGATCTATGCAATCAACATGATCTTTGACATCAAGGAAATAAGAATGATGGACAATAAACGCTAGGCGACGTTGCTAGAAAGGACAAATCAACGGTAGCTCTGCTGCTCATATTACCCGTTATGCTTTGAAGAATTTTTAAATATTTCGTTTTGCATTCCAGATACGAAGCTCTTAGTCACAGTATTGCAATAAACACAGTGACTAAAAGGCAACTTTGCAAGTTATTAGCAGGTAGGTAAGAATTGTTCCACATTTTAGATACTTCCAGGTTTCGAAAAAAAAAGAACATGTCGAATGACTACATTTATATTTGTTAAAAAACTATCCTTTCCTTATTTCTATTAAAGCGCCTTCAACGCCTCCGCTTATTCAATGTGAATCTTAATTGATCTTTTACTTTTTTTTTTTTTTTTTTTTTTTTTTACAAACGACGTGCCTTGGGTGGTCTGCATCCATTGAAAGGAATAGGGGTAGTGTCAGATATCCTCTTGATATCCCAATTAGTTTTTGCACGGATAGCCTTGAAAGCAGAATCGCGACCTGGTCCAAAGCCCTTCATCAGCACATGAAGGCTAAGAATCTGTACGTTCTTCTCTTCAACCTTTTCAATCACTTTCATCATGGCTTGGTAACCAGCTTCAGGTCCCGCACGGGCTGATTTCTTCAATCCTGCAGTTCCTGCACTTTGAGTTGTGATAGGGTCTCCATTCGAATCAGATAAGGTGATAATCGTGTTGTTCATCGTTGCATGAATATGTATATTATGTGAGCAAGGTTGAACTTCGCTGAACAAATGACGGCCGAAATCTCCTAGTCCACCACCACTCTTTGAGTTCAAAAAGCCGGTAGAACGCTTCAATGATTGTTGTTGACGGTTTGTGGCTCGGGATAGGGTCTCCAAAATGAGTTCAGATCCTCTACTCATAGGTGCACTGCTGCTGCTAGGACGATCAGATGATGGTGATGATGATGATGGTGTTGTTTTTGTTCCCGAAGTTGAGGAAAGGATGCTCAAAAGCGATTCTGAACTTTCTGATTTATTCTCTGTATTGTTTGTATCGTTGTTATTGTTACTGTTGTCATTGCTGCCTGCAGAATAATATCTATAATGTTTAGTAGAATTAATTGACACAAGCAAGTGGAATTAGGAAGGGTAATAAAAATCCTTCTTTTTTAAAATGTCCTGTTTTCCTTTTTCCCAAACTAAAGTTGTATCTTTTTTCTTTTTTGATACCTGATGCTGCCGACAGACTGCATTGCCCTGACATGGGAGGCTCTAAGAGCCTGGCGAGAAATGGTGGACAACATGAAGCTTACGTAACAGGATGTTGATCTCCAACTGCGAATACTATTTCTATTCTAGCTTGCTAAGGGATCACTCTTCCTTTTTTGCTGTCACTGAGAGCGGGAGTAGTCCAAAATGCCGGAAGGATCGAATGAGGAAGAGATTAAGACTTCAGTAGGTAATGTGATCAAGGCTCCTTTTTGTTTTCATGTAAACAAATTCTCGCAGTCACACAGGTAACTTTGGAGAAAGTCGATTAATTCGCGCGCTCACTCTCTATTTTTTGGTCTTGCGAATAACTTGCACAATCATTCTTTCTGTGGAAGAGGTCAGATCGGGTTTTCCCTTTACGAGCAGTGTAGAATACGTGCATATCTCAAGTGTATTAATCAAATAGAAAGCAATTGTTTGACAGTTGTCAAAATTTTTTGTGGTCGACCATAACGCTGATCCATTGCTCTGTTACTCCGTTGCATGTTCAGTTGTACTCTAGGCTCAACTGGGACTAAACAAACTGAGTTGATAAGATAAATAAATTATAGAGATAAGCAAATAAGTAAATAAATAAAATAAAGTCCAAGGCTCCGCCCGAGCAGTTAAGATAAATCGGGCGTGGCATGGGGCTAAAGATTGTGCGAACTAATTGATTACAAAAGAAAAGCACTGTTGGTCCTTTTTTGGAGACATGGAGCGGATGTGGCCATATAAGAGCCCCAACAATCAACTTGGTTCACTTTTTTTTTTTTTTCCTCTTCTCATTTCGCTTCATTCATTCCTCTCCTCAGCAACCAAGCCTTCATATTTTATTTTATTTCTCTATCAAACGCAAAGTATCATAGCTCCGATGATTGAAGACAGTATCAATTCCAGTCTCGGGTGGATGTCGTCTCTCGACATTGATAATCAGCCTAATAACACTCGCAAGACGTCCATCATTTGTACCATTGGTATGTATCAAAAGATCGGTGTCTCTCATTTCTCTCTTTTTTTTTGCACTTCGCTAAGTACTTACAGCTTCCTCGGGGAATGATAGGTCCAAAAACCAACTCGGTCGAGATGATTACCAAGTTACGTGAAGTTGGAATGAACATTGTCCGCATGGTGAGTTTAGCAATAACTTACACGTTTATGTGCATTTAACTTTATTTTGCTTCAAGTAACAGCATTCCCTCAATGGATCATGGAGTTATCTCTGTCCTGTCCGATGTAAAAAATAAAAGGGGCTGGAATCACGATTGAAAAAAAAAAAAGTGCCTTCCAGTGGAACCATTACTAGTGAATAATTACATGGATTCAAGCGTCATGCCATGCTACATCATATTCTTTTTATTCTCCTTTGGATGGAGGTTGAAGACTTTTTTTTGTTCTCCTTTATTCATTTTTTTTTTTTTAATTCATCTGTAGAATTTTTCCCACGGATCATATGAGTACCACCAATCCGTCATTGACAACACTCGTAAAAGTTGTGCCGGTAAGTTTCACAAATGATCCGAATTATTATTGGACTCTTGACTCGAGCATGGATCGAACGAAACATGACAAAAAGAAAAAGAAAAAAAAAAGAAAAAAAAAGAAAAAAAAAGACAAGGGTGTGTCTGTATATGTCTGTGTATGTTTAGGGGTGAGGATCTTATCTCTTCAAAAAAAAAAAAAAAAAAAAAAAAATACCGCGATTGTTGGTGAAAATATGCTGTTCTCTGCTTTTTCTGTAATTTTTAACGTTAGCCTCTTTCAATTTGATTGCCCGCTTAAAAAATGGCGATTTTTTTTTTTTTTTTTTTTTTTTTTGATGGACGTTCGGATGGATGGGGGGATGTTCCTCTTTATTATTCCTTGAAATACATGGTATAGAATGGCACTATTGCACGAGATATCCCGAATGCAGAAGAGTTCGTGGAACCAAAAAAAAAATAAAAAATAAAAAAAAAAATAGCTAGCTTGGGTTCTAATATGTCCTCATTGTATATATTATTATATCGATAGAACACCCTGGTCGCCCCATTGGCATTGCCTTGGATACTAAGGGTCCAGAGATCCGTACAGGATTGATGAAGGATGATGTTGAAGTCCCCATTACTGCTGGTCATAGGATGGTTTTCTCTACCGATAGCAAATATGCTGAATGCTGCACAGGAGAGGTGATGTACATCGACTACAAGAATTTGACCAAAGTGATCGTTCCTGGAAAAGTGATCTATGTCGATGATGGTGTCTTGTCCTTCAGAGTCTTGACCGTTGAGGAGGATCATATCACTGTCGAGGCCATCAATAATGGAAAGCTGTGCTCTCGAAAGGGTGTAAACTTACCCAAGACCGATGTAGATTTACCCGCACTCTCGGAGAAGGATAAACAAGATCTCATGTTTGGTGTAAAGAACAACGTCGATATTATTTTTGCATCCTTCATCCGTCGTGCAGACGATGTTCTGGAGATCCGTAAGGTTTTGGGTGAGCAAGGGAAGCACATTCGGATTATCAGCAAAATTGAGAACCATCAAGGAGTCAAGAACTTTGGTGAGATCTTGGAAGTGACAGACGGTGTAATGGTCGCCCGTGGCGATCTTGGAATCGAGATTCCTTGTGCTCAGGTCTTTATTGCTCAAAAGATGATGATCTCCAAGTGTAACTTGGCAGGCAAGCCTGTCATTTGTGCAACCCAGATGTTGGAATCTATGACCGTATGTTTTTTTTTTTTTTTTTTTTTTTTTTTTTTTTAAAAAAAAAATCATCGCGCAAAAGGATCGATAGTTCATTTCTGGCTTGCTCATCAATTTTTTTCTGCTTTCATAGTATAATCCACGTCCAACTCGTGCAGAGGTCTCTGACGTTGCAAATGCTGTCTTAGACGGAGCTGACTGCGTCATGCTCTCTGGAGAGACTGCCAAGGGCTCATATCCACTCGAGGCTGTCCATACTATGCATGAGACTTGTATCTTAGCAGAGTCTACGATCTGTTACCCACCACTGTTTAACGAGCTGCGTATGCTTCAGAAGCGTCCCATTGAGACCACAGAGACTGTGGCTTCATCAGCTGTCTCTGCTGCCCATGAGCAGAATGCAGGAGCAATTGTTGTGCTTTCTACTTCGGGTGACACTGCTCGCTTGGTCTCCAAGTATCGTCCACAGGCTAATATCATCATCGTGACACGTAAAGCAACAACTGCACGCGCCATTCATCTTTCCCGTGGATGCTATCCATTTCTCTATACGGAGCCCAAGGTTGCAGATTGGCAAGAGGATGTCGACAAACGATTACGGTGGGGTATGAATCAGGCCATCCAGGTTGGCCTATTGAAGCCCGGAGAGTCTGTCATTGTCATCCAAGGATTCCGTTCTGGATATGGAAATACCAACACAATGCGCATTATTGTTGCTTAGATGAGAGCAAAAAAAAAAAAAAAAAAAAAAAAAAAAACGCCCTCCATTTTGCTGTTATAGTCATAAACAAACTAATTTTTTTTTTTATACACAAGCGCGTTCTCTAATGCTTCATAACCATTCTCACATTAGTTGGGCGAAGCAAAGAACGGAACATTTGGGCGTTGTGTAACTTATGACATATTCAACGCGAACAGTGCGTTTTGATAAATCTACGCTGGTGAATTGTAAAAGGGATTGGAGGAAACATTGCATACGCGATATTTGTGGTAATGAGGCGTATTGATTATGAGATATTCGATGCGATTATAGGGGGTACTCATAAAGGATTAGCAATGATGATGTGGGAGGAATACTAAATGATCCGGAGGCTAGAAGAAATATAAAAGCTGGAGCCTCGATCACCGCTAATTATTTCACTATACTTCTTTTCTGATCCATCAATACTTATTCCCCAGACTTGCTCATGCACAGCCTCCTGAAAGGTCGTTAGGAGAGACACAAACTAACAAGCAAAAAATAAAAAATAAAAAAAGGTCTCACCTCGCCCCAATGAAATGTCGTTGTCGTTCAATGACAAACATAATAAATTTTGGCACTTCGGTATGCCAAACTGGTTCCACTTTTATTTTTATTAATTTTCCTTTTGCCTCGGGCCTTTATTTCTTGCAATGTACAGTACTGTACTTTTTTAAATCCGATTTTACAATTCTGTAACTTTCTCAGTTTTCTTGTCATTGTCCTTGCTAGCTCGACGTGCTTCTTTTCTTCTTCGTTTCTTACACTTGTGGCACATACAAATTTCACCGACATCGCTCTCGCTTTCAGTCGAACTCACATCACTATCATCACTTGAGTCCGAACTCGAGCTGCTTGAACTACTACTATCATCAGTAGACATTGGAAGCATCGGAACATATGCAAGTGACCTACATTTGTCTAGCAAGTTCTTATAATAGCATCGTCCTGTCTTGTTATACAGCCGTTCGATTTCAGATCGGAATTTCCTGGCTAGCTTAGGACGCGCATGTCGTGTATAAAGCCATACTCCTTCGAAATTGGCTGGAGAACAGAAGTTCTGTGTGATCGCGATTGTAAAGTCTAAGCAAATAATAATAATAATAATAATAATAATAAAAAATAAAAATAAAGGAAGGAAAGTAAGATTGTATATCGCTCAACGCTTTGTCATACAACAACAGCATTAACAAGAACAGCAATAATAATAATAAAAATTATCTCGTATAGACACATATTTACCAAGATTCATCACGATATGTGGCCATCCGCCTGGAACAAACATGGTTTCACCAGGGCGTTGAATGACTTGAATCATACCATACTTCTTGCCAAGCTCAAAGTCATTTGCTGCGAAGCGTGGATAGACATGATGAAACCATGAGACAGCCTCACGATCGAAAGGCTTCATCGGTGGATCATAAATGGCTTTGGGTATTCCTGGAGGGAAAAGACACCATCGCTTGTGTCCCGTCGTGAGTGTGTTCCAAGCAGAAGTCCCTGAAATATTTTATGTTACACCAAGCCACTGTTAGTATTTTTTCCTCTTTTTTTTTTTTAAGTATTATTTTTACAATACAAGCAGGGGGCCTTACCTAGTGGATCAATGTGGATTCCAGTGCCACTTCTTGGTCCGCCCATCACAAACCAGCGGTATGGCGGTCTCCTACGATCTCCTGCTAGCCTAGTAAACACCAAAAAAAAAAAAAAAAAAAAAAAAAAAATACACGCATTAGTAAACTAGACTGGTATCCAATGGGAAAGCCTTTTTTTTTTTTTTTTTTTTTTTTTTTTTTTTTAAAAAAAAAAAAATATTATATATATTTAAATCTCCATACTGGAAAAGATCATCTTTAAAGTACTTAGGAACCATAAAGTCATTCAGTAAAGTGCTTGCATGTTCTTCTTCCCGCTTTGATGGTCGTCCACCTGTACTAAGCGGCATGGGGGTTCCTATTCGACTATCGCTGTTGTAACTGTTGCTGCTGCCATTCTCATTATTACGCTTCCCAAATACACGGATAATTTTATTCGAACCACTTGAAGGCGAATTGGAGCGTGAGCGAGCCCTTTTCGATCCAGGGGTCACACCATTTGTCATCCACTCATTAGCGCTGCTTGAAAAGTCTGCTGTTGCTACTCCACCATCGCTACCATCATTTCCTCCTTTTGACATCAAAGAAGGGGAGGAGGGCGAAGGTTTCGTCGCAGTCTTTTTCCTTCTTCTTCCCGACGATGATGAAGAGGATGACGAGGCAGATCCAGAAATCCGTCGTTTCTGTACTGGTGTCAATTTACGTTTTACAAATCCCGAATCGAAAATATAAAGTGGTGAATCGTCCTTGAGTCCATCCGTCTCTGCATATTTGAGAAAGTATTTCATTTTAACATAGACATTATTACCGTCATCGTCCTCGCCGACTTTAAATGGCTGAGAATAATATTTTCTAAGGAATGTCTTTACAAATAGGACAAAGAAAAAAAAGGATCATGAGTTTATAATTTATATTACTGATAAAGATGAAAAAGTACTACTTTTATAGGCGCAAGAGAAAGGAAGGAGTATTCTATTTTAATTATTATTATTACTATTGTTATTATTATTACCTCTTTATTCCAATTCTTGCAGGCATCCCAGTCTTCCATAACACCGCGGATCACTACAGGCTTGTATTTTTCTTCATACAATTCAATAAACTCTTCCCTCGAGACTTTGTCATAATCGATTCGCTCAAGGGTATCGTATGAATCGGGGATAGTAAAGTCATGTTGGGCGAATTGGTGCTTATCCCATTGAAAAATATCCAATTCTTTAATTTATTTTTTAATAATAATAAAAAAAAAAAAAAAAAAAAAAAAAAAAGAATTGAGAGGTAATCCCTGGTTGACAATGTGACATGACAGGAAAAAAAAAAAAAAAAAAAAAAAAAAAAGAGTAATGGAGGAGAGAGAATTTGAACTAACCTGACCTCGCCCTCAATTTGGCGCGACGAATCCGTCGATGGTAACGGGTCATCATAGGAGGCAGCATTTTTTTTTTTTTTTTTTTATAAGAGGCAGGAGTAAGAAAGAAACAAAAGGCTGTTTATTTCGATTTAGATATTTTTTTATTTCAAATCGCAGTCACCCGGATTTGCTTGGGTTGATTTTTGAAGAGAAGGTCCTCTACTGCTGATATTTCTTGTTGTAGGACGTTTGGGTCTATCCCAAGGACTTCGCAGCCATAACTCAAAACCCTGCCATAATTCCCAAGGTAGTTGCTCAGGTGGTCTGCCTTATAGTGAACAAAACCCTCGCCTAACCTCAAAGGAGGAGGTCGATGCGGATCAATTGACGTCTCTTCATCTGGAAGTATCGCACTAGAATAAAGCTTTTTGATAAAGGCCTCTAATGCTGGTGATATTTGATCTTGTCCCGAGTATTTTTCTGATTCCTGTGGATAACCAGTCGTCTCTTGAAAAAATTCAAGTACACTGGATATAATAGGTTCTAGAGCATGAATGATAAAGAGAAAATAAAGAAGTCAGTTCGTCAGTTCAGCCTAAAGAAATAAGAGCAAGTTTATTATTATTATTACTTGGTTTAGAAGGTGGTCGCATTTCATTTTTCACGTATTCGGCGTAAAGGTCTGGGTTGACTTGAATAAGCTCTTCAAATTCTCTGTTGTAGAAAGAACAGATAATTCATCTTATTAGCAAAAAAAAAAAAAAAAAAAAAAAGTTCGTTCAAAGCAAGTCTGCTATTTTTTGAGACATTACCCAGACCAGACTGGCACTGTCGTTTGAGCTTGTGCGCTATCATAGATATCCATCATACGGAGCCACTGATCCTCCCTGGGAAGTGAGCCGGGCCAGCTAAGTGGATCACCAACTGCTCTATATATTCAGTAGAATTGGTCGAGAAGGGGACATTCATTAATCAATACCGTATGTTATCCCGTCTCTACTTTTTTTTTTTTTTTTTTTTTTTTTTTGTAAAACGATACTTTACCGGCTCTTTCCATCCAGAGAAAACAGAAATTTAGCCATAATGATCACTATAGCCATGGCGTAGATAGGATCTATTACTGGAGGATTATAGCCCATTTTCCAGTGACCTATTGGTAAATAGGTAGCTTTACGAAGTCTAGTAATAGTCGCAAACAATCTCTTTGATTGATAGATGGCAGGCGAATATATTTCCACTAAAAATCATTCCAAAAAAAAAAAAAAAAAAAAAAAAAAAAATAAGAAAAAAAATTATTATCAAATGACTTTGTTCGTATTCATGTCATCAAGGCAAATGAGTATGTTATTACCAGGCAGCATAAGTTCCTGAATAAACCGGAAGACAAAAGGAGGCATGTTTGCACGTGGTGGAGTTATTCCGAATTTCTTCCTGAACCACTCTAGTAAACGTGTCGTGGCTGACTCAAAGACATCTCGTTTCCTGTGCTGTATTTCGCCCAAATACAAATATGAAGGAGAACAGAGTCAATTGCAATATGTCATTATCATAAACTCGTTATATGACTAAACTGATCGGTAACAGATTCATTCTCGGCCATTATTACCTTTGGTATCAAGAGTATGCGCTGTTCACCCACTAATCGACACCCCATTTCTTTTGGTAGCGTGTCAACTGCATTATAGTAAACAATTTTCCTATCCCTAGTCCATCTATCGAATAGAAAAAAGAAAAAAAAAAAAAGATTTCATGGAATTATGTAAGGGCAGATACTCTTTTTTTTTTTTTTTTTTTTTTTATCTTTATTCATCAGCGAATATCCTGCCCTATTGATGGGTCCTCACCGATAAAAGTCTTCAAAGACGACGGGTATGCGCAAATGATGCGCTGATATATAGCAAATGGCAATCAAATATGACATCGAGAACTTAAGTCCATTACTCCTACGATAGTAACGATATTTGGTTTTGGACCCGTCATTTCCATTTTCTTCCTCAGGTAGATCCTCATCCTGAACTCCTGGTGATGGCGGTACTGCATCATCATTCTCAGAATCATCCTCAATCTCGCTTTCTTCTGATGAATCATGATTATCATGATATTCATTCATTGTATCCAGCTGATCAGGTCTAGACTCTGGAGCGGCTGTCTTGTCTTTAAACCTGTCAGGATTCAACTCCTGTCCAGATTCAACATCTGTTTGCTCTCTCTGTGTTCCCGAATGCTCATTATCACTATCCATTTCGTTCTCATTAACTGTAGTGTCAGTGGATAACGACTTTATCCCTGATAACTGCCATTTGTCCTGAAATACTGTAAGAAGTGACATGTAAAGTGTCCAGTATTCACGTGCAACAGATTCCAACTCGGGTGGGAACCCAAGATGATGAATCATGTCATGAATTTGATGTCGAAATATAAGCTGTGCTGACTGAACTAACAAATAGTCCGCATGTGCTCCGACAAAGACTATAAAAAGAGCTTCCATCGAACAGGTTTCATGATCAATGAACAATTCCTCCTCACAGCAATAGCACTTATTTGAACTAAAGATCAGGATTTTGCTGTTCTGTGATACCTGTCAGCTCTTTAACCTTGCGTTTCCGTTTTTTGACCTTTAGCTTTCTATGATGCATACTACCAGCATTGGCATCGAATTCACCCTCTTCCTCTTGAAACCCCTAAAAAAAGAATATTAAATAGGTTTTTAGCCGTGTTTTATTGCTTAAGGCCGAAAATCCCTTTTACAAGTTCTCAATGGTAAAGGAAGAGGACGACATGCCTCCATTTGATGTCCAAATTCGCAGACATAGAATCCAAGACTGTTCTTTCGCCATTTCCTGGATCGGCAAATTCGACAGGGCGGTTTACTTGACTTTTTTGATTTATTCATTGACAGGATTCTGTTCAAAAGAATAATTCTACGGTGCTCGTTTAAAAAAAAACAAAACAGTGGTTTTAATATTTGAATTCAGCTTTTTTCAATTTAAGTTAATAAAATTATCCTACAAGTTATCCGAATGTGTCTAAAACAATATCCTCCTTTCCAAACATGATAACCGAACAATTATCCAAACATCGTGTCTTTATAAGCAACACAGATGAGCGACCTGACAGACATATTATCCTATCCATTGGTGTTTTTTCTTCTTTCTTTCTCCACTATAACTGTAACAGCTAAACTTTTGTTATTAAATTAAAAGATTTCTATGTCAACCAAGGGGGTTTTTTTTTTTTTGTGAGAAAGCAATGAAGGGTGACTATGGTTGGCATCTTTTTTTTTTTATGCATATGTGTATACAAAACTGATATGTGTTTGGATGTGCATTATCCTTTCTGTAGCTGTGTGTAATCAAGCTTTTATTGATGCTCGAGATTCTAGAATAAATGGTGAAGGATGTCTGAGGTAGCAGTGCATCGCAGAGCACTTGGTCAAGCAGGCTTCTCAAAAATCGCCGCTGCTTCACTTCCAGCTTATCTCACTGTCTCCAACCCAGATACAGCATGTAGAAAATGGACTAATAATAATGGGGAGTTGATCTGACAATTAATATGCCTCGAAGAATCGATAAAACATGCAAGTCCTGAAGTCTCCTCACTCACAACTCACAACTGAAGATTCATGCAGAGGATTCTTTTTTCTGTTTTATATTTTCATCCTGCTATCTCTCTATTTTTACTGATATGAAAATGTGGCGAATAAATTAGGACGATGTGCGATTTTGGAGCATGGAAAGCTACACTGCGCCACAGCCATGTAATTATTAATGATCATGCCAAATGCAGTCAAAGTTTCGCCATTGCGCAGAATGATGCAAGACTTTTTTCTGTTCAAAAGGGAAATGTCGCAAAAATAAAAAAAAAAAAAAAGAATCCATTCCTTTGCCTTTTACCTCAATTTTCGGTGGAAAAAGTAAATAGCTTCTATTTTGTTCTTTCGTTACTAATTGTATAAAATGAGTCGAATCACTGTACGAGCCCTGATCACTTCTTCCTCTTCCTCTCTCACACATTTCTCCAACACTCGACTTCAACAGCCGAATAGTATCTTAACAGTTCTTGGTACAAGAGCGAAAACAACTTTAGCCTCGCGATTCTCAAGACAAAAAAAAAGTATCTCAGGGATCTATTCTCCTCAACAACAACAGCGGACTTATTCTTGGTTCTCGAGCCGATCGCAACCTTTTACTTCTTCTTCTTTCAATAAAAAGTCAGCCACCACGGGCAACTCTACATCTTCGTTTTCGACTGCCATTCCGGCGTCTCAACAGTTTCAAAAGGAAAAAATGACCCAACAAAAGACAGAGGAAGAATGGCGTGCCGTTCTCACGCCTGAACAATTCCGAGTACTTCGTCAGAAGGGTACAGAGATGCCCTATTCGGGTGAATACACCAAGACTAGAGAAGAAGGTGTTTATCGATGTGCAGGATGTCAAACTCCTTTATACACTTCTGGAACCAAGTTTGATGCTTGTGGATGGTGTTCATTCTACGATGCCATTCCTGGTAAGTTTTTTTTTTTTTTTTTTTTTTTTCTAATTAGTTTGTGGACCAGAAAGGTGAATAAAATATTAAGTAATATAAAACTTACATTCTTTTATTTTTTTCTTTAGGTGCTGTGGGTCGACACCCTGATCCAGATGGCCATCGCGTGGAGATTGTCTGCAATGCCTGCGGAGGTCACTTGGGCCATGTGTTTAAGGGTGAAGGCTTTGGAAATCCAACTGATGAACGTCATTGCGTCAATAGCATCAGTCTCAAGTTCCAACCTGGTGACGTCTAAAAAAAAAGGCGTTTTATTATTTATTTATTCGATCTACATGAATATTCAAAATCTGAACGAAAATAAAGTGTTTATTAATTATAGATGATGATGATCTTGGCTTACAAATGTTTCTTTTTTTAAAATTTGACACTTTGGCTTGGGGAATTGGGAGAAACTCCTGAGCCAGCTGAGCAGAAAAAAGATTTTCTGTGTTCTGTGATTTGCTGACATGAGCCAAGCCAAGAGGCGAAGGCACAGCCCGCCTAAAAACTCCACTGCATGGAAAAAAAAAAAAAAAAAAAAAAGCCCTTGGCCTGAATTGGGCCTGAATTGCTCTTTTACTTTCTTCTCTTTTCTTCTCACACTTTTTATTTCCTTCCTTCTTGATACTTGATACTCGCCTCTCGTTTTTTTTTCTTACTTTTTCCACTTTTTTTTTCAACAAAGCGTTTCAACTTTTTTTTTTTTATTGTAGAAGGAAAGAGAACAAATAAGAAAAAAACCAAATAATAATAGTAACACAGGAACGATGGATTATCTAGGTTCCCATCTTCAGGAGAGTGCACGTCGTGCCGCTGGATCATTTCTCAGTCCATTGACAAACGCAATAGGCGAGCAACGTCGATTGATCGACAGTCTTGCTGTTGTCTCCAAAGTCCGTGTTGAGGAGTGCAAGCATATGATGGTTTGGAGCAAAGCTCAGGTAAAGGGGGATAAATGTTTGTAAATATAAATGTACAAAGGATTGTCAAATGAATAGGTGATGGGCTTTGAAAGAGGGATGTAGATGGGAATGGCGAATGGTGATGGCGTTAGTAATGGTGCACAATACGACACGAGCACTGACACCTTGTTTTTGCGTGTGAATGATTTTTTTTTTTTTTTTTTTCTTTTTTTAATCTTACAGACTGAAGACCTTGGTGATGTTCTATTGAAGCTCAACCTACTCATCCGAAAGATCAGTGACTATGAAATCCGGTTTGGAACCCAATATGAATCGTTCCGTGAAAAGGTCAAATATCTGCGGACAAAGGACGATTCACTTTGTGAAATGGGCCGTCGTCAAGTCGAACTCCAGAACAAGATCTTGGATGCATCGAAGAGTCGTTTGCGCTCGGCAAAGGCCATGTTGTTACAAAAGGAACTGGATGACATTCAAAGGGATAGTGCACCCACAGAGACAAAATTACAGAAGTTGAAACGAGAACTCATCAAGGGTGCATATACTGAACAATTGAACGCTATCATTGAGCTCGGCAAAAAGATGCAGATCATTGGAGAACATGGCAAACAGTTGTTGGAGCATATTGACTTACCAAATGGTCAGAACGATGGTAAAAACATATAAAAAAAACTGAGAGAACAGCAAACTTTTACCTCGTGGTCTTTTGTTGGCTCTCCTTTTTTTATTTCCTAATGGAAGCAATGGAAGCAATGGAAAATGCTGATAAAGTTCTTTTTTTTCTTTCTTTCTTGGGTTTAGATCGCAAGACGGAGGATATCCTTCAGTCTGCTCGTATTGCGCTTGAAAACTGGGATAAACTAGTCATGGTCGAACCGCATCCAATAGTCGTTCATCCACCTCCTCCCCATCCTCCCAGATCATCCACTCAATCTTCTATCGCCAGCAGTGTACTTTCGCTCGCTGTCTCAGCAACGCCCTCGAACACACACTTAGACTCGGACGCTTCTGATAATGATGAAGAATTTGTACCTGCCCCTTCCACTCCACTCAAGAGCAAACCGTCGGTAGCACTGTCGACATCCGATGATAGCGTCTTACTTTTGCAAGAACAAAGCGTAAAGTCAAAAAAGCCTGAAGTCGAAGTTGCACTCAAATCACCCCCAACATCAGCATCAGAACCAGCACCAGCACCAGCATCAGAACCAGAACCAGAACCAGCACCAGCACCAGCACCAGCACCAGCACCAGCACCGGTAGAAGTCACATCTACACCTGAATCTGAATCTGAAAATGAGTCTGAAGTTGAATCTGAATCTGAATCTGAATCCGAACCAGAACCTAAACCTGAGGTCGCAGCGCACCAAGTAAAAGCAAAGGAGGAGCCAGTTGAGGCGGAGGAAGAAGAAAAAGAAGAAACCCCCAAAGTGCCAACGCCAGAAACCCATCTTAATGTCGCGTCCTTTGGGTCAACGCTCGTGCCAAAACTTACTCTTACTCCAAACAAGAACAAGGGCTCAACATCGACTCCACCAGGACCTGCTCCTTCAGATTGGGCTGCTGAAGCCACTGAGGCTTTGGCCAGTATCCAGCTCAAAAAACTTGAAGAGATGATGAAAAATGACACCTCTGCTTCCGAGGCTGAGACACTTCGTCGTCTGGAAAAACTCGAGTTGAAACAGGCTCTTGAGCTCAGCCTTACAGAATCCACGAAACCCCAGGTCCAGAGCGATAACGGAGATCTTCAACTCAGTGCAGAGGAAATCCGGTTTGTGATGGGCGATATCGCTCCTAAAAGGTCTACTAAGATTGCAAAGAGACAGCCCAGAGGCCCTGAAACAGATGGCTTAGCACCTGTCGTAGTTGTCCGTCCTGGCTCCAGAAGAAAATCCAAGAAAACTGCTGGCTCAAATGTTTCTGTCGACACAGAAAAGAGTGCAACAGACGGAGAATCAGAACAGGCCCTGGAAACACCCAAGGCTTCGAAACCGCAGCGTATTGTCCGTGGACCTCAGGCAGCTGAACCCGAAGGCAATAAAGTTTCTCAACAAGGACCTCGTCCTTGGGTTCCAGGTGAAGGTGATGAGGATGATGACGACAGCGATGACACAACGTCTGAAACGTCAACAGTAGATCTACAAGGACCTGAAGAACTAGCTAACTCCACAGACGTTGTAGAAACTATGGGTGAGGGCGATCATGGAGCATCCAAAAAGAAATCTGCAAGCCAGACAAAGGTACTTGAAAGTTTAGGTCGTGAACCCGAGAGACCTCTGGAAAGTATGGGACCTGAGCCCGAGAAGACGTATGAAAGCATGGGATCCGAACCCGAGAAGACGTATGAGAGCATGGGCGACGACGGTCGCGTCCCAACCGACACTTCGTCGATGCCTTCTGCCTCAACTACTAGATCCAACACCACAGCATCAGACATGTCTGTGCCGTATGTGCCAATGCCTCAGGTGCCCTCACTGGAAGAGATTCGCCAACAAAAGATACTTTTGAAGCAACAGCAACAGCAACAGCACCAACAGCAACAAATGGCTGCGTATGGTCTCTCTCCCGAGCTACAGTACCTTCAACTCCAGAGCTCTCCTCAGGCCATGAATCAGCAGCTACAGGGATATCAAGGACACGGCTCGCCACAGACGCCTCATAGTTCGATTTATACTGCATCACCCGCTCAGACTCATAGTCGTGTGGGCAGTAACTACCAAACTCCTAACTACAAGCCCTCAACAGCATATGTCCCTCAAGCATCTAAACAAAAGAATCGACTATCAGGGTCACATACTGGCTCCTCTGGCTCCTCTCCTCAGCCCCAGCACCAGCAGCAATACTCCAACCAACAGTACCCGCAACAGCAACAGCATCACCAGTATATTCAGCAACAGCGACAGCAACTTCAGGACTTTTTCTACACTCCCTATGAACAGGAATATCAGCAACAGCAGTATCAACTATATCATCAGCAACTTCGTGAACAACAGCATCAGCGTCAAAGCTCGGTTTCGTCTGTTGGAAGCAATGCCAGCGCTCAGAGCAGTATTGGAATTGCACCCTTGGGCTGGAACTTGCCAGGTATGGCCCCTCCCCAGATTACAGATGATGACTTGAGATATTACCAGCAACAGCAGCAGCAAAAACGACAACAGCAACAGTACCAGCATCATCAACGTACACCATCTACTGCTGAATCAGTTCATAGTGATCATGGTGGCAATGTTTATCCCGTATCATCAGGCGTTCCTTCGCCATCACCATCGCATATTTCATTGATCCCAGATAATAACAGTGTTTCATCTGCAGTTCCTTCGCCTGTCATGGCTTCTGTTGCGCCTCTGACGCCTCAAAAGCAGCAGCAGCAGCAGCAGCAACAGCAGCAACAACAACAGTCGCAATTGAGTCCAAGTCCAGATGATTACAAAGTCGAAGTCAAGTAACCAAAAGTCATGAAATGGATCTTTAAACTATATATCAGTAAAAATAAAGAGATAGCATAATTAGAATAAGCTTGCTTCATAGGATGTAGGATGAAAATATAAAACAGAAAAAAGAATCCTCTGCATGAATCTTCAGTTGTGAGTTGTGAGTGAGGAGACTTCAGGACTTGTATGTTTTATCGATTCTTCGAGGCATATTAATTGTCAGATCAACTCCCCATTATTATTAGTCCATTTTCTACATGCTGTATCTGGGTTGGAGACAGTGAGATAAGCTGGAAGTGAAGCAGCGGCGATTTTTGAGAAGCCTGCTTGACCAAGTGCTCTGCGATGCACTGCTACCTCAGACATCCTTCACCATTTATTCTAGAATCTCGAGCATCAATAAAAGCTTGATTACACACAGCTACAGAAAGGATAATGCACATCCAAACACATATCAGTTTTGTATACACACATGCATAAAATAAAAGATGCCAACCATAGTCACCCTTCATTGCTTTCTCACAAAAAAAAAAAAAAAAAAAAACCCTTGGTTGAGGTTGCATCTGTTTTAGCAATTTTAGTGTTGCCATAGAAATCCTTTAATTTAATAACAAAAGTTTAGCTGTTGCAACTTATCACTCCAGCCAAAAAGTCAAGTTTGGTCCCTGCCTGAGAGAGAAGTGTCTGCAAGAGCAAATCACATTTGCCTTTCAGCACCTGCATGTGCACATGAACTTCGTCCTCAGGCCGGTGACGAGCCTAAGGGTTCCCAATGGTTTCGTGTAAAGAAGTGTTGCAGAGGAACCATGGCACAGTAGAATGTTTAGCTGGGTGCTAGGACGACAATTATACAGCGTTTTAATCGTTTTATCTACATGTACTTTAAAATTAACTCTATCCGATTCTATTTTTTATTTGAACTGTTCCAATCTCTAAAATAAATTGTCCAAAGTAAAGTTAAAAAATTAACCGAAAAGGATGGAGAAATTTATCATAACTAGCCATGGGACCTTGTGATATTATCGGCGCGTCCTGAAAATTATCAACCGCCTTGGGTTTTTTTTCTTCAGATTCAAAAAAAAAAAAAAAAGGAAAAAAAAAAAAAAAAAAAAAAAAAGGAAAAAAAGAAAAAAGGTCGTCAATTTATTTTTATTTTTATTTTCACCTGTTTCTGGTACACCATGATTTGTATGAGTTGACATGCTTGTATCTAATAGCCGCAAGAAGAGCGGCATCCAAGAACGACTGGACCTCACCTGCGCACACTATAGTATTGGCGAAGTCACTCGAAGTGATATATTGTGAAAGCGAAATGGAGTTTCCATTGTGATTGCGGGTGATACTAAAATCCATTCTCTCATCAACAATGTGAGTTCATCTTCAAATATTGAATACAAATAAAATAGGAGTTCCATGGTTCCTCCCGCTTTATTGCCCTCCTTGTTTACTATTAAGATTTATGTATAGCTGTATGATTGTTTGGGAAATATCGCCTTCTAAGGACTTTTTTGCAATGACATGTTTCGTCTGTAGCCTTTTTTTTTTTTTTTTTTTTTTTCCTTCTTATAGCTATGTCTGACATTTATTCCCTTTTAGCGACCGGGCAAATCATGCTATTGACTTGTGTGACTTGGTAGAGACTGGTCGTTCACCACCTGTTACACTGTTAGGGCCACTACCACTGCCACTGCTGCTTCTGTAGATAGCTTCACCACGCTCTTGTTCCAGGGATAACCGCGAAGAACCAACTACCAATAATGATGAGGGTGGCGCCGCGCCCGAAGACCCACTGCTTTGGTTAAAATACCCAGTCATATGTGTTGCTTTGGTTGTCAACGACTCTATCACCTTGCGCGCGGTCGACGTCCTCTTCGCCGCCTTGCTCTCCTTGTCTTTATCCTTGCCCTTGTCTTGTGAACCTTCGCTCAGTCCAAACGCTTTTGAGAAGAATGGTACTGGACTTTTGCTATGTCCCTGCGCTGCCTCAAGTCTAGCCGCCATTTCTTCTGCAGTGACATTGTTGTGTATCAATAACTCAGTATTGCGATCCGGACCAGGTTCTGAGGCAGCTGACCGTGGAAGATGTGAAAGCGGTTCAAGATTTGATCCCGATATCGAACGTCGTCGGTTTGATCCCGATATGAATGCTGCTAGCTGCGGTGTCGAACTCTCTGGTGGAGGTGAAATTATGTCTTCCTCACTTCCAGACAAGACATTGAGGCCTGCGGTGCTCTCGGATCCTTCGCCTGCAGAGTTGGCTCCACTGGAGATAGACTGTTGCACAACACACCAGTCTTCCTCATCCTTCGCTTCCTCAACTCTGAAGCTAACAGGTATGTCATCCGACTTCTCCTTGCGCTTATTGAGTCTCTGCTTTGCAAGATCTAAATCATGATAAAAGTACTTGATAGCCTCACCAACACCATCCTCTTTACGGATTTTTTCGCCAATCAACTTTGCCTTCCTGATCATCTTTTCATCTGTTGTAATCGTAATAAGGGCTGATGTGAGCTTCTTGACTGTCAAATCGTGGCACCACACACCAACTCCAGCTTCCTCCAAACGTTGCGCCCAAAAGTATTGATCACCAAAGAAGGGCTTGATCACTGTTGGAATACCAGCCCGCAATCCGGCTGCAGCCGTACCCGCGCCTCCATGATGAACACAACCTGCCAATTGAGGGAACAACCAGTCGTGAGGCACAGATTTGAGCATGTAGATGCAAGTTGGATAGACAATCTCCTCACTAGCTGCCTTCTTGGCAGCACCCGCGGCACCATCCTGAGCTGTCACACGATCCGACCATCCTTTTGAAATGATGGCTCGGACCCCAGATTTGACAACAGCCTCAATGATAGCTTTAGTCATACCATCAGGATCAGCCACCACCATGGACCCAAAGCCAATATACACAGGCTTCTTCTCAGGTTCTGCATTCAAAAACGCAACAAGGTCTTCAGGTGGTGTCCATGAAAGGTCTGGATTGTCCAAAAACCAATAGCCTGTGACGTGGATCCATGAAGGCCAGTCCATAGGCGCTGGTACAACATTTGGACTCCAAGAGTATAAGCTAGGGACATGATGAGCATCCATCTTTTCTAAACTGGTGGGCCCGAGACCGAGTGTTTCTTTGCGCCAGCGATTGATTTGTCCAGAGATACCTTTCCAGAAGACTTGCTCAATCATTACGTAAGTCATATAGTTATAAGATCGGCCAAGGTTGTGTTCAGGAACAGCAAATGGATGTGGAAACGCACGAGTACGTGTCCATGGGAAAGGAAAAGCTCGGAAATATGGAATGTCGAGCTTCTCAGCAATGTGAATGCCAGCCATGGCAGATGGTGATTCAATCAGGACATCACTGCCTTGGCAAGCTTCCCAAGCCGACACCATAAGCTCATCCAACCAGCCGCGGAATCGTTTGAGGCCTTCGCGAATAAATGACACTGTAAACATGCCATTCTCCACACATAGCTCAATAAGCTCACCTGGATCACCCTATTGGTTCGAATCCAAAAAAAATAAAAAAATAAAAAAATAAAAAAAAAAATAAGTATTCGCCCTTTCCTTAATCCAAAGTCCAAGAAAATCTGTATAAAGTAGTGAAAGGAAAAACTTACTCCGACCAAGCCAAACTCAATACCATGGCCTTCGATCCAATCCTTGTATTCACCATGAGTTGAGATGCGACACTTATGGCCGTCTTTCATCAATCTTTTGCAAAGAGCAATATAAGGTTGCACATCACCTCGACTTCCAATAGTCAAACAGGTAATACGCATTGGAGGGCGTGCCTTGAATTCAGGATGCGATGACCAAGACATAGCCTCCACATGAACAGGCTCATCGCCCAACATCAGTGAATCCGTGACCCGCGACCCGATAGGATCGTCTATCTCCAGCGACGGGGTTTCTGCGATTGCACGTGCTCTCTGCTTCATACGACGTTCCTGAGCAGCTGGAGAGATTTCTTGCTGAATAGCGTTCAGGATCTTGTCGCGAGTCTCGGGCGTTTTGAATTCTAAAAAGATTTCCGCGTCCGTTTTGGTAAGGATTGCCAATCCATGAAAAAATAACTGGGTTCCCTTTTGCTTGTCCACTTCTCTCGCATCAGCCAACGGCATAATAAGGATCGTTTTCGTAGGCACGTTAAACTTTGACTTGAAACATACATAGTTTTCAGAGACATAAATTCGTCCATACACAAGCATGCTACGTAACAGATAGCCCGAAACGATTGTGTTCAATTCTTCAGAGTCCGGTAGCGAAAATTCACGTCTGAAGGCTTCCTTCTCCTCATCGTTCAAGATCATGTTCTCTTCAGAGACATCTGTGCCAGATTTGTGATCTGTAAGCCAGTTAGTTGTTCCTCGAAGAGAGAAAGGAAATGCGAGCCGCGACTTTTCCTTTTCGTTTTCCTCTGTGTCAGATGAAGGTTGAGATCTGCTGGGGCTATTGCTTCTGGATCTCGATTTATTGTTGGGAGGATATAAGAAGTTGCGCGAGATACGGCGCCCTTGAAAAAGCGAAGATTGTTGCGACGAGGTGGAAGCAGTCTGGGCGAACCTCTTTGTTGCGCCAATGGTGGGTGAGGTGCTGTCGTAAATTTTATTGTCTTTGGCGCTACCATATGTCTTTGATCGCTGGCATTTCTCATGCTGTGCTTTCATTGTCTCCAATGCCATCACCGCGTCATCAAAATAGGCGAAGTGGTACTAGTGAGAGCCAAGTGGTAATAATCATTAGCATAACCATGGTTACTTCATATTTCGCCAGATCAAAGTCACTGCACATATCCACGACCGATATACCTCTTCAATAGCAAGGGATTCTTCGTTTTCTAGTACTCTGACTTGAATCGCCTCTGCAAAATTCATATTATTCATTTCCACTCCCAAGACAATGCTCAATGGGATTGAAATCTAAATCACAAATGTGAAAGGAAGTGGAGACTGCAGGTATTAGTAAACAGTAAACAGAGAGAGCAACCAATTGCTTTTGTAGGAAACTGGTGCCGGCATACGGTACCTTGACTTTGTTTCCCTCCATTGTGGCATGAAGGATAGATTTTTGAATAGCTTTAACCCAATCTTGCCTCGAAAGCCCAGAATCCGTTTTAAAAGTGTGCTTGCGATTCTCTGTAAAGATATGGAAAGTCAAGTCGTTGTTGGGTGAAGACTCTGCATGAAGGGCATGCTTAAGATCGATCGTATTGAGTGGGAAATATACATCGGATTGATTGGCGTAGTAGCTCAAGACATCGTTTTTGAGGACGAACCAATGACGAGTAAATTGCATAGTGGTCCTAGACTTTTTGGAGAAAAACCCTTCCTTTTGTGTGGCATCCTACATATCAGCAGGCAAGAGGGCGAAGCAAATAAGCAGGAGTTAATAAATTAACGTGAAAACAAGGCAATATTAGTCCAGGCTGTGCAACTCAAATATGCAGTTTACCTGACTGTCGGGTAGGTTGGCATAGAATAAGATGTGCTCCGTCGTCAAATATAAATGACCAGGAAGAAGTAATGAACGCGCCAAATAGCACGGGTATTCTTTTAAGAATAATCATATTAGAAAAAGATAATGGAGTCGGTAAATTAGGTAAAAACCCATCAACACTAAACAGTCGTCTAGGTTCAGAATATTCTCTACCTCCAATAACTTGTTCTGTTTCTGGCAATCCAAATGCCACCAATAACTTTTCTACCATCGTTATCTTATCGCGGGAGGCGCCAAATGAAGCGGCGTTAATAATTTTCATAGTATCATCGCCATCGCTTGATGATCGCTGCGTCTCTGGATGAAGAATGTCTTTATGCTGTTTGTTCATTTGGAAATAACGACCTTCTTCGTCACTGAAGCCTTCTTCTTCGCCATCTGAATGAATGCCTAGGTCATGGACAGATCCATGTCGATGCTTTATTTTATGGAGATCATTGCCTATTCGATTAAAAAGAAAAAGAAAAGAGTCAATCATCTGTATCAGCGCGAAACACTGAAATCACGACTGATTTTTTTTTTTTTTTTTTTTTTAGGTCCTCCTCAGCGTAAATCAACATACCACTCTTATTCACGTGGACCATGTCATCTTCCTCTTCGGAACTCAATTCGGACCTCTGTTGAGAGTCAGCCATGTTTTCCTAATTGATAGAATTGATAGAGCATTAAAAAAAAATGTACAAGTCAGGATATACCTGCCATCTCGTTTATCCTCGTGAACAGTGACGCATTCTTTTTCTTTTTTTTTTAAAAAAATTAAAAGTTGCATTACTAAAAGACCGACACAGGCACTGTCGATCTTTGCCAGTGATCAATGTAATTTTTTTTTTTTTGTGTGTTGACACGACAATAATCTTGTTCATGACAGAGTTGCATATTTTGTTGTGCCTTCACTATTTTTTCTGCCTCTCATGACTTTGTTGTCAGGGTCACACTTCCTTCTTTGTTTCCTTCTCTTGTCCAGTTTGTCATTGTCTGTTCCAATAGATTTTTTAAGACACAGCCTCTCTCTCTACTTCATCCCTTCTTCCACGGTCATCCCCTGGGACTCACCGGTCAAATCTCTCTCTCCACAATTGCCCCCAAATATGCATGTGGAAGATTGTAAACATAAATTTGCTTACACAGTTAATTTGAAAATAAAAAATAAAAAAAAAGATTAAAACATTAACTGATAACAGACCTCTTTTGATATACGTATAAAAAGGAAACTGCCACCTCTTTAAAAGATATCATGAACCAAAACACTTTCTTTCTTTCTTTCTTTTTTTTTTTTTTTTTACCTGTCGTAGTGCTGCGGCTGCAAATTGCAGGAAGGCAGAGCCACTTGTAAGTGGTCTCATGAATCTGTTGCCGGCACTCATTTGCTGATAATATTTAATAGTTTACTTGGTAGCTTGCTGCGCCTAAAAGTTGTTCGCTGAGCAGGATCTTTTATATATATATATTTTTCCTCAGCGCCTGTAAAATGGTTGAGGACCAATGGAATGAATGTCGAAAAAGAAAAGAAAAGAAAAAAGAAAAAGTAATGTTTGTGTAGTACTGTAGTACCAGCGAAGAAACTAAAGGGCGAAGTTTATAGTGGCGAGGAGGAAGTGAAGAAGAAAAAGAAGAAAAAAAGGGGGAAGTCTGATGAACAATCAAAAGAGGTTAAAAAAGAAAAACAATGAGAAGATGGAAAGAACAGGGTTCTCTTCTTCTGACATTGCATTCTAATTAATTTATATAAAACATGTTGCCCCACCCATTCCTCTTACTTGTTCTACTTCTGTGATAAAATGCACGGAGAAAGAGGAGGTTGCTTTTTTTTACGTGTCCACGTGCGTTTGCTGCAGCCCCACTTGGGCTATTTTAGTCTGGCACAATGTCAGGACATTGCCAACATGATTAAAAACATTTGAGCAAACCTTAAATCCTGATCCCGCCAAGAGTATCAAGTGCCAAGCATGATTGCATATCAATATCATGCCATGTCTTGCACCAAAATCCATTTTTTTTTAATTCCAGACAACACAGCCAACATTTGTCTCAATTAGCCATATGCAACCAATGCACTGAAGGTCTTTTTTATATTTGTTTTTTTATTCATTGATTATCAGAAGACTTTATGGTCGGACATACTGGGCATCGATCTGCTTAAGCTGAGGCAACATGATCTTCATCTTGAGTCGATATGTTGTGTAGTTGTTGGTTTGAAGAGGGTTTCCTTCTGCGTACACAGTCTCGAGCTTAGGACAATTGTCCTTCAATTCTGACTCAAAGTCCTCAAAGGAATCGAGAAGATTATTGCTCGCCTAGTTTTATAAAGCCATATTATACATTGGATCATCGTTAGAATATCAGAGAACGTCAAATGTACACAAAAAAAAAAAAGATAAAGTCTTTTTTTTTTTTTTTTACCCAGAATTCTTGCAACTCTTTCAAATGGCCAAGGTTTTCAAGCTTCGAGACTCTATTGTTGCTGATGTCAATCGTGGTCAATTTGGTCTAGAGTACTCAGATGACAGATAGCAGTTAGTAATTACCAAGCTTTTTTTGTTATAAAGTGATAAGCAAAACCTCAAATCAGTCTTTCTTACATTTTTTTCGAACCCTTCAATCTTCGATATGCCATTATGGCTTAGATAGATTTCCTCAAGATTCTCCAGTTCTTCGAGTCCTTCAATTGCGGTTAATCTGTTTGATTGAATGCTGAGGATCTTGAGTTTCTTGAGGTTTGATAGATTCTACAATTATTATATACATATAATATTTAATAAATAGGAATGTCTAAATGTAAATTTTCCTGCATCCTCCAATCGAGCTAATTCCAATCTCCAACGGACTAATATTGAAAAAAAAAAAAAAAAAAAAAAAAGTTACCTGTAGTTTGGTAATTTTATTTTTTCCGAGCCACAGCTGCTCCAAATTCACCAGACTGTCAAGGTTCTCGATTTTCTAAGAAAGGGAAAATATATATCCATTCGACAGTAAAATTAATTATCTCTTCTTGATATATATAAGCAAAAAAAAAAAAAAAAAAAAAAAGAACACAAGCTTCAAGAACACGCTTTACTCTGATGCGGTTGGAACCTAGCTCAAGGTTCGTGATGTTCACCAATGTACTCAAGTTCTCAATGACAGTAATTTTGTTGCTGACGAAATACAAGTCCGTGAGTTTGACTAGATGATCGACATTGTTAATATGCCGGATACCGTTGAAACTCAAGTCCAAGGATCTAACAACAGTTAAAATTTTATATACGTATATATATAAAACGTTAATATCATTCTACCGAAATATACATGTCCTTTTGTTTTCAAGAACTACTTCTTACGTCAACTCTGTCAAATTTTCGAGTCCTTCGATTTTACTGAAGCGGTTATCATATAGATCCAATTCTTGGAGTGATGTGAGCGTTTCGAAGCCTTTAATCTTGGGGATCAAGTTCTGTCTGAATGAAAGTCTCTATTGAGCAATATATTAGCAAATATAGTTATGAGTAAAGCAAAACCATAGCCAGGGAGCTAATAATCACATGTACAACAGGCGGAGGAAAAAAAATAAAAATAAAAAAAAAATAAAAAAAGTACACATTATGCAAAATACCTGAAGGTTCTTGAAACGTTCAAGATGTAAAGATGGGACATCATCGATCCTAAGATGCGTTAACTCTAGTTCCTTTAGTTTGTGGAAGAAACGTTGTACAATAATGGTGAGCAAGTATGATTAATAATCTATGAGAAAATAAAATCCTAAAAGCTTTTAAATCCTTTGTTTCCAATGTATCCTTTTTTTTTTTTTATTCTATTGACAATTCTCCAACGAACCTCAGTATCGTCCGGGAAATCTGATAAGAAATCTAACGATGGAGAAGGGATAACCAATCAGTCTTTATTTTCTACTTTTTTATTCTATTTCTTTATCGATACAGACTAAAAAACGCGCTTTAGCATCAAGAATGTTATGAATGGTTGAACGGTATAAAACTCCTTACCTCCATCGGGCGTTTGAGGCTCTTCTCCGCCAGGAATACCACGGTGCACTGCTCCATTTTCGTTCGCACTTTCGTCGCCTGAATCTTCATGCTGATCAGCGTGTGAATTGCTTTTTGCCTCTTGGAAAAGCCTATTTTGCTCTTCAACGTCGAGGTGTACTTGTTTCTTCTCTGCCATTGTCTGAATGAAGAAAAAAGAAAAAAGAAAAAAAAAAAAAATGGAAAGGTTGCATGTAATGTAATGAAGTCATTTCATTTCTCCGTCTTTTTGAGTTTGTGACTTGTACTGAACACGGCGCGTCGCAGCCGCGTAAATTAAATCCTCCCCCCCAGGATCAAGTCGTCGCAAGTTGTGAAACAGCGCTGCCAATATCCTCGATACGCGTTTTGCCGTGTAGTCTACGTAGGGAGATCCTACAGAATGTATTGCTTCTTCAGAACTCAGTCCCAAAACGTACTACTACTTGGCGCGCTTTAAACTAAGGTTGAAGCTGATAATGGTTAGGCTCTCCTAGGGAATGTAGCCTTGAAAGCAAGAATTTTTTTATACTTTTTTACAGACCTACTCCATTCGGGCATCTAGGAGCCACATCACTTGATTGTAAAAAGACATTCATATTTGACTTTTCAACGCGCTTAAATCATCAACCACAAATCTGGTTGCTGACACTAGAAGTAATGAGGAACAACACAAGCATCTGCACAGTCAGTTCAAAGTGTACTGATGATGTTGAAACACATGAAGCAACATTAGACAAGACGCTTTTAATCCTGAAAACAATACAATAAACATGTATTTGTTCTACCAGGCTTCATTCGTACAGATGGCTCTCGCCTCCTATGCTTTTCTAATATAAGTAAACAACAGAAGGTAAATTGCCCTCCTAGGGTCATGTCTTTTGTCAGCATTGTCGACTATCTCTTCGCTGACGTTCGGGCAGCCTGAAAACGAAGGAGAATGTACTAGATATTTTGAAGATGTAAACACAAATACATCAAAGCCATAGGATTGATATTAAACAAGTGTGTCTGTGGTTGGGGTACGCGCATTATTACCTGACTGTTACAAAGGAATGTTTAGTTAACTGATTAACAGTGTTAAGTTAAGCTGTGGATATGTACGCCAAGTAATTTGGTGCAAACGAGGCAAAAATGTCACTTATCGTGGTGCTTTTTTTCAAGCTGTTAAATGAAGAACCTGTTCCTTTAGGCACAGGGGACGTTGAGTGGTCTACAAGGGAATGGATCAGTGAACAATTCTGCGCATTCGAAGAGCTTTGTATTAAAATAAGAATGAATAAAAATATGCAAACAAAAATGGAGTGCGTACTGTAAAATAGGAATATTATAGACTTGACAAAACAATTTATTTCTGTGCGTAATGGCAAATTTATATACAGAGGTTAGAAGGATAGGGATTGGAATAGAGTGGGGGAGGGGGTGTGAATATTTTTTCAGTTTGCCTATACTGAATATGCTTATGGATAAGGGAAAGGATAAGGATGATAGTATTTACAGACCACGCTCGCGGTCACGAGCATTGGCTTCCTCCTTCAAGGACTGTTCGTGCCAGAACTCAGCTTCGTCTTCAAGCGACTTTTGGATACGCTTGTTGATATTATGTTCGAGATGCTCAACGCCATCAGAAATCATATGAGCACGCTTTTCCAAGTTCTGCAAGCCATGGTGGATATCTTTCTTGATGCCACTGGCCCTTCGAGCGATACGCTCGGGAATCTTTCCAGTGTCCTCTTGATCATCCTTCTCCTCAGGCTGGGCACGGACGATGAACTTTCCATCCCTGTAATCACTAGCAGCAGCTTGTCTTGAGAGCTCGAGAGGATGCTCTTCATTGCGACCCTGGCGGTGTACAGGAACAGAGGCATCGACGACGTTCTGGTGAACCTTGCGAGCAGTCTCTTTAGCATCCTTACCTAATGAAGCATTGCGGTTGACAATGTCATCATGGCCCTTGACAGCAGCGGCAGCGACAGTCTTGTCGACTATAACATTGTGGGGCTTGTTATACTCGGGATCAGTCGATGTCGACGTTGCCGTCACAGTGACGGTCGTCCTGGGGGCGGTCACGGGGGACACGGTCGGGCGCGACCCATCAGCTGCAGAATTATTATCGTCGGCCATGGTCTCGATCTCCTTTTTGGATTTTGTGTGATCGTCTGAGCTCCTCCACCAAGCCCAACGAGTGGAAGAAGGTTTCTCAGGGACGCTGGCATTGTTGCTGTTGTTGTTACCGCTGGTGTCTCTGAAGAACGCCTTTTCTTTCTCATGCTGACTCAAATTACCAAGATGACTGGCGGTGTTTTTGGTTTGGTGGGAGATATTATTGAAGTCAGATTTGACAGTATCGACCATCGATTCGCCTTTCTGTTTAAGATCGTGCATGGCTCCTTGAGCCTTTTCACCAATATCAGCAGAAGTCTTTTCGACAGAGCTTAAAAGTGTTCTTTTGGGCGCATCAGAAACAGGTGGGGAGGTGACAGTCATTGAAATAGAAGAGTTAGTACCAGCATCGGCACCATGTTTAGCTGTCGAAGGAACCACAGGAGTCCAGGCATTGGTCATTTTATTTGCATGCGTAGGAAGGAAATAATATCCTCCAAGTGCAGCAAAGGTCAAGGGTGTCAGGATCTTGACTGGAACACTTTCTATCGAAAAAAAGAAGAAACAAAAATAAAAAAGAGGTAAGAGATGATATTCGAAGACTTTTTTTTATTTTTTTTTTATGTAGCATAAAGTGAAAAGCAATGTAATAAAATAAAATACTTACTAACGCGGTGGACAAGTGCAGCACCTCCAATAGCAGCAGCACCGACATATGCCAATCCAGGAAGAAGAGAGCCTTGATCGTCCTTGAGGCGCTGAACTGTATCCTATAATCAAAAAGTTGAAAAATATCCAAATGTTAGAGAAATCTCGGAGATTCGGAAATTTAGTGTAAGTTTGGATGATCAGCTGAAGGATTTTTTTTTCCTTACACTGTTGGAAGGGTTTTTGTTCATTGTTGAGAGATGTGTTTCGTTAAGATATGTGTGTGAATAAAAGTTGGTTTGAGAGTGGGGTGAAAATAATGAAGCGAAAACAAAAAATGGTTGTCAAAGATGGGAAAAAAATGAGGATAGGTAGTAATCTTCATCCTTTATATATATTTATGTTCATTGATAAAAAAAATAGTGTAAGTAGCAATTAGCCCGATCAAGAAATTGTACACACAATGGTGATGTATATGTGGGAGACGCACTCACCCGTCATGTTTGACTTTGACTATGATTGTTGACTTTGCATAATACAATAATGACGAGATAATCATTTTCGCGCTAAAACAAAAAAAAAAAAAAAAAAAAAAAAAATACCCAGAGTTATGCACTTGACGGATTTTGTACTGTTACTCTCTTATCATCATTGCTGCCCTTTTTTAGTTTTATTGCAGCGGCTCATCAATGTGGGAAGCTCTATAATAAAAGAAGCGAGCTTCATAAAATAAATATGAGTAGCATAAAAAGGTACGCATGATGTCACATTGCGCACTTTTGTTAATGTGTTAATGTGTATTACCAGGATGGCGGTGTATTTCCTCTTTAAACGAGGTATAGACCCTTCACTGGTATACATTATATACTGTGTTGAAAATTCAACTTTGGATCGCCATAACCTTACTGATATTGCCTTATCGTCATTGAACAGGTCAATCCCTTTCTCTCCAAAAAAAAACAGCATCGTATGCAGGAATAGAATTAATACTGATGTTTACTAAATGCAAGCTGATCACGGGCTCCATCCTCCATTTACAACACTATATCCCTGCAATTATGGAATGCTTTTTTTTTTTTTTTTTTTTTTTGGGCAACACAAGCTTTAAAGTTTGTTTGTCTATTCCCATTTTATTCATTCATTCATTCATTAATTACATGTAAAAAAAAAAAAACATTCATCGCTTTCTTCCATTCTATCGACTATACTCAACGTCAATTTTCTTTTTTTTTTTTCTCTTTCTGTCTCTCCCTCTTTCTTTCTTTATTTTTTTTTTTTTATCTTTTTTAAACGACCTATCTTTTCTTTTATTCCATGCAACCTCCATATTTTCATTATCAACATCTGTAACATTTGCACATATACACCTCAGTGAATTCAGAACATTACATTAATGACGTCCAACATCAAGATCGGCCCTTATATGCTGCTCGAAACCCTGGGTGTGGGTTCATTTGGCAAGGTCAAACGTAAGCAGAGTGCAGGATGCTGAATGAAGAACGCTTTTATCATATAAGTAAAACGCGCCACAGGAAATCAACGAAAATGTGACTCAACTTTATTCATGTCTGAATACACAGCGTGGGCAAAAGAAAGAAAAGAAAAAAAGAGAGCAGAGAATACAGGACTAAAAGGTTTAAGAAAACAACATCGAGGGTAGCTGAGATCCTTCCTTCGCCTCTTTTTTTTTTTTTATTTTATTTTCTTTTAAGAAGAGGAGGAGTTAGGGCTTGTAATAATTAAATCGATAAAGACAAAGACTTCACTTTTTCTCCTCACATGGGATGACTTTACACTCGCACGTTCATTTTTTTTTTTTTTTTTTTTTTTTTTGCACGAGGAAAGAGCGCGGGAAAAAAACCCCATCGATCTTCTTTGGAGGCAAGAACACATGTTTGGAGCAGTATTGATCTCTTTTAGCGCATCCTTTTTTTTTTTTTTTTTTTTTTTTGTTGCTTTGGGCACAGACTCCGAACACATGTCATTGTGTAATTTATCAGGTCCTCTCATGATCTCTCCCTCTTTCCAATCTCCCCAATGCTTTTATTTTTTTTCCTACGCGATCTCTCCTTTTGAGTGTAGATAATTTTTTTTTCTTTTACTTGACAAAAAGATGATGAGATTAAATATGGTGGATTGTACAGTCAAGAGAACTATCAAATGACGGGAAAGTGCCAAGGATTGCGTTATGTTTGGAACAGAAAGATTCACAGACCAATGGAGGCTATAGATCACCAACATGTGCTCAGTCAGGGAAAAAAAAAAAAAAAAAAAAAAAAAAACACTCAGGGTGTTTGTGTTTATGATCAAGCTGATACTAATTCTTTTTTTTTTTTTTTTTTTTTTTTTTTTTAGGCGCAGTTCACTCGCTCACAGGTCATACGGTTGCCATCAAAATTATTAATAAGAGCAAGGTTGTGAACCAGGATATGTTTGCGCGAGTTAAACGAGAGATCCAATATCTTAAATTACTACGACACCCACATATCATCAAATTGTAAGTCAAGGAGAAGGACTCAATTCATTTGAATCTCAAGCAAAAAAAGGATCATAGTCAGACAGGCAGACAAACAGACAGACAGATATGTAGGCAGGTACAGAGGCAGACGGAAAGACAGAAAGAGACAGTGAGAGACAGATGAAAAATATATACATATAAGAAGAATAGAAGGACAGGAAATGGAAAGCCTATCTCGGTTTCATATATTTATTTATGTATTATTTTTTTACACGGATCAGGATTAATGGAAACACAACTAAGTTATAGAGACGGCTATATCCGATGATACGAATTGATAGCAAAAATGAGAGCCTGGCAACAACAGATGGACCACCACGCCAGTAATGATTTATGCCATAGGCACATGCTCAAGCAATGAAACAATGGAAACAGAAAAGTGGAAGCATACAGTCAAGACACACACGCATAAAAAAAAAAAGCTTGATCTTACTATTGGCTCATGTCCATCTCAAAATTAGATACGAAGTCATCTCCACACCTACTTCAATATACATGGTCATCGAATATGCTGGAGGAGAGCTTTTCAACTACATTGTAGATAATACAAGGGTAATAATGCAAAGCTTGGTTCTATGAAGATTGAAACGAAAATGGCGACTCTTTTTTTTTTTTTTTTTTTTTTTGTGGCAGTCTGCTAGTTATGCTAACTCTTGCTCCTTAATTTTTAATTCTTTTTTTCTTTTTTTATGACCCATCCACCTACGCTCCTAGTTATCTGAGGATGAAGCTCGGCGATTCTTTCAACAGATTGTATGTGCTATCGAGTATTGTCATCGACACAAGATTGTACATCGAGACCTCAAACCAGAGAAGTAAAGATGGAAAAAAAAAAAAAAAAAATTGCGCAAACTTTCTTCCTAAATGAGCACTGTTTGACTATTTGTCTAATTTTTCTTTTCTTCCTGAACTCTATCTTTCCATTTTTTTTTACGGCGTAGTCTTTTATTAGACCCGTCGATGAATGTCAAAATCGCTGATTTTGGCCTATCAAATATCATGACGGATGGTGATTTCCTAAAAACAAGTTGTGGAAGCCCAAATTACGCTGCTGTAAGTCGTAAAAAAAAAAAAAAAAAAAAAGGGAAGCTTTATATCATGGACTGAAGACCTTGACAGGGATGCAGGATAGATATTCATTTTTGTAGAAAATAACGGCTAACAAGCTCTTAATTCTTTTTTTTTTTTTTTTATTTTTATTTTTATTTTTTTTTTATTTGGTTCATTATTTTACAACTGCGAATGTTAATCCGGAACAGCCTGAAGTCATCTCAGGAAAGCTATATGCAGGACCAGAAGTCGATGTCTGGAGCTGTGGAGTTATTCTTTATGTAATGTTGTGTGGACGACTACCGTTTGACGATGATTATATTCCTCTTCTGTTCAAAAAGATCAATGGTATGTCTGTCTATCAGATTTAGAAAAGTAGCTAAAACCTCTATTTTTTCCAATTATATAGTAATGAACTCATTTTTTACTTTTATTTTTATTTTTTTCAGGTGGGATCTACTCTCTCCCATCGTTTTTGTCACCTGAAACCAAGTATTTGTTAACATCAATGCTGGTGGTGGACCCGTTGAAGCGAATTACAATTGCCGAAATCCGTCAAAACGCATGGTTTAATGTAGGGTTACCAGAATATTTGAAACCGTTGCCTCAGGGAATCTCTGATGATATCTTTTGTAACCTACAGGAAGATATTATTGAAGAGCTGATGAAAAAAATGAATTTTACAAGAGAGACAATCATTCAAGCACTGGAAGAACGACAGAATAATCAGATCAAAGTGGCATATCAACTTGTTGTTGACCATCGACAGATGATTGAAAATGGTGAGCCAAAAAAAAAAAAAAAAAAAAAAAAAAATCTTGGAGCACATTTATTTTATATTTAATTTCTATATTGTGTTCAAACATTTGATTAATTTTATGTTGCTTTGGATCTTTTTTTTTTTTTTTTTTTTTTTTTTATGAAACAGCATCACATATGTCTCCACAAAAACCATTCCAGAGCTTTTTGGCAACATCACCACCTCCATGGAATGCGGCCGATAACAATAGCTCATCACCTAACAACAGATCCACAACAGGATCTTCTGCAGGCTCAGCGCTAAAATCCGGTGGCAATGGTAACGCTGAAGGAGGAGGGGACGCCTCCTCGCCTGATGTTGACTCTCTAGATTCGCCTGTCCCATCCTCCATCACAGTCCTAAGCACTAGTTTGCCAGGAAATAGTCTAGCCAAAGAGTTGCACAGGAAAGCCTCTTTGAAGAACACACGGAGAGATCGCTCTACTAGTTACTCTCAATCACAATCATCGCCATTCAGTGGCTCAAATGGTCACCAACCAACATTGTCGTCCGCTCATATTGGCGGTGGAGGAAGCACCAATGGGCAACATCATGAGCATGGGACAACTGCAGCTTTTCACCAAGCGGCTGTGTTAGGCAACGGTGGGATCGGAGGTGGGATACCGATCCCAACAAATCAAACACCTGGCTCTGGAGCAACCTATTTAGGACCATCTGTTGGAGGCAAAAACAACCACAGTAATAACCATAGTAACAATAATAGTATGTTGGCGACCGCTACTGCAGCCCAACGACGCATCAAATCTAGACCAAAATGGTACTTTGGAATCCGGTCCAGGAGCGCCCCTTTGGAGGTGATGGCGGAGATTTATCGAGCACTGTCAAACCTATCGATGAAATGGAAGATTATCAACACATACCATCTACGTGCCAAGTATGAGTATGCAGAAGGATTTGAGGTCAAGATCGAGCTACAGCTATACCGATTGGACAGTGATAATTATCTAGTGGACTTCAAGTATGTGGGACAACATTCTGCAGCAGAGATACAGGCTCGTGCAGAACTAATGAATCGCATTAATGAGGAAACACAACAACAGTTTGCGAGACATTTGTCATCTTTATCTGCCAAGGAACCTGTTGGAGAAAATCCATCAATTAACAACAATACCGGCGCTGTAAAACCTATAGAATCATCGACAACGGCAGTAGAAGCAGAAGTAGAAGCAGAAGCAGAGGATAGTGTAAGTGGCAAAGAAGGCAGTAGTGCGGCAGTATCGAACCCACAAGATATTCCTCAACCAACCACGGCACATGGTAGCGTAGTAGGGGTAGCAGCCATGGATAATCATCTACTATCACATACCGCACCTGTATCACGACCTCAACCCCTTGTCAGTTTTAAGCCCAATAATGAGGCTCGTCTAGTGCCCGCTGTTGCTTCCGGTTCAGGAGGATCAGACTCCTCTCCTTCTGGTGGAATGCTGCTGCCCTCGATGCTGAGTATGTCATTACCAGCCACAACCACCGGCCCATCATCATCATTGGCGACAGGGCCGGGGATCCTATCTTCGTCATTAATGCAAGAACGACAATATCTTAAAGAGATCAATGAACTGCAACAGCAGTTGAAGCATCAACAACGACAACGAGATATGAATCGACGTCCGACACACTTATTATTCCCCAAGGCTAGCTATCAACTAGCTTCAGCAAAAGATGTCACTTCACCCTTTCCATTTTTTGATGTGTGTGGTAAATTGATCACAGAGCTAGCAATTGGAAGTGGATGAAGCTGGGGGGAAAAAATAAAATAAAAAATAAAACGTAAAAAAAATAATACAATCTTTGTCTTTTTTTATTCTTTTGTTCACAATACATTCATCTAAATAATCTACATTTGAACCCTTACTACAGCTATTGTTGTTGTTGCTGTTGGGATGATTGTTGCAAATCTTGGTTCGATCTTGATCGTGTGGGACCTACTGCAGCCATTTGATCTGCTTTTAATGACGAGGGTGAAGGTGGGGAGTTGGTTCGTCCAGTATTCCCTTGCCATCCATCGTTATTCTGATGATATTGAGGCGGCATATGTGGTGGGGGATGATATGATTGCTGCTGTTGCTGCTGATATTGGTGTTGAGGAGGAGGTGGAGGCGGAGGCTGGTATGGGTAAGATGAATGTTCCATTGTATTGGGTGATGGCAGTGGTGATGTGCGGGGATGGCTCGTTGTAGTGCTTGCTGCTAGACTATCCAATCTTGGCATCAATTGTCTTCCTGCTCCACCGCCGCCACCTTCAGTGGGGGAGGCAAGATTGGTGTTGCGGTCCAAATTAGCGCTGGATAACTTTCGAGAGCCGTCATATGGACGAGGAAGCGAATAGGTACTCGCTGAAGTCGCTACAGAGAGTCTTTGTTGATCCTCCAATGAGAGAGAGCTCATCCCTGAGTTGGTACGAGAAGGTAATTTGGGCAAGACATTAAAAATAGTGTCACTGTTGATAATTAAATCTGACAGAACCATATCATTGCTCCAGCTCGCTGCGGTCGAAACTGTGTTAGTTGGTGGCTGAAATGATGGTGTAGTGGTGGCCGTCGTCGTAGAGTTACTGGTTGCAGCACTTATTTGTGTGGTCTGGGCGGGTTGAGCGGTGCTCAATAATGGTGAGGTTATCGTGCCAGCTGCTGATGGTTGTGGTTGAGACACAGCGGTCGCGCCTCCTGTTGCTGAGCCCTTATTCTTGTTGTCACTAGTTCCGCCGTTGTGGGTTCCTGTCACTGGCGGATACCCTGGAGGTGCGTCAGAGATCGCCTTCGGTGATGAAGGTGAAGAGCCATGGGGAGAGTATTGGGGCGGTGGATGGTACGACTGAGTTTGTTGTTGCAGATTCTGTTGATCTGATGGATATCCTGACCATGGTGCTGTTTGTGTCCCAGGTGAACCGGCCGTAGTAGCCGGTGCAAATGATAGAGAGGTCAACGATAAGTCTCCTGGTTGTTGATTAATTCCTCCTGCAGCCTGAGGCCCCGGGACCATGGCACTGTTGAAATCGTGGAAAATAGCAGGCGTAAAGATCAAACAAAGGTTGTCAAGTGTCATCTTGTTGTCTTCCACATGTTCGTAAATCCTATTTTTTTTTTTTTTTTTTTTTTTTTTTTTTCATTATGGTAGGAGATCAGTTGATAGTCAGCAATGGTGGGATGGCAAATAATGGTTTTGAAAATGACATTTTGTTTTTGCAAGCGGCTATGATTTCCTACCTGCGTAAATGTCGAATTAAGAACTGTAGAGTATCGATATTACAATCTGGAAGCCGTTTCAGCCGCCCCTTTAACTCCCCAAGTCTAGCATTTTTATCCATGATGCCTAATGAATCCAGAGATACATTTAGTATGATATACAGATTAAAAAATAAAAAGGAATAAAACTAAAAATAAAAAAAAAGGCGTACCTGAGTAACCAATACGTTCGTTCAATGGGAAAGGGAACAAAGGCTCGGGTAATTCGCGGAGATAAATCTTCAAGACTGCTGCAATGGAGGCACAGTCTTCACTGACAGCGTCCGTTAGATCCACAGCGTTTTCATTCGCTTCAAACTGTTTTTTGAGATTCATGATCTGCGCGTGTCGTCCAGATACTCGATAGATCCCTTCACGACGTAATCCAACACGGTCAATAGCTTCAGAGCATTTGACAATTACCAATGGAATTGGATGTCTATACTTCCGGACATACTCTGTCAGACTGAGTCCGAAAACACCCTCTGAAAATTAAAATAAGAGATATTTCAGACTAGGAAACTGATACCGCAATAAACTTAGATCCTAATAAATTAAACAGGGGCGTATTTTTTTTTTTTTTTTTTTTACCTGGAGGAGCCTTTTGATAGTAATTTTCATAATATACTGGTTTGGGATGTGAGTTGATGTCCTTTGTGAAGGTCAAGCTGATCTGTTCTGTGTCTCCTGCAGGCTTGATACAATCCACCATCACCGAAAATCGATTCATGTCCTCTTTAGCACCCTCCATCAACCTGCGTTCTTCAGTGACGTAGGCTTTAAGACATTCCTGACATTTCATTCCACGCTCTCTGACCATATTTTGCATGCTCTAAAGCACAACGTATCATAATGACAGATTAGCCAAAAGAAAAAAAAAATAAAAATAAGATTGAAAAAATGGCAGCAATTTTTTTTTTTTTTTTTTTTTTTTTTTACTTGGAATGAAGAGTCAAAGTAACGTTCACGTTGTACACGGAATGCTTCCAATTGTTGCACAGCCGTCTTGTACTCATTATCTATTTTGATTGTTGATTAAGGCAAACACAAAACAAACGCACAGGATATTTTTAGGATCAAAAGAGTCGAATAGTTTCACCAACAGACAATCTTGGTCGATAAAGAACTGAGAAGTCAAACACATTAGAGCAATGGACATCGCCACAAGGGCGAATACACACAGCAAAAAACAAAACAAAAAAAAAAAAAAAAAAATAGGATTTTACCTGCTTCCTCCAAGTCCCGCCTACTTTTGACAAGTCGCCCTGCGGCGCCAGTTGAGCTTGCCAAATTCTTGAGCCTCTCACGTACAGGAAGATGGTCACTGTCCTCCATAGCAAGAACCTGCTCGACATCCCTGCATCGCTGTTCATATGCTCTCTTGAGCTAAGATAACCAAAGCAATAAAAAAAAAAAAAAAAAAAAAAAAAAAGTTAGTGGGAATAGGAGCTTAAGTATTCTCATGGTGGCAATTTTTTTTTTTTATGCCTGCGCCCACTTTATGTCATAAAGATTTAATTGAATTGAGATATAAAATATGTACCTTTGGGACTGTAGAAAGCCTAGTTTCTGCATACAGTTGGAAAACAGGTCTAGCAGCCTCCTTATGGCCTTTGCGCTGTTTCTCATGGCTCTCCTACAGAAAGAAAAAATAGACGATAGAAATATACACATGTTTCATGTCAATGTGTTTTCACAAGGAAGTACATGCAGCGTGTTCATTATCAATCCCACAAGGTACATCCAATTTCGAGACTGGAGATTTTTTCTGTCTCGGGTAATTTTTTAATGTTTTTTACCTTTAACGTAGCAAGTGCGCCCATAACGTTCTTGAGAAGCTTGACAAAGGGCTGGCGTCGCTTGCACAGCTGCTGCGTTGTTTCCAGTAGAGAATTATAAGCCATGTGTAATGTCGTTGGGATTTCATCTGGATCACCATTACCTCCGTTGATGCTGCTTCCTTGCCCCGTACCTGCTCCTGCTCCTGCTCCTGCTTGTCCTGTCCCTTGTGTGTTATTACCGTTATTATTGTTATTATTGTTGTTATTATTGGCTCCCGTGTTCCTGGAACTACCTTTAGCACTTGCAATCAATTTCTCTAGACCACGAGTGTACGCTTCTTCAATCTCGAGACGAGCTTTGAAATAAGCCAGATACTTCGCAGTGTCTTCGCCTTGCATGGCCTGGAATATCCTATTGAGAGATGCATCCCATGCCTGAGCTTGTTCTCTAGACTCTTTAGCCTCACGAGTCATGGGCATCCCTAGAGGCATAATTGGAGTTGCACGAGAAAGAGCTGGGGTCATGAAGCTTGTTGATGTTGCTGCTGCTGCCGTTGAAGTATCGCGGTCGCGATCGCGGTCACGTTCACGGTCCGCATCGCTGGACATACGACTATGTCGTCCGGTCATTAATTTCTCTTTTCTTTGTCCACAAATGGGGAGGAAGGAAAGTTTTTATCTGTTTCTTGTTGTGGACTGTGAGAAGTGAGAAAAGGGAATAAAAAATAAATAAAAAAAGAGAAATGAGGTTGACTTCTTTGGAGGGAGGAGAGTGAAGGAATTAAAATGAAACGAAACGAAATGTAATGAATTGAAACGAAATGAAATGGATTCAAGAAAAGAGATGATGGGAGTGCGTGAAAAGAGGGAAAAGAATAGGCACAGAACTTCGTCTGAATTAGCTTTTTTTTATTTGTTTATTTGTTTATCTAATTGCAGACTACATTCATGTTATCGCCCTGGGTCTTGGACCTTTTTTCAAGTCTAGAAGTGGGCAATGCAATGCCCTTTTATTGATTTTATTATTTATTCAGGGCCCATCGGTGAAATTGGATTGGCATTCCACCTGTCCACCTTTTTTTTGTATTTGATGACTAATCTTTGCAACCCAAATTAAAAACACATTGATTAAATAAAACAAAGTGTATGTTTTTTAAAAAAAAAAAAAAAGCCTAGGTTACTATAGACCATGAGCAGAAAACGCACGCCACGGCTATCTGCCATGGGAATGGGATTATAAGCGCCACTTTTATGGCCAAGTGAACATCATTTTTGAATTTACTTTTTTTTTTTTTTTTTTTTTTTTTATTGGAACCAGCTCATAACGCGCTATGAACGCGTCATCAACTGGTAAATGACCACCTAACGATACGCAGGATACGCAACGTCACCTGGTTTTTCCCAACTAACTTACACGGTAGTACGCATAGTCAGCTGGCTTAAAACTGAAAGCATTGGGTGTCCTATTCTTCCAGTCTTTTTTTTTTTTTTTTTTTTTTTTTACATTGGAGTCGAGTTATGTACAAATAAGAGTTTTTTTTTTTTTTTTTTTTTCCTCCTTAGACTCTGCGTTCCATGTCACCCTTGGCCTCGTTGCCATGGCCTCTGGCTTGTTGAGAAGTGTCTCCGGTCATCGAGCCCATAGCCTTCTGAGCCTTGCCCTCGAGCTTGTGGCCTGTACCTTCGGCATGAGACTTGGCTTCTGCTCCAGCCCTTTGGGCTTCACCGTGAGCCTTCTGCTCAGCTCCAGAAGCTGCCATGCTGTTGTCTCCAAGAGTCTCTCCTACAGTCTGCTTGGCTCCTCCCATGTACGATTTGGCAGTGCCAGCAGCGCGATCACCCATGTTGGACATTTTGAAGAGGTTTTTGTGTGTGTATGTGTGTGTGTTGTATAGATGTATTGATGTGTGTAGTATTTTACAAGTGTGTGTGATAGTTGCTTGATTGATGATGAGAATGATAAAAAAGTAAGGCCTTTTATACCTTTTTCTTGTTCTTATTTCCATGTGAACAAACATCAAATGTCGACAAATGACGACGACGAATGACTAGGCCTGCAGAGATGGAATATCAGCTCACACTTGGTCAGCGTGATATCATCAGCACTTCACCAGCCTTTAAACGCGTCTCTTTTCGCCTCAAGCTCAATAGATCAATCGTTCTCCCCGCCAACTTCTGCCCAACGAGCATTGATCTCTTGGAAATGATGTCCAAAGCGCCAATCACATTAGACAATGATGCATACACACTATGGTCCGAGCCATTTTTTCATTTTTCATGCAACTTTTTAAAATAAAATCAACTGCAATCCAAACAGGAACTTGGACGTCTCAAATCTTCTGATTGACGAGTTTCTCTTTAGATATTGGTTTTTTCTTACTCATGATGGTTGATTTTATTATTTTTTTCTTTTTTATGGTCAAAAAGGATAAACAACACATAGTTTGCATCATCTTCGTTCAAGGGACCTTTTCAGTCCTTTTTTTTTTTTTTTTTTTTTTTTTTTTCTTAGTTTAGTTTAGATCTTGCGCTCGAGATCACCTTGAGCCTCATTCGCGTGACCCTTGGCTTCCATGGATCTATTTCCAGTCATAGCGCCCATAGTCTGTTGCATTTTGCCTTGGGCTGTGTGACCGACACCCTCTGCATGAGTCTTGGCATCTGCTGCAGCTTGTCGGGCCTCTGCCTGACTCCTCTGTTCTGCTCCTGACGCTGCGAGGTTAGTGTTTCCAATGGCCTCACCAACCGCTTGCTTAGCTCCTCCGACGTACGAGTTGACAGTGTTGGCAATACGGTCAGATGCGTTGTTCGACATGATCGGATATGAGAAAGATGTTTGTGTTTTAAAAAAATAAAAAAAAAATAAAAAAAAAAAAAAGTGAAGCTTTAAAGAATTGCTGGTAAAGTAAAGTAAAGGATGATAAAAAAAAAAAAATTCACGAACGGGGAGCCAGCAAGGGAATTTATATTTATCCTTGATAATCCTGCCCAGCTTCCTATCAAGAGCTACACATCCATAACTCCATAATATTGGGACCTAGACTGAATAAAAGCTCTAAGACCCCAGATCAAAAAAAAAAAAAAAAAAAAAAAAAAAAGTCAAACAAGCCTTACATCATTTTTACTGTTTTGTCTTACGCACCAGCAGAGTTCAACGCCTAACGACCCCGTTCAGTTCCTCACCCTCTTTTCTTTTTACAGGTATATTTTCAATTGGTCCAAATCAGGAAAAAAAAAAAAAAAAAAAAAGTCTTGAACTCAATGCATAAAATGAAAATGACAATTCACGCTGGTTCTAGCGCATTTTTGGTTTCAGTTGCAATTTTTGTTTTTTATTTGATATAAGGGGTGAAATAATAAATTCTAAGACATGGAAGAGTGACAGGGTATATTTCAATGAGTAGCATCAAATGAGGATGGAGCACTGGGCGTGTTCAATTGCAGTGTCATCTGCGCTAAATAGGGCGGTGGAGGTGCGTGCAGCATTGCTTCCTCATCTTCACTTTCACTTTGTTCCTTCCTCTCTTCCCTTTGAGATAGATGCGGCTGTTCTAGTTGTAATTGCGGATGTGCTTGCGATGTCGATGACAACGACGGCGACGAAACATTATTATAGTAAAAGGGTCCTTTAGATGTCCGCATTCCAGAGCCAGAGCTATAGTCTTCTGAATCATGCATATATGTCTTCGAGGACGGTGGTATTAACCCAGTGATGGAGGACTCTGATAGTGGTTCAGAGTACAGGGGCTGAGAGTATGAATCTTCTCCTAGGATGACATCCTGATTCTGATGAGCGAGATGATGAACATATGTCTCTTTTAAATGTGACTGGTCCAGCAAGAAAGGTGCTGGTGAAACTAAAGTTGTAATAGGTGGAATGCTACCCACAAGAGAAGTGGTGGGAGGTGCTAATGGTAGTGCAACACCTTCAGAGGCATCAACCACGACAGCAGGAGTAGGACCAAGCCTCATCCTCTGCATCTTAATCTGTGCCTGATCGTGTTGTTCTTCTGTTGGCATAGAATCGAACATAAGGGGTTGCTGAGATGAAAGTAGGGGTGGTGCAACTATATCGCTTGAGGTGTGCGCTGATGCCGGAGTCTGATAGTTTATCCCATTAAATCGCCGAGTGAGTTCATTGATCTTAGCTGGACGTTTACGGCATCTACGTCGCCAAAAGAAGAAAGCTGCTATCATCAACACAAGCGCCACACTGCCCACGATACCTCCAGTAACATCATCGCTGGACTTTTTAGCACCTCCAGCATCGGTATTGGAGTCCGGTTTGGTCGGTTGGGGCGGTTGGGTAATATTGCTAAATGAAGCCGAGTCGCCAACGATATAGTTCGCCGTATCGAAAATTAGTCCATTAGGTCCTATTGTCATTCCATAAATATTGTCATTCATGGCCAAGATCAAGAAATCAGTTCCAGGAATAGAATTTGGCGAGCTAGAGACTGCAGAGAATGCTGATATATTGGACTGTACATTGGGAGGAGTTATCCAAAAAGGACCATAGAGGGTTGTTCCTCTGAGTGAAAACACACGAAATTCTGCGCTTGGTATAACTCCCTAAAAGCACTCCCCATGTAAAATGAATACGTTTAGCAGACGAAAAAAAAAAAAAAAAAAAAAAAAAAAAAAAACTATTTCTTATAACCACTTACAGTGCAGAGGAAATAAAGCCTATCTTCTACCGCGGTAGAATAGAGCCTATATGAACTAGAATTCATGCATTCGTCTGACAAGGTAGTAAGTGAATTTTTCTTGACGGTGGTTGAATTGATGGCTTGTTGCTGCGCCAGCAGCGTGGTAACGTTGTTTGCAGTCGTGTTTACAGGGAAGGCGTTCAAAGTCTTGTCCGATCCCAAGACGTAGAGCGTGTGATTGCTAAATGTTATTGCTTTTGGAACTCCGAATGAGGCCTCCTAAAAAAAAAACAAAAGCCCAAAAGCCCACGTCTCAGCCACAATAGCATCTTTCACCGTTTTCATGCTTATCCAAATTAAACATTGACTGTTTTTGCAAGGCCAAGCAACTTTTTAGCTCTTACCAGAGTCCAATGAACATTAGACTGTACGAGATTATCACCAGACAAAAGGCCAAGCGCTATTCCAGCAGCATTGCTCAGGCCTATAGCATGAACAAAAACACCTTGTGCCATTGAAAACAAGGCATTGGCTTTACTTTCATTACTCCATATATAATTTCCTAGAGGATCTAAAGAGCTGGTGGAGATGAGTGACCAAGTCCCTTGAGAACTTTCTCCTTCAGCGCCAGGACTGTATTGTACACCTATGGGTTTAGTAGTGACAATGGTGGTTTGAGACGGATTGGTAGAGTCCTTTGCAGCGGATTTAGCGCTAATCCAGATGAAATTGCCTCTAGCATCCACTTGACAGTTACTCATCTCCAACGCAAAGTCTCCAACGAGCACATCATAGTTATTGGTCGTTATTGCAGTACTCTTTGGGGGATATGAACCAACAATGGTCCAGGTGTTAGTTCCGAATGAAGTAGGATAGGACGTGGACCGAAGTAAGACGATGCGACGGGTAAAGGCAGATCTAGCAGGATCATCGTTGGGTACAACTGAGCCGCTATCTAAGGGTTGAAGACTGATGAGGTAGAAACGCTCCCCATTGGAGGCTACACAATAGGGCCGAAAGTACCCCATGCACCGATTTTGGTAAAAATAAAGCCCAATTGATCGATTAGTATTATAAACGCGATAAAATTGAGGCGGTTGTACAAAAAAAAAAAAAAAAAAAAAAAAAAAAAGGAAAGGGGAAGGAGGATGTAGAAGTAGCAAAGAAAGAGAGAGGAGTGAGTAGACTAATGAGTAGAAATGCGCAGAGTAGATGGAATTGAGAAGCTCAATGGAGTTGAAAGATGAAAAAAAGTGGACATGGGGCTGAGTTTAGGGCAAATATAAGGAGGACAGGGGAAAGGAAGAAAGCATACCACATATTCTATTCCAATTAAGAGAGCGGAGTTGCAACATCAAGTCCTCCTCCCGCAGCATGTGTTCACCTTTGACAACCTTAATCTGGGATGGCGCCAGAAGTCTTCCCATCAGTTTCTTTCTTGACTGGTAGAAGAGGAGAGAAAAAGAAATAAAAAAAGGCTAGACAAAGTTTATTGTCTTCATTAGTACACTGTACCTGAAAATGATAGCTTCTTCTGGTTGCTGTTGTTTATTTATTTTATTTTTTTGCGTACAGCGAAATCCTCCTCTCCGATCCTAGCAAAATTATGGAAACAGAGCGCTTACAACGCGTGGCCTTCAAAAATGCCAAACATGCTTAGGACAAATAGTATAGACCAATGGCTTACTGTCTTAGAGCGACTTTAAGATCAAAGTGAGAAGCCGCTAGCAAGGTCATACTTCGTCACCTTGAGAGGTGTTATTTCTTTATCATCAAAAACCAAGATGTTATTCGGAAAACAGCACGTGGAGGTGCCCCGGCCCAGGTCGTGCTCTTTTAGGTCAGGTTTCATGGTTGTGTTGACGCCCACATTTACATACACCCTTTAGCCTATTTCCACCCATCCGGCCGAAGGACTTCACTACCACATGACTCATTCAAGAACCAGACTCGATGCATGCTCGTTCGAACCTTGGCTATGCATCGTTGCTTTATTATATAGTCTTTCGTGTTGGTATGAGTATGAGTTCGTGTACATGTGCTGTTGCTATATCAATTTTTTTTTATATCTTGGTCGTTCGCGTTTGTGTTTGTTTCTTTCTTTTTTCCTTTTTTTTTTTTTTTTTTTTTTTTTTTTTGATTTTTATTCTTTGACATTTTTTTAACATTATGACATTTCTGTTAGGAAGGGTTTATTTTTCTATCATGGTGGGTCATTCGACTTTTCTTTGGCTTCGTTCTTCAGCTAGCGGTACCGCTCTTTGAGTATAAGCGCCTTCCAGAGTACACCGAGAAGAGATAGCCCGAAGAGATGACCTGGCTGTGTAGACAAGGAGATGTTCTGCCTGCTAGGAGGCGGCGAGTAGGCGAGTTAGCACCTTTTGTTCAGGGGAACACTATTTGCTTGTGGAGTTGGCTAAAGCCATCACGCTCTAGTTGGTTTTTAAAGTGGATGCGTACTGCTTACTGCTTTAAAGGCGATATGGGAGGAGAGAGATAGACAGAATAAGAAAGTCAGGTCGAGAAAAGCACAGTATAGAGCGAGAGAACTCAGCGCTTTAATATTCATAACATACCTCTAGTGAAAAAGGAGCCGGAAAGGAGGTAGAGAATAATAGAGACAGCCACTGATGTTTTGCTTGTCTTTAGTCTGGATAGAACAAGGTCAAAGTTGAGGGATGTCCAGAAGAGCCGAGGTTATTTAAAGATGGATGTAGTGCATCGTGATGAGTATAGGCTTGATAAATGACTTTTGCTGGTTTTTTTCTGATTAGTTTTGCTGGTTTTTTTTTCTGCTTAGTTTTGCTGGTTGATTATTTTAGTCTTTTTTGTTAGCTTCCTAAGCATGCAAATCGAGTAGGTCGGAGCACCGGCATTGCTTCTACCCACCATAATTATGACTTGATATGGTCGATAAGATGCCAGTAGCCGGTTGTTTCCTGCTCGTAGAAAGCACGGAAAACTGGATCTGGCCTAGCCATGAGTTGATGAAAGCTAAATGAGTAAATTTACCCGTTTTACAGTCCTAGACCTCATTGCTTGAATAACAAAGTAGATAAAAAATTGGCCGTTCGTTAAACGTAGCCTCTTAAGGACATGAACTAAGGATGAACTTGGCAGGATAGCTAATGATAAAATGAGAGGAGCTTTGCGCGGTGACTCTGTAAGAGCGCAGGGATAAAAAGTTATCTACAAAGACAGTGACGTTGAATTATTTCTCTTCCACAGTTTTTTTTATAAAAAAAAAAAAAGAAAAAAAAAAAAAAAGAAAAAAGACAATCATAAACCGCAAACAAAACTGTGCCATTCCATGTACAATCTTCCATGCCTATCTTAATATACTTTGCCCAACTGGCACATATAAAAATAACGAGCTCATAGGTTCATGGATTATGAACATTCGCTTTCTCTTTTGTTTCTTTTATTCATTATCCTATTACCAAAGCACACATAGTGTCTAGATGGGTGTCTTTCCTTTTCTTTTTTTTTAAGTTCTCACAACGTACAGCATTGTCAATATTAACGAAGCAAAGAATGGTTTATAATATCTATAATATTTATTTTTGGTTTCAACGCCTTTCGTATCGAGCGTAGAAATCCGTCATTTTGATCACCAGCGGACTTGAGTTATTTCTGTAGTTAGCTAGCATCACCTCTAAGGCTGACTTCGTTCTACGAGTGAGCTTCTTGCTTCTCCACCTTATTTAATAATAAGGCTAGACTCTAGTGTTGAGTGGGGGTTGCGACTTTCCCTATAGTGATTATGATTTTGTCATTCTCTACGTCATTTGCGGCAGCTATAAGGTCAAAAAGGGGTGTGTTGAGGGGGGCAGATGGCAGACAAAGACGAGGTGGTAACCAAATGGGTTGTTCTCACTTGCACGTACTCTTCAGGGGAACGGTAGTAGCAATAAGTGTGAACTACTCCTATCCAATTATTACTAAATTAGATTGCTTAGGTTGTTTCGCATGATGAACCCAGTTGAATCAGAGTCACTTAGAAAACTCCTGTTTGACTTAGAAATCGTGAAGCTTACCTAAACGAATTGCCCAGTAGAACGGGATTTCAAGGCTCGACTCCATCCTTCTCAATCTAGAGAGATAGAGTTGTGGTCCTAGGCTCGCAACCAGCCTGGGGCGAAACTGCCGAAGATATAGCAGCGAAATGCTTTTCTCTTAGGCTGGATGCAAATGTTGCTTATTAGCGAGTCAAGCCTTGTCGGCTGTTTTTTTTTTTTTTTTTTTTTTTTTTTTGAGGAGGACTTACTACTCTCTGTCTCATAGTTATTCTGGCTTTTCTTTCGTTCTCGCGCTTTAACCTCGATATCTGTTCCTCCTTTCACGTCCAAAGTAACACGAAAACCAAATATATTTTATAATTCTTTCTTAATGAATATTGGAAGGAAGGAGGGAGGACGAAAAAAAGAAAAAATCCGAGAGAGCGAAAGAAAAGCCAGAATGACTATGAGACAGAGAGTAGTAAGTCCTCCTCAAAAAAAAAAAAAAAAAAAAAAAAAAAAACAGCCGACAAGGCTTGACTCGCTAATAAGCAACATTTGCATCCAGCCTAAGAGAAAAGCATTTCGCTGCTATATCTTCGGCAGTTTCGCCCCAGGCTGGTTGCGAGCCTAGGACCACAACTCTATCTCTCTAGATTGAGAAGGATGGAGTCGAGCCTTGAAATCCCGTTCTACTGGGCAATTCGTTTAGGTAAGCTTCACGATTTCTAAGTCAAACAGGAGTTTTCTAAGTGACTCTGATTCAACTGGGTTCATCATGCGAAACAACCTAAGCAATCTAATTTAGTAATAATTGGATAGGAGTAGTTCACACTTATTGCTACTACCGTTCCCCTGAAGAGTACGTGCAAGTGAGAACAACCCATTTGGTTACCAAGAGGTAAAAAAACCTCAAAGACTATGATGCCATCACATTGATTCTTGCCTTCAAAGTGTAAACAACTAGGCCTGATTGAGTATCTCAAAGACAAATTTTGCAATACATGAGTACACCCTGCTGCTCAACTATCCCGACTATCCTACATGTGTACTATGCCTTCCTAGCTACATGAAGCCATATGTTGCCCATCCTCTGATTACCTTATTTGGATCATTAATTTTGTATGACGACAAGACTTGCCTGTTTCACACGCGTATCCTTCCACCATTGCTGTTTGACGTCAATTGATGACTGTCGAAGGAACATGTTACACAGCATAAAACTAAAATGGTCATAAAATATATGGATCAAGCATTCTGATTACATAACTCAGAGCCTCAGTACATTGTCATGTCAGTACAAGCGATCTGTTCTACGTTTCTACGTTTCAGGTCCTTGATGTTACTGAGATATAGATAGCCAAACAGGAAAGTATCTGACTTGAAGATAGCTATTGGTTGCTCGGTGTGTCAAGCTCGGTGTACCAAGTGTTTCACCATCCATGTATTTTTTCATATAAAACCAGACCCTTTTGCTCTTTTTCCTTCTCTCTTCTTCAAGCACCTTACAACACTGTAAATAGCTCCTTAAATCTCCACTATCCATTTCACATCATGAAGCTCTCAATCACTGCCGCCCTTTCCATGACCGTTGCCGCCTTGGTTATGTCCACCGAAGGTAAGGTTTTTACACCTGTCCATGTGGATGTGCATGCTTGTGTTTGTGTGTTGTATTTGTACACTGTTCGGGTATGCTAAACATTCAGCTCATTACCATCTTGTCCTATTTAACTCTATAGCTGGCCCAATCAAGATGCCAATCGCCGAGTCGGATGGAGCAAAGAACTCCATCTCCACCGACGGCACCCATATTAAAATCCCTCCAGTCGCTGAGTCTGCTGACAGTATCCATATCAGGATCCCTCCAGTCGCTGAATCTGCTGACAGTATCCATATCAAGATTCCTCCAATCCCCAACTCCCATATCAAGATCCCCCCAGTTGCTGAATCTGCTGACGGCACCCATATCAAGATCCCCCCAGTTGCTGAATCTGCTGACGGCACCCATATCAAGATCCCTCCAGTCGCTGAGTCTGCTGACAGTATCCATATCAAGATCCCTCCAGTCGCTGAGTCTGCTGACAGTATCCATATCAAGATCCCTCCAGTCGCTGAGTCTGCTGATAGCATCCATATCAAGATCCCTCCAATCCCCAACTCTCATATCAAGATCCCCCCAGTTGCTGAATCTGCTGACGGCACCCATATCAAGATCCCTCCAGTCGCTGAGTCTGCTGACAGTATCCATATCAGGATCCCTCCAGTCGCTGAGTCTGCTGATAGCATCCATATCAAGATCCCTCCAATTCCCAACTCTCATATCAAGATTCCTCCTCAAAGCATCACCGAGGCGGATGGGCCAAAGGACCCCACTTTCACCGACGATATTCATATTAGAATTCCCCCAATCAAGCCTTAAATGGAGTGAACAAGCAAGGATACCACTCATAGAATGAAGTTAGCCTCAGGGATAATTCGAGTCGGCTAGTGATTGAAATCACGAACCTCTTACTCTCGATACTAAAGAGATGAGGCTAGGAATAATAAACATTGTAAACATATACTATTATGAACTACTCTTTGTCTCTTAGAAATATCAATGCTGTACGTTGTGAGAGCTGCTGTAAAAGAAAAAATAATCTGATCTAATATAAATAGCAAAGAGCTTTGCAACATAATACATTCACCGGATCACTGGATCACTGGATCATAAAGAAGAACAAAAAGTCATAATAGTGCTGATAATAGGGGAAAGTAAGTAAAAAGAAACCGATAATGAAAAGTGATAATATAAAGAAGTTTAAAAGCGATAATAAAAATGATAATCAGAAAAATGAATGAAAAAATGATAATAAAGCGACATTAAAACCAATAATAAGAAGTGATAATAAAAAAAAAGTAGTTTACAATGATATGCACACTCGCTTGGCTACTCGGCTATAGTATAATATAGCCTTTTGGGGACCCTCTTCTGGCTTTTAAGCGGACAGTTCAACAGCATCAATGTAACAATATTTGACAGACACAGTATTGGGGCTGAGAGCCGGGGTCTTTTGAGTTGGTCATGAATCTCTAAATGAAACGATTTGCTCTCGATGCTTTGGTCACCAAGTCAGCATGGAGTTTTATTTGACTTCCACCATAGCATAGCGTGGTTCTTTTCATGCATCCTTTGAAGATGAATACAATAATTATAGGCCCTCGATACGCAATCTTGGTTAAGAAGCTATTCTGAAGTGACATACTATATTTGCCTATTGATAATATTGTAACAATGTAATAAGAATGGCGAAGGAATGTAAGGCAATCATAATACAATCTCTACGGAATCATACTTTTTTCACAGACTGTTATGGAAGTGAGGAAAAAAAAAAAAAAAAAAAAAAAAAAAAAAGTAATCGGCTAGGAACACATTGTAGTGACATTCAGCTAAATATACAAACTGCCTCCAAAGAAAAGAAGCAAAGAAGTGTCTCTAAAAGAGATATTAAGATGAAAAAAAAGAAGGAAAAAAAAAAAGGTCAATGTATATATCTATATAGCCAGCGTGGGTGGAGCATATTAAGGTTAGGAAGGATTAATGTGCATGTATATACATGGTGTGTGTGGTATTTGACAGCGAACGAAGATGATAACTTTGATTATTTTTTATTGAGAATTAAGAACAAGGGACATCCAAGCGCAGCACATCTCTAAGGTTATAATAACTGGCTTGTGGCAGCCAAGCATTCATAGCGACGTTGGTTTTTGATCCTTCGATGTCGGCTCTTCCTATTATACTGAAGCAAAATTCAGTAAGCGTTGGATTGTTCACTCACTAATACGGAACGTGAGCTGGGTTTAGGCCGTCGTGAGACAGGTTAGTTTTACCCTACTGATGAAATGTTCATGCAATAATAGTAATTGAACTTAGTACGAGAGGAACCGTTCATTCGGATAATTGGTATTTGGGCCTGCCTGAACAGGCAACGGCCCGAATCTATCGTCTGCTGAATTATGGCTGAACGCCTCTAAGGCAGAAGCTGTGCTAGAACGCGACGATTACCGCCTTTCCCGATACTTAGTTGAATACGAATAGAGCTTCGGCTCCTGAATCATGCTACGCGGGGTCATCATGCAGGGCGGAAAGGTCTTGTGTAGTGCCTGCTAATGCTAATTCCAAAGATTGGAAGAGATAAATCCATTGCAGACGACTTTAATTGAACGGGCTATTGTAAGCTGTAGAGTAGTCTTGTTGCTACAATCAGCTGAGATTAAGCCCACTGTTCTACAGATTTATTCGAAAAGAACAACATCTCTCTTCCTCTTTTTTTTTTTTTTCCTCTCTACCGATTAACTTAAGAGGTTCCGTGCAATCCAACAAGTATTCTTCGAATTCATGCTTCATGACACTATCATGCATGTGTTTGAAACAGTTCCTTACCTTGCCATTCATTTATAACCCATACCCAACATGTCAACATATGATTATCACCAAGGTGCAAAAATGCAAAAAGTACCTTCCGTGATAAGTAGGCCAGTCTAGTCGAATGTTCAATGGGAGTTGTTTGGGTACAACCAGGATGACTACGTTCTTTGTGCAACTTATTGCACTTGTCCACTAACCTCTTTTGTTACCCCTTGGATACCACTTCCTTTATTACCACTAGAAAATTTGAGTCGGTGAACCCGTTAAGAATTTTTAACCGGTTCCAATCATTTATTTCGAGCAAATGGAGAGACAAAGTAAGATTCCAATTTTTCTCCTACAAAGATTGCTTTAATGAACTTTGTTTAGACTATTAGAAAGGGACATGATTCAATGAGGTGGCGTCTATTAACTCTTATATTTGGTGGGACTGAGATAGATGGAGCTTGAAAAACGCCGCTCCCTAGGCAAGGGAGATTTATCACGGTCAGAGTACAGTTGGAGCAGTTTTCTTTTTGTACTGATTTGCTTCGACTTGTCTAGGGCTTCATTTACCTCTTGCTCTGAATCAAGAAGGTGCTTCTATTAGACATCAGGCATCCGATATCGGATTTCATATAATAAGTGTCTTGAATGAGAGCATTTCATGATCTCCATTGTTTAAAATTTATACAACGTACCATTATGGCTAGGAGCGATGCTATCAAGTCTCCATCTCTAAGAAGTTCTTTCAACTCTGTTGCATTTCGTGGCACAGACAAATAGTCAATGCACTTGCTTGTGTAAACGTCCTTAAATGACTGAAGTAAAAACACACATCCAGAAAACCCTATCCAGGAACATGCGTAGCAATAACCATTAAAATAATCAATAAATGCGCCATTACTTCAACCACCATGAACCACCATGACAATTCAATTACCTTGAAAGTCTGCAAATACTATCCTTGGCCGGGAAACACCGAGCCGCCGCAAATGTTCAAGAATACACCGATTTAACCTGATGTTTTTTCGATTCTGTATCAGCATCTCTGATGGCGGCGTTCCTTCTGCCTTGAATTCGAAATTGCACAGCTCAGACTTGGACTTAAACAACATATCCGCTTTGCGACCATATGTGCTATGGTCACCAAACTCTTTGTTCAATATCTCTTGGACACCTTTCGCTGCAATGACGACGGTCTCACCACTAAAATCATATCAAATAAGCATGGTGTTAACTTTCAAAGAAAAGTGCTGGAGAGCCATCAAGCTACTATCGCAACAAAAAAAAAAAAAAGATACCTCTTTATATAGACGTTGGTGTCTCTGAGGAGGATTTTAAAGATACTCCTCCAGATATCAACAACTTCCGCCTCCGAAAATGGCTCCTCTACTCGCATTTCTGGGGAAGCTATAAAACGACATCTGGATGACAGGAATTAGTAAGACTGAAGTTGTGAGACACAGATGGTGTAATTTATCCATAATCATGTATAACAAACCGAAAGATTTACAAGCACTCAATTATGTCAGTGATTTTTCCTTCCATCTCATTATCCTGGCCGGCTTCCATCAGCTCAGCTTTGCGTTTTACCGCAAACTGTAGGAGTTTGGAAATATCCAAGTCGTTCCTGCACAGGTTCTCATGAAATGGCTCGAGCAAGTTCGCAATCTTATTTTGCTTGTTGAGCAGCTCGGTATCATGGGCTGCCAATTCCAGGATTTCTTTTGAAAAATACGATTTTAAATTTGGACCAGAGAGGTTCATTGTGCAGGAGAGCGCCACGCTATACATAAAAAAATAAAAATAAAAATAAAAAATAAAATAAAATAAAATAAATAATAATAATGTTTGTCAATTAAATAGGCCTCGATATTATGGCGGCGGTGCTCCATGCTGTTCCAGTGAAGTTGAAAAAACAATATACATACAACGCGTCTTTTAGTGTAACGATGTCCTCTCCATTATCTTGGAACAAAAGCAGCGAATCATAAGCGTGTTGGAAAAGCCCTGCTCTTGTTTCCGACATTGAGGACAAATCATATTCAAGACACGGCATTGATCGTTTCTGGCTCTATATTAGGCAGGAATCAATAATATTAATGTTGTACGCTTGAGGCATTTGGTCTAAATCATCACAGCATATCTTACAACTTTCTGGGCACAATCTTGTAGGGTTTGCCATGGCTCTTCTAATAACGGTGACTTTTGTTTGGTTGCCTTTATCGCTTGAGTAGATAAAGACGCAGCATTGATTGATGATGAGCTTGCAGATGAGGGGACAGCGTGAGCTGATGATATTGAATTTGTGGATGATGATGTAGTGTGAGTCGATGAACTTGAGTGAGATACTATAAAGTGAGAGATAAGATTTTTTGTTAATTACAGTAAGATCAGAAGCATTTACGCAATATAGTTTGAGTGTTAAAGACAAGACTAATTACTTTTTTGAATTCGATTTGAATAGATTTTTACTATAGCTAAGATTTTTACCCTTTTTATTTAACGAAGATCCCTGGATCATAATAAAGACATCTTTCTTTCGTTCTCGTTACTTATTATGATCCTGGCATATTTCATTCTTGTTCATCAAGTTCATTCCAGAAAGCGTTACGAATCTTAGCAGTATTTAACCAATTTGCTTTCAGTCGTCGCTTCAGATTCAGGTTCTTGAGACGGTCTACTCCACGAATCCATGCTGCAGACATCGAGCCGCGGTCCTGGCACATAGCATTCATTGAGGTAAAAAAGTCGATCGCTCCAATGTCCTTTTTCTTTTTTGATGATGCGATTCTCAGATATTTTGCAACTTCTTGATCCATCATATCTAAATATAGGATAATCAAGAAAATATCATTTCAGCATTCCAGTGCAATCTTAACAACGCTGATAAATCATTGTAGCTCACAGACTGAAGAAGTGCGATAGCATCCCTTGTTCATGTTGAAGAGCAACCAAGCACCCTATTCCTTTTGCTGGGTCAAGTGCTAAAGGAAGGAAAGGTGCACGGTCTGCTAAGCAAGGATACTGATTCCTTCGCTCGCAGTAGGATGACGAACAGTACAGCAATAGCAAGCATGCTCCATGGCTTGACTAGGTCATGCTGCCGTAAATTGCACTGTAATGGCCTTACGTCGCTCATCTACCATATTCGCAGGACCAAGGCGATGGTACAAGGCCACTGTCATGGATATTGTGAGCCCAAAAATGCTGAGTAAGAGAACTTACCTAAATTTCCTGTTCGATCAACCAGATTATTAGAAAGAAGTGCAAAGGGAATTAAAAGATTGATAAACACCAATGCACAGATTCACACGGTCATGTCAATCCGCGTACTTATTTCTCACGAGCACGCGTTGAGGTAGTTAATTAGTGCAAGGGATTGTAAATTATAATCAAGACAGATATAATCATGGCGTGAATGATTATTAAATGGTAAAGAGTAAGAGAGTATGCGATTATGGTAGAGAGGAATGCAAAGAGAGAGGGAAAAAAATAAGTGGAGAAGAGAGCGTGTGAGAAAAAAAAAGTGCGCAGAGTGAGAAAAGAGTAAAAAAAAGAAAGCAGAGCGTAAATGGGAAATCATTCGGTACTCAATAATTTGTGCTTGAGTCATCATTTATTTTTATTTTTTTTCCGCACAAATGTGTTATGGTCTCATCATTTTACAATAATATATAATAATCACGTTCCTTCCACATTTATATAATAAAAGGCGTGGTGGTGACCCTCCCCAAGATGCCCTTATCACTAGCTTTATTTTAAATGTTAATTGTTCATTTTTTTATCCTTTATTGCTTGCTTACTTTTAAAGAGAGTTAAATCAGACTGTCAGCACTCACCTCGGATCCTAAGAATAAGAGAAGAGAACCAAGAGGAACGTTATGTGGCCAATTTTTTTTATTACCTTTTACCTTATGTTTGACTTTCTATCTTTTTTTTTTTTTTTTTTTTTTTTTTGTAAATCTTCCGTCTTTTATATTTTATCTTTCAGCACAAATATCTTATGAGTTCATGTTGATAATAATCTTGCAAAATAGGCTCATCATCCTTCCTAAGGTCTGACGCGTCCTGGATTTATCTCTACTGCATAGCGCTGGCTAGATCTCAGTGAGCACCAAAAACTTATTCGCGTTTGGATATGTACAAATTCTTCAAAGCCACTGATCAATGTATTTTCGATCTGATCGGTGGTGGGCACATCCTTGATAGCGATATTTGCAGCAGCTATTGTTTTTTGGGCTGGCAAAGTATTGGACAAATATATGGTAAGAAGAATGAATACAAGATAAAGAGTCGGGATGATAAGTAGTGAAGAATAGCAAAAAAAAAAAAAAAAACGTCATCTTTGGTGTACATACACAAGGAATCTCTTTGACTGCGGAGCTGGAATTAAAAAGTTGTCATTTTTGCTGATAATTCTTCCTTTTCCTGGAAAGCCGGACCAATCCAAAGAGAGAATTCCTTGATAGTTCTGGCAAAACTAATATCCTACCTGCACCACTGATGTATGAATGCATCTAAGATTAAAAAAAGGGCCTACCAGATCTGACCGATTACTAATCGTTCAAAAGAACTTTCAACGTGTAGCATTAATCATGTGGTTTTTTTAATTCTTTGCCCTTTACAATATCTGGATATTAAAACCAAAAGTACATACATACGGTTTTTTTTTTTTCCTCAAATAAGGGAAAGAAACGAAAGCGCAAGTGTAGCCAGTTGAATGATACGAATAAAACGACAGAGTGATGGTAGAAGTAATAGTGTTAAAGTAGAAGTGGAGAAGTAATACATGGAAGAAAATAAATTAGTGAGACCCCGATCTTAAAAACGATGATCGATTTGCTAACTAAAAAATTAGCGTTTTTCTTTTAACGTTCCCGCCTATCATTCATCATTTCATTTCCAAGAGGGTGTATATATTGATTACAAAGAGCTTTTTACATAAATATGACAAGTCTTGATTCATTTTGATCCAAGATTAGCCATTTACATATGTTTTTATTTACAACAGCGCTTGTATGAATTATTAATTAAGAACTAGTGGACCGGTACGATACTTTTTCAAATGGGAAAGAAAGTAGGAAGGAGTTTTTTAGGCATGAGAAGCGGTCTCAGTCTCCATGACGATTCTGTAGCGAGGACGCCCTTCCATCATATGCTTTACAGCGGCGTTGGCATCATTCATAGGCATCTTCTCGATCCATGGTCGAACGTTCTTCTCAGCTGCAAACTGCAACATTTCAGCGACCATCTCTTTGCCTCCAATCAAAGAACCCACCATAGATACACCTCGTGAAATCAACGAGTTTCCGGGCACCTTGATAGGTTTCTCAGGCAAGGCCAAGAGAACAAACTTGCCATGGTTAGCAACCAAAGAGAGAAGCTGGGCCCAGTCTGAATCCAGTGCAAAGCTAGTACAGATGATTATATCCAAGGATTTAGCAGCTGCCTTCATCTCTTCGGGTTTCTTGGAGTTGATGAACTTTGTAGCTCCGAGTTGCTTGGCCTCATCACGTTTGCTATCACTGGTAGAAATTGCAACGACCTCATCACAGTTCATAGCTCTGGCCCACTGGATACCCAAGTGACCGAGTCCTCCGATTCCGATGACACCGACTTTCTTGCCAGGACCAGCACCGTACTGTTTAAGAGGGGTATAGGTAGTGATACCGGCGCACAAGAGAGGTGCAGCTTATTGAATGAAATAGAGAACAATGGATTGTATGTTAGCATATTAAACATATTAGGTAAAGAGTTGGTTTGAGGATTGTCTATTTCTCTTAACCCTATGCATGATGATGAATTATGCACACTTGAGGCTTTGTTTTGTTCTTACCTTCAGCAGGTGAGATCTGAGAGGGGATCTTGAACACAAATTCGCCGTTGACACGGACTCGGTCAGCATACCCTCCATAGGTGTAACCACCACGCCCGTCCTTGAAAGTATCATTATAGGTGAAGGCCTTTGCCTCACAGAACTGATCAAAGCCAGTCTTACATTCTTCACAGCTGCGACAAGAATCGACCATGGCGCCGACACCGACTAAATCACCAATCTTGTGAGGGCTATTGTCACTACCAGTCGCAACGATCTTGCCGACGATCTCATGTCCTGGAATACAAGGTCCATTCTTTAACTTTCCCCAGCCTTCTGTGATGGTATGGATATCAGAGCCGCAAATGCCACAGTGAGTGATCTCAATTTCGACATCCTTAGGGCCGAGAGGTCGAGGGTGGTATGAAAATGGTTTCAAGTTGGCAGTGCCAGTCGAAGCCCAGCCAGTAAAAGTGGCAGAAGTATCTTCAAATGAGTTAATGTTGGATGGCATGGTTGAAATGGTATGGAATTAGGTGAGTATCTGGTGAATAGAAACAAAGGGAGTTTTTTTATGATTGAAGTGGGATAAGAAAAAAAATGTCGTCCTTTTATTCTCGAATCCCTCTCTATTCACTCATTCAGCTCCTCCAATAGACTCCATACATAGAATGAATGATGCTGTTGTTTTCCTAAGAAAACCTTTTTTTTTTTGTCATTATTAAGCATCAAGAAAGAGAAAGTATAAATGTACAGATGTATATGTATATATTTATATATACGTACAGGTATAGAGTATACATGTGCATGGAAACTGTGCTAAAATCTGCTCGTAGTCTATGCTTGTGCGTGCAATCGTTACTTGCGGAGATGGAAGAATAGAAAACTTTATCCAGTCAAAAAAAATTCTGCCAAAATAAATCTCCATTTGGACAACATTCCGCAGCCACATTGTACTCCAAGTAGCAATAAAGAAAGTTTTTATTTTGCGGCGCTGTTGAGATCGACGCCGTCATACATATACATGTATACTTATTTACACAAAAAAAGAAAAATACGAAGGGCCCTTACTCCAACCGCTGCCATGAATAAAACAATAGAAAGAACTATTCCGGAGGGTGGGTCTAGGCATTTTTTTTACTGCAGGATCTTCCAATCAATAGTGTCATTTAAAATTAAGTTTATGCAATGCTGAGAGCCAAAGATTTTTCCAGCATCCAGATAAGAATGGGAGTGACTTGGGGGACAGTTTAATACAACATATTAAAATCAAACCTTCAAATCACTTTTCCTTGGTGATGTTTTACAAGCGTTTACTTTATTTGATTACCGAACATCCGAACATGTTACAAAGAAAAAGCGAGTTCATCAGAAATAATATAGCCCTTGGGGATATCACTAAATAGTTTTTTTTTTTTTTTTTTTTTCAGCAGTTCACCAGCATTCATCTTCCCAAACTAAACGGATACATTTATTAGAGGCACAAGGAACACTTTGTATCAAAATACAAGGGCATCCTTGGTCTTGTTTTAACCATGGAGATATGAGGATACAAATCCTCTCCATATTATCATCGGTGTCGTACCTTTATGCTTCTTGCTTTTATATTCGGTAGATACTATCAGATAAAACAATACATGACCAATTCAACTTTAATATTACACTGAGTGCACCAGAAAAGATGGAGCTTCGAGATAGATGTATGTATACCAGTGTTCGGTGTGGGTGATTTGTGTTCGTAGAAATTGGTTCAACCTCCTTTCTGTAGAGTGTGCTGTGCAAAAGTTGATGTGGAAACCTGATGGTTTTTGGAAGCCAAGGACTCTAAAACTAAATTAAACAGTGACCCTTTACTGTGCAATCTCCTTATTTCCCGCTTGAGGATCCAATTAAAACCAGGCATATAAAGAAAAATCAATATCAACTACGGCTGTCTCTGATCTTTATCTTTCTTTCAATGCGAAAGGAAAAGGAATTAAGAAAAAAAAAAACCCCCCCTCCAATGAAAGAGTATGTAAAGACGCTATCTATCGTCTTCGTAAAGCATTGTACGTCCCCATGAAATGTGTAAAAGTTCTTTACGACTTCTCCTTTTCTACTTATTTCTTCCTAGTTTCTCCCTCTAAATCTTCCTTAAAAGGAATTTATATACCCATTGTTCATTAATGATTAAGATAGGAAAAACTTTACGATCATTATATAAGCTTAGCTTAGTCCAGATGAATCAACAGAAAACATTAATTCACTTTTGTTTTTTATTACGCGATTAGCATTGAATTATATATCAAGAGAGTAAAGAGAGGTGATAGAGAAAAAAGGTAAAATGCTGATAATCGAAAGGAATGCTTTACAAGAAAAAAAAAAAACCCCCCTCATCACATTAAAATGTACATAGAGAAAAGGTCAAGACCTGTTTTTTTTTTTTTTTTTTTTTTTTTTTTTTTAACGAGGAAGAACATTGGCCTGGTTGTTGGAAGTCGTGCCTGTGGTATTGCCGCCATGACGTCCATGGGCATAATCATTGTCATAGCCTTGGCCATAACCACGACCATAGTTACCATCAGTAGCATGATCACCGTTCACAGCAGCCTGAGCACGCATGTACTGAGCATGGTTCTCAGCATCGATACCGGCTGTGTAATGATCATAATCCATGTAACGGAAGAGAATATACATTCCTGCACCAAGGATGGAGCCGCAGAGTGGTCTTTTTTTTTTTTTTTTTTTTTTTTTTTTGAGACAGAAACAAGCAAGAAAAAAATATTAGAAACATTTTTTTTCTTCTAAATCGATCCTCCACTCATCTTTTGAATCTTCTTACCCGAACCAGTAAATCCAATGATCACGTGAGAAAGAACGAGCTACCACCGAGGTACCAAAAGCACGAGCAGGGTTGATGGCTGCATTTGTATATCGAGTCGCAAACAGATGACAAGCCATAAGTGTCAGACCATAAGGAAAAGCGGACATGAAGGTCGACCGATTCTTTTCATGAACTATCATATGATAGACGAAGCATAAGATCGTGGTCAAGAACATCTCGAGGAAGAAACCACGAGCAATGCTCTCTCCATAGTACTGGAAGGGGGAAAGGGCGAAGAGAGAGAGATGAGGGGGAGGTCAGTATTAACAAATATTAATAATTATTGGCTTTGCTTTCACTTGTTTAAAGATAAGAAGAAGGAAAAAAAACTTACAAGTTCATTTTTTGAGTACCCGAAATATTGACTCGAGGGCGTAGTTCCACGAGCCAAAGCAATGCCCACCATGGCTCCCAAGAGTTGGGCAATGAAATAAATAAAGAATTGAGGAAGCTTTAGATGACCTGTGATCAATGAGCTCAGTGAAATGGCTGGGTTGAAATGACTCCCGCTGATCCGGAAGAACGCCCAGGAGATGCACATCAGAGATACCCCAAATGCAATGGCGGATCCAAGGATGTTGGCTCCATAGCCTACGCCTAGTGTGATCGCATCTGCTGCACCTACAGCTAAATACAAAAACATAGCCGTACCCAGAAACTCGCCGATCGATTGGACAATCCAACCCTTAATGCTTGATCTATGATCTCTATGATCCATTTTTTGTTTGTTTTCAAGATGGAGATTATTGGTGATAAGAACTACTTCTTTTTTTTCTATTTTTTTAATGGGACCTTTGCGTGAAAAGGAATGAGAGAAAAGGGTTTTAAAAAAAAAAAAAGAGTGTAAAGGGACAATAGAAAGACAGAGAGGAGAGGGAGTGATCTGGGGCTCTTCTCTTTAATACTTTCTGCCTTTAACTCCTAACGTAAGTATAATGCCACCAAGGCTGCAATTCTGGCGTAATGCAGAACCCGTTTTCGGTTTCACTTTTTTTTTTTTTTAAAAAAAATCAAATGCGTACAACAAAACGCGAGGAAGAAAAAGCGGTGTCAGTCCTATAGTGTCATAGTATCAGTGTCATATCCGGTGTCTCATATTTCAAAGTAATCATTTTGCGGTCATTATCGCTAACGCTATTACCATTGGAGACTTTTCATGTTTTATTAAGAATGTTTTATATACTTATATACAAGATGGTCTTTAAAAAGGACGGGGAGGATTTCTAAAAGTACATATACACATTAAATTATACAGATCTGTCGAGCATCTAAGTTTTTTTTTTTGTTTTTGGTTTTTTACTTTCCACCTCCGAGCTTCATTTTTGCTTCAAAACTTCCTTTTCTTATTAACCTTGCATGGTCTGAGTGAACTGTTGGTTCATCCAGAATTGCTCCTGTTGCTGTTGCTGTTGCTGTTGCTGTTGTTGCTGAAACAATGGACCCATATAGCCCATAGAGGCCTCGATATTGCTGCCACTACTGCCGTTGTTGGGACTTATCATTGTATTAATATTTGAGGCCATTAAGTCGTGAAGCGTGGTCCCTGGCATCATCATACCAGTCGAAATGTTACTGCTGCTGATACTGCTGTTGCTGTTGTTGTCGTGGACTGCTGCCGAAGGCGACATGGAAGCATCCATCATTGGCGAAGCAGACGAGGATGAGCCTGTCACTGCGGCGACAGACATGGCATTCATGTTGGCAGTAGCCTCTTCAGGCGTAAGATCATCAAACAAATTCTCAATCCATACAAAATCTTCACCCAAAGCATCCATCATTGTGAAATCCTGAAACAAATCTGCGTCACTGTAAGCTGGATTTAGGTTAACAGATGGTACCGCATAGTAGAATCCGACTTCATGACCATCCTCATCCGTAGTTGTGATCACCAGAGGCGGTGGAGGAGGAGCTGCAGAGTCATTACCATTATTACCATCGATGATGTTTTCGGAGCCCAACTGAGGAGACGTTGATGTTCCAATGCTTACCCTGGTAGGGGTAGATCGCCCCTGCTGCTGCTGTTGCTGTTGAGTAGACATGCTCAGACTACTGTCAAACAAGCTTGAGAGGTTTTGGTGACTGTTGTTAAGATTTGAAAAGTTTGTGTCGATAGTGAGCGACAGCTCCAGTGGACTGGGAGGTTGAGGAGAGTGATACGTGGGACTTGGTGCTAGTGGACTATGGGGCAACGGGCTTGTACTTCTGTACCCATTTTGTTGCTGTTGATTAAGGGCAGAAGAAGCTTGGAGGCCTCCAGAAAGCTGACCAGCTGTAGATAGCGAAGGTAATGTAGCCAGCGCTTCTGAAAGGCGCCTTTGATAATGTGTCATAGCCTCATTTGGGCTGAGTGAGCTAGGACTTGATGGCATGCCATTGGCATTTGATGCCATAATGTCCATAGGTATGATCATTGGACTCTTGCCCGCTCGGGAGGCCTGCTGTTGTTGCTGGCTTTGGTCAGCTGATGGAAGGTGATTTTGTTGACTCAATTGCTGCTGAAGTTGACTTTGGTTTTGGCTTTGGTTTTGACTTTGATGAGCATCAATCAAGGCCATAATCCTAAACTTTTGTGGTCCCTGTGTGGGCGATGTAGTCCTGTTATTACTGGATGCATCCTCCCCACCATCATCAGCTTCAAACGAACGTTTCGAGCCATGTATGGGGGATTCGGAAGACTAAAAAAAAAAAAAAATTGAGCGACGTTACACAAAAAAGTAGTCGTGAGAAAGCTGGCGAAGACATTGGGGCTACGAAGAAAAAAATAAAAGAGTAGGTGTCAGTCTTACCAAGTCAGGCACACCTTGATCATTCTGTGATGACATTCGATCATCTTCCTCCTCCTCTTCTGGCAATCCAAGTATCTAGTAGAATTAATTTGTGTTGAACAGTGCCGATTAATAAGAGCAATGATTTTTTTTAGAGTCAATGTTTTTTTAACAATGCTCGCGAGAGCAGACCACTAATTAACTTACATCGTATGCAAGAAACGATTTTATACGGTTATTGTAAACAAGCAAGTTAGGTTGCTTCTGGATAGACTCATATAGGGCCTGATCTATTTCCGAGTCCATATTACAGACAATAGGGATCTCAATGGTCTTGTGCTTGACCTCCTTCTTACGACCTCCCATCGCCTGGATGACCTTGGCTCGACATTGATGACGACCTACACAATCCGCGATGTGATACAGATGGACTGTGGGAGTAAATGTGCAGGGACGCTCATCCTTTGCACACCGTCCACACTTGTCACCTGTGTCGGTCGCTGTTCGGACTTTGTCACATGTCTTTCGATTAAGAAAGCAATGATCACAACTCTTGCGATTGATCGCAGCGGTGGTCGCCAAGCTGACAGAGCTGTCGGCTTGGAATTCAAATACTTGCATTGGCATTCTTATTTATTCGATCTCTCTTTCCCCTCAGTTCCTGGATAGTTTATTTGTTTTGTTGAATTGGATTGATATGATAAATAACGACAGGTGATGACAAAAGATATTATCAGAATGTCAAAAAAAAAGCTTGGCCTGTGTTTTGGTATATAAATGCGTGTGTATGATAATAATTAAAAAGTCGCGATTTGCGAGTGGAGTGGAGAGGTTGGGATTAAAAGTTGAAGTAGAAGGACAGAAAAAACGCCCTTGTTAACTATTCTTTTGCAGAAAAGGAAATGGGGATGTGAATGTGAATGGAATGATGAATGGAGAGCAAGCAATTACAAAAAAAAAAAAAAAAAAAAGGTTATGAAAAGGAGCTCGTTATTTATGTCTTTGCGAGTTCAGAGAGGGGGGCTGCGCATTTTAGGTTAACAAGGAGCTTAAGTTAACAGGTGATGATCGCTCAGCCCTTCTTGCCAATGTTTGAGAAGTCTGGCACGCTGTGTTAGGTAACAAACTCAATTTATTGTCCTTAACAGAACAATGCTCGTCCCTTACGTAGTATCATATTTTAGACTTCTCGGGTGAATACGAAGACGACGGTTCCGCAAGGCCCCTTCCTTATTTAGCCTCATCCCCGAGAGCAACGGCACCACTATGTTCCCCTCCTCTCTCTTTCTCTCGAACGAGCACTAACATCCTATTTTATTTTATTTTATTTTATTTTTTTAAAAAAAAAAAACACATTTATTTGATTCCTGACAGTAGGGTAGTAATCGTGGGAGGTTTTTTTTTTTTTTTTAGTCGCAAAGTAGCTGGATGATCACTTCTAAAAAGCGACTTTGTTTCATGTGAATAAAAAGAAAAAAAGCCTTGGGGCATTTCGGCACAAACACTTTGTTCATGGAAGATAATTCTATGTTGTTGCACCTTTTCCTATCATTTTGAGACTCACTCACTCATATCGCGCATATGCGCCGCCAATGCAAGCGTGGAAAATATAGACTCGACCAATTCTACAAAACGAGGGAGACCTCGTGAATCAAGGCAATTAATTTTAAAGTCAAAGAGTAAAAAAAAAAAAAAAAAAACTTTGAGGGATTTCATAACAAAGTTTACCAGCATTTGACGATCCATGGAAAACTAAGAATGTAGCAATAACCAGTTTAAGCATATACATGTCACAGCCCCGGTAGTTTTCTTTTTTTCTTTTCTTCTTTTTTTTCTCCAGAGTTTGATCTGATAGAATGTTCAATTATGAATTCTTCCGGAGAAAAAGGGGAAAAAAAGAATGTGTGACAGAAAGTCAACGCAGAAGAGTAGACAAGCGTTCTTTTTTTTTTTTTTTTTTTTTTTTTTTTTTTTAAAGGATATCACGATAAGGGCTACCAAGCCATTGTCTTTTTTTTCCTAAATACTGGCTAAACGGCGCATGGATAAAAAGGGTCGACAAAAAAAGAAGAGTGGAAGTTACCAAATAGAAAAATGGGAACTTTTTGTCCCTTCTATGAACACAAGACCTCTTTTGAGAGCATATATTTATATATTATATCTGTCATATAAAATATATATTCTTATATACTATCATATATACTGTTTGCTTTTATTTAGAGTTGCTTCATTCAGTTTAGCCACAAACGCTGGAACTCCTTCGTGCACGTCCTATTCTCCTTATTTTCTCTATCCTCCCAATTCGCTCGATAATTTTCCCCTCTTTACGTGCACAGCGCCAACACAAGACACCGGAGGGAATTGAAAACTAATAAGAACGGAAATAATAATTATAGATAATGAACTTGCCTATCAGTTATTGACATGTATTGATGAGGCATTTTAGAAAAAGATAGAGAGGAGGCATTTTCAGAAAGAACGTTCTCGCCATTAGGTTTAAATATTTTAATTATAAAAAATGCTAATTGACATTGTTCAACGCTACACACACACATAATCAGGGATGCACAAGAGAAGAAGTTTCCCCCCACTTTGTTCGGGAGAGAAACGGCGTGGCTAATGCTTTTGAGGCTCGGGCACTTTAGAGAAACTATAATTTAAGGTTGTCGACTTTTGGAGCAGTCACTCTTTCAGTCAAGTGTGCAGAAAAGTTGGGCTGTAGTTCCTCTTCTGTCTTTGTCGTGAAACAAATTTGGGTTGTAGGTGCCACGAGGTAAGCAGCACCTGACCACATGGTGAGAGGATATGATTTTAACCTTTAATGATTGTGGTTAATGATGTCGCACAGCAAAAATAAGGAAAACATGCTTTCAGGGCCCCGAATTTTTTGACTGCGGACGAGGATGGTTATGACTCAATGCATGAGGTTCATCCGTCTGAATAAACTTACCATGCGAGAAAAAATAAACTTTTTAATAGTCTACCATATGGTTACATTCATAGAGAAATCTCTCCATCCCCATCCATCTCCTTACCTTATTCCGAATTAATATGACACGGATCAATTACCAGTAAGTTTTGCCGTGGAAAGGAGGAATCGTCATAAAGACGCCATTCTCCATATCCTTGTCGGCTCTTCCTCTCAATCTTTGTAGAGAACCATCTCTCTCTCTCTTTCTCTCTCTGTCTCTGCGTGTATCTATCTCTTTCTGTCCTAGTATGGTTCTGTAAAACGATTTAGACTTGAAGCGATCCAAACTGTGGAAATTTCTTTTCTGTTGCTATCTTCTGTTACGAATTATCTTTAGCGTCAATGATCTTTCCTCTTTTCATGACTTTAATGGTCTAGGTCTTCGTGCGACATTCCTTTGACTTTAATTTATACGATATATACAACAATGTTAACCACAACAACAACAGCAACAACAACAGCGAAATTAATATCATAATTTCAGCATACAAATATATAAAATAGCCTGACTTTCTCATTGTTTTTGATTTTCTTTTAATTACAATTACTACAACTATCATGGTTGTAGTAGGGGTAGAGAAGGTTACTATAGTACATATTTGGGTGGAAGTGAAACCGAAGCTAGCTTAAAAGGCCGCAAATGTATAGGGAAAAAAAAAAAAAAAAAAATCAAGTATATACATGAAAATGAAATGAAGTTTATAGGTTAGGAGTAGATAGGAGAGATGAAGGGCTGAATAGTATGCAAAGAATAAGTATGTGAAGTATGTGTGTGTGTGTCTTTGAGCGTGTATGTGTATGTGTGTGAGTGAGATAAAGCGAATAGTTTTATATAATGGCTTTGGATGCGGATTCAGCTTGAATAGACTTGTATACGTTAAACTCGACCGAGTAGCGGCTATGATTGGCAATCATGGTGGCGAAGCACGTCAGAACTGCAGTACAGGTTGCAAGGGCAGAGAGTATACAACGCGCTCCAGAGCGTACTGCTGCTACACAACTCAAAAGTACCATGAGGAACAAGAGAGGGGAAGTGTCACGTCTATTAATATAGAAGATAAAAGAAAGAGAGTTAGCTTGATATGGATCAGGGCTCATTGTGTGATGATGGGGATCAAACTCAACCAATAATCCATGCATGCATATGTGAGGTAATGGGATTCAGTCCGCCAGTGATATTGATTGGTTGTGCTTAATGCAGATGGTGCACGGTCACCTTCATCCCCTGTCCTTCGGGTATGAGAGAAGCGATGACATGCTGCCGATCCTATTCATCTGATTCGCTAAGGTGTCCCCCGTTATCTGAATGGATATGCATGCTCAACACTGCCCTTTGGCGCAGAGCAATTGAGGCATAATCATAGAGTGGTAGACGGGGGTTGCTTTTGAGCGACTGATCGAGGTTGGATGGAATATTCTCCCTCTTTTTTTTTTTTTTTTTTTTTTTTTTTTACCCATGACATTACGCAACGAACTTTGATGTTGCATTGTTACTCTTCTCCGATGAAATGCAAGGTTTGTTTTTTTTTTTTTTTTTTTTTTTTTTTTTTCTTACCTGGCCAGATGACTTGGGATGTAGACCTTTGCGGCAGTTTGTTGCACAATCAAAAGGCTGACGAGACATCCAACCCAGATGCCTAGAACAAAACCGCGGAGCTGTTGCTTGGAACGCACTAAAGATATTTTATTATTAAAGAATGATATAATACATAAAAATAAAGGTGAGTCCAGGTAACCGACAATCCGCACCAAGAGATTATAGATTAGATAGGAACAGAAGTCACTGATGTCATAGGGCTATCTCCCAATCGAATAAACATGTTTAAACACACTGGCACTGACGGATGTTTAAAAAAAAAAAAAATCACAACAAACATGTATGCAAAAGCCAGACAATCACGACAACAACATGGCGCCTAGGAAGACAAAAATAGATCACAATTTTTTTTTTTTTTTTTTTTTTTGTAGACTCACACGTCGCGTTTTCAACTGTCGCATTTTTTTTTATACACACATTCCCACACAGCCAAGTGGCGTGCTTTTTACAATGCAAAACATTTGCCCTTTTTTCTTTTTTAGATCCCAAGACTACTTGTAGCTCAGCGCCATCAAATAATGGTTATTCCGTCTTACCATAGCATATAAGACAAATAGGTTGTAGACAGATAAGATCGTTTGATAAAATAAAATAAAATGATAATGACAAGTGCTGGTAATGGTCTAGAGAGAAAAACCTAGACCCTTCTCTTTTTTTCTAGACTCCGCACATGTAATGTAATGAGGCATGAGTCTGCATGGCTTGTTAAGCATGGACATAAACAAGTGATCATACACTCGACGAATGTGGCAAAGATGGGCAAAGGCGAAGACAAGGGGATCGATTTACACTGCCCACAGCCCGGACAGAGCCCGATTTTTTGGGCATGAAAAAAAAAAAAACACACACACACAGACATCGGATTTACGAACAGCCAAAAAAATAAAAATTGCAGTGCCGCTTCAAGAGTGGCAATGAATTTTTTTTTTTTTTCGGGGCTTTGATTTGAGTGAAAAGCTAGGGTCTCCCATCCACAAATAAAAAAATATGTACTCCGGCGTTCAATTCGTGAACTCAAGAGAACGGAACTCTGAGTAAATCCTTTGAGTCCTCCCTAATTGGATTTGACTCTGATGTGTACTATGGTTGTTTCTCTGATCACTATCAAAAGCAATTGTGTTTCATTGTTCGGTGGAACATTTGTTGGGTTTTTTTTCCTACCTTGATAAGCTTCACGTCTCTCCATCTCGAGCTTTCTCTGGAAGGCCTCGTCGGGTCCGTTCTCCCAAAGCTTCTTGTCTTCTAAGAGTTGTTTCTCACTCAAGAAGCTAACAGGGGACTCGACTAGGTTGGGAGAGAACAATTTCAGACATGTCTGATCACCATGCTTGATGACTGTGAATTTTTGAAGGCGTTCCTGAGAGGTGTCAAGGCTCAAGCGAGGACCTCCTGCACGGCCAGGAGGGGGAGATGGCTGTTGTGAAGGCTTCTCCTGGAAACGTTGCTGTTTCTGCATCAATTGCTGTTGCTGTTGCTGTTGTTGTTGTTGATGATGCTGCTCCCAGAGAATGTTTGAACTTGGAACGGAGTGTCGATTTGATTTATTGACAATGTTAGATTGTATATTAGTCGTGGTAGAAGTAGATTCAGGTGTAAAATCATAGATGAAGGAAGGGGAGGCAGCTGTGGTTGTGACAGCAGCTGTAGGGGTGTAGACGAGTGTAGAAGCCATTTTTCAAAAAGATGCCAAAATGAGGGATATGCAAAATAAAGAGGGTGGAAAGTGTGTTTTGAATGAGTCAATGGATGTGGATGGGGACGAAGGAGTTACTGAGCCGTTTAGACAAGAAGGAGTCGAGAAAGAGTAAGAGAGAGTAAGGGTGAAGGAAGGTGTTCCTGAGAAAAAGAATGAATAGAAGGAAGACACAGACAGAAACACATACACATAAAAAAAAAAAAAAAAAAAAAAAAAGAAAAGAGGGTGCCCTTCGACTGGAGTGTATTTATATTTGAGGCCAGGTTTTATTTTAATGTATTTTATTTTGTATTGTGTACTGCACCCTTTTTTACAATAGAATAAAATAAAATAAAATAAAGAAAAAATATACATACAAAAATACGAATAAAGTTGACCCTGAACCTCGTCCTCGTCCTCCATTCCTATGCTATCCCATTTTAAAAAAACAGCTATCACCCATTCCTCTTCACAATACAGCTGTCTCCATCTCGTTCTCCACCCATGTAGCCCGTCTTGACCCCATATCTCAATCCTTTATAGCAAAGCCTATGCCATATCTCCACATCCCTCCTAAAAGACAAAATAAACTGTGCCCTAACTTCCGTTGAGTTGCTGTGCCTCTTCTATAAGTCCAGTTAAATAAAAAAAGAAATTCTCCCCCCCCCTCCTTCAAAGCCCAGTTAAAAGATGGAGAGAGAAAGAAAGAGGGGGGGAAAGGCTGCATCCAGGCTCCATGGAAGACGAACAGACCCTACAAGCCTCTCCTCGCTCACTATTTTTTTTTTTTACTTTTACTTTCAAATGTTTATATTCCAATATACATGCCAAACAAATGTATAGCCTAAAGAACAGAAGAAACATGGGTCTCAGACATATCTTTTACATCAAAGATAAAGAACCATGCTAATCAAAATGTCATTCATCATTTCTGCTAAATCACTCTTACCGCATCATAGTGGGCCTTGTAACACAGAATTGTTCATTGATTAACATATACGCCTTTTTTACATGGAAAGCTAGTCATTGAACGGTATGACAGAGGACACAGAAAAGCTCATATACCTTCATCCTAAATTACTTTTTGATTGAAGATAAAAAAAAAAAAAAAGAGCAGCAACATCAATGAGAGCAATTACAACGATCTTTCTTTATCATGGTCGCAATCTCCTGCGGGCGAGGTACAAAAAAATAAAGAAAATTACAATGTACATGTACACGCTGCAAGAAATGAAAACTTTTCCTATTGTCCTAGTCAATGTTGTCAATGCAAGGCATGGCGACGGCTCTCTTTTTTTTTTTTTTTTTTTTTTTTTTCTATGCCGAGGTGCCGTCCCATTCGTGTAACTGGTCTAATAGTGCCTTATTATTCCAAATACTTTTGGATTGCAGCTATTGCAGAGTTCTTCATTAATAACTCCTCAGTCTCCAATCCCAATTTCCAATTCCCCAATCACCAATCCTTTTCCCTCTTCTTTAACTGATGAGGCTCAGAAGTTGCAGCTGTACTGTACACCATACACCACCGTATACCATACTGTCTATCTTTCTTCATAAGAAGCTAATCCCTACCTCCATGCCGACTGTCATTATCATTCCAATCGGGTTCGGAAAAAAAAAAAAAAAAAAAAAAAAGAGGGAGAGGGAGAGACAAAAGGAAATAGAGACCCAACTAAGGGACCAAGACTGTTATGGAGTCAGCCTCATCATGCATCTCAAAAGTTGGACCCTTTCTACAGATTTGGCACAAACCGTCCAGCCATCAGTATACATTCATATCAATACAGTGATGTGTTTCGCGATATTTTTTAGAAACCATTGTGTTAGTCTGCATAGTAGTCTAATCATGCATTCATAGACGAGACTAAGTTTTTTTTTTTTTATTTTTTTTTAATGGAATGTAGAACAGGGAGAAAGCGAGCTGACCGATCTATGAGTTTTTGGGTGAGATGTATGGCCTCGTTAGCTTATTACTATATGGTAATCGTCCGAACACTTTTACTTTCGGTTCGTAGTATAATAGAGTCCTCGCCAGAAAGTCATGAACAAATATATTTGTCACGTTTTTATATTGAATAGAATACTTCCATTTTTGGACATCAAGAATTTTGAGAATTTTTTTTTTTTTTCTATTGTATCTAATTCAAAAAAATATGTGCTTTTCAAGCTTCGTACGTAAAATTATGTTTTTGCAAATATTAATTCAAATTGAATACTTTAAAAATATATTTGTTCATGACTTTCTGAGGACTCAATATACATGTCTACGATTCATATGCTCGATTACAAAGTATACTTCCATAATACTCACGACACTCACGATACTCATACACACGATACTCACTATACTCAACACAACAAAAAAATAAAAAAATAAAAAAAAACAAAAGTTCCCGCTTTTTTAGCACGTTGTCGGGTAAAGTGTATAAACATGCATGCACATGTACACGAAGTACACAAGGAAATTGAACTTTTTTTTTGTTTTTGCAAAAAGACTTCTTTCCCCTATTCTTCACCCCTACTCTTGCATCCCCCCCCGCCTATTATAAATAGAAAGAGTTTTTACTATTTACCTTTTTACTTTTGATCCAACCTTTCACAAAAGGTAAACAAACGTCTGCAACCACGCGTCTGTGTTTGTGTCCAGACATGCTCTCTCTCTCTCTCTCCTTTAAAAGTCCGTGTTGTCTGAATAAAATCAAAAAAAAAAAAAAAAAAAAAAAAAAATGTGAAGGACTGCTTATCTCAACAAAGAAAACAGGCACAGCCCGGTCCGGAACACAAAAAGAAAAAGAAAAAAAAAAGTTATAAATATGTATAATATGTCATCTCTTCACTAGATGGCAGGATTAATGACAATCAAGGTAAAAAAGTTTTTTTTTTTTTTTTTTTTTTTTTTTTTTGATAAGGATAGCAAATGAGAAAAATGTACATGTTCGTCCTTTAGATTTTTTTTTTGATCTACGGGTACAATAATGGTAAGGATGATCATTCCGAACTTGAAAGAAGTTCCTCCTCCTTTTTTTTCCTTTTACAGGCGGAGGTGATAAAAGAAAGTAAAAATAAAAGAGGATTGGGGCCATAAATATGAGATCCGTCCGTCAGGGCATCACAGGATTTTCCCTTTGTTTTTGGTGCTAATTGCAGGTGGTTCTTAAGCTAAAGAACGTATGTTGGTGCGAGAAGAATGCGGAGATAGTTCTTGGCATCTGGAGCGACCAAAACAGAAAACAGCAAACAGCCACAGTTGAAGCATGAACGGTCAAAACAAGAACAATTGGAACAAGGAGCCAAAGGAGCTGTTTCAAGAGTACCAATTGGACAAAATGAAAGAACAATTGGTGTAAGGATAGGAGTAATAAAGCAAACAGGAAATAGGAAAAAAAAAAGAAAAAAAAAAAAGGAGTAAAGGACAAAAACTCTCCGGCACAACATACCATGGGGGAGAAGCGTAATAACAATGTGAGTGACTTAAGCAAGTTTTATAAAGGAGGGCGCTAGATTGCTAGATTTAGTAACAGCATGAGCGTGAGACACATAGTCAACGCGTTTCTTGAGGAGGCATAGACGAGAAAAAAAAAAAAAAAAGAAAAAAAAAGAAAGGACTATAAATATGTACATGATCCGATCGTGAAGGTCAAGAGCCCGCTGGCACTAGGGCCCAAAAATAGGATTTGCAGAAGCAGCAATAACAACAACAACGACTACAACTTTGAGATCGAGACCATCACTCTCCTATTTATTGTTTGTTATTCCTAATGAAGCTCCTCCATTATTGCTCACATCAATTCGATTCCACTATTCAATCACAAAGATTTGTTTTCTGCCGAAGGTTGTTCGTTGGAAAAGAAATATTTATAATTTGATATGCATAAGAAACCTTTAGGTTGCTAAATTTAGGTAGTCGTTGCCAAAAAAAATAAAATAAAATAAAATAAAATAAAATAAAGCAAAGCAAACAATCTTGTGGGCGAATTAAATTGCTCCAATGAATAAACCGCTTTTAATTTTGCAGCCAACGGTTCAAAGTCTTTGCCTTTTGAAATGTTCATTCATCCAATGTAACTCTCTCTTTCCAGCAAAGCACGATGAGTGGAAGCAACCCAATTTTTTTTTTTTTTTTTTTTTTTTTTTTTAAAAAAAAAAAAGCTCTGTTGAGATTAGACTGATATGCTGATATGTCTGAATATCAAGGGTCGTTGAGCTCAGTGATGCTAATATGAATCAACCTGCCCTCTGACATTTACATCTCGGCGCCATTTCTTGAGTGATAAATGATGATGGAAAGTCACCTGTCAGCCCTCATTACTCAGCCATAGAATCTGACGCCAACGACTCTACTTTCAAAGATGTTTGTAGAGGAGCCTATTAGAGAAACAATTCAGATTCTCGTACAATGATCATCGCTTGGTAGGTAATGCATTCCATTGACGCCTTTTTATTTTATATTATTATTATTATTGTAAGCCTTGCTTGTTTGTATAGCATATATACAGAATGACAAACATGCTATATATGGTTTTAGCGTTTGACCCGCTGGTTGCAAGTTGAACTTATTCACTTAATCACGCTGTTTGCCTCAGAGTAATAGCTCATCCTTATGCATTTTTTAAAATTTAACCAATGCTTCTATAATGAAAAGAGAGCAAGAGAAAGAAGAATGCCAATGCATTAAGTTAATTCTATCAGATCGGAACAGGCCCTCTAAATGTCAGCTTCTGGCAAAGCAACTTTGAAAAGGACTGCTAATGTGATTGAATTTCACGACGTACATGTACATGTACACCTCATTGTGGCTTGGGCTTTTGAATCCTTTACTTCATGTTGTTATAAGATTCAAATTCTTAGGATTCAAAATACTAGGATACTAAAAATAATAGTGGAGAGAGAGAGGACACCAACACATCGTTTTACAACAGTAAAAATGTTTGTCGTCAATGTCAATGTCATCAATGCGAAATAAATCTCGCTATATACAAAGGTCAGTAAAGTTATAAAGCTAATATTGGCAAATGAGGCGTTTTGGATGCTTCATTCAATACTGGGGTAAAAAAAAAAAAAAAAAAAAAAGAATAACCGTCAGGCAGTCAATAGCTCATTACCAATTGCCTGAGTGTTGCCACTTCTACCCTTCCAGCGGGCGCATATCCGCACTGTATTAAAACCCTGGTCGTCCCAAAAATGCACCAAATCACCCCTTGGTCCAGCTCCACGTCGGTTTGCCAGTATGGATGTTCAAAATAGTCATCTTCACAAGTAAAGTGAACAATCCAAGCTTCTTCTGGTGAGAGTAAGCATTTGTAAGATGACGTCTTGCTGATATGGTCTTTTATAGAAGTTTGGCTTCCTATAGCCAAAAGCTCGATGACAGCCGTAGGTTCTCCCAGTTTCTTGATGACAATGTCACTATAATTGTGATCCTCGAGCTCACGGAGGCGTCACTGGCCAATGACCCCATATCCTTCTATATCGCGTAGCCAGTTAGTGAGGACCATCATCAATTCCGTATCATAAATGCTCTCTCTCGAGGGACACTGGTACCGCTCTCTCAAGTAATGTAGTAAAAAAAAAAAGAGTAGTTTAGGGAAGACTTTTTTTTTTTTTTTTTTTTGGACAAAAGCCAATGGCGCCAAGAGCTTGGATGCTGCTACGACTAATCTTTATTAAATAATTACATGAAAGAAATATGCTTGAAGGAAGACTGTTTGTTCACATTTTATGCGCGTGCGAGTGTGAGGTATGTGTACAAGGTTGTAAGAAAAAAAAAAGGAAATTAAATTATAGCTTTATAATTTTGCGTTGTTGCCGCCCAACTCAGTTGCCAAGCTCTTACTCCTCGAATCTGCAGCCTTAACACTCTCATAAACCAACTCACGTAATCCACCCTTCTCAAAGGTCTTGATTGCGGCGTCAGTAGTTCCTTGCGGGGATGTGACTTTGACCCGAAGGGTCTTAAGATCATCTGAACTTGATTGAGCCATTTTGGCTGCGCCCAAACATGTCTGAATAGTCAAAGCCTTTGCTGTCTCACGGTCCATTCCCAACTTGACAGCAGCATCCTCCATAGCTTCCATCATCAGGAAGAAATAAGCTGGACCTGATCCCGACACACCTGTGACTGTGTCGATCAAGCTTTCTTTCTCGACCCAAGATACTTGTTTTGAAACCGCAGCCATCAATGACTCTGCGATTTCACGTTGTTGTTGGGTAGTATCCGATGTAGCATAGAGCCCTGCAGCGCCTTCGTTGACGAGTGAGGGGGTATTGGGCATTACACGGATGACAGGGGGCATGTCCTTGGGTAAATACTGAGTTCCTTCAGTCATAAATTGAGCGATTGCACGAGTTTCGATCCCTGCAGCGATCGAGATGACAAGAGGTTGACGAGCTTGTAAAGCTGGGCTTAAACTTGAAACAACGGGTTGAAGTACTTGAGGTTTGACAGCCAAGATGACGACTTCTGCAGGTGCAAAGTCCATGGAAGAAGCCGTCGGGTTGACATGAATAGCACCTTCTGTAATCATCGTAGTGATCCGCTGAGAAGAATTGGATCCACTAACGGCCAATTGGTTAGCTTGTGGGCCGGAGAGGACTTGTAGACCTGGATATTTCTTTTGAAGGAATTCACAACGAGCCTGCATGGGTTCTGAGACAACACATTGAGAAAGAGGATAGCCACAAGCAAGAAGGCCACCAAGAATGGCTTCCGCCATGTTGCCTCCGCCGATAAATGCGACTCTTGATTGCAACATTTTCTTTTTCTTTTTCTTTTTTTTTTTTTTTTTCTGTTCGGGTAGTATAAATGATGGTATAAATATGATCTTCTGAAAAGAATGAATGTGTTATGGCGCTGTATATCAAAGAGGGGGAAAAACAAAGAATTTGAAGAAGAGGACGATGGTTTTTATAGTAACGGCTTTGAGCACCCATGAATTTCCGGATAAAGATAGAGACGGGGCCCATAATCGTCACTTTCCCCTTTCTCTCTTTATTTTTCTTTTTACGTATTCACACGTACACTAAGGCGGATATAGAAATAGACTAATTTTTTGAGTACCGATTAATTCCAAAAGGCTTATCTTTTTGAATTGAAATCTACTAGACTGAATATTGTCTTAATAAATATAAAACTATCAAGTGACGTGCGATATTCGTTTTCCCTCCAGCTTGGCCCCTGCAGCCTGATCCTCCAACACTCGCACTTTCACACACATCCCAGCCAGATAATACGAACGTTAAACACTGTAAATTAGCTATCCATCACTCTTTTATCGCTGGCTTTATCTACTTTGAGAAGCAGAATGAGTATTTAAAGACGTGATATCGAGTATTTCAGTACGTTCATTAACACATGCAAATATAAAAAAAATTAGTGAACGCTAAATACACTAGCGTCATTCCATACCCCTTCTCTACCTTTGTCATTTGTTTATCATGGTTCCTGTTCCATCTATGTTTACGGGACAAAAAAGAAACCAGCATGTGTAGTCTACATGTAGATACAGTGTATCCAGTCCTTGTCTAATCTTCATGAAATTAAAACATAAAACAAACTATGTAGGCTATCAGCACATACACACATTTGTCATTTGGGAGATCTCTTTTTACTCGCTGGCGAGATATTTATCCTTTTGCTAGATTAGACCATTGGTTATTATGGAAAGAAAAAACTTGTTTCTACGTTTCATATTTATTTTTCAGGCACTGCAGCATAGCAGAATTCCTTTTAATATTACACAGATCCTCGACCCCTTTGTTTTTCCTGTCCCTGTTATCTCATAATTAACACAATTGACAAGGGGGGTTTTTTTTTAAAAGTTCTTTATTATGATACAACACTGTACAGAATTGGATGGTTTGTGTTCTTGAATCCTATCGATTTAGACGTGACGCTCGAGGTCGCCCTTGACCTCGTTGGCATGTCCACGGGCCTGTTGGGAGGTGTTTCCGGTGATGGATCCGACAGTCTGTTGAGCCTTGCCCTCGACCTTGTGGCCAACACCCTCAGCGTGGGTCTTGGCATCAGCGGCAGCCTGGCGGGCCTCAGCTTCAGACTTCTGATGAGCTCCAGAGGCAGCGAGGTTGCTGTTGCCGAGGGTCTCACCGATGGCCTGCTTGGCTCCTCCAATGTAGGAGTTGGCGGTGTTGGAAACGCGGTCGCTCAAGTTGTTGGACATGTTGAAGAGTAGTTGGTTTTTTTTTTTTTTGTGTGTAGAGTAGTGGTTGTAAGAGTTTTGTTGTTGTTGATGATGTTGATGAAGAGTGATTGGTGGGTCAGAGAGGCCTTTTTATACCTTTTGACGGGGTCGGTAACAAGCCCTATCCTGGAAATGATCCCCTGTTGAAAATCTATAAATCAAAATGATCATAGTGAGATCATAAATTTTAATTTTTTCATGTAATGGAGCACGGGTCATGTTACTTACTATTTTCGTCACTATTTCCTCACAGGAGTGGACGACCTATTCTGGTGTGATGTAATACAATATGGAAATTGCGTGCAAAAGTAAGGAAAGTGAACCATTTGCACATGCTTGATATGCTTGGTCTAACCTGTTGTGGATTTTCCTTTCTAATGAACAAATGAACAAATGAACAATGATAATCCTTTGTCGTTTGGAAAAACAGAAAGACGGTAATGACTTTGCATAATTTGTATATTCAATCTTTTTTACAATCAATCAAGCGAATAGGGGCACCATTCCACCTCTCACTTGACAAAACTGCCGTTTTTTTTTTTTTTTTTTTTTTTTTTTTGCATATATTTTAACGACTATCACAATGAACGCTTTTTTAATTTCTACAAAGATGGCTAGAGCGATATATCTATGCTTGATTAAGGAACAAGCGATTGGAATCATCTCCAGTTTAAGAGAAACAATGAATATGTATATATGTATATTGTGAGGACAGTTTATTCCACATTCCAAGCAAACTAAGCTACTTGATACTATCGTTTTTCGTTTGTTTCATTAGCACTTGCTTTATACCATCATTATTTTTTCCATTCATGATGCATTGCAGACAATTTCACATATTCAGCATTTGATGGAAAAAAAAAAAAAAATAGAGTACAAGAGAGTTTTATTATTTACAAATAACTTGTAGCGGTTGTTATTTTTTTTTTTTTTTTTTTATGTATATAATTTAGACATTGCGCTCGAGGGTGCCCTGGGTCTCGTTGGCATGTCCACGGGCCTGTTGGGAGGTGTTTCCGGTGAGGGATCCGACAGTCTGTTGAACCTTGCCCTGGGCAGTGTGGCCGATGCCCTCAGCGTGGGTCTTGGCATCAGCGGCAGCCTGACGGGCCTCAGCTTCAGACTTCTGCTGAGCTCCAGAGGCAGCGAGGTTGTTGTTGCCGAGGGTCTCGCCGATGGTCTGCTTGGCTCCTCCGACATAGGAGTTGGCGGTGTTTGAAACGCGGTCGCTCAAGTTGTTAGACATGTTGAAAGTGTTTTTTTTTTTTTTTGGGAGGGTAGTTGCTTAAGAGATTGCTGATTGAAACAATTGTGGACAGACTAGGCCTTTTTATATCTTTTTTTTTTTTTTTTTTTTTTTTTTTTTCGTGTGAACATTTTGGGTGTCTTTGTCTTTGTCTTAGTAGAGTAGTGAAGTTTGGCATATGACGAAGCTCGTAGAGCGCGTCTCGAGTATCTGGCTGTATTATAATAATCATAGTGAGATCATTGAGAACAAAGGAGCTGGGATCTTTTTTTCATTACATCACTTCCAATACTAAATTTAGAAGGCGCGTAATATCCCTATCCCTCCTGATTTGTCGCTGTACCCTAGAACACTGTCTTAGTGTTTAGTGTTTAGTATACGTGTACGCGTCAGTCCGTTTCGTTTGGTCCATTAAATATGATTGGTGACTGATTTTAACATTTCACCGCTTATGGTAAGCTTGCGACAAGCAAAGTCGTTGGTTCCCAGTACATTGAGTGGTTATTCAAAAATTACATGAATTACTGAGACGCCTTTGTATCTGGATGTCTCTGAATGAGGCACACTGTGCAAAGTCCGCATCGCCTAAAATGACGCCATGAAGCGAGCGACTCTCTATGTTGGTGATGCATGTTATTCAAGATATAACTGGGCTGGGTTGAGCGAAGGCAGTACGAGGTTTTCAGAGCAACGTGGAGCTCTTGGCAAGTAATCTCCTCGCCTGGTCGTATTTGAAAAGTCGCCTAGGCAGATTGTATATACCAATAGCGTTATATAATTTTCGAGTCACTTGTCTGCTCTGGGTTTACTGTACTCTGGCTTCTTTCATTAACGAAGTATTAAGGATCATAATAAAAGCATTGTTTCGTCTTCCGTCTAATAATTACATGATCCTATACATATTTCAGGCATCCAGTTTAGAACAAATGCCAGTTAAGTGAATCATCGCCAAGACCTATCGGCAAAAAAAGCTTTCATACTCTAGAGAATACTATTGACAATGTCAATACCACCAGGTTGAACGATCAAAGGCTAACGATTCGGATACAATCTGTGTATTGAATGCAGATTCGTACATATCAATCTATGCAGGATCAAGCGCAAGATGGTATTGAGGATGGAGTGGGAAAATGTGATACATATGAAGGTGATGATACAGTCGGAGCCTCTTGTAAGTGGTTCATTGTGTTTTATTCAACGTCAACCATGCATTGAGTAGTAAAATAACGCTAGAATGATAAACTGAACTGTGTCCGATGTGGAGACAAATGGTCTCATGTGTATTATACTGTCGTATCACTTTTATGGCACATCATTAATAAACAATGATATCTTTAATTAGAATACCCCTCATTCGCCTTGTACCTTCAAAAAAAGGCGCGAATCCATTGAATGTTCACTCACTTGATTTCAGGCTTAGTATAATCGACATTGGGCAAACAATCGACTATGTATGATATTGAACCTCCATGTATTAATATATATTTTCACATCGAAACTGTTCAACCAGACAATTCAAACAACGAATGAGATTTCTCGCCGTCCCTATTTCGCGCTCGCGTGATGGAGAAATAGTCCTACACTGCCTAACGGGTTTCAACAACTTTATAAAAAAAAGTAAAACTAAAAAGTAAAAAATAAAGCAGTTCACCATGGGTTGCAAAAAAGCGAGCTGAGGAGGATTGAGCAGTCTTATTTTTTGTGATACAAAGTTGCAAGACGAGTTCTTCCAAAAGAAGTAATCGATCAGAAACGCGTTGGCCAGTCACGAACCAAAAAAAAAAAAAAAAAAAAATGCATCGCCCACTCGCATTCACCAGTAAAAAAAAAAAAACCATCACCAACCAACCAGCCAACCAAATCAACATTAGGAGCGCCAGCCCCATTTTGTTCAATTAGAATACCTTAAAAGAAAAAAAAAAAAAAAAAAAAAAAGAAAGCATGGCTGTAAGGAGAAGAAAAGGAAAAAAAAAAAACGATTTTTCAAGCATTGTCTCTAATGAAGGCTACACTTGTTGATCTTATTTAGATCTTTTTTTTTTTTTTTTTTTTTTTTCTAAAATAGGATGAGGTGAAACCAAGAGAGAAATCTCGGTACCGGTATCAAACCGAGATTCAACAAATGATGTTCGTCTTTGGAGAAGTTTCGGATGCAATTCAAGAAACCACTATGCTTGTGGAGGACATTGTCCGTTCACAAGTTATTGAGATTGTAAGATATTAAGGCTAAAAAAAAAAAAAAAAAATCCGTTACTTGGAATCTTATGAACTTGCACACAGAAAACTCATTTTTTTTTTTTTTTTTTTTTTTTAATTCTTCCTAAAAAAGATATGTTTAGCAGCACAACAAGCACGGAAACGTGGATCCAGGTTCATGTCAGCAGAAGATTTAATATTTTTAATCCGACACGATCGTCCCAAAGTCAATCGTTTAAGGACATATCTCTCATGGAAGGATGTTCGGAAAAATGTGAAGGATTCTTCAGATGGAACAGGAGGCGCTGGAGCAGATGATGTAGTGGGAGTGGAAGATGCTGCAGATGTGAAGGGTGGAGCAGGCGATGGTGGACCTGGAGGTAAAAAAGGCGTAGATCCTGCTGGAGCGGTCGTACCTGGCAATAAGGCTAGGAGAATGCGTGTCAAATTGAGCTGGGAGCTGCTGAATGCATTTGCAGACGCTATGGTGGGGACTGGAGAGGAGGAGGAGGAGGATGATGATGATGAAGATGCATACTTGGATTCAATGCAGAGACTGAGGGTGAGTTGATTCTTCGATCTTTTTATTTTTATTTTTATTTTTTTATTCTTTTTTTAACGACTTGTTCTATTCTTATTAAGGATGCGGATAGAGTAACATTTGCAATGACAAGAGAGGAGTACGAACACTATAGTGAATGTCGACAGGCTTCATTCACTTATCGCAAAGCCAAACGATTCCGGGAATGGGCCAACATGTCGGCTTACATCGATATGAAACCTAACGACGATATCATCGATATCCTTGGATTTCTGACCTTTGAAATGGTTACTACCCTCACAGAAACTGCCCTCAAAGTCAAGAGGGAAGAGGATGAAAAACAGAGGCTTTATCGTGAAGCTGTCGTTGCAGCCAAATCCAAGAGTAATCAGCAGGATAGTAGCAATGGTAATAGTAATGGCAATGGCGGTGGTGGCGGCAATGGTACGAATAATAGCAATGGGGGAGCTGGAGGAAGCCATGATGAAAACAGCAATAGTGGTAGCAACAACGGAGGGGTTAATGGCAACAATGGCAACAGTGGAGGCGATGACAATATAGGAGGTGAGGATATGGATTTAGATGATGACATGCCAGGATTGTTCTCATTACCACCAAGCGAACAGAGCCCATTGCAGCCACGACATATTCGAGAGGCATTCCGGAGACTTCAAAGAGCTCCTATGCCAATCAAAAATTATCATGGAGGTTTAGCAAGGACAAAAGTCTCTTTGATTTAGAATAAAAAGCATTTGAGGTCCCACTGTCAATCTTTTTGATGTATTAAGTATCATGTCTTCAGTTCAACGACATAATAGAAAAGAGTCTAGTCGTCATAAGCTTTTTTTTTTTTTTTTTTTTTTTTTTTTTTTTTTTCAACATTGCCTTCCTATCCTCTCTTAGCTCTTGAGAGCTTCCAAACGTCGCTGCATATCGTCTAATGCTGGCTCCTCCTCCTCTTCTTCCAATCCTACAGTTGGCAGTTTTCCTGCTGCCAATGGTGCTTCGCCCAACAGACCTATAATTTTTTTAAAAAAAAAAAAAACTCTTAGTATCATCTCACTACAGACAGGTCTTACAATATTAACACCATCTTATAAAAAAATTGAATAATAAAAGCTCCCCTACCATCTGTAATCTGGAATAAGACTTTGTTGACTTCCTCCTCTGCTTCTTCTTCAACTTCTTCGTCATCCAATGATTCCATGGTTTCCTCCAGCATTTCATCAATAATTCCAGCCTAAATGGTAGCATACAGTTGTATTTTAGCAAAAAAAAAAAAAAAAAAAAAAAAACAACAAAGATAGAGTTAGAATATTATTGGTAATAGATACTCTTATCTCCTTTTTTCTTTACCTTCATCATCTCCTTGGTCATTTCTCGCATTGTAATTGAAATCTCTGGTAATTTAACAAGACTGTTGACCAAGCCCATGACTTCAGAACTCTTTTGCAAAGTGCCAGCAATTTTTAATGTGGCTACAGTAAATAGATAAATGATTACAAAAGTTAAACGACTTGTCAATATTCTTTATATCTCTCCTTTCTGATCCTCTGCTTGTTCTTCATTTCATTTCATTTTATATATATATATATATATATTTTTTTTTTTACCAAGCTGATGCTGCAGTTGCATGGATATTGAGTTCAATTGAGCCTTGCTAGTGACAATGCGATCCTTCTGTCGTCGAGAACGGACAAGCTCTTTTGCCAAGATTTTGCAGGTTCTAATATCGCCCTTCTTTGCCATTTGTTTGATCATAAGCTTGGCCTTGTTTTCTTCAACCTCGATCCCACGTTTTTGACGATCCAACGCTCGCTGTTGAGCATTGATATCGCGTCGCCACTTTCTTACCTAGTTATATATATATTCATATTCATGTGTCCAAACAAAAAAGAGTAGTCAATAACAGAAAAGAGCTTGCCAGATTGTTTTTTTTTTTTTTTTTTTTTATATCTTACCATTTCCTCAGGAGTTTGTTTGCCAAAGAACCGTTGCACAGATTCGACAGAGGATTTCAAGACTGATGCCATGATTAATTATTATTTTCTCAGATGAACAATTTAAAGAATTTATACGAGAATGAATGAGGAATATAAAATGAAAGAGAAATGAAGAGAGAGCGAACGTGTATGTATCTGAAGTGATGTCACTTTTTACTGGTTGTTGAGAGCACGATGACACAGAGGAGAACTAACAGGTACCACAGAAAAACTGTAAGTCAACTCTCTCTTGGCTTTTTCTTTTTTTTTTTTTTTTTTTTTTTTGGTGGCACAGTCTTCTGATATTACAAAAAAACAACAGCCCAACTTTCATTTAACAACGTGGCTGCTTTTTTTTTTTTTTTTTTACAAAATCCCTTCCTCTCGTTCTTTAGTCCGTCAACGAGCTCGGCGTGATCTCTAGGAAGAATCATAACAAACCTATCGCTCGTTGTAATTACAGTTTATTTAATCATTGGACATGGAATTTGGTCGTGATTCATTGATTTGATATTCATTTTACTGAATAGCGGATGACTATGTTGATATAAGGGATCGTCTTCAGAGCATGGCTCCATTAATCCTTCGAATAGCCTTTACACGGCTTTAATTGGACGAATATGGAGAAGAACTATTCGTCATCGATCTAGAGAAAGAAAAATATATCGGGGCCTGAGACGTGAAGCTTGGAAAAAAGAAAGGTTGGTCCACATTGTTATTGTTAAGAGAGCTGCCGTGAACATATAACGGTATATATATCTATCTATCTCTTTCCTTCCAACCAACTACTTTCCATATTGTCAACTAGCGATGGTGATAAAAAAGCGATAGATGGATGGAACATATGGCCAATTGGATAACAGAAGTCGCTTGAACGGTTCCGTTCAGGACTTTGCTTTTACAACCCTTGTCCGCGATCGATTGGGTTTAAGGTAGAAGACATTGATCAAGTACACTAGAGAGCTCTCAAATTTAGTGCTTTCTGGATATTATCACAAAATCACTTGAGCTTTAGTATTCAGACTATGACACTTTTCGGCTTTGCCTATCTTTTTCAAGCAACCTTTTTGTACAACTAGCTCGTGTCTAGGCTCAAATGACGCGTGAGGAGGGTAAAGGAGGAAGGTTCATCCCAGCTTGAGCAATGCACAATTGCTCACAAACTTGATCTTTTTCTAAGTAATGCACACCACAGGGAATGGTCCTCAAAAATGAGACCCCCAGCAGTTCAGCTTGAGAGAGAATCTAGGCTGGTTACGAGCCTACAGTAGGACGTTGCGTTTGACAGACACTTAAGGGAGGATGTTTTGTTCCGCCGTAGTATTGCCGACATAGGGGATGGCGAGAGTTGTGGAGCTTTTTGTAAGGTGCTTGAGTTGGATGGAAGTGATTCTTGACCAGGACGAGGATCTTACAAACTTTCTGTATGAAATCAACATTGTCACTAAAAAAAAAAAAAAAAAAAAAAAAGAACGCGTATGCACAGACCATATCTCATGTTTCTCAACACTCATGGCACAGAAATATTCTACGCCTTCAAGTGCCCAATCAATTGTATCATGCACGTGCATCAATGGTTGAAGAAACCCATCATTGAAGCCCGGTTATATCATGAAGGCCATGGACAACGTTTGAGGGAACACATCATTGAGATCTAGTCATTATTGGAGGCTATAAAACACTTTATTCAAAGCCCGTGGTTTTCCTATAATGTCTTGTGCCATGATCGCAATGTTACTTAGCACATAATCACGAATTCGTATGGCTTTAGTAAATAAACTAGACACCTACGATTTTAGTATAGATTGAATTAGCCGAATTGCGCGAGATGCCGACAATGGTCCGCTCCATATGAATGATATAACGTTGAGCGGAATCATCTCCACGTTGTCATTGCCTAGGCTATGAAACATATATATCAAAATTGAGATGGTCGTAGCCATCTTCATCCTATAAAGCTTCGTCTCAGACCAAGACCAAATATTAGTCGTCTAATCAAAATTATGAAACCAACAAAATTAACAAAACGGTTCCTCTCTCCGCCTGCATCTGTGGGGCACCAGATGATTGACAGTCATAACCAGGCGCAGAGGGTTCCTGGATAACGGCTGAAAGGCATCCACCCGTATGAATGAATAACCAAAATAGCTGCCATCCCACTCTCACAGTCACGCTAGAGGTATCAAACAAGGATTAATATAAAAGACGTAGGCAATAAACACGAATTTGCGATACTTTGTCATCGGTCTCATGCTTGCTCGCTGTGAGTAATCAAGCTATTCAATTAGTAATGAGCTACAAACGAATGATACTATGGATTGAAATAAACGATGTAATAGGATCGTTACAGACCTCTCTGTATGAGCAAGCCACATTTACCTTGCAACACGTGCATGTGCAATCAGCATTCCTTATTATCCAGCCAGGATACCTGATGGCAAGCTTTTTTTTTTTTTTTTTTTAATTTTTTTTATACACGACATTTAATGCGACCACAATATGAATTCAAGAGGCTGACGAAGGAGGATAGCGTTCACACTCAGTTTCCGGCCGAAGCAGTGCTGCTTGGCTGACCCTGCGCAGTGTCACTGCCTGCTCTCCATGAGCACAGAATAAAGATCTGTTGCATCCGCTGGTTTACATGCTCTTCAGGTCCTCACTTGGTGCCTCTATGCATCTTAATAACATAGACATCTGCAGGAAATAGAATAAAAGCTTAGTAACAAAGCTTTTCATGCCTTGGCTGTGGATAGAGCTGCTGAAGAGCCCTCTGCTTCGCTTTCACACAGCCTTAGCATACACCTAAACAAACACAATAAACAAATGGGTCCTAGTATACCGATCTTTGGGATAAAGCGCAGACCATAGCAACTAGAAGTTGAGTAAAAAGAAAATAAAAAAAATAAAAATAAAAATACGGTAGTTGGCGACCTTGAGTATTTTATTTTTGACTTGAGGCTTTCCTATGCTCTATATCCAATGTCCCATGTCATTTGTCCTGATGTCATTTGAGCCATATCCTGTGCACTATGCTTAGAAAAGAGTACTCCAGACGACGTAGACGTAGCATCAGCCGTTGTTGCAGAGTCGCTCATCTACTCGTTGAATCCTGCTCAAATGAATTATTTAACGAACAATAGTCAACCAAAATCTTTATGTCTTCAAAGCGGCTCATCATTCGCTTCTGTATTCGAAAAAAAAAGATGACTGTGAGGAGGCTTTGTTCTAAGAGATGAAAGAAAAGTGTACATCAGCAAGACGAGCCAATGTTTTGTTGAATAAAAAGATTTTTTTTTTTAAAAAAAAAAAAAAAAAAATAAAGAAATAATTATTACCAAAAGTTGTAAAGAGTGTCAGACTCTTCGCCTGTCTGCAGATAAGCAAACAGCCCAGGACGCACCACGAGGAGGTGGTCTGACTATTGCGTCCCGCTAGTCCCGCAACTCTCTGACAGTCCTACGACCAATCGTCATCGAGTACAAACATTGAGGAGCCTTGTTGAAGCGCTGGGGCAACGTTTTCGCCTGATTCGCACCTGTGGTGGGCCAGAACTACTTGCTGATGCAACGCCGCGGGCAGACGCACCAGGAACTTAAAAAGCGACTGAGTGAGGTGCAAGCTTGGTGGGGGAAAAGAGAGGTATTTATACATCTGGTGACTTTTTTATTCATGCGAAACTAAGGAACTTGACAATGGGACTCTTGTTGTCAACAGTGCAAGGCTTTTGGCAAAAAAAGAAAAAGAACGGTAACAACATTAAAGAAGGAAATCGCCAAACCGTCGTTCGTCAAATAAGGTTTGCTTTTATTTGTTGGACGTGTCCCTGAAACCAATTTGTGATTTCAAAGAATTGACTGAATAACAAACACATATTCGGCATTTTGCTTTTTTTTGCGCCTTATTCAAGAAGAAGATTAAATAAGCTGCGCACCTGTGATATCATTCGTTAATTTTCATATGCTCGCAAAGTGGAGAAAGAAAAAACTCCCACGGGTGAAGGTGAGAATAGCATTAATAACATTCTATCCTCAAAGATATGCAGGGTCATACATACAACAGCCTCCCTTTCCACAACAAGAGCACGAGCCACATTGCTCTCTTTGTATAGTGTACAACAAAGAAAGAAAGAAAAACGGTGCTGCAGCTGGAGTAAAAGGACGAGGTTCGGAGACAGGCTTGTTAGAAACTCGCATACTCCGTTTTTCATCAGCATTAAGCTCAAGTACCTTTTGGCTCTTAGTAATAGGGCCCACCGGGCACTTACCAGCCAAGTTAGCCATTTGACTCTCTTCTCCCATCCTCTCTTCATCCCTAACAAGGAATAGGATAGACTATTCGTGGGAATTGTACTGCGGCAGTTTTTGTCCGAACAGACTTTTTACAAATAAGCGTTGATACTTTGTTTCCTCATTTTCATTTGAAATGTGACAGATGACATCAAAGACACGTCTATTTTTTTATTGTTGTTGATATTTTATTGGTCGCTCTTGAGCGTACAGCAAGCAAGGTACTTGGTATACCGCGCCTTGGAATCCGATCACTACTGTTCATTCTCTTCTTCTTTCACCTACATAAAAAATTAAAGCAAATAAAAAAAAAAAAGTCCAATTTTGACTCTCTCCTCAGTCCTCAAACAGCCACTCCTACTGAAGTTCACAGCTTTCCCAGTCTATGCTTCATTGTTCTTATTTTGGCCCTTCTTTTTTTTCTGTCTACTTCTCTCTCTATTCATGCTACCCTTAGACTACAAACCGCACAAACCCTGGACAGCTGCAGAACAAAGCTAGGGAACGCTCCGAACAACCTAGCAGCACAAAGCGAACCAGAATAAAAAAAAGAGGTTAATCAGGAAGAAGCACGGCCTATCCAAGCACCCTCGTCGCCGACTAGAATTTTCGGTGTTTGTATGAACTGATCTAAGAGCCAAGTGCAAAAAGAAAAAAAAAAAAAAAAACTATTTTATAAAGAAAAACAAAGCTTCACGAATCTTCACAGCAGAAAGAAGCTCGCTTGCCCAGGCTTTTATTTTCATTGACTCTATTGAATTGTGAATTGCTGTCGCGTTCTTTTTGAGAGCATCAGCCAATGTACCTTTTTCGCGAATATTAAACTTTTTGCCAAAGGCTTCCCAAAGTTCGGGCCATGCTAGGGGCCATTTTGAAAGAAGAAAGCGCTCTCGCTCGAGGCATGTAAGACTTTGAGGGGTTCATGTGGAAGGTGATGGTGGCGATCAGAAGAAACATGCATGTCCTCACAATGCTGCAAGCAAGACTGACATGTATACAAATACATATTACTTTTATGTATTTTTTAATAGTATCGAATGAATAGGTGGGGATAAACATTGTTTTGCTTGCGGACCATATATTAAATCATGCGCGGTTTGGCTGGAGTATCTAATGCTAATCTAGTTCTTAACATAACCAATGGGCTTTTTTTTTTTTTTTTTTTACTGTTTTGCCAGGAGCATAGCTGGCTCACCATCTGAGAAACCCTTCCTCCAATGTCATATTCCTGACGCTATTGAATGCTGGTTGCATTTACTTGGCTTCTACCTTGCTCCTTTGGGCGAACCAAACAGTTATAGTAAGCAGCTAGCTGCGTTATATGGAAGCAATATTATACATCAAGATTTCGAGATTAGTTGCCGTTATGGACCATAGCATAGCCAAGTATGCCTTGATCCACAGCTGGTAAATTGTCAGTAAAATCGAATCCCAGCCAGACCTTTAATCGATGAAAGACTAATAGGGGGGGGGCAGAGGGAGCAGAGAAACGCTCGATATCGGTATCGCCATATCTAAGACAACCTCATGGTTAATTCTGTTGCGCTACAGCTTAGTGCAGCCTTTAAAACGGTGCTGCTGTACTCTACAAAACTGTAAGACCGATTAGCTTTCTGATAAGCCGCCTGAAACTCGCGTCAACGAGGCATTTCCAGACGCGGGAGGATGTGTGCGCGACAACCTCATGTCTATTCAAGTACGGACATACTTTGAAATATTCTCTTTATTTTTATTTTTATTTTATTTTTTTTAAAGTCTATGGTCATGACAATTAGTTTTCAAGTCCCTCCACTCAGTTTTCTTGCAATGATATTCTGGCTAGCGACAGTCGTCACAGCGGTTTGTCCTTCTTGGATTTCTAGGATCAAACCCCTAGAACAAAACTCAATTCACGCAAGGATTGTTTCTAATCACCTTGAGGATGATATTGTCAAAGTGATGAGCTTGAGTTTCATATAGCAACGTCCCAAAGCGCAAGAAAAAAAAAAAAAAAAAAAAAAAAACATAAAGATATAAAAGAAACAAACCATCACCACCATGTAAAGGCGATTGATTTCACTTTATTATACTTTACAAGATGTCGAAGGATGACAAATGAGGTTACAATCATATTAAAGAGATAAACAAACAAAGAGAAAACAAGAGAACAGGGAAAAAAAATAGGCAATGAAAGGTAAAATTAAGGATGAGATGAGAAAAAAAAAAAAAAAAAAAAAAAAAAAAAGGGTATATCTAATGAGAACGGGAAAATAATGGTGATGTGGAGGAAACAGAGAATGGGCCAAACGGATTAGAAAGCGACAGATAGCTAGCTAACAAACAGAAAGGGGCACCATTTACAGCCCGCTACTACCATTCGACCCTCCCATCGAATTCATAAAGTTGTTAAAACCCAGCATGCCCGTACCCAGAATGGACCCATTGGTTAAAGTTGGATTTTGTATCGCTAATGAGCCTATCCCGGAAGATTGTAGCTGAGCCTGGGCCTGAGGCTGAAGTTGCTGAGAAAGTGCATTCGGTTGGAGTCCTCCGAACCCTAGTAGTGATTGCTGTTGTTGAGCAAGCGGCTGTTGCGACTGCAACTGCAACTGGGACTGCGATGCTCCTCCAATCTGGCCCACTGAACTTGGACCCATCAGACTATTCGATGCTGCTGCAGTTCCCATGATTCGCATTGCAATCTGGTGAGGGGGTTCTACACGACCATTCATCTTCAAACTGAGCACTTGCAACGCCAGCGCCATCAAGTCGCGATCGCCTTTACTTTCCTCATACTCAAACAACACACCCACATCATCATCCAGTATTCCACTGCTCTGTACAGTCGATGGTCCTCCAAAAAGCTGGGACATAGTCCTAACAAGGTCACTACTATTTGCATCATCCTTTCCAAGTCCAAGGCCCGGAACTATCAGCCCTGGATTAGATACAGATGTCAATGCACTCAGTTGATTTTGTGCCTTGACTATGACTGTTCCAGGGAAGCTCCTTGGTGGCAAGCGACAGATCACTGTTTCCGGTCCATAATATTGTACGTTTAATGCGGGGACGCCATCAAACGTCGGCACTATTCCAGGATAAAATCCACTGCCCAGGAGAGTAATTTCGGTATCCCCCTCCACAGATCCACGTGAAGGAATTACTTTTTGGACACGTGGTCTCTGACGAGCCAAAATAGCTTGTTTTTGTTGCTGCTGAAGTTGCTGTTGGTGACGCTGTAGCTGTTGTTGCTGCTGTTGCTGAAATAGCGCATATTGTGCAGCAGCGGCAGCAGCAGCAGCAGAAGCTGACAGTGGCGCTGCTGGTGCTGCTGGTGCTGCTGATGCCGGCGACGGTGATCGTGGGGTGTCTACTGGGGTTTTTGGTGAAAGGACCGGTGAGTTGGCTTCGGACGTGGGGAGCGTAGCTGTAGACTTTCGCGGGCGACCTCTCTTCTTTGGCGCTAGCGATGATTCTATCGAAGTGGCAGTAATGGGTGTCGTTGAGGATAGTGCCCCGTTCGCATCATCGTCTGTTGTTGTTGCGTCCTTCTTGTTATCCTCGGATGATGAAGTCGAGGAAGGGATGAATGCGCTTGACAATGGATCGGTAGTTTGGGACATGGCAATACGCATATTCAAGTAAGGGTCCGCATTGTTGCCTTTGGGGATAGTCCAGGGGACCGGCTTCGTTTCCATTTGTCGCTGGCTCTGCTGTTGAATGCCTTGCTGAAGTTGCAACAAAATCTGCTGTTGCTTCTGTTGAAGTAGACTCTGACGTTTGAAGTTTTGGAATTCTTGCATCTGCGAAGCATCCAAGAAACTTGATGACATTCCAGGGGCTGTAGTGCGACTTTGCGTTGAACTTGTTTGTAATGTACTGCCAAATGCAGAACTGAACATCCCAGAATTAAAAGGGTTGGACCCAGTACTTGACACTGCAGGTGTTGTTATAGGTCCTTGTGAATAATCTGACACAGGAACAGATGTTGACGCTTGTGTGACGGATGCTTGGCTTGTGTTAGAGAGTGATGTGGGCTCATGAGATTGTCCTGTCTTTCCTGCAGATGTGCTACCGTTGGACAATGTTGATGTTGGGAATGATTCTGGTGGAGATGACATGGACTCATCAAGTGTCGTGAATTCCATCATCGATGAATCATGCTCACCCGAATCTTTCGATTGACGACGAGGGATAGAGCCGATGGTCCGGTGCAAGTACATATCAATATTTCTCTGATCCAGAAAACTGTCTTGACCCAATGCTTGTGAGAACGAAGGTGTGAACACATTGTCCTGCTCTTCTTTTGCGAACGGTGAACCTGGCATAAATGGCGATTGTGAAGAGAGCATCGTAGTTGATGCAAAACCGAGTCCTGAGGATGAGAAAAGGGATGAGGGTTCGGTCGTGGATGTGACATCGTGACTTGTTTTCCGGCGAAATGGACCACGTAAGCCATCTGAGTGTGAAGATAATTGAACATCTTCCATCATATTCTCATCTACCCGCCGCTTCGCGCCTGCTCCGCCAATTGTGGAAGCCAGTGGAGTCAATATGTCGCCCGACAGAATCTCGGAATCTTCAAATTTCGAGTTCTGCTCTGGGAAGTCGTGAGCAGGTATATGATGACCGGCCTCGAGGTCGATCTCTTCAGGCCCCTTTAGAGCATCTTCCTCCTCCTCATCCATATCCTCTTGGTCGTCATCTTCCTCTCCGTCCTGATGTTGCAGTCCCTGGTCCAGGCTATCTTGCTTGTTTGAGACATCTTGGGGTTTTGATATACTCTTTGCTCCTAGTTTAGACTTTTTCACTCCGTTTGTTGTACTTGCAACACCTAAACCCTTTGACTGAGCAATTGAGTTCCTCTTTCCGGATTTATGATCATCCATCATCATGACTGGGTTGGTCAAAACGGTGGCTAATGTTACACCAGCCGAATCCTTAGCAGTAAATTGGATTCTAAATGAAACCATGTGTACACAAATTGACAAGAAAAGCATGATGAGCATGTGTATAATTAATTTTGTTTTTTTTTGTGATTTCAGCTGAAAAATCGCTAACGGTCCCTTGTGATTGTTTGCCAAGCCAAGCTATGCGATGCCCATGCCGATGTCCATGCCGAAACAAAAGATTTCTGCTCATATTAAATGGAACTTTACATGCACCACGGGGTTTCGCTCTTTCCCCCTGTTTGTCCCTTCCCCTATCTTGCAATTTAAGCATTCCCTGAACGATGACAATGTCCATGACAAACACAAAATAGGGACACAATTCTCGGGAAAGGCCGCTGTGCCAAACAAAATTAAGGTTGATTGCATGGTGGCGCAAACTGGCCTCAAAAATTATGATCTATATTCAGCAAAGACTTACCGAAATCCAACTTTTTCATTATGGTGTCGGCAGTAGCAGGTGATGCGTGTAGGTAAGAGACATTCGCCTAACGAGATATCGACGTATTCTGTGCTGCTGAAAACCATAATGCGGTTGCGCTCCCATTGCTGATATTCAATTGGATCAGTAGGCGTGGGTGGATTGGCTTCATTATCAAGCGATGCCGCGCTGTTCTTGGAATTGACGGAACCGAAAATGGGTATGGATGAAAGAGGTCCTGGTAACTTTTGCGACTCTTTCCGGCGATGGGCCCGCTTGCGCTCTCTTCCAATGCAATTATCACAGCATTCCAAGATTTTTGTCCTGTCATGGTCACACACTAATTTGGCATCTAAAGTCAAGATTTCTGAATCTTGAACATGCTTGCTCCGACCTGAATGATCAAAGCATAAGGAAAACAACAATAAGAGTTAGCACGTTATCCCTTTGGGTAATGTAATCATTACAAATGGCAATGATATTCAGGTTCTAAAGTAAACTATATAAAAAAAAAATAAAAAAAAGAGATCAGAAACATATTCCCAGTACCATTGAACTTTTCCATGCGATGTTTTTCTTTAGCGATCAAGGGTCGAGGTAATCGAAGTTGTTTCCAGTCCTTGACAATCTCTCCATGGGCATCCTTTAACCGGAGTGTAATCTTGAGCTGCGTTTCCACTCTGCACTTGCCGTTCTCGGCAGGAATGCCCGAGATTTCAATCTGAAGGCTGCTTGGACAAGGTAAAGAAAGAAAAAATAAAGATTAATGCCAGCAATAATGAATAAAAAGAAGCAATGAGAAAAAAATAAAAATATATATATATATCCACGACCGATTAATATGCTTAGTGGAGAACGATGTAATCTATGACAACTTGACAGTTCAAGTTGTCGGAATCCGATTCCTTTCCTTCATGATTCAGGTTGTAATGTAGAGTAGCGGAGGTTTTGTTCCATTTGAAATACTGTTCATCCAGGTCTGGTTTCAATGATGTCTCTTTTTCATTATTATTAAAAAAGCCTAACCACTGACTCGGAGGTTGCTGGTTACTGGTAATAAACATCTGTGCTCTTTTTATTTTATTGATGTCTGCACTGCACTGCATCTACTTTTGCTTCCTTGGGGGTCTTTGAGCCACACAAAAAAAAAAAAAAAAAAAAAAAGAAATAAAAGAAAAAAAAAAAAGAGTTGACGAAGTATGAGCAGTCAGTAGACTTACCCTTCCTGAGCAGTCATTGGCACAGAGTAGAAAAGCAAAGCCGTTTATTCGGGGATGAATGAAGGAGAGGATGAATCGATGGATGAATAATGAATGTATAAATGGAAACGCCGTGTTGATTGTGAATGTACTTTAGAACTGCACGAATAAAAGGTAATTATGAATGAATTCAATAAAAGGAAAAAATAAAAATAAAAATAAAATAAAAAATAAAAGTAGCTGATGAGGTGAATAAAAAGCCGAGTCCTTTGAGGAGAACGAAGAAAAGAGGCTTGGCAAGGCTTGACTAGAAAAAAGAAAATGATCTTGAGAGGAAAGAAATCAAAAATCAAAAATCAAAAAATAAATAAAATAAAAAACTAAAACGAAAAGAGAAGAGAAAAGAAAGAGAAGAAGGAACAAGGAAAGCAAGGGTGGGTCCTGTACATGGTGAATGCAAGTTTTTTTGTTTTTTGCCCACGCTTGTAATACTTTGATAATCAAGTAACAGTAATTATTTCGATACTTCCTTACTGTAACTTTAACCCTTGTGTATGTTACCGCTTGTCTTTATATTTGTCTTTGACTCCATCACTGCTTCCATTGCTTTTACTGTCGTTATCGCACCACATCATAAAAAGCCTTGTATCATATTTTCATTGATGGTTATCACGTAGCAACTATAAATGATATGCATACCTCTTTTTTTTTTTTTGCAGGTGCAAAGTGCTCTTAATCCCCGTTGGGTTTATGATGAACAACAGGGTTCACAACGGTAAAGTTAGTTGTGGAGAGAGTAAGATTTTTTTTTTTGTCTCTCCTAGTCAATCCAGAGCAGAGAGGTACTAATCACCAAAACACTAAATACTAAGGATTTCCCCCCCGACTTGACCCATTGCCGTATGCATGGGAAGTAATCTGGCCAATGATCACTGGCCAAATTTATTTCCTATTGCTCTAATGGCCTTGTCGTGACCTCTCCTTCGCTTATTCGTCTTTGTAGAGAAAAAGTCTTGTCATTCGCTGTGCATAACAATAGGGTAATAGGAGAGGCCTTCCTTTCCTTCCCATGCCTTGCCTTGGTATGGTTTTTTTTCCTTCTTTTTATTTTTCATGCAAGAATGTGTTTAGATAGAGACTTTTTCAGGACGTACAAAGCCCAACTAACGTTCCGAATCAATTTCAAGATTGTGTCCTTTTTTTTCTTCCATCTGACCTGATTCGTGCCTTGACCCAAATATGTATCAAGATAAAATGGCTTCAAAGAAAAACAAATACTGTGGACACAGACCACCTCTATCATAACGAGAACGTCAGATTAGGTGCAATTCACGATGGCATGTTATCTTTTTTTTCTTTCTTATTGCACTAGAACATACACACATGGTTGCACAAAGACAACAATTAGAAAAAAGTAACAATAATGAAATAAAAAGACAACAGGGCGTCGGCCTTGCAAAGGACAGGGCCAGGTCAAAATACAGACTTTTGCATTTTTCACAATAATTTTTCAAGTTCAGTTTTGTCTGATCGAATGGGGTTTTGTGTTGTGTACTGTACATGTACATGGGAGGAATGGATAAAATACAATCCGAAAGAGAAAACGAAAGAGTTGTTGTGTGCATGCACTGTTGCAAAGGTAAGCGACACTGCCATTGACAAGCTCGCCATTACTGCGCAAGGAATACAAATGAAGATAACGTCTTGCATGCTACAGGTTGAGTAATCTAAAGGGCCGCAAATTCTGTCGCTACATTGGGTGGAGGGATCAGTGCAACAGACGCGTTTTCTTTCTCCCTATCCGCGGAGCTTGTTCAAATGCACTACCGCATCCTCTATTTCTGCAATCTCCTTTTTTCAGTCAGAAACAGTCGACTTTATTTTCTTTTTTTGCACGTCTCTAGTACCCATTGGTCTAGTTTCTTGTCTCATTCATTCTCTTTTCTTCTACAAATCACTTTTCATATTCATGACCAATCTCCTTAAAAGTAAAACACACATATTCGACCAAACACATAGCAACCTTATCAAACAAGTATCGAAGATAGGTTTTTTATTCATTTTTTTTTTCTTTTAGGATATGGACATTATGGTATCGATGCCTTATATGATGCTACAGGAACCAGACCAGCTTTCTGTATCAATTTGGTAAACAATTTCCACTGCGGCATTTAGGCAAATCTTTGCTAGTACAGCCAAGCCAATTAGAATGAACATGGTGGATAACAGTCATCACTATTACGAAGAAAGTACGAGGATTGATGTTGAAAGGTATAGCATTGAGTACGATGCGAGTCCCTAGAATAAAAAGTTGAACTATAACTTGATAACAACTATCGGGACGTGCATAGATAGCTCCCATATCATCGGACCGGCTCCTTCCTATACAAAGGGTATAAACTACTACCGCAGATAAGAGAACCAAGCATCATGTCTATCTTATCAATGAACTTTTTTAGTACATTCAAAGCAAAAAGTAAAACGTGATGGAGAAACCAAGGCAGAGACGTTGATTCTCAACGCGGCATATAATTTTAATCACGCCATTTATATCTAACTTGGTAACAAACCAACTCTTTGCACCACACAATTACGAATTTCTTTTTTTTTTTTTTTTTTGTCTTCCTCATTGTTCACCATCTGCGGTCACTTGACTTGGGAAACCCACAACCACTATTAGATATTCATGGACATAAAATCAGGAGTTTTTGGTGGCTCGTGCATATTACGACGTTGCTCCTCAAAGCAGGGGAATTACACACTTTGTTTACTAAAATGCTACCCATTGGTTCGGTTCATCTTTCTTTTTAAAGATATTGATTCCAATACTTGAATACTTGCTCTCCTGGTTGTTGTTTTGATCCTGCATCAGTGTAAAAAGCTAAAGGGGGGGCTCTTTAAAATATCTTCTTTGTCATTCACTTCCTACAATGCTGTAAGTCTTCGTTGAATTTAGCCATCCTCATCAACCGTACATCTGAAGAAAACCCAATATCTCTCGCATCTTTTACAAGGCTACGAACCATTCAATTCTTGCTTGATAGATCTCTCTGCAATATATACAATATTTTCATTGTCGTTAGCCTTATATCTTTCCTTTTTTTCGTGCCTTAGGAGCCAGGGCCGATTCAGCCACACAGTATTCTGATTCACACCTTTGCGAAAAAAAAAGCCCTTTTTTTTCCCTTCATTCCTGGAGTATAGTCCTCCCACCTTATTCCCCCGTCAACAATGCAGAGAATAACGCAACAGTAGTATATATCATTTCCTCGATAACACCGATAATCTTTGGGTATCAAGAGCGAGCCCGTTGTAGTAGCTGTAATTGTAACTTTGAATAACTTTGATAAAGTATTTGTCGAAATAGAGGCCATCATTCTCTTGGTTACTATTGTTTTTACTTCATAAATTATCTATTTAATTATATTATTTATTTATTATCAATTGCTAATCAGGTATTTTAACTAATAAAGAAATTTATCAACGTCGGGGGGGTTTTTTTTTTTCCCTCTCCTCTTTCTTTTTTATTCGTTTTTATAGGCCTTGCAAGAACAAGAAGAATGGGATTATTTGATATGGATGTGAATATAAATGTGTGTGAGTATGCTGATGTTGATGTAGGTGTATAAAATGGTGTCGAGGACTGGAAGGGGAGGAAGGGAGTCGACCCTCTTCCTTTTACATGTAATGCGAGTTATCACGTCCACCAACTTGGCTCTTGTTTTCGTAGCCACCATAATCACGCACTGAATACCCATCTTGTCCCGGGTGTCCTTGGTGATAGTCTTGATCGTACTGTCCTTGCCCATAGTGGCCTTGGTCCATGTACTGCCCTCCGTACTGTCCACCATATCCTCCATGATGTCCATTGTATTGATCATAGTTATCGTATTGATTGTATCCATCATACTGTGGATCGTATCCTCCAACAGCACTGCCATTGCCATCCATGTATCCAGCGTTATCATAACCACCACGGGCGTGTCCAGCTACAGGGGTTGCGCTTGCAATAGGGGCAGGAGGCAAAGGAGGTGAGCTAGGATGATGGACAGAATTCTCCCACTTGTCTTCCATTGGCGCGAACTGACCGGTCTGACCAGGAAGCGAATCCAGATCCAAGGGTGAGCGACGGCGACGGCGACGCTTCATCATTACCACAGCGATCGTACCCGCAACCACGGCTATACCGATGATACCGCCAGCAATTCCAATTGTAAGCCCGTTGGATCCTGTAGAGGTCTGCTCCGCTGGTTTGTTTCCAGAGACTGAGTTGTCAGCTGAAGAGTTGGATTCATTGGCATTTGGAGGGGATGTGGAGTTGTTTCCGTCACCATTCCCATTACCGGGGTTGGATCCACTTCCGTTTGAAGGTTTGGGTTGATTAGATGGTCCGGTGGCAGAGGGTTGGTTTGGTTGTGTTGGTTGTGGTTCAGGGTTCGGGTTCGGGTTCGTTCCGCCCCCTCCTGTGACATCTGTCTGGGTACCAGGGGCGACAGTGCCGGTGTAGGGCTGTTTCCATTCCTGAATCGTCATTCCCCAAGCAATACATTGGGTCTGATACTTTTGAGGTGGAGGCGCCTTGGCCTGGTGATGACCTGCCAGCAATTCACATTTGGCACAGGTCCAGAGAACTTTTTGCATCACCTCTGTACAGAGACATTTGGAGTAAGCTTGTTGGAGGACATATTCGCCAACGATCTCAATATCTGCGGGAGTGAACGATCCACCACAGACTTGGATGGCATTCGCGAATGTTTGACAGTCTCCACAGAATCCAGGCTCAAGGGCTGCAAGGGCTCGACCACCGGAAGTTGAAGGCGAGAGCAAGGCCAGGAATGAATTGAGGATGACAAAAGAGCAGAGGACTGACCAGGTCAAGGAAGATGAGGATCGGGAGAGCGATGCAGAGGATGGTTTGTATGATGATGAATGCGAGGAAGATGCCTCTTGCTTGGCTGCACCGCGTGAAGAGAGCAAGCGCATGATTGCTGAAAGTAAGGTGTGTTTTTTTTTTTTTTTTTTTTTTTTTGCTATGCTGTTGCCGGTGTTTTATTCGTGTATCGTTATTCTGCTTGACGGGTAAAAAAAAAAAAAAACGAAGATCTTTCTGTCTGTGTCACGAGAATGTCGGAAGTAAAAAAAAAAAAAAAAAAAAAAGTTAATAAGGATTGTGAGCCAATGGTAAAATGGAGAAATGATATCACACGGTACGCGTGTAAGATATTGATAGAAATAGAATTGCACAGATGGAAGGGAGAGGCAATGTTTCAAAGCAGAGAACAAGTATTTCAATGCAGATACACATGCAAAGAAAAATAAATAAATAAATAAATAAAAAAGACTGGTAGAAGAGGCAACGGTCAAGGCATACAGCTACGATAAAATTAAAATGGATACAACGATTGGGTGACAGGCCAGGATGTGTTATAAAGTGGAGCACATGTTTCTGCGAGACGTAATTGAGAGTGGAAAGAGGAAGAGAAAAACCATGAAGGAAAAGAAAAAAGAAAAAAAAAAAAGTGTAGCTATAGTACTTTGGTATTGTCAATGCAAATGTTAAAAGGATAACTACAGAGGTGTGGTGTACACTAGTCCAAAGGGACTTGACATTCAAGGAGGAGAAAAAAAAAAAAAAAAAAAAAAAAGATGTGATCTTTCTTTCCATCCAATAAATTCCATCCATTTTTCCACTAAAATAATTCAGGAACGACCCATATTCCGGTCTACAGGCACTGATGCGTCATCAAAGCTGTCTTTGGATCAAGCCTTTTTTTTTTTTATAGAAATCAAAATACACTCGATATGAAAAAAAAAAAAAAAAAAAACAACCACGAGGAAGGATAGGCATCCCATAGTACTTTTTTTTTTTTTTTTTTTTTCTTTCTTTCTTTTTTTATAAGGAGTAGGAAGTGGAACGGAGGAAGAGGGATGGAAAGGAAGAAAAAGGAGAGAAAAGGAGACCGTGAACAGGAGAGGGTTGTGGTGTGAGGGTCCAAGCTGAGTAATTACTCTTGCTATCTTTTTTTCTTTTTGTTCATTATTCACGAATTGATGAAAAAGAATTACAAGAATAGATATAAAGACTGGAAGATTGATCGTACTGTAAGTGAAGAAAGGATCGTGGCAATATCTCTGGAGAGAGGGACGGGTGAAAGAGAAGAATAAGGTGGAAGGGTGAGAAAGTGGAGACAAAGGAGGATGGACAGGGAGATGAGCTGGATTGTGGTGGACTGACGAGAGAAAGTAGGGAAGAAACCACAAACAAGCGAAAGAAGAAGAAGAAGAAGAAGAAGAAGAAGAGGAAGAAGAAAAAGAAAAGAAGAAAAGAAAAGAGGAAAGAGTGAAGGGTGAAGAATAAAGAGGAGGAAAAAAGGAAGCGATATAACAAACCTTATTCAGGCTACATTCTGAAGAGCGGGATTAAACGTCGCCCAATAAACCGCTCCTGATGGCCTTTATTGACATTGCAGTGTTTGTCACTCATTCTTTTCTGTTGCATAAAACCGACCCTTGAAATTTAATATAATCTTGTGGCACTCACTAAAATACAATAAAAGAAAAATGTAACATGCTCGTCGTACTCGCCCCAGCAATGAGCAGCATGTATTTATCCCCACAAAAAAGTAATAAATAAAATAAAAAATCAATATAAATCCATCGATCCAATTTGATGGCTGTTGCCCTTCATAATATATATAATATATATTTTTGCAAACATGTCCCTTCTCTGGAGATCTCTGGCGTATGGTAAAGCCTCTTGTAGATAAGCGTTCATCACAGTACATATTTTCGGGTCAGTAGCTGGATTATCCTCCTTTACTGTTAGGAAGCTGAAATTGCTCCAAATGATCTGTTCGTATTTGTTCCGCCATCTGCCAACAGTAGCCATCACCATGTATTCGATATGTATTTTTGGACATTTTAATGTATTCGTTGACACATTTAATTGAACAGCAGTAAGAGTCTTCTACTTTGTTCATTTATTAACATGCTCCAAGACGTATGAATCCAAACATACTGTACACCTTGGCTGAGCTCAACTTGTTTTTTTTTTTTTTTTTTTTTACCATCAGTTCCACTTTTACCATCACGCTATGCCCAGTTTTTCAGTCTCGTTTTTGCTCCATGTTTCCTGCCTAATACCCATCTTATTATCAAGTCCTTGTAACTTTTCCTTTCCTTCATTTTTTTTTTTCTTTTTCTTTTTCGCTTTTGCCATCTTCTTTATCTCTGTCTAGCCCATGAGACATGAGCGAAATATAAAGAGCACTAGCGTAGCCTTCATGGTTGTGGTCGGGGTCACTAGTCATATATTATTTTTTTATAAATCTGTCTTTACAAAAAGTGATGAATGCTCTCATAATATAACCAAGCTAAGACTGTTTTACTTTCGTTCAGTTCTGCTTGTTCTGGGAAGCGCTAGACTAAATGCTCTCTCTAGTTCGACTCTATGTCCATTATGGATAAATAGTATTTTTCCTGTTTATCATCAAGATCAAAGACTTTCATGGTCAAAGGTTGACTACATTTATACATTCGTGTTTATATTTTTATTACAAATGAATAAAGGCCTTTTGTTGTTGTCCTTTTTTTTTTTCTCTTCTTTTTCTTTTTTATTCTTCGTTCTCTAATCGGTATCTTGTTCCTGGGTTTATTTTAGAAGCTGAAACACGTCTGTCCATTTGTTTGATAAGCAGAACACCGCACCTGTTTTAATACTTCGGAGCAAAGGCTTTTCGATGTCAGTGTAAGCATGCATGGAAGCAAGACTACATCCATTCGTGCATCATTACCCTCTTTTTTTTTTTTTTTTTTTTTTCTTTTTCCTCCTGCAGATGACGTTTTGGTCAAGTCTAATTGACAAAGCTGTCCAAGACATGAATAGGATAAGCAAGGCTTTGTAATCTAGGAGAAATATCATGTCAGCAAACGTGCAATGAAATCTTTTTTTTATTTTTTTTTTTTATTTTTTTTTTTTTTTCATTAATCCTTGTGGAGTTTAGGAATTGGTTCGATCAACAGATAAAGGTTTGCTCTGAAAGACCGATTATAATGACCTCAACGACGAAAGGTGTTAGGCAGGGGAGGATAAAAAATAGAAACGTTGTGCTGCAGTGAGCGTGTAGAAAGCTGGTGGAGTCCTCTCCTTTTGCCTCTTGATTTTTTAATCATGCAATTTCAATTGTACTCCTTGAAACGAACACTCTGTCTCAGGGAGAGTGCGGCCCATTTACTTCACGTCACTTGATCAAATGAGAGCATATCTGGTAGTCCACATCATCTCATTTCTTCATTCAACTCGGGCCAAAACTGGACACTACAAATCAATAGAAGCAAAACAACAAGGCGCAAGAGACACAGGCACAGAGGCATAGATGGCATAGGGGCATAGAAGGAAGACCAATAAAAGACCATCAGAAGGCAGCATCAACCTCTTTTTTTTTTTTTTTTTTTTTTTTGCATTGGACATCTATATATTCGTTTACCATCAGCATCATGATCTACAACATGTACATTTTTGACAGGCACTGTCAGTGCATCTACTATCATGACTGGCATAGAGGCCACACAGCTAAAAATGCGTTTGACCAACACGGTGATCCATTGGCATCCCACGCCAGCGCAAGTGGTGGTGGAGGAGGATCAACAACGACGACCACAACCATGACAGATCCACGGCAGGGCATGAACATGTCACTTGAGGAGGAAGGAAAATTGGTCTATGGTGTAGTCTATTCACTCAGAAATCTGGTCAAGAAACTTGGAAAAGGGTAAAAAAAAAATTCGTTTTTTTTTTTTTTTTTTTTTTTTTCTTCTTTTCCACAATGACAATCATTCTGACAAAGCTTGACTATTGATCATAAGCATGTACAAAAGGGTGAAGAGAGAATACTAACATTTCAACATATGTATGTATGAATGAATGAATGTTTTTTTTTTTTTTTTTTTTTTTTTTTTGGGGGGTATTTGCTAGCCAACAAGACGGATTTATTGCTTACAGGACTTCACATTATAAACTTCATTATTACGAGACACTAACGGGACTCAAGTTTGTCCTCAACTCGGATCCAGGAGTGGAATCACTTCAACAAGCTCTACGCCAGATCTATACCCAGCTCTATGTTGAGCTCGTGATCAAAAATCCATTGGCGAATGCGGGCTCGAATGGGGCAAGTGTGAACCCAGAGACGATGGGTGCTGAAGGCTTCAGGAACGGGGTTGATCGCTTTGTACGCTCGTTAACTATGTTCGATACCCTTTAACCAACGTCATAATACAAAGAAAAAAAAATAAAAATAAAAAATAAAAAATAAAAAAAAAGGACTGGGAAACAGAAAATGGAGGATCAAACACGGCCAAATATCCAGATATAGTCCAATTTCATTGATCCTCCACCAGGCTTGTCATCTCGAGTCAAAGAGGCAAGGGATATGGATAGAAAACTTAATATTTTTTTGTATATGAAGTAAGAGCCCATGCACCGTTTAAAATGCATTGCCCAGTTTTTTTTCCTGTTTAAATGAAATCTCTTACGAAACAAAAGGGGTAGTTCTTTTTCCAATACAAATGGTTTACTTTACGAAGTTCTTGTAACTGAAAAGGTCTGTTGAACAGCCAAAGGGAGGTAACTCAACTTCTCTCTTTTGATCTTGTACAGTTTACGGCACAGGTTGGAAGAAGAACTTTTCTTTCATTCAGAGAAGTTTATAAATAACCTTGACCCCCACAACTTTTTTAGAGGCTATTTTGACACCAAGATTGAATAAATCGTAAAATTCCGCGGATGAACTGTAAATTAAATCATGACATTCTATGCATTCCGCGATCTCTCTTTCCGTGTCAGAAAGGAAACAACAACAGCCCAATGGGTCATTTCTCTAATGTTAGGAGAGTAAGAGAGACAGAGCCTGGTCAAACCACAAAGCATTCCTAAACGATAGTTTAATAAACAATATTTTGCAAACATCTTTAAAAAGAAAGTTTTTTTTTAATGCTCAATTGCAATGCACGTCAATCTTTTTGTTGTTGTTGTTGTTGTTGTTGTTGTTGTTGTTGTTGTTGTATGCCTTTGCCAAGCTCATGTTCTTCTGGTAATCGTTTATATTTCAAGCACGTGGGAAATCTGTTTCATTCTCAGGACTATGAACTGGTTTTTTTTTTTTTTTTTTTTTTTTTTAAATCAATCGAACCTCTCAAACTGACAACCAAGAGGTTTGTTATAAGCATTGTTGGACCCTTCAAGATAGCTTTAATAGCTTAAGCTCTTGGACAAAGCTCTGTGACACCATCATCCCCCGGAGCAAATAACTTTTTGGGTTGTGCATTCAGCTCATAGATGCGAGAGATCAATGTTTATGCTCACATGCATATTAGTATGCTTATTTACTGATTGCAATTAAAATGTAGTGCGGCGTCTTGCTTCTTTTCCTCGGTAAACAATGCTTTTGAGAGCAGGCGAAGACGAACGATCGTGAAAATAAACTGCTACCAAACTCTTTATTTTTTTATTTTTTATTTTCTTGTCTAGCATTGAGCTTCCTTCTTTATCCCACCCGATTCACTTTATCAACTTTTACATCCGTTCTCTTTTCTTTCATTGCCACTTTTCGCTTACCCTTGCCAACAAGAGTACTGAAATGGGCGTCCTTAATCCTATATGTTTGGCCACAGATGGCAGCAGCATATATTCATTTTCTGTCGCCGTAAAGTCGGCTGATTCTAAAGATTTATTTTACGTCCTCATTCGTTCCAACAAAACACCTTCACATACACTCAGCGATTTATCATGGACATTAGTTAGCGCCGTCAAACAGGAGGGCTTGGTCTTTCTTGAGCAGAGCCCTAATTCCAGCGGCGACTACAGCTGTGCAGTGGACGAAACAGGCATTTTCACTGTGCTTGCATCTCGATCAAGGGAAAGTGCTTCAGGATCATATGATCAAACTATCAGAGGGCTTCAATACCAGCCTGCTGCTTCAGGACAAGGCGAATGGAAGAACGTGAAGACATCAGCTGGCTATAAGTGGGGAGACTCGATGTTTATCCCGTTGTTCAAACACAAGGACGCATCGGGCGTGTTCACCACCATGCAAGCACAACTTGATGCTTACACGGGCCACATCTCTGTCGCAGCTATGGACTCTGCTTCACTGACCATGAACCAGAACCCATCTATATGGGCCATTGTATGTAACATGCCTTTTTTCTTTTTTTTTTTTTTTTTTTTTTGCAAACTATTTCTCTCGCCCTTCAAGGTGAAGAGATGTTCTAACATTTTATTTATTATATTTTTTTAAAAAAAATTAAAAGGATGAGCAGATGTACGGAGTTCCTGGGGCAGTTGCTTTCACAAATAGCCACTTGTATTCTATTGGATATAAAGGATACTATAGTGACGCCTATTTGGTTGCTACCCCACTCTCTGGCCCATCGACTACACCGCCAACCGTTAGTGGCACAGGATATAATGCAACCATTGTCCGTCAAACGTGTGACTCATACTATTCCAAGAACCTATGGATGCATTCACTCCAAGAGACTATTGTTATCATGTGCAGAGTAAGAGAAGGATTTTCAAATTTACTTTTAATAGGATGATCGTTTTCACGTCTTTTTTTATGTTTTTTATTTTTCATTAGGCGACGTCGTTTTTTTTTTTTTTTTTTAAAACTCTCTTATTCACTTTTTCTACATCTCATTACTGAATATATGTCAATAGATGACGGAAAAGAGAAACCAAATTTATGTATTCGATGGCACCAGTGTAAAATCACTGCCTCTCTTTGTCAGTGGAATAACCCCCTTGGGAATGGTTCCCATGACCGGCCCCTCAGGTAGTTATGTCTTTATGGCCGATATAAACGGGGTTTACAGCGTCCCGCTCACAGGGGCTTCAGCTGGGGCATTGATATCAGGATACCAACAGGTCAATATCACAGATAATTATGGTGCCACGCCATCAGGCTCTAATCGCCCAACGTCGAGTTCTACAACAGGTTCCGGAACAGGCTCAGGCCCAGGCCCAAACCAAGACCCTACTGAAATAACCAATCGCACCAAGCCTATCCTAATTGGCGTGTTTTGTGGCGCGATCGTTCTTGCGATCATTGTATCATGTATTCGTGCTTACAAGCGTCGTCGACTCGAACGTAAGAATACAGCTGCTTCGGTCGAAGCGCCATTACCATTACCACCAACGCCGATGAAGGAAGCTGACTCTAGGGGTGGGTTCCAATACCCAGGGCAAGGGATGCAAACTCCAGTATACCCCCCAAGCAACCACTTTTACCAGCAGCAGGAACACCAGCAGCAACAACAGCAACAGCTAATGTCGCAGGAGTATGCTGCGTCTACGCCCTATCAATGGCCAGCTACTTTAAGCCCTGACTATCAGCAGGAGAAAATAGGCTATGACCCTGCTGCGTTATACCCCATCCCACCAGTCCCAAGTCCGTTGAAGGCAACACCACCTTCGCCAGAGAATGTTGTACCAGTAACGAAAGCGACGCCCCGTCTTAACAGTCCCCACACGGGCTATGTAGACGGTGACGGCACCGGTAGAACTATCAGAGGGCCAATGGACTATGGTTACAATGAAGGGGTCAACAATGATGGATCGTCCCCTATGCGGACTGTCCAGACTTTACCTGCAATTCGTCACCCGCAGGTCCGGGATTGAAAAGACGGTGAATAGATAATATGAAAAGAAAAAAAAAAAAAAAAAAAAAAAAAAGGAAAATTAAAAAAAAGAGACATGTATAGTAACAATGAGACATATCCCAGAATAGAGAGACTCTTTAGCTCATTTGATCAGTAATATGAACATTTTTTTTTTTTTTTTTTTTTTTTTGAATAGTCATAGCTATTAAATCAACACAATTGTCGTTTTTTTTTTTTTTTTTTTTTGAATAGTCATAGCTATTAAATCAACACAATTGTCGTTTTTTTTTTTTTTTTTTTTTTTTTTTTTTTTAAATAAATAAAAAAAAAAAAAAAAAAAAAAAAAAAAAAAGAATTGTTGACCATACGAAACGGACAATAGGCAATATATAAACCATTAAAGAAGAAATGAATATTGGAGAGAGCTAGTTATTATGTCTTGTGGATTGAATGCATCGGATAACGTCGTATTTTTTTTTTTTTTTTTTTTTTTTTCCTCATGCAAAAACAGAGCGCGTTTACATGAAACATGAACGTTTTCTGTTTTGTCCAATCAGACTTCATGTAAAAAGCCCACAACCTTAATTAAACTTCATTTTATTCAGCCCTCGAGAGCATAAAAAGATGCAGTGCCGAATTCAAAACATCATCATTCTTCCATTAATGTTCCATTCCTCCTCCCAAAAAAAAAAAAAAAATAAAAAAAAAAAATAAAAAAAATAAATAAAAAAAATAAAAAAGGAGCTAAAAGCAGCATATACATAAAACTACTTGCAGCAAGCACATTCCTTATTACTAAAAAAAAAAAAAAAAAAAAAAAAAAAAAGACTAGTCAGAGTTGAGCAATAAAAATCGATAATCAATCAGGATGGGTGTTATTAAACCAATATGCATCGCCACAGACAGCAGTCGATTTTACCTGTTCACAACTGCGGCAAGGATGGGTATTGTTGATAACAAGGCGAATGTCAAGTCAACACATTACTTATTGGTACGATCCAACGATAATCCAAGTCATAAGTTGAACGATCTCACATGGACCCTTATCAGCTCAGTTCCTAAAGCTAATTTATCTCAAATTGAGATCTGGGATCAAATGCTCGACTTTAGTTGCGCAGTAGATGACGAGGGAGTGTTCACAGTGATTGCGCAAAACTATTTTACAACTGGGTTGAATGGATTACAATTCCAGCCAGTAGGTAATCCGGACCAGCCAGAGGGAACATGGAAAAATATTACGATCCCTAAAGTGTACCCTTGGATCACCATGAAACCCTCTACTCTGATCAGTATCAAGAGCGGAGGCAATGGACAGGACGGAAGCTCAATGAACAAAGTGTTCCATGCATTCTTGGACAAAAATGGCTCGGATGTCATGGTTGCTGAATTGGATACGACCAAAATGACCATGGTTCTGAACCCATCTCCCTGGAAACCAGTAAGCTTCATGGTATTTTATTTTGTTTTTGATTTTGTTAAGATTATTATTGCTATTATTATTAATTATTATTTTTATTAAAAAAAATGTTACTGTACTTAGACAGTATTGAAACGCTACACCATGTACGGGTTGGCCTTTGTCAATAATACATTACAGCTCTATGGACATGGCTTTTCAGTCAATGAAATCAATGGCCTATTCTTAATCCCGTTTAATTCTCAAGGAAGCCCACCTACTGCAGGAAATGTACGGAGCTTTGATGCAACAGAAATCTTTACATACTGTGGAAACAATGTTTCCCTTCGGCCGTTGAAAGAGAGGACTATTGTATTCTGCACTGTAAGCAATCGTTCGTTTTACTAACTTGTATTCTCTTTTTCATTTTTTATCTTATTCTCTTTTTATTTTTTATTTTATTTTTTAGCTTATTCCCTTAATTTTATTCCTTCTTTATTTATTTTTTTCCGCCTGTTTTTTATTATTTTATTCTTTGTTTTATTCTTATATTTTATTTTCTTTACTCTTTCTTATATTGTATTTTATTCTTTTTTTTTTTACTTTTTACCTGTTCTTTTTAATACTTTATTTTATTCATTTTGTTATTATTGTTATTTATTTGCTTTTATTTACTAATATTAATATTTCAATTTTTTTTTTTTTATTACCATCTTTCTTTTTCCATCTGTTATTAAAAATGCCATTATTTTTGGATTAGTACCCAAGGCCTGCTCACATATTCATCTATGACGACGGCTCCAAGCAACTGACTCATTTGCCTGCTGCTCGGGAGACTTACGATTCTGACAATCTTCTATCCTTAATACCTTTCCCAGGATCGCCCTATCCATATATTTTCATGCATGACCTTTCCGGTATCTACAGTATCCCACTCGAAGGACCTTTGGCCCGCGAAAAAATTAACGCTAACAAAAACTTCACGATCCCTGATTATTTTTTCACGCCTCCAAATGGCATTTTTAATGCACCTCCAGGGAACTCAGGGCCTCCAAGTAACGGTGATGGGAATACCAACAATAGTACCGCCCCTAAAGGGAACCCAGATGAAGGACAGGGCCACAAAAGCGGTACTCTTCATCCTGGAGTAATTGGTGGGATTTCTGCTGCAGTGATCGTTGCGATCGCTATTGTTCTGTGCGTTCTCTTTCGCCGCCGCACACAATCCAAGAGGGAAGAAGGAATCCAGAAGGAAGGGGGTGCAAAGGGCAAAAGAAAGGCTTCCATAAGCCCCAAGGAGGAAGAGCCACCAACGCCAAAAGCAGTGGTAACGGAAGAGGGGACAAGAGATATACGAGAAGAACTACGTGCATCGGAGGATTCAGCCCAACCACTTCATTTAACCTTTACGGATGTCCGGATGGAGACACATCCAGGATACGGGATCTCATCTTTAACAGGGTCATCAACAGCATCATCAATAATAGAACCTACGCTGTCAACGGTACCGACATTATCAGTCTCACCCCCAAGGATGCAGCCCGCTCTATTGGAGGAAATAGCCCCTGCTCATTCGCCTCAGCCACCAACTAAGAAAACTCAGTTGAAGCCAATGGGCCAAACCAGCTCGATCTTTGGACAATCGGATGTTACTAATGATAACGCTCTCGTGTCAGGATCAATTTATAGTGAGTACCTGCTGGAGCCGCTTAGTTCTTTAACAACTCAACCGAGCCCACCCAGTCCTTTTCAAGTGCATCCGGGTTTTACACAAAATAACAACAATCGCGCTAATGTGGCTGGAGAACAAGATGTTAATAGACTAGCTTCAAACCAAAACCCTCAGACCACGCCATTTGCCTATAATATCGTACCTCCTGGGACGGGTTGGCTGAGTCCCCCAGTAAACAACCCTCATACCAAACAATAAAATTTATCTCTCTCTCTCTCTCTCTCTCTCTCTTTGCTTTTTGGCCCTTCAGAGAAGTAGCTGGAAATAACCGGATTACATGCGTATGGGAGACAGGTTAGCAGAAATGAAAGAAAATATTGTTTATTTAGCAAAATCCATACATTATGGGTCGAGTAAGCGGGTGTGAGGGTAAAAAAGAGATCTCTTTTCCTGTTGCGGACGATAGCTTGTTATTAAAAAAGAGACATATATATGATGGGATTTGGTTTGATTGATTTATTATAATTATTATTACTAGCACATATAGCTAGTTTAAATTAACGAAAACCCTGGATTGCCGTTCGAGAAAGGAGTTCCTTCAAATAGGATTTTGATGAAAGTAGAGGAACCTATTGTTTAGGCGGCTCAGAGATGCTGTGGGCTGCGGCCGTTACGTTAGGTGTCTGAAGGCGAGTTTGGATCTATTTTTCCTTCTAAGAATGTAGTAGAGTTGGGTTGCGAGCGGGTGAATATAAGAATGGCTGTTGAGCAGGCTGAGCTTAGTGATGATGATTATGCGGTATTATGTTTAAGTTCCTGCTGCTCAACTTCTTGCTTTCCCTCGAACACCGGTTGCTGCTGAGGAGATGTCATTGTTGTTGCTGCCCATGAATGTGTGCCTGTGACAGAGACCGATTTCCATTTTGATTATTATGACTATCATCACTGTTATTAATGGCAGTACGCCATCGGTAATAAACCGTGGAGCCAAGGGATCCTAAGACTGCTAGAAGAGCAATAACCAATCCGATAATTAGACCTGTAGATGGGCCTGTGGAGTGTACGTTGCCTGAGGGGTGGATGGTTACAGCAATAAGGTCTGTAGGTGTAGGCCCGATCCCCTTCCCAAATGAATCTGTGACGTTGATGCTATGGGTCACATTATACCATTGACCAATCGAAGGGCCATTCAAATTGAAGCCATAGTAGCGACTGGCATTTCTTTGGCTCGTGGTATGCACTAGTGCAAACGCTGGCCCTTCACTGCTTCCCCCAACGGTTTGCCATAATAAACTTTTAGTGGTGGCATCTATGGGCCAACGGCGACTGAATTTTGTACTTTTCGGATCTTTTATCTCGGAGACGTTGGCCATATTCATAGTGACCAACCACATTGGTCTTTCATCAGGGCCACCCTATATTATGGTTTATAGGAAGAGATAGTAAATGAATGAGTGAATGGTAGAAAGAAAGGCATGGTGTTTAAATAGTTACAATCGACACTAGGTAATAAAGATTTGTCTTACTTTTAACCTGAAGCAGTGCACGTCCATACCTGCTCGTATACAAAGTAATAGGTGTCTCCGAAGGATCCTCCCATTTGATGATGAGCCAGTGAGAAATTAGCACCATTTGCCGTAATGTTGCTAAAAGGCCCAAATCCTCGAATGGGGCTAGGAGCAGTAGGGGGGATATTCGAATCCGGTAATGGTGCAGTAATAATACTCACTGTATCTTTAACCCCAGTGCGTCCCATGCGATGTGAAAGGATGAAGAGGTTTTCGTTAAGATAGGTCGCGTGTTGTGGGTCGAACAGTGTTGAATTCTAAAAGAAGGGAAAAGAGGGTAAAAGAGCAGGTGAGTATAGGAATAAATAAAAAGCTATACCATTATAGAGTTTTTTTGTAAAGCCATTTGTTTACCAATATCCATGAAGGCCCTTGCTGAAACCGTAGTGAAGTATTATCCAGAGTACCGAAATGGAGGGTCTGTACCGCGCCAATCCAAGTGTGAACAACCACATTTTTACCAATCAAATCTTTTGTGATATAAAGCGTGGTATAGAGTGAGCTAAAATCGTTCCATTTATAAGGAAGCTGAAAATCAATGTTCTTCCATCCACCAGGACCGGTATTGTTGCCATCCGGGGATGGAGGGTATAGAGGGCTATACTGGATCCCAGCTAGCACTGGAGCTGACGATGCTGATGTGTAGGCTGTCGGACTAATTAATGTGAATACGCCCTATTTTTTTTTTTTTTTTTTTTTTTGTGTGGGTTAGAGACCCCCATCCACATGAAAAAAATGAGATAAGATTCAAGTAATCTTTTTTTTTTTTTTTTTGTTCTTACCTTATCATCGACTACACATTGTACTTCTTCTTTTTGTCGATAGAGATCATATACTTCTGATAGTAAAATAGAGGAGACGACAGTCCAAGTGATGCCTTGTGCAGATGGAGGATCCGTATTGGACTTGATCAATATGTAACGGAGTTTTTTTTCAAAATCAGTATAGTCTGGTGCGACAGCTATCCCATAAAGATGATGCTGTCTGAAATCGTAGCAGAATGGATCGAGAATACCCATCTTTCGTTTTTTTTTTTTCAATTTTTTATTTTTTTTTAAAAAAAAAAAAAAAAAAAAAAAAAAAAAAAGAGCTTGGAAAAATTGTAAAAAAAAAAGAAATAAGAGAAAAATGGGAATTAATAAGGGCTTCGATTCAGTGAAAAACAGAATAGTGGCAAAGAGGTAAGAGTGTGGCAACGAGACCGGTCGGTTTATTTACACTCTGTTATGATATTTGTGGATTCCCTAAACTTGGTCAAGTAAACAAACATGTCTGTTGTTATTGGGTTGGGTTGTAAGTTGACTTGGGTATGAGCAGGCTCATTTTAACAAAAACAGCAACGCGGCGTGTACCCAGGTTTTCCTCCGATGTGCTAATGAAGGGCAAATAGGCATGAAGTCAGGACAAAGAGCTGTACCGGCCAGTCGATTAATTTATCTTGTTTCTATGAAGTCTAACATAGTGTCCTGCAACTAGCCAGGTAAACATGCCTGTTGTTATTGAGCTGAGATGGGTTCATTTTGACTCTGATCACCCATAAAAAAGACACATCAGAGGTTTCTATTTTCCACCCTTGTTTACATTTATTCCTTTTCTTGTAGAGTAAAAACCTTAGCGTGATCACATGGGCCAGAGAAAATTATGCCAAAGTAAATAATCCCGCAGTGCCAAAGGAGAGGTTATTGGAGGTGTGCGTTGCGCCAACGCTTTATTTTCTTCTCTGTCCTCCTACTATTATTACGTGAACAAGTGAGCAAAAAATATTGCAAATGGATTGGTTTAAATGATGAAAACTAGTATAAGGAAGGGTATCGTATCTGGCAGCGTCTTTTTTATATATTTAGTATTGGCCAGGACTTAGGCCGGGCTTGCTATGGTTAGGGACGGGTGGAGAGGTAAAGTAGGGGCTTGAGTGGACTGTACTGCCAGCAATCGATGGGCTAACTGGGTCTACAGTCTTGTACTCCCAGATATCATCTGCCACTTTTGCCTTCACCTCTGGTAGCGCCTTCTCATTATGGTGTTGAGCTGGATATGGTGAATAGTCCCCTTGGCTAACGGAAGTATAGCCTTCGACGCCAGCGCCATTTGCAGCAACGGTAGATGCAGCAGCAGCATTTGCTGCGCTTTTGCTCCTCTTCCTCCATGCATTGCGCTTATGTTGTCTGAATCTGAACAATAAAAATGCCATGGCAGCGAGAATACAGATAACAATACCAGCAATCATTCCTTTGTTGGCGTTCGAGTGTTCCTGCTCAGTGCCTGTGTTGGGTATTTGCGTAGTAACTGCATTGGCAGGTAAGTTGGAGGCCCCTACTGTAGGAATAGGGGTCTCATTTGGCTGGGTCAAAGGTTTAACCCCATAATTTTCTACAATTGTGATATTATTTCCCTTGAGCACAGAACTAACAAAGGATCCATTGAGCGGAATACTATAAGACCCTCCCCTGTTATACATGAAGAGGTATGGTGTAGCGCCTGGGAAAGGGACCATAGCATTCATATATTCGAACTCTAAATCACTGTTGATAACTGGTAGTGCTGTGAAGCCGCTGCCGTTGAAGATGTGAATGCGATATCCTCTCTACTCCATGGAAAAAAAAAAAATAAAAAAATAAAAAAATTTAGACGATCGAGGAAAAATTCTAATTAAAGAGTGTAATACCACGAGTGACCCAATTTTTACCCGACAAAAGATAACTAGGTCGTCCTTAAGAGCTTGCATTACGAACGATGACGTGTAAATTCCACAAGCATTGTCCACTTCTGTCGCGTTGAAGCCCCGGGGCAGAACACCAGGAGCATTGGGAGAGGCACTGGTGATTGGGAACGCAAACAACTGCTTTGCTCTCTTATCGAAATCCTCGCCGTATATATAGATATTGTTGTTTGCAAATGATGCGTAGCTACTATGTGAATACTTTCCGTTCGTCTAAGTCCAAGTCAATTTTTTAGGGAAAAAAAAATAAAAATAAAAAATAAAAAATAAAAAAGTCAGCAATAGAGTGAAGTTAGATTAGCTGTTTATCCTGTGTCTGTCCAAAAACCAACGCAGCTTCGGGAAAAATATGAACACGCACTATATTCCAAGCACCTATTCCTTGCTTTAGTGTCATACTTGTAGTATCCAGGGCAGCAACATAGACATCTGACTCGTTGGAGGAGATATAGGTGTGCATCAGATTGTTCTTGCCCTGTGCATCCTTGTAATTGAATAATGTGCCTTTATAGGCGCGATTCCAAAGATAATCGGCTTCTTGTGTAGGTGTGGTGATGTTTCTCCAGGTGCCATTGGTTCCTGGAGTCAACGAGGGTACGTATTGCATCGCATTCACATTGAATGGATAATCTTCGAAGTTTTCATCGTAATCATTCTTTCCGATGATCGAAAACACACCTTGGTCATCAACCACACAGTCGAAGTCACCAAAATAAGGATAGGAGACAAAAAGTGGCAATCCTGTGGTAGGAACAACACTGATAATGGACCAAGTCAGGTCTTTTAGGTCGAATGAGGGGTTATCATTGGACTTCAGTAGCAGATAGTGATATTGTTCAGTTGCGAGATCCATCTCCCTAGCGAAAGCGTATAGTCGAGTGTTGTCCGTTGTCAGACATTTTGGACGGAGAAGACCCATGTTGATGTGGACAGAGGTAGTTGGGGGAATGAGAAAGACGAAAAGAGAGGACAGAAGGAAAGTGAACGAGAACAAGAAAAAAGAGAGGCATGTGTATATGGGGCAGTGCACGCATGCAATTAGAGTTAAGATTTTAAGAGCAGACTAATTCGCGCCGCCTTTAGATCCGAGAGTTGTCAACAGAAAACAAAGGGGGAAAGAGTAGAAGAAGGGGCTCTTACATCGCGCCGTGCTCAGTCCTTTCGACTCTCGCTTTCGGACCTTGTTGCTTTTGTTTTTATGACCGGAAGAAAAAGTGCATTTGACAAAGTGTAATGCGTGTCGGTGGACATATTTTGAATGTGCATGCTCACTCCATCCAAAACAATGTGTAAACTTTAAATAGTTTAAATTACAAGTTTATGAGGCACCCAGAAATCAACCACTCTGCACAGCCGAATCAATATGTATATAGTATTTACCCAATTGAAAAATTTTACGACCATCCATCCACACGCCGTGAATTTGAGAGCAATGTTGCTCGCTCACTCGAGGTTTACTTCTTTTTTTCTTCCTTTGCTTTGTAGCCCTTTGCCATCTTTTTTTTTTTTTTTTTTTTTTTTTTCCCCCCTACTTTTAGTTTTCTCTTTTCTTACTCTTGTTCTTACCGGTTGATCTTACTCAGCGCATTCGCATCTCCTTTTCTTTAACTCCCATTCTTATCGGTTCTTCTTCCTACCTCAGCAGTTTAAAGAATGGGCTTCCTTAGTCCTTTTTGCTTTGCCTCTAACGCGAATTCCTTCTATGGAATTGCAGTTGACCGAGACTACAGTATCATGTTCGCTGAGGATCCTGATCGTCTCATCTTAATCAAATCCAACGAGAACCCAACCTCAGCAGCTGATGTTTCATGGAAAGTAGTCTCCTCGGTTCAAGCATCAGTGTTATATGATATCTCAGGAAGTAAAGGGGGTCAATTGTGTTATGTGGATGACAAGGTACGAAGGACGTTGCTTGAGACATAGATAGTGCTTGATTGTTACATGTAATGTGAAGTTGAGACATGTGTTCCCTGTTGATTTGTTTTATAGGGCGTATTCACCTTTATTGCTCTATCTGTACGCAAAACACCAACATCCCCTCCTGTATCGGCTGGTCTCCAATACAGTCCACTCTTCCCAGCCACGCCCAACGGTAACAACACTGGAGAGGGCGGATGGAAGAATATTGATATCATAAGCCCCTACTCTTGGACCACGGAATCTACCTCAGTATCGCTTTATCATGTCAATGATGCTTCAGGCAACAACGTCGTTATTCACTCTTATCTGGACACACAACATGTACTGAATTTTGGAGTGCTAGACAATGCATCTCTTCAATTGAACCAAGGTCCTACCTGGAACTATGTGAGTGAGATTTAGTTCTAGCGGCTGCAACAACAAGAACATGGTTGTACTGTATTGTCTTCAGATGTATTGGGATCCTTATGAACCGTTTCATTAATAATGTCTCTCTTCCCATTTCCTCCTTTTTTTTTGTTGGTTATTGGTTACGCAGAATAGCACGTACTATGATTTCGTGAAAGCGACCTATCATAAAGACACATTGTTTATCATATCTGATAATCGTAGACCGTTTGACAGTGTCAGTATTCTTACAATCCCACTCCTAAACTCTACAATACCTGCTAAAATCCCTGCTGCAGATGCCAGAGAGTTTGGGCCCTTTGGAAGCTTTTTGAGTGGTCCCAACCTTACTCTTTTTGATATCTCGATTACTTCCTTCTTTGATGATACTTATTACTTCCTCTACCGTGCCGTAAGATATTCTTCTTTCTGTAAGCATAGCGAGTCCATCAAAGGAAAAAACAATGTTTCCTAACATTTCTATCATTACTATTGTTACTATTATTTTATTCCTTACTATAACCATGGTTAGGGCTATGAATCCGGGAATCCATGGCTGCTCACTATGGATCTTTCGGATCAATCACACTATAAGAATGCCACAAACACTCATTTGAGCCAGGATCTCGTTTTCTCCCGCGATATTTATGAAATGTACTGGGCAGATATGGGGCCCAGAAATGGTGCGCCGGCGTTTGCATTTGTTCCGCACGTTGACTTTAACAACAAGACCCACATCCGTGGCATTAACCTCAGTGGTCCCAACATTGGTCAATGGTATAATGTGAGCCATACCATCAATGTCACGGACACGTTCGGTACTGATCCAAATCCGCAGCCCACGGATTATATTAAAATAACCGTCCTTCCTTCAGGAGATGTTCACTCTACAGCGCCCTCCACGGGTCTCATTGTCGGATTTGTCTTAGCATTGCTAATTGCCTTCGCGGCAGCAGGATCTGTATTTCACCGTTGGCGGGCCGATCGCAAAGAAGTTGAAGCTGAAGGCAAGGCTGCAACTCAGGCAGCGTCACAGCCATTAATGATAGGCCCCAATAGCAATGAACATGGTAATTTTAAGATGGTCGTTGAGCCCACAGGAACTCAACAGGCATGGACAAACACGACACAACAAGCACAGGCGTACGCAGGAGGAGTCCCAACAACGTCTAGTCCTATGGCAACACAGCCTGGTCAACAACAGTTCTTGTTTTCGGCACATCCACAACCTAACTTTGCCACATCGTCAGGTGTATCAAATGGAGCAGGCTCGCCTCCTGGTACGCTTCTCTCTGTCGACCATATTACGGGATCACCGAGTTATGCCTCTGCAGGGTCTCCTACAGCGACTCACACTCTCTATAGTGGAGGCCAAAGCGTGCTCACGAATTCACCTGTTTCGGGAGCGCCCTCCATTCCACTGCATTCACGACCTAGCCCATAAAGGAGGAGGGAAAAAATCGTTTTGTATCAACATTTTATGTTTTAGACTTTGATGTATTCATCTGAGTTCCTAAATATTCCTTCGACATTTCTCGAGTAATGCATATATACCCAAGGACTTTGAAATGAAAAGAGAAAACCGTAATAAATTCCTGGCATATCTTTCTATCAATCTCAAGAGTCTTTTTTTATATGTATTCATAGTATCTACAATAGGAAATCAAATATATGTAGAATCTTGGAAGAGTAGCTTCCTAGTTATTGATTATTAAGTTGGCCCCCCATTTTAGTCATAAAACATACATGTATATATATATGAACATTATTTGTGATGTTCAGTAAATCCAAAGGGGAGGTTTGCCTTGTTGGTCCCATAACAGGCCATCTAGTGAGCGTTCCCAACACTCAGAGGCGAGAGATATTAGAATTGGAAGACTATCGAAGGCAAGGGCAACTTCAATAGAATTTAAAATTCAACTTTACAGGCTGAATTGTACAATGTTCCTTCACTAAGCCGTCGAAAACTTCATTGTCTTTCTTCCTTTATCTCATCACTTTCGTAAACGATATCATCTTTCGTGTGGGGAATGAAGCGACGCTTGTGCTTTTCGGAAGTCATTATCTTATTGACAGCACCGTTAACCACCTCAGAAGACCCTTCGAAGCAGTTCATTGCGAGACAGTTGAGCACACTAGTGTTCGTTTGCTTGGTGGCCTTTTCTCTGTCTCCACCATGTTCGTTAACGAGTTTATTTTGAAGCTGAAGAGTCTGTTCTCCTTTTGACTAGATTCCAAGGCAATGCTAATAGTTCCTTTATTCGAAGGTCAAAATAGGAACCTCAACAAGGCAACCGCAGACGCAAGCTGGGGTCACTGATCGTCAAGCCCTAGCGGTACACGACCAAAGCGCCGCGTTAGATAGCAAAGCTTAGCCGATTTGCTCTTTGCCCTTACACGCACCACAGCTTCAAGCATATTATTGCTTTAAAGCGCCTTGAACAATCTTATAACACCTGCATCCAAAGGCTTTGTCATTGACTTCGTATTTGAAGGTAGCCAAGTGATCGTGATGCTCTCGATTTCAAGAGCTTCGCAACCCCAATGTTCTGGTGCACTGTCGATTAGGGAAGCCCTGTTCCTGCATGTCACCATCCAGTCACTTTAGCCATTTAGTGAACATAGGTTGTCTCATTTAACCTTTACTAGAACGACTTGCATCCATTGTCTTGAAGAAATCTTTGGCCAGATCCAATGGGTGATGCATCGCAAGAACTAAAGGTTCGCGCTTGTCAGACACTTTTGAGTTATTACAAAACAGGGTTGAGACTCTAGCTGACCGAACAATCTTTTTTTCCATGAATAGGTCCAGCCTCATGCTTCTTGTTAGGCATATCTGTAAGGAAAAGGTCTGTCTTACCACAATTGTAGGTATTTTCAAGCTTGAAGTCGGTAAGGTTGGCTTTAATAGCCTGGATGCAGTCCTTTACAGCCTCGGGCTCCACCCACTTTTGCCATAGCTAGTGAAAGGTTTAAGGCCATATCTATTTTTAAAGCGATGGAGCCATCATTTCGAAAAATAACATGGTTTTGGTACTTGATCTGGAAGAGAGAAAGGCCTCATTCCAGTCTAAATCATCGCTGCTACCCCTTGCAGGCATCTATCAGTGACATTGAGGCCAAGGTCTCAGTAGCATACCACTCTATCAAAACGTCTTCTACAGTCTCCATATTTCGACTGAATTCGCGCTTGGCTGCTCGACTATAGTAGGGGTAACGGATTCGCTTCTCCAGAGGCAGCAACTTACCAAAGACGATCTGTCTCTTAGCTGGGCATGTAAACTTCGATTGTGAAGGCTGTTTGTTAGACATTGCTTGGTTATCTGCTTGAGTATATGGATGAATGAAGGATAGAAGGTAGTGAAGGAAGAGAGAAGGAATGACTGCACTTGAAATCAATAAAGGTTCGGTTTCAACAAATCGTCGATTTTCGACGGCTTAGTGAGGGAACACCGTGCTAGCGCTTTTTCTTCTCTGTCCTCCTACTATTATTATGTGAACAAGTGAACAAAAAATATTGCAAATGGATTGGTTTAATGATGAAAACTAGTATAAGGAAGGGTATCGTATCTGGCAGCGTCTTTTTTATATATTTAGTATTGGCCAGGACTTAGGCCGGGCTTGCTATGGTTAGGGACGGGTGGAGAGGTAAAGTAGGGGCTTGAGTGGACTGTACTGCCAGCAATCGATGGGCTAACTGGGTCTACAGTCTTGTACTCCCAGATATCATCTGCCACTTTTGCCTTCACCTCTGGTAGCGCCTTCTCATTATGGTGTTGAGCTGGATATGGTGAATAGTCCCCTTGGCTAACGGAAGTATAGCCTTCGACGCCAGCGCCATTTGCAGCAACGGTAGATGCAGCAGCAGCATTTGCTGCGCTTTTGCTCCTCTTCCTCCATGCATTGCGCTTATGTTGTCTGAATCTGAACAATAAAAATGCCATGGCAGCGAGAATACAGATAACAATACCAGCAATCATTCCTTTGTTGGCGTTCGAGTGTTCCTGCTCAGTGCCTGTGTTGGGTATTTGCGTAGTAACTGCATTGGCAGGTAAGTTGGAGGCCCCTACTGTAGGAATAGGGGTCTCATTTGGCTGGGTCAAAGGTTTAACCCCATAATTTTCTACAATTGTGATATTATTTCCCTTGAGCACAGAACTAACAAAGGATCCATTGAGCGGAATACTATAAGACCCTCCCCTGTTATACATGAAGAGGTATGGTGTAGCGCCTGGGAAAGGGACCATAGCATTCATATATTCGAACTCTAAATCACTGTTGATAACTGGTAGTGCTGTGAAGCCGCTGCCGTTGAAGATGTGAATGCGATATCCTCTCTACTCCATGGAAAAAAAAAAAATAAAAAAATAAAAAAATTTAGACGATCGAGGAAAAATTCTAATTAAAGAGTGTAATACCACGAGTGACCCAATTTTTACCCGACAAAAGATAACTAGGTCGTCCTTAAGAGCTTGCATTACGAACGATGACGTGTAAATTCCACAAGCATTGTCCACTTCTGTCGCGTTGAAGCCCCGGGGCAGAACACCAGGAGCATTGGGAGAGGCACTGGTGATTGGGAACGCAAACAACTGCTTTGCTCTCTTATCGAAATCCTCGCCGTATATATAGATATTGTTGTTTGCAAATGATGCGTAGCTACTATGTGAATACTTTCCGTTCGTCTAAGTCCAAGTCAATTTTTTAGGGAAAAAAAAATAAAAATAAAAAATAAAAAATAAAAAAGTCAGCAATAGAGTGAAGTTAGATTAGCTGTTTATCCTGTGTCTGTCCAAAAACCAACGCAGCTTCGGGAAAAATATGAACACGCACTATATTCCAAGCACCTATTCCTTGCTTTAGTGTCATACTTGTAGTATCCAGGGCAGCAACATAGACATCTGACTCGTTGGAGGAGATATAGGTGTGCATCAGATTGTTCTTGCCCTGTGCATCCTTGTAATTGAATAATGTGCCTTTATAGGCGCGATTCCAAAGATAATCGGCTTCTTGTGTAGGTGTGGTGATGTTTCTCCAGGTGCCATTGGTTCCTGGAGTCAACGAGGGTACGTATTGCATCGCATTCACATTGAATGGATAATCTTCGAAGTTTTCATCGTAATCATTCTTTCCGATGATCGAAAACACACCTTGGTCATCAACCACACAGTCGAAGTCACCAAAATAAGGATAGGAGACAAAAAGTGGCAATCCTGTGGTAGGAACAACACTGATAATGGACCAAGTCAGGTCTTTTAGGTCGAATGAGGGGTTATCATTGGACTTCAGTAGCAGATAGTGATATTGTTCAGTTGCGAGATCCATCTCCCTAGCGAAAGCGTATAGTCGAGTGTTGTCCGTTGTCAGACATTTTGGACGGAGAAGACCCATGTTGATGTGGACAGAGGTAGTTGGGGGAATGAGAAAGACGAAAAGAGAGGACAGAAGGAAAGTGAACGAGAACAAGAAAAAAGAGAGGCATGTGTATATGGGGCAGTGCACGCATGCAATTAGAGTTAAGATTTTAAGAGCAGACTAATTCGCGCCGCCTTTAGATCCGAGAGTTGTCAACAGAAAACAAAGGGGGAAAGAGTAGAAGAAGGGGCTCTTACATCGCGCCGTGCTCAGTCCTTTCGACTCTCGCTTTCGGACCTTGTTGCTTTTGTTTTTATGACCGGAAGAAAAAGTGCATTTGACAAAGTGTAATGCGTGTCGGTGGACATATTTTGAATGTGCATGCTCACTCCATCCAAAACAATGTGTAAACTTTAAATAGTTTAAATTACAAGTTTATGAGGCACCCAGAAATCAACCACTCTGCACAGCCGAATCAATATGTATAGTCTCTTTAAAAATGTTTGAAGCTTCAATAGGTGTTTATCCATTAACAGAGTCCATGTAAAAATAGATATGTTTATGAGCGGATACGCACTGGCAGAGATATAAAAAAGCATTTATATTTTATATTTTATTGTTTAAAGGAAAGAAAAGAATAAGAAGCCTTGGTTTTTTCACGACTAAAGCCCGTTCGGTCTTGAGTGGTGAGGAATAGCAGGAGCTCTATGTAACGGTGAATTTCGCCGCTCGGCATAGACTTCCGACGACTGAAGGCTCTCTGTTGAGGGCCCTTGCGCCAAGGCCGACACCGTTGGTATTAATGGTGAATTACTGTTATGATTGTTTACAATATTGTTATTGCTATTATTAAAGTCATTATTACTATTGTTGTTGTTTCGGGTCGGCGGAATAAATGGTTTGGGTTCCCAGAATCGTGGTACATTTGAGAGAGTCGATGTTGAAGGTAAAGCAGTGCTCGCATTTGTGCTTTGATCGCCGTTATTGTTATTGGTGCGATTATTATTATCGCTGTTGCTGCTGATATTGCTTGGCCTAGGAGGAATAAAAGGCTTCGGCTCCCAATATAATGGTACTGGTATAGTAGGATCCGAGGATGGATGAGCTGGTGGTAGACCCAAGGCGTCACTATCCAAAGGTGAGACTACTTGACTTCCATGAGGATCGTGAACAGGTACTGGAGGTACTGCATGTGGTCCACATGAGTCTGTGACATCCGACTTCATGGCCCGCTCGATAGGTGGCTGTAGTGGGAGCAAGTTGTTGCCTTCCAAGCCTGTATTACTACCTTCTGAACCTGCCAAGCCTTTGGACGCGCTCTTGGCGCCCTTGTTCTGTTGTCGCCGCTTACGCATAAATAGGAATACTACAACTGCAGCAACCACTACAATGCCTGCACACACTCCTCCAATCATACCTCCATTACTGGTGCTTTCATGTTTATCTGAAATATCATTGCTTGGTCGAGGTTTCCCAGCCGAGGGACCATCGGAAGGTGAAGATCCACCTATGTCAAGGCCATACTGATCCGGAATGTTGATTCTGGTCGATGAGCTGGCCCATTTGGATTCTGTACTCACTTCTAGAGCAATACCATAGATACCAGAACTGTTGTACATGAACAAGAACGGACTGGCTGATCCCTGGACAAGCAGGATCGTACGTACATTGTCAAATAAGCCTGCAAACCCAGAAATCGTGAGTTGGGTAACTTTGTTAGCCCCGTCCGTTGTAAATACCTCAGTCATGACAGCTCCAGGAGCTTTAGACTAAAGGCGGAGGGGGATTGAAGTGAATAGTGGTATATTGATAGTTGTTAACCTCTGGAGAGATCCCGTAATGCCTTTTTTTTTTTTTTTTTTTGGTTTTTTTTTATTTGTATTTTTTTTTTTCTTACTCTGCAAGATAGCACAGCGCCATCCTTTAATGGCCACATGTTGACGTCGGAGTAATTCGCAAGGCACTCGTCCACTAAATCATATGCCACAATATGCCTGAGTGTTGGAGGGTTCGGCATTGTCACAGATCCAGGTGTAAGCAGGACTTTTGTTACGAAGAAAGATTCAAGATTCCAAACTGATGTTAAGTTCTGTCCTAAGGCGAGAAGGGCGTTGTTCCCTCCGAATGTAAGAGACCTAGTGACATAGGGCTAATGATGATTCGAGAAGCATAGAGTCATGCGTTAGCGAGTGGAGTATGGTAACAATGAAAAAAACTAACATACCCAATAAAGAGCTGGATCGCTTTACCAACTTCCAAGGGACTGCATTTTGTTCCATGGTGTTGGTGGCAGGATTGAACGAGGCCATCATGATTCCAGTATCGTTTCCTTGAGTCGAGACAGAGGCGTGCATCAAGGTTATTTGCTTTGTTACTGGATCCATCAAGTTGTACAGATGAGCACTGGTAGATTCGAGCCAAACATACGGCTGGGAGGTATCGATGTTCTTCCATGTGCCTTCTGCTCCTGCATTACCAGGTGTATATTGGATCCCTCTAACAACTGCGTCGCGTGGAGCAGACTTGGATTGCTGTGATATTCGTGCTAGAGCCGTAAAGACCCCTTTATTATCGACTGCACAACCATATCCACGACCATTGATATTATCTTCACTGAGGTAATAGTATTGATCACGGGGAACAGCACTGACTAAAGACCAGGTCATGTCCTGGACGTTTTCATGCGGATAGTCGTTCGACTTGATCAAGATATTATAACTAGAAGATACGTCGCTATAGCTGGAAGCATATGCAAGTGCGAACACTCGGATACCATCTGTTGCAGTGCAGACTGGGTTGAGAATGCCCATGGAATATGACTATCTGAAGAGGAGTGTAGTTGGGGTTTTGTCGAGTCAAGGAATTGAAAAAAAAAAAAAAAAAAAGTCATGATGGAGAATGAAGAATGCTCACATGCAAACCATGAACAACTTTCTTCGTCTGTTAAAATAACGTTTTTCAATTTGTGGAATGCACTGCCACATTGCTAATTGCTCCACTTTGTCAAATGCACGGTTGTATCCTCAATCCCTTGAAGAACAATTCTCCCCCCTGTGCATCGACTTTCGACTTGTTTTTAATAAATCTTTGTTCGAACGTGATTGCTATGATTACTAACAAGAGGATTGAAAACCAAGACTGATTGATGGGAGATAAAAGCCAGTTGAATAAGCGCGTCTGTATAAAATGTTTGAAAAATAAAGTATTAAATTATTAAATTGTGTAACAACATTCATGAAGAAATTTTACGGCAAATTCTAATTTTTTGAGCACCCTTGACAAACAGATCATAGACAACATACACAAAGACTTTATCAATCAACATGAAACTTTAGAATTCGTTAAAGAGGTCGATTTTGTTTCTCTATAGAGGGTTTGGAGATATACTGTATGAAAGGTAAAAGTGCTATGTGGGTTTAATAATGAGTGTGCCCACCTTTAGCCTTCCTCACTTCTTTCAGCCTGTTGGGCATGGAATCAACAAGGCTTGCCAGTTTCTCTTGTGGCAAATTATTCCACTTCTCAGTAAGAGCTACTGCGAGGCTGGGGAGATCTCTTGGTCCTTTGGGGCGCTTATCGAGTGCATTAGCGAGAAATGACCATACACGCTCGATGGGGTTCATGTCCGGAGAACATGCTGGCCAGTCTGGAATCCTAGAGATGTTGTTATTTTCACGCCATTCTTTTGCTATCTTGCAAGTATGGACTAGAGCATTATCCTCCATGAGAATGCCGCCCTCTACTTCAGCCATAAACCTGATTAGTTCAACTTTATATACATCTTCCACAAAACACTGCCCCCTCCAGACCATCAAGGATGTTCTACCACTCTTGAAAGTGGGTATAAGGCAATCGTGGTCGTACTTTTCCTCCGCCGTACGCCAAACTCTTATCTTACGGAAATTCTCGCCAACTTCAAATGACGATTCATCAGTCCAAACTACCCCACTCCAATCTTCATTGGACCAACTCTCGTACTTTTTGGCAAAAGCCAGTCGCCTCTTCATATAATCTTCATTTAAGTATGGTTTTGGAACCGCGATCCGGCTGAAGATACCCAGTGAATGCAATGTCTCTGAAACGGTCCTTGTGCACACTTTCTTCGGCAATTGATTGCTGATGTCCTTAAGAGCGGCTCTCCTTTCTCTCTTTGTGCAGCGCACTATGCTCCTGATATCTCTTTCACTCAGTGCTCTTGGTCGTCCTGGGGCGGGGGCGCGAGCGGTGGTACCTCTTTTGTAATATCTTTGGATAATAGTGTAGACCGTTGATCTTGCTACATTACGTTTCAGCGCGATCTCCGCATCCTTCATTCCCGCAAGGTGCATTCCAACGATGATAGCTCTATCCTCGATATCCAAATTTAAAGGCATGGTGGTTTTTTCAAGTTGTTATTGTTGTAAAAAATGAGAAAAAGAAAGAGAGAGGATGATGCTATCTTCGCGTCAACTATTTTTTAAATTTATTTTGCCGTATAATTTTTTCTCTTGATGTACATGTACTGCCACAATTCCAATTGCTTCCATTTCTCAAATGCACAGGTATATCCTTACTCCTCAGACTTCGTTGACTCTGACTTGTATATTTTTGTATGATAGCTGATTGCTAATAAGAGAAGGAAGATTGACAGAGACATCCAACTATCTAACAATCTAAGGATCAAGAAGTTGCGCCTTGATAAAAGATCAACGAGTCGAATCAACACAGCATAATGATTTGTCCATGATGTCCTAAAGCATATGCCTAAGTTCTGCTACGCCTCCCTGTGGGTCATCAAACCGTTGATAGGTTGTGAGAATTTTACCAAAAGGAGAAAAGATTATCCTTCTGCTTAATTGTACTTGTAGATCCCGAAAAAAAAAAAAAAAAAAAAAAAAGAACCTCTTTTACCTTACCAACATCTGCGATTTCAAGTGCTCTTCAATTGATGATCTATACTTGTAGCATATGGTCTTTAATAGGAATGACAAAATAAAATGTTTAAATGCAAAGATGTGATGTGGTGTGGAGAGTAAAAGAACGGATGCAGTTATCTAAGTACTACTACTACTACTACTACAAAAAAAAAATGGCGATTAATTTAGTGCCCGCTTTTTCTCTCTTCTTCGTTGCCTTTTTTTTTTTTTTTTTTTTTTTTTTTTTACTTGAAAGGTGCAGTTAAAGGATCGATAATCTTGCCCAACTTTGTTGTAATTCTAGGCAGGGTCATCTTCTGGAATGTTGTGTTGGTGTTCCATTCCTTGCCTACGGGGGCTCGTAGACTGGCTTCATATTGGGCCCAGGACTTGAATGGATGTGGGATCGAGGTCACAGCGTAGTTTGCAGCCTTCTTATCACGTCTCTCGTTGATAATTACATGTGCAAGCTTAGCATCCTTGCGCTTGCTCAGCTCGACACCATCGCCAGGCTGTGCCTTCTTGACTACGACATCCTTCTTCTTCCTCATACCCTTTCCACCCCATGAACCCTGATAAATAGTAATAACAGTAATAATGGGTAACACAAATGTTAACATACATATTAAACATATCAGAAGTAGCATGTGCATTATAATAAAATGAGAAATAAAAATAAAAACTTACCCATCCAGGAAGAGTCATGTCTATATCCTTGGGTCGCTCAGCTTCCATTGTCTCCATTTTCTCCTTCTCAAATTCTGAAACAACATTATCATTGGCGAAGGCACGAGCGACCAAGTCACGCTGTGATAGGGATGCTGCAGCCTTGGCATGAACCATCACTGGCTCCGGCTCAGAGCCATCCGAGTCATTGACATCGTCATTATCATTCTGGGCTTCTACCTCTGAGGAGGTCTTTTTGCTGTTGCTGGCCTTTTTTGATTTCTTGTTTGATACCGTTGATGATGCACTCTCTGCTTGTTCGTTCCTTGACTCTTTCTCTCCAACATCGTTGTCAAGTCCACGCTCCCGCTGATTATCTTTGCTCAGAGTTAAATACGAGCTGGTATCAATCTGCACCTCATCATCGGAGTTTGCCTCCGCTGCCTTCTGCTTCTTTAACCTAGCTTGAAGTTTATCTGCCTTGGAGCTGTCCTTATTCGTTCCCTTTTCATTCTTGCGTACAATCTTGCCCTGACCATGCTTGTCTGCTTGAAGCCATGGGTTGACGGCTCCGTCATCTGAGTCGTCATTGTCTTGTGCAGCATTCTTCCTCGTGCTTGTTCCTGCAATGCTGACATTCACAGGTCCAGCCACTTTAGTAGAATGTCCACCTGATAACGCAACCTTGTTGATTTGCCCACCACTGTTCATCTTGACGGCTTTGCCCTGGACAGCTGGTGTCGTTGAATCTGTATCGGCTGAAGCGGTAGTAGAGCTTCCAAAGATCATTCTTCCTCCAACACCAATAACAGTACCTGGCTCTGCCTCCTTAGATGCCTTGGCCTTCTTACCCTTGCCTTTGGTGGCTGATTGCCATTCCTCTTCGTCCTCCTTATCCAACCGTTCTCGCAATGCATCTTCTTCCATCATCTCTCTGCGGAATTCTTCCGCAGCAGCCTGAGCCTCCAGCTTGCTCCGCTTGGCCGCGTCTTGCATAAACTTCATAGCGAACACGCCCTTGCCAACCTTTGCCTCAAGAGCAGCATCTTGATCGTTGGCGAGCTGTTCCTCCACTTGAGCCAACTCATCGAATGCACGAGCCTTGACACCTTCAATATCATTGTCATCAAAGTCACTGTACTCGCTTTCTCCACCAGACATCTCCTCATCCGAATCAACATCCTGAATCTTGCGCCGAAGACGTTCACCGCGCTCGATTTGCTCTGTAATCGCCTGTCGCGACTCAGGATCGAAGTTGCCGTGCTTGAGTTGGTCTTTGGCCCACTTGCCTGTATTCTTATGCTTGAGAGTCATACGTTCCTGAGCTCTCTTCTGTTCTGCAAGTAAACGTTCTTCGCGTGCCTGTTCAGGATCAAGCTCCGCCATCTCCTCGGTCGTCAACGCATTACGTTCACGCTCCTTTTTCTTGATCTTATGGTACAACTTGCTCTTGATCTTTGAGATACGCTTCGCGCGGAGCTCCTCTCGGAACATAAGGTCGCGCATCTTGCGGAGTTCAGCCCGCCGCCTTTCAACCTCCTCTGTGGTCATTTTATTCAATGACAATTCCTCAAACTCCATCAGCTTCTTTTCTTGCATACCGCCCTCAACCAGAACAGTCTGGATCTCCTTTTCCATCGGTGTTGATGCGTCGAACTTGCTGGCAAGTGTTGCGCTAGAAGGCGTGTCTATTGGGGGTGCATTCATAGGGAAGGCAAGATGTTCTGCCTGGCGGTTCTGTTGGACAATGGGTAACCACTTGGTGACCTCCTTCTTTGCCTCATCATAAGCTGCTTGACGATTCAATCGATCCTGGACAACCTTGGGCAGAGGGGCTGCCAGGGTCTCTACAGTCTTGCCCTTCTTGGGACCATTCTCCAATGTCTGGACGTTCTTTTTTAAGGAGCTAAACCCAGCCTCATTCTGAACAGTGCTGATGAGATCCAACATATCCAGCTTCTTGTTTGTAGTACCTGTAGCAGAGTGAGCAGAAGCGGAGCGATGTGCCTGAAGGTTATACTCTGACTCGTCATAGGCCTCAGTTCTCTCACGCAGAGGCTTTCGAAGCTTCTTCCTGGAGGACGATTCCTGACTGTCTTCCTGCTTTCGCTTTGAGGGCTTTGTCTCCAGAGAGTCAATGAAGCTCGTAAGGCTTGACGTTTTATTCTCGTCGTCGTCGTCGTCGTTGTCGCCCTCCTCCTCCTCCTCTTCTTCATCCTCCTCCATATCCTCATCATCTTCATCTTCAGAAGCACCAAATTTAAAATCGTCCTCTTCACTTTCATAGTCATTAAACCCAGCGACCTTGGTCTTCTTAGGCAAAGCAACCTCCTCTTCCTCTGGTTGATTCAGCATTTCGGAGATATCCATATATTCTGCTCCCTCTTCTTCTTCTTCTTCTTCTTCTTCTTCTTCCTCTTCTTCTTCGCTATCCTCCTGATCCATATCTTCATCAGAATCGATTGGCTTATGCTTAGCCTAAAAAAAATAAAAATAAAAAATCAATATCCCATTATTGTCAAGAAACACTCACAATTATTCAGGTCCAGGAACTAAAGTAAATAAAGATAACTCTCATGGTCTTCCTTCCTCATATTTGCCTTACCTGAGTCTGCAGCATCTTCTTATTCTTCTTCTTTTCTCTGTCCTTGGATCCATAGAATTTGAAGTTCTCATATTTCTTCTCATCCTCTTCATCAAAGGCTTCATCCGAGTCGATCTCTTCATCATCCTCATCTTCGATCTCATCGACATTGTATTCATAGTTTTCGACTTTATCTAGACGTTGCTTACGGCGTCTAGCGTCCTTGGACTCTTCATCATCTTCAAGAGAGAAGACATTGGTGAGAGATTTGACAGTGGGTGCTCGTTTTCCACTTCCTTTACCACCATTGTTGTTGTTGGCTTTAGATGCACCACGGGCTTTCCTACTATGATTGTTGCTTTGTGGTCTCCTTCCTGTGCCTCTGTTGCCTCCACTATTACTACCACCTCGTCTTCCTGGAGCCATAGCTTTTTTTTTTTTTTTTTTTTTTTTTTACTCTGTCTGTAATTTATAAAATATATATGTATAAGATGGTTTCTGTGTATCCCTCTCTTGTCTTAAAAGTAGTTGCAAATTAAGGAGCCTCAAGTTTTTGGTACAGAACTATACTGAGCTGAGCCAGCAAGAATGAAGAAAGAGAGAAGAGAAATGAATGAGGATGAGAGTGTATTGAATTGGTAAATGAATAGGGAAAAAAAAAAAAAAAAAAAAAAAAAAAATGCATGCCTCTTTTCTGTATCAAAGCAACAAGACTTCAGTGACTGCCATAAAAAAAAAAAAAAAAAAGAAATATACACAAAAAAGTAAACAAAAAATAACTTAAATCCTGGAACTATTTCTCATATATTCAAGCGAGCTTTTTTTTTTTTTTTTTTTTTTTTTTTTTTTTTTTTCTTTGCCAACTTCGCCCAAATGATTAAGATGGTCAAGATAGAGGGGATGGTATAATGTCTCTTTAGAATTTTTTTATTTCTATCTACTTATTTATTATTATTATTATTATTATTTTTTTTTTTTCAAGAACTATCTGGATCTAACCATCCATCCGAGTATGCCATGAAAGGTTTATTCTTATAGAGTGAAGGACGAGTCAATCGATCTTGATCCTGACCTTGTTCTTGCTGTTGATCACGATGATGGTGCTGATGCTGGTGCTGCTGCGACGATATAACCCTGGATGTAACACCCTTTTTCTCTCCCTCTTTACTTAATACTCCAAGGCCAATACCCACGGAGCTAACACGTCTAGAACTGAGAATGGAAGAGTTGCGCTTGTCCCGCTTCAATGCCTCAGGAGGTGGTAATCGTGGTGATAATTGTGTATTATGGCGTTGTTGAGTATTGCTAAAAGACCTTGCAGTCGTACTGCCTACTTCATTGCTCTGTGATGAGGAAAAAGGCGCTGCAAGAGATGAAAACGAGGACATTGGAGGCGACGAGGGTGAGGACGATAACACATGCCTGTTGCCGCCGCCAAGCTGCATTGCTGCAATCCCACGATGAAGACCTTCTCTAGATGATAGTACTGATGGTTTCAATGACGTTGGATGTGTCTCTGTCCGAGCGTTACTGTCTGTAGATGATGATTTTGACCAAGTTTGGGGATCCACTCCATCTGAAAACCCTCCTGGCATTGTGTTCAAAGCGCCAGACGCTGATGAATGGTAGGATCTTTGTGGACTTGACGGTTGTCGATGATTGATTGAAGGACGACGAGCGTCAGATGATTTTCCTGCTGTATGCGTTGTTGTTGAGGTGAGAGAATATGGGGCCGAGGGTTTATTATTCCTTGAAGATGCGGTTTGTCCTTGATGATCACGATCCCTATGCCTCTCCCCATGCTCAGAGTCAAGAGACGGTCGTGGCAACTTTTCAACATAGACGTACTCATTTTCTGAGAGAGCCTCGTTCACATCATTATACTCATCCGAATCATGGTCACTCAATTCCCGTGGGCCTCCGCCTGCTCCCATTTGCATTGCATAACGTCGAATGCCAACTCGACCCTGGAGACGACGATGAGATATCTTTGGAGAGTTCTGTCCATATCCAGTATCACTCCTGTACTGACGATATCCATTCGGCTGTCCAGAATTCTTGATGGCCCCTAAACCATCTTTGGAGACCTCGGATCCGTTCAAACTGTTGGGTCCACTTTTGCTCCCAGGAGATTCTGCACGGTAACTTCCAAGGTATTGCAAAGACGTCGGTCTCTTGGGCGGTACAGAACGGAATGCGAAGTGTTCTAGATTCTGAGCATAAGGTGAAATTGTCTGATTGCTGTGAATGAGATTCGCAAACTGATTAGCGAGATGGGTTGACTCGGCGATTCCAAGGGATGGCTGTATAGGATTGTCACGTAGGGATAGCCTTTCCATGGTTGAGAATGTAGACGCTCCTGTATGTTCATGATGGTCTGTGGTATGAGATGATGAAGATGGCCTTCTGCTTGTCCTCCTTGATGAAGATGAAGATGATCGGCCCAAATTTGGGTTGTTCGCAGGGTGACTAAGCGATTCCTGTAATAGATCACGTTGTGCATCGGGATGATAGTCTGTATGTGGGTCGCGTCTAGGATCAGAGTCAGGGGATTCTGAGCGTACTGTAGATCTGGTAGACTTTGGGGCAATTTTTAAACCTTCCTGATCATAGTGTGTACCCATGCTCAGATCTGGTTCTGAACTGGTCTTTCCAGGGACCTTCTTCCGGCTGGATTGCATCGAGGCACGTCTGGAAGGATTCCGGGAGACCATGGGTGTTCCTAGCCCACCATCGTAAATGCCGGCTCGTCCATAGATCTCGTCCTGTGAATGTTGCCTTGAAATTTCTTCGGGCCTTTTTGTAAATTGCTGTGAAAGGTTGTGGATAGCCGTTGGAAGATCCTCCTGGAACAGATTTCGAAGCTGTTTTTCAATTTCGGATTGTAAGAAACGCTGGATGGGTGTGATGCTATCAAAGGTGGAGCTAACTAGGACAGATTCCAATGGGTCATTTTTGAAGACGAGGGTGATTCCTTTAATCTGATCTACTACCAAAACGATAATGCCGCGTAATTTGAAATCACTGATCCTGAGAAGCATAGGGACGACTAATGGTTGATCTGCTGCTAAAATCCCACGCCGGGTATATGAAGGGTTGTCGGTCTTCTTGACATTCATGGGATTAGCCTGTTAGTGGAGAGGGATGATATTGATATTGATGTTGATGTTGATATTGATATTGATAGTTGGATCAGAATCAAGATATAAAAGCGGAGCTAAATCATCTTTGTATTTCAATTGAGTTTGATGATGAATTAAAGAGTGAGACATGACCCAAAAAGGTGTACCTGAACTTTTGTTTGGAGTACAATGTGTGCATCACCGTTGTAAGTAAGCTTGAAGATACCACGGAAGCGCTCCATTGATAATTCGCCCATTTCCAACATTTCTAATTCAGGGGGCTGGTATGAATGGACAATGTCCATGCATATCATGCATAATGGTGCAATTAGTACACAATACACAAATAAATATTCATTTATTATTATTTTTCAAATGATCAAATTTCTTTTACCAGCGTGCCCATATCTAATTCCTTTACAGTAATATGGTCAACAATGACTGCAGGCTTGTTGCCTTTGTTAAGTGCATTGGTGAGCATGGTCTTTGCTTCTTGGATAAACTCATCTGAGAAATAAGGCCATTGAAATCGAAATGCCATGGTGAATCCAGTTGAATGTCGTCGATTTAATGTATGACCTTTTTTTTTTTAAGTTCGACTGTTGAAGTCGTTATTTGCAGCTTTGCTGTGCGGGTTGTCTTGTTGTTTCCTTTTATTAAAAAGCTAATTGAAATGGTGCAGTTGCGCGATCACAACAGGACCGTGCAGGTCATGAAGTCTGTCGGAATAATCTCCCGTAGTTATAAAAAAAAAAAAACAAGAAAAGAATAAAACTCGATGGGGAACACTGAACGATTAGAATGGAGATATTCTCCTTTGGTTAATCCGATTTTAAAAGTGAAAAAGAATTACTGGAGAGAGTATGGGATGCAGAGGTAATTTAAATTAGTGTGTGTGTGTGTGTGTGTGTGGAATGAGAAGGAAGAACTGCACTCTTTTAAAATAATAAAAAAATATAGGAATGAGAATATGGTTGATCCGAAAAAGGAAAAGTGACTGTTTGCAATTAGACAAATGTTCAAAAACAAATTTATACACCCACATTCTTTCCTTTTGCTCATTTCACAAACAAGCATTGAAAGGAACAACAGACATGGGTGTTACAAAAAAGACAATCACTCCTGGCGATGGGATCAATTTCCCAAAAGCAGGCCAGACCGTTGTCATACACTGTAAGTATCCAGAAGATAGTTTTTTTTTTTTCTTTTTTTTTTTCATAGTGTAAAGATCGCATCCAACCAAATGACTAACAATAATCTTGACTGGAATGTAATTAGATACTGGGACTGTAAGGAGCTAAAATGGCTAAAATGGATTATGTATACGTTCAAGGATGTTTGAATATTATCTCTGGAGAGAATCGATTACGGGATTGTTACGGCTCATGATCTAATTTGATACATAATATTGTATAATACAGCTGGAAAATGGTCGAAAGTTCGATTCTTCTAGAGATCGAGGCGAGCCCTTTGTAACTCAGATTGGCGTTGGTCGTGTCATCAAGGGATGGGACAAAGGCATGCTGTTTTTTTTTTTATTTTATTTTTTTATATATATATATATATATATCTTTTTATTGTTTATTTATTTATTTAATTTCAGTGATACACTTACAATGGAGTCCTAAAGACGTTTTTTTTTTTTTTTTTTTTTTTTTTGTCTATGTGCAATCGTAGGGGTGCCACTGATGTCTGTTGGCGAACGAGCGATTCTTCATATAACTTATGACCATGCATATGGTGCACGTGGCATGCCTCCTGTGATTCCAGGTCTTTCGAACCTGATTTTTGATGTCGAATTGTTGGAGATCCGCGACTAGATGGGAAGCAATCAGATTAGATATTTTGTATAATACAACATAAACTTACTGCTTCATCCCTTTCCTTTCCTTTCCTTTCCTTTCCTTTCCTTTCCTTTCCTTTCCTTTCCTTTCCTTTCCTTTCCTTTCCTTTCCTTTCCTTTTCTTTACTGACTGTGACAGCTTATGTGAATTAATCTCCGGATTTGTTCCGCACAGGCCAATTGAATGAAAAAAAAAAAAAAAAAAAAAAAAAGCGCCCTTTTTCCAGCTCTGCTCTTACTCTAAATTATGATTCCGTAACACGACCGAGATGAGCTCTAGTCCATAGACACAGTATCGAAAAGAATGCAAATGTTCAACATCTATATTTCTGATAATAATGCGCAAAAAAAAGATTTGTCCGAGTAAGGATTGCTCCTGTTGCTGCAAAGCCCCTAGATTTGTCCCAAAGTTACAAAGGGATGGAGGGAGCGCAAGGACCCTTTTTGAAAAAAGTCATCAACTGTCTTTGCCCCTCACCTTTGTTTTATTTGGAGTCCAAAAGATACGTTGCAAAAAAAAAAAAAAAAAAAAAAAAAAAAAGGCGGCAAAGGTAATCAAGCAATAGAGAAAGGAAAGGAAAGGGAAGGAAAGGGAAGGAAAGAAAGAGTTGAGAGAGGAATGGGGAGGGGAGAAACGGCTGAAAATGAAGAAATGGGCGTGGGGATGTCAATCTTCACCATCCCCCTTTTCTTTTCTTTTTTTTTTTTCTTTTTCTTCATTTGTGTCCATTGTCCCCCCAAACAAAGAGGCGGTTTTCTTTCATTTTGTCAAGGCAATGGTGTGACTTGGCTCTTGGTCCATCTTCATTAATCTCTCTCTTGCTTTCTCTTTCTCCCCACCCTCTCTTCTCTCCACAACACCAGAAAACCTTGTCTTTCCTTTTGGAACAGATTGGCGGAACTCTTTCCTTTTCTTTTATATTTTATTTTATTTTATTTTATTTTATTTTTATTTTTATTTTTATTTTTTATTTTTTATTTTTTATTTTTATTTTTATTTTTATTTTTATTTTTTATTTTTTATGTCATTTTTTTTAATATTTGTTATTCTCTCTTCTCTTTTCCTTTCTTTTTCTCTTTCTTTTTCTTTTTTCTCTTTCTCTTTAGTTTCCTAATTTCTAATTTCCTAATTTCCTAATTTTCTAATCTCTCAATGGACGTATATTCTCTTACAAAGAAACAGAGGCCCACGCATCTGACAAGAGCACAAGTTGATAAGCCCGCTACAATGGCTCCTTCGGCCCAACAACCACAACAACAACAACAACAACAACAACAACAACAGAAACAGCAACATTCACAGTTGCCACCAGAATATCGACAAGCACTTTTAGAGCAACAACAACAGCAACAGACTGTTTTGGGTGCACCTCCGACTATGCAGGATATTGCGAATAAACACTCCCAATTGCCACCACAGTATCGACAAGCAGTTTTGGAACAGCAACAAAAAGAACATCAACAGCGTATGCTTCAACAACAACAGAAGCAGCAATCGCCATCACAATCTCCGAGGGTTGATGCACAAAGTCATTCTGTGAATGGAGTCAAAGGAACGAATGGCACAGTCCACAACAAGGGTGCGACAGAGAATTCGTCTCCACAAAAGAACTTTTCAGGACCCTTGACCAGCTCTTATCGATCGGAACGTAGTAATAGTTTCTACGGTACGACTTCAGGACCAAGTCGAGCTCATTGGAAGGTATGCCCCTGATTGCCCCCTCTTTAGACTTTTTTTTTTTTTTTTCTTTTCCTTTCTTTTCTTTGTTGTAATTAATTGTTTTAATTGTTTACTTTTTAACTTTGTTGTTAAATTGATATTGCTGCAAGTGGTTTTTTTTTTCATGTACATGGCAACATCATTATCTTTTTTTTTTTTTTTTTTTTTTTTTTTCTTCCAAAGAAAGAGGATAGATACCCAACAACTTTTTTAATTCTTTTTTTGCTCAAATAAGAAAACGTTATTTTTATTAAAAATTGAGCGCTAAAAAAAAAAAAAAAAAAAAAAAGATTTGGATTTGTCTTATTCTTTGATCCATTTCTGTCTCGTAACAGGAACAACTTTTTATTAATAATCCGCCCAATCATGTCTAATCAATAATATTTAGCCCGATAGCAGTACTCAGGTCTGCACTTGGCCTGGATGTCACCTGGAGTTTGGCTTCTTTGACCGAAGACACCATTGTCGCAAGTATGTCCAAGGTTTTTTTTAATTCTTTCTTACTTTGGTTTTTGTTCATCTGTTCATCAACCTATTTATTAACCCTAGATCTCTCTCTCTCTCTCTCCATTTTATTCCATTAGGTGTGGCGATATCTTTTGCAGTGCTCATTGCTCAAAGTCAGTTCCACTGGATTATGCATTGGATTTCAATCCAGCGATGGGCGTCATGAGTAGAGCTTGCATAGGCTGTTTCGAAGCTTATGAGCAATGGCAAGGCCTCATCCCTTCTTCTCCCTCATCTGGTGGTTTTGCCAACACAGCCCGAGGCATCTTTGGTTTAACTTTTGATAATATAGGGGAGTATCCTAAAAACGGAGCAACTTCCACCACTACTACCACCACCACTACTACTACAACTAATAATGCTACGACGGCAACAGGAGGAAACAACACCAATGGGAAGAAGGGTCCAAACACAGATGCTACTCTAGGCGAAACCATGGGTCGAGATGGTGAGTTTTTTTTTTTTTAAGAAAAAAAAAGAAAAAAAAAAAAAAAAAAAAAAGCTTAAAAAAAAGCCTTTTTTAAAAAATGCTTTTGCTTTACTAAAAAGACATTTTTCATCAAACGAATCTAGACATTGTGCGTCTCCCTAAATCAGCCTCGGAAAATATTGCGATCAAGACTCGGCCAGTTCAAGGTAAAAAAAAAAAAAAAAAAAAAACAATCCTTTATTTATCGGGCGTTAATTGTAATTTTCAAACATTTGTAATAATGCAGTGTTGTAATCTTGCGATGTTAATTGATCTTGTTTTTCTTCCTTTGATCGAGTTATTGTAGATACAAGTGTAATGCCTATGCCTTCGGTTCCACATGATTGGTCCTGGAGTACTTTTTAAAAAAAAAAAAAAAAAAAAAAAAAAGTACCGGTATCCAAACGAAACACAGCATCCATCCTCATTGACTCCATTCTTCATACTCCATACTCCATTCTCCATACTCCATACTCCATTGTCAGGACAACTCTTTCCCATTTTTGCATTTCGGACATGTCAAAGTGTTTCCCTAGTCCTTAATTAGACCTCTTTTTATTCTTTATATGTATCTTTTTTCTTTTTTCTTTTTTATATCTTCTATTTTTTATTACTGCATATTAAAGGATGAGTGGAGAGTCATACAAGAGAAAAAAAAATCAAAATCAAAATCAAAATCAAAATCAAAATCAAACCATATGATCGATTAATTGTCTCCTGGAAGGTCTTTTATACCCGACTCTCTGCTTCATGAGGCGGAAAATAATGTAATTATAATCAGTTCAGCTGTTGGAGTGAACCCTCGAATATAAACTATTCATCAATGTGTAGTATAGAAAGATATGTACATGTAGATCTTTTAGCCGAGTTTTCGGATGCACAGATGCATGCATGTATGCATGTCATACTCTTTAAATGTTCCCATCTCCATTTTTGCCACGTGGTTTGGCCCTTTATTTATTCCATAACCATTATTTCAACTACACACATCTGAAAGAAAGTTTGGTCAACATGGAGAGAAGCACTATATTCAATCCTTTTTCTTGCTCTTTTTCCTCAGGATGTACTGCCCAAAAAACCTCGGTAGCTACCTATATTGACTTCATTAACAAAAGTGTAAATCCCCATCCTGGTTGATGAAGCCTTTTTGTATGTCGCCTACGGGCTGTTTGCCAGGGGTTCAAAATAAAAACCTGGTGCACATGACACAAAATATGACTTCACTTTAAGCCCCATACATGTGTATACATAAATTTGATTGTCCTTCTTTTGCCACACTTTTTTTTTTTTTTTTTTTTTTTTTCCATCTTTCTTTCCTTCACTTCCTTTCCATCCTGTCTTCTTTACAGTAACATCGACTTCTCGATCAATCACACTCTTTATTACTCTCAAATCAATTCTATTCAGCACTCAATTACACCAAATCTCAGAGGAAATTTCACTCTTTTGCATTCTCGATAGAGAGTCTGTCGCATTCCCTGTGGACATCAATCCCCAGAAGACTATCGACCATCTCAAGACTTTTTCTGGCTTTGCTCAAATCTCTGGTAAGATGTCTTCTCGATTGTTTGTAAATTTAGCACCTGAGTATCATATCAGGCCTATTCCAGGGGTTGAAGGATCTATTACTCGAACGATCGTCAATCAACGGAAAAGGAAACGATTTGAAGATCTAGAGGATTTTAAAGCAAGGGGTACCAAAGAGTACAAGTCAATTATATTTTGACCGAAAGACACAGACTGAGCTAGGAGCCTGCTTGAACATTGTCTGATACAATAAATAGTAAAATGATCTACTACTTTAAATACTTTTTGCTAAAAATATCTCTGAGATTTTGATATCCATATGAAATAATGAAAATGATGATACAAAAACTGAACTGTTCACTCCAAGAGAGATTGTTGATTCACTCAAGTGCCCATTCATTCATAATTACGAGAGTTATCCTATTCAAAATTGTGGATCCATTTCATTGTTCCATCTCGGGACTATGGCCTTCGGTGAAATATCCATCTAGTGGATAGACTTGTGATTCGCTCTCTAATAAAAAAAAAAAAGGACACTCTACCCACCACCAATGAGCGAGTAAGAAGATCCCCATTGTACCCATAGCAGTGCATTGTGAGTAGACTTTTCTTTTTTTATAAGAGACCGAATTGCGTATTGTTCAAGAGGACAGACTACTAAGCGCATGATAAAACTGTATATATGCACTTTCTTAGAATTCAGAGAGGGCAGCAAATGAAAGACTTTTATAAATGGATATGACTGGATTCTTTTCCAGAGTTCGGCCTGTTTAGCCTTATTTCAGAATAGTCGAGCAGACTTTGTCAACGCGGACATTAGGTCTCTCGTACAGTACAATCTGGAGCGCTTCAGTCTTTTTTTTTATTTTTTTTTTATTTTTTTATTTTTTTTTTACATTGAATGACAATGGCTGCTACAGCAGAAAGACTACCCTTCTCAAGTGCAAAATAGTCCTCTTTTGCCCCTCAAGATATCCAACCATCTTCTTGTCAGGGATATTAAAAATTAGCGTATATTTTAGATCAATAATGGATTTGGTTTACTATGTCTAGGAATAGGCGGTGTTGACCCATTATCTGCAGTAGATGAGGATGGGGATGGCGAGGTAAGGTGAGTCCTACTGGACATGGGATTGTCCATTGGCGTCAATTCTACTGGCCTCCATGCCCAGCCTGGACTCACTGACGGACGACGTATATGATCATGGTTGGTGGTAGCGGCAGTAGTAGAAAGTGGATGGTTGCCATAGTTTGCTTTGACTTCAGGATTTAAAGGCTTTGTACCGACATCGATCTTGTAATGTTGTGCCTTACCACTGGCTTCTTTTCTTCTTTTTTCCCCTAGAGCTGCTTTTGCTGCTGCCATGTCTTTATCGGTGACCCTTCTCCAGACTTTATGCCGACGCTGTCGCAGAGTGAACAAAATCAGGGCCACCGTCACGGCTGCTCCGATCACCATGACAATAATGAGTGCTTGATTGGCTTTCATGTGCTCTTCCTCCGTTCCTGTGTTGGGTCCGGGACTATTGTTAGCGGCTGCAGGCAGGTTCGAGGCTGTAACTGTTGGAACATTAGTTCCACTTGGGTCGTCCTTGAAGCCATAGTCTTCAAGGATCGAGACGACTTTACCTGGAAGCATGACGCTGCTATAGGTCCCTTTCAAGGGGATACTATAGGTTCCTCCTATGTCTGAGATGAACAGGAAAGGTGTAGGATTACCAGGGAATGCGGTCAAAGTACCAGAGTATCTAAAATCGTAATCTGTTACTACAGGGGGGTGTTGAATAAATTCCTGTCCATTAAAGCTGAAGATCAGAGTAGTAGGTCCTGGCTGAAGACCATAAGGGAAAGAAAAAAAAAAAAAAAAAAAAAAAAAAAGAGAGAGAGAGAGAGAGAGAGAAAAAGAAAGACGCCATAAAATACAACAAGTTAGTTTCAATAAAGTCTCTCCGATAGCTTTTTAGAATGTAAATGAAGAAAATACCATGCACTACACTGCTTACTGAACAAAGGGCGACTATTTCTGTACCCGCATTGAACATGAAAAGCGCTCCATTATCGCAGGCATTATCGACTATCGTGGCATTGAAGGCTTGTGGCAAAGCTGGTGGAGGGGTTGTTGACGCGCTGGAGATGGGGAATACAAACAGCGCTCCAGACTCTCGACCTATCTTAGTATGGTCATTACCTAACGCATAGAGTCTGTTGTTCATAAAAGTCGCAGTCTTTGTGTTTGCATATGGGCTGTTTGTCTACAGAAAGATTAGAGAAAAAAAAAAAAAAAAAAAAAAAAAAAAAAAGCTCCGATTCAGTAAAAGAACATCAATAGATTCTAATATGGAAAAGGAAATCAACTTACAATATTCCATGGTGGCCCTAGATTCATGGTCAAGGTTGAAGGATCCATTGCAGCCACCAGAAGGTTCATATTCTTGGAAGAGGAAAAATTATGCATCAAGTTGTTTTTCCCTTGCGAGTCCTTAAAATTAAACAACGTCCCATGTCCTTGAAAGGGATATTCTTGTGGCACTGTGATGTTTCTCCATGTCCCTGATCCTGCTGTGCCTGTGGGCGAGGGTATATATTGCATTCCATGATACTGAGCGCCACCACTTGCCCTGGTGTTTTTGAAACGAAGGATAAACGAGAACACACCGGTATCATCAATAGCACAGTTATAATTGGTTGGAGATATCTCCGCATCATCTAGGGTTGCGAGCCCTACCGTAGGAACGACACTAATGAGGCTCCAGCTAAGGGTTTTCAGATCAAAGGACGGATTGTCATTACTTTTAATAAGGACGTAGAAGATCTTTCCGGTAACGGTGTCAAAATGATATGATAGTCCGTAGAGACGGACGTTGTCCGAACAGAGGCAGTATGGTGGAACGTATCCCATGATTGTGCCTATACAAAAAAAAAAAAAAAAAAAAAAAAAAAAAAGAAAATGAAAAAGACAAAGGACAAGATAAGACAGAGCACAAGGACTAGAAGAGAAGTAGGGGGGGAGGAAAAAAAAAAAAAAAAAAAAAAAAAAAAAGAGGCAACAAAGGGCGTTAACGTAAGCTCAAATTAGCATACATCTATTCCATGGTTTTTTTTTTAATTGGAGGGAACATGAAGGCATGAGGGCATGGAGGGAAATAGACCTGTAAACAAATATGCAGCCAAGTGGGAAAAAAAGAAGAAAAAAAGCGTCCATCTGTACTTCAGTTTTTAGTGTACATGTACTGTAGCCCTTTGTGCCACAGTACGATTAATCAGGTTTCCTATTTTAGAGTGTTTTAAAACACACGCACAATAGATGCAAACAAGTCGACCAAACCATTTGCTTCGACTATCGTTCAATGTCTAGCTAAATTTCCCAACAAAGCCATATTGTAACATTAATTGTGGTGTCTGCAAAAAATTAATTAGAAGGTCGATTTTACTTTTATTTTTTAGGAAGGATGCGAATGAGATGGAATGGGTGGTGCACGCCTTTCCTCCGATGAGCCTAAATTTCGATCAATTTGGGCTTGGGCTTGAGCACCTGTGTAACCAATCCCTGGCGAGGGCGATACGACATGACTTTGTGAGGGAGACAAAAGGTTTTGTTGTTCAGGATGACGGATGACCGTATTCATTGCTCCGGGTTGATATGACTGATTCGACCGTGATTGTGATTCAATGAGCTGAGGCCCAGGTTGAAGAAGAATCTTTGGATCACCATATTCACCGCCACTGCTATTCGACTCCTCCTTCAGCAAAGGCTGTTGCGCTGCAGCAATAGCGGCATCATTCTTTGCCGCTTTCCTCTCTGAGTGTCGTACGTAGAGCAAATGCCCAAATGCTCCAACCATCGCCAACAAGATCAAAACAGTTCCTAAAATCATTCCCCAGTCAGGCGCAGTCGAATGAAGTCGTCCGGAGGGGCGGACCGTGCGGTGAATATCGGGTGAAGACCCCCTTTCCTCGCCAAAGGGCTCTGTGACACTGATAGGATAGCTAACATTGGACCACTGACCAGCATGTGGACCACTCAGGGTGAACTGGTGGATCGAACTCACGTTCGATTGATCGATAGCTTCTGTGTAAATATATGCTGGATTCATGTTCCGTTCTCCAAACACTGTAGAATGAATCGCTTTCACGCCAAACCTTGGATAAACTGAGCCAATTGGTATATCTCTGGCAGTCGAGAAATTAGCAATATTCATAGTAAACAATTGGTTTTGCTGAACCCGTGTGATGTTGTTCTAGTCAATAGAAAAACAGAAATTAGTAAAGGGCCGATCCTCACATTAAATGAAGTTCATCCTGCATAAAAAGAATACTGCTTCTTGCCGGCGATTTACAATTTGAGCAGAGTATGTAATATAGTATGTATCATCAAAGAAACCTGCATTAAAAAAAATCGCAGAATCCAACTCGGGGCTGGCTTCAGTGAACTTGGTGAACACCTTTGGTCCGAGGAATTGGAGATCGGTAGGAGGTTGAGGAGCAATGGTTGGACTGTTGAGTGGGATAGTGATTATACTAACAGTATTATTTCGGAATCCCGGGTTATCTGAGATAATGTAAAGGGTATTTTTGTGAAACCTCACTAAAGTGGGCAAGAACGATGGCTAAATAAAAATAGGTCAACTAATTGAATTATATTTATATTGATGAATAGAATGAGAAGGCAGACTTTGCACTTACAAACATCCAATCTGGCCCCTTATTGAACTGTAACGATATATTGTCCAGCACACCAAAATGAAGCACACTATTAGAGTCGATCCAGGAATGAATTAGCACATTGTTTTGTGAAGCATCCGTCATATGGAAGAGGACCGTAGCTTTAAGTCCCTCGGCGGTCCAAGGATAAGGAGGCATCACATCCACATTCTTCCATCCACCGATGCCAGTATTCTGACCCTCCTCTGTAACAGAGTAGAGAGGGCTGAATTGGACTCCTGCAGAACTGAAGACATCAGGTGTCTTCTCAACGCCCGTACAAATGTATGTGAACACTTCCTAACATCAGACGAAGAGGAAGAAGGCGGTGATGGGGAAGTATGGCGACATCCTTAGCTGATTGTTAACTGCAGTCTTTTTTTTTTTGCGAAAATATGAATGCACACATGCACACACCTTTTCATCCACATAGCACATGCGACTGCCAACTCTTTTCGATAAATCATAAAGTACGGCTGCTTTGATGGATGAGAGTACGGTCCATGCAACGTCTGCAGCGGATTTTGGGTCTGGATTTGACTTTATCAGAATAACACGCGGGCTCAAATCCTCCATGTCTGTTTCCACAGCAATTCCATATAGATGATGTTGGTTTGAGGAGAAGCATATGGGGCTGAGGATACCCATAATGTAGAATAAACTAAAGATCTAAAAAATGCGTATTGCAAAAAAAAAAAAAAAAAAAAAAAAAAAAAAAAGGAGCGAAGCAACGGCTTGAATAGTGTGGTGACGAAGACACAAACTTAAGGAAAGTAGTGGTGGGTGAGGAATTAAAAAAGAAAAAGGAAGACTGAAGAATAAAAAAAAAAAAAAAAAAAAAAAAAAAAAAAAAAAAGAGAGAAAAGAGAAAAGAGAAAGAAAGCGTTTGTCCACGCCAATGCACACACCCAATGATGTTGTGGGCTCTCTTTCTCCTCTCTCTTGAAGTCAACAAACCTCCAGATCGCCCAACAGCTTATTTATACAAAGCAACAAAATAAGGTTATATTTTATTTTACTAAATCTCTATTGGTGGCACATTGCGTCTGAACAATTGTAGGGTATCCAATTTCAGATATGGACGCGTACTGGGCCGGGATGGCGATATTGTAGTTGACTGTGCATGCGCATGCTGTTCTTCTGCTCGGGTATCATGATATTCATCCTGGGTTGATGGTAATGTTGTTGTTGCTAGAGTCTAGATGATCACAATCCATAATTTCGAATAAGGAATCCTACGCGCTATCATTGTCTTTAGTATCCTCAACGCGAAGGCACCCCATTACCATGGAAAAGAATGAGGAAAACCTCTTCACGAGTATGGGTAGAGAAGGGTTAGATACATTTAAATAGCCATGCTACACCAGTTCTGGAGATGAGGACGACGGAGGAGGAGGAGAGAAGAAACTAATGATGTCAATGGCATTGAAAATGATGATAATGAGGTGTTTCAAAATAGATCGACAAGAGGCCAGAGCTTGTTCGCCACAGTGCCTCATTTTCTTCCTCCAGAACACTAAGAGCAAGCAAAGCAAAAGGCCGATATGTCCATGGTACTTAAAGGCTACACATCACTCCTTCTTGGTCGTCAGGAGCACAATAAAGGATCAACTTAATAAAGACAGCTTGACCCATTGTATTTGCATGTTGGTTTTCATCGCTGACCCGATATAATAAAAAACATCATAGGGCGAATGCAAATGGCACAGACACATGTGCCAGAAATGAAAGGCATGAACAATGAGGCAGAATATTAAATGTATAAAATGGATTATTAGTTAAACTCCTGGTTATGTCAGTCAATGGCAATTATAACCAGGATTTAGGAGATACATTCCTGTTTCCCATAATCACGCTCGAGAAAAAATACAAAACTATTCTCTCTCGAAGGCCTCTTCTTTTCTTTCCCTTCTTTCTCTCGTTTGCCATTTCTTTTTTTCTTTTTTCTTTTGTCATTGCTGAATCAATAGTGCCCTCGGACAGTTGGTCCTGGCCTGATTCCTAGGGATGGGAAGGGAACAGGAACACAGCACTCTGACAGAACTAGAGGACATCCATTGTTTAGAAAGAATAAAATTAAGGATCTAAGTAGAGTGTATTAAAAAAAAGCGATGGATTAGGTTAGGCTCGTCACCAGCCTGAGGACGAAGTAGGCTCGTCACCAGCCTGAGGACGAAGTAGGCTCGTTCCCAGCCCTCTCCGTAAGTGCATCTTTATCAAAATGTTTCCAAATTTGGATGCTACTTACTGGAGGGGCTGGTAGATAACTCAACTAGGCTCGGTGCCACCCTGTCTGCAAAGCGGCAAGAATAAAGGAAAAATGCACCCCCCCCCGTCAAGTTGAATTTTGACCCCCGGTTGAAAATTTCTAAAACACCCCCGCGAACACCCCCTCTATTCGGAATTCTAAGCCCCGTCCCCCAGTCAGAATTCCGTTACCCCCCCGTCAAGATTCCCAAAAAATATAATTTTGACCCCCCCGTCAACATTTTTATTGCTGCAAATTCTCACGCCCCCGCCAACATTTAGGGCTCTTTTTTTTTTTTTTTTTTTTTTTTTACAGATGATTATTCTGCGGGGTCTACATCTCTTTCTTTTAGAGAGGTTCATCACTCACACTATTAGAATGAAGACATGATCGTGGAAATGAATTTTTTTTTTTTTTTTTTTCAGAAAAAGTCACATGGCTACATGGATGATGATTTAGGTCCCGTTATTATACTGGTCTTGCTTTTAGAGAGGTCTTTGCCAATTATACATCTATTGCTTAATATACTTCTTGTATTTGATGGGTATTTAACTAGCAAACGGCAGCGTTACAAAGCTTTATCTGATTACTTGATTTGGAGTGAGAGGCAAAAAAAAAAAAAAAAACAGATTAAAATGTTGAGGGGGGGTGAGGATTTAAACAATTAAATGTGGATGACGGGGGGGTAACAATTCTGAATAAAGGGGCAGTGCTCTTAATCGATTCGATACAACCGAAATTGAATGGGATTGAATGCATTCGATTCGGTTTCGGCTCAGGGTAAGTTTGTACCGAAATTGAATGCTCCATTCCTGTATCGAATCGAATGAATCGAATGTGTTGAATGATACCCTTAATATGTAGCATGGGTCGTATGATTATATCGAATGCATCGAATGTATCGAAACCGTTTACCGAATGTATCGAAACCGTTTACCGAATGTATCGAAGCCGATTTACCGAATGCATCGAAACCGATTTTTTAAGCGCATCGAATGTATCCAGTGCTCCTATTCGAACTGAAATTTTGTCAATTGATATTTATTTTTTTGAAACATCATAATTGACAAAATTTCAGTTCGAATAGGAGCACTGAATGTATATAGTTAGGCCCCAGTCATCAAGCGACATCTGTAGATCCTCCTGCAGTAGTTTGATGTAAAGTTGTGCGTCCATATTATTGTCAATCTTTGCAATGTATCCAGGTCCGTACCATGAGAAGCATGACCACACTTTAACGTTACCACCCCCAAACTTGACAGTGCCTTGCACCGACCTGCGAGTGAGGCGTCCCGGATTGTCGTCCCAGATCCACTGCACGCCATCAGAGCAGATTCGGTTTATTTTCGATTCATCTGACCAAATAACCTTTTTCCAATCTTCCAGAGTCCATTCCTTATACTTGTTGAGAAAATGCAAACGGGCTTTAATATGCCGTCGACGTAAAGCTGGCTTATGTACACGCCTCTTTGCTGTCAATCCTAACTCCTTGAGCCGTCGTCTAACGGTGGTCTCAGAAACAGCCGCTGGTATGAGCTGGTTGGCTCTGACAGTGGCCTCAACTGCAGACTTGAGTGTACCTCGTTTCATGTTCACCTTAAGATACTGCATGATACCTCTAGGTACTTTCCTTGGTCGACCGCCTTTATTGACTGGCATGTACTCCTTATTATGTGCATACACTATCATGCAAAACTGATTCAATAATTCATTCCCATGTGCATTTCTTTTTTTCATTCCTAGAAACCGTATATGCATACACCACTCATACTTTGGTTTAATAAAACTCCCGTCTTCTTCTACGACATAGTGATGCGTTGTGACATTAGCTTGTCTCATTTGAATAGCTAATGACTTTTTTGTTCATGCAGGTAATTGAATCAGTTTCACATGTGGTCTAAAATGTTGCCCATGACAACTTTTGGACGTCATTTAATGCCAGTAAAAAAAGGACTTTTCTCTCTTTCCTTTATGAACACTTGCTTAACTCTCTCTTAACTATACCTTCACAGAATATGAGACCCACTCCACAAAGGAAAGTCAACGAAGCCAGGAGGTTAATGATGGGAGGCATGTCTACTAGAGAAACTGCTGCTAGTGTTGGTATATCAATAGCGACGGCCACCAGGATCTATGCACATAATAAGGAGTACATGCCAGTCAATAAAGGCGGTCGACCAAGGAAAGTACCCAGAGGTATCATGCAGTATCTTAAGGTGAACATGAAACGAGGTACACTCAAGTCTGCAGTTGAGGCCACTGTCAGAGCCAACCAGCTCATACCAGCGGCTGTTTCTGAGACCACCGTTAGACGACGGCTCAAGGAGTTAGGATTGACAGCAAAGAGGCGTGTACATAAGCCAGCTTTACGTCGACGGCATATTAAAGCCCGTTTGCATTTTCTCAACAAGTATAAGGAATGGACTCTGGAAGATTGGAAAAAGGTTATTTGGTCAGATGAATCGAAAATAAACCGAATCTGCTCTGATGGCGTGCAGTGGATCTGGGACGACAATCCGGGACGCCTCACTCGCAGGTCGGTGCAAGGCACTGTCAAGTTTGAGGGTGGTAATGTTAAAGTGTGGTCATGCTTCTCATGGTACGGACCTGGATACATTGCAAAGATTGACAATAATATGGACGCACAACTTTACATCAAACTACTGCAGGAGGATCTACAGATGTCGCTTGATGACTGGGGCCTAACTAAAAGCGATATCGTCTTTCAGCACGACAATGACTCGAAGCACACGGCGAAGATTGTTAGGAAGTATTTGGAGTCAGTACATCTGACAGAAGAGGAAGGTACACTTCTAGAGTGGCCAGCACAATCCCCTGACCTCAACCCTATTGAACACATGTGGGCAGAATTGGATAGGCGGCTCTCTAGGTATCCGGAGCGAGCTAAGAGCTGTGATGAACTATGGGAGCGAGTATCGGTTGAATGGTACAGGATCCCAGTGGGCTTCTGCCGCAAACTCATCATAGGTATCCATAAGAGACTCCAAGCTGTCAGTGATGCCCATGGTTGGAATACTATCTATTGATGTAAGGTTATGGCTCACAAAAGAATAAAGATCTTTGGCCACCGAATGGGCACATGTGAAACTGATTCAATGACCTGCATGAACAAAAAAGTCATTAGCTATTCAAATGAGACAAGCTAATGTCACAACGCATCACTATGTCGTAGAAGAAGACGGGAGTTTTATTAAACCAAAGTATGAGTGGTGTATGCATATACGGTTTCTAGGAATGAAAAAAAGAAATGCACATGGGAATGAATTATTGAATCAGTTTTGCATGATAGTGTAGATCCTGGTGGCCGTCGCTATTGATATACCAACACTAGCAGCAGTTTCTCTAGTAGACATGCCTCCCATCATTGTGACAGTATATAGCCTTAAGCCTATAAAAAGGCTTGTTTTAATAATTACAATAAAATCATCTTTTGTCTCTCTTAATTATTACATGGTAGCAAAGCTACTCTGATCCCCGACCTTCATCCCTGTCCCCTGCCCCAGTGCTCCTATTCGATTCGAACGGATCGAATTCGAATAGCTTCGAATGCATTCGATTCGAATTCGAATCGTGATAAATTCGAATCGATTCGAATAAGCCATATCCTGGTTCGATTCGAATGGTTCGAATGGTTCGAATTGGACCACTGGTTACGCGTAGCGAAAGTATGGTCCTTGTACTTTACACCCAATCAAAAAAAAAAAAAAAAAAAAAAAAAAAAAAAGTTTAAAATTATCATTTACTATTGTGCCAATAGTTCGAATAACATTCGAATTTTGATATCTAATCGAATTCGAATCGAATTTGAGCTTACCTCATTCGAATCGAATTCGATATCAGTGAAATTCGATTCGAATGGTTCGAATAGGAGCTCCGTGGCCATCTGAACATGTATCGGCATTCGAGGCTGGAGGGACCGGCGGCGCATTATTTTCGGCAACCTTTACAGGTCTTGTAGTGTCGTAACACAGATGTACGGTTGAAAAAAAAAAAAAAAAAAAAAAAAAAAAAATTAGAGGAGAAAGGCCATGTCTGACATGGGATTACGATGAATGAGGAAAGGTTCAGTTGTATTTTTTAACTCGATCTCAACCAGGGTGGATAAGTGATAACGATTTAAATGATCATGATATTCACGGAGTAATTTTTCTTCACCTTTTTTCTTTTTTTCCACGAGTCCTTTGGCACAAAAGAAAAAAATGTATTTGTTGGATTCACTCATTGTGGAAAGATAAAAGAAAAATGTAAGAATGGTCAAGAGGAAAGAGACAAAGAACAAAACCAACACGCAGTGAGGGAGATGAGACACAAGAGAATGGAAAAAACACAAGAAAAAGGAAGAGATACAAAGCAAAAAAATAAATATGAGCATACAGAGGAAGAGACACGGGCCATTTTTTGGCAGACGTCGATTACGCCTTATCAGCGGCCCAATCGATGTGTCAATAAGTGGGTCAAATTCATTAAAGTTGAAGCCAACATAAAAATATTTGGTGTACGTGTTTCTACTTTCAAATGTGGAAGGCTGTACATGGCTAACATCACTTTTGTGAGCCCATGTAGCCCAGATGTCGTAATGAAGCCCGGTTTGCGCATTTAAAGTGAGTTTAATGATCTGATATCTTTTTCAGAACAAATTAACACAGCCAAGTTTCGCGGTAAATGCCTTGTACTTCAGTATCATGTATTCGATTTGTATTTTCAGTTGTCAGAAGAAAGTTTCAGTCTTCTCTTTATACTTCCCTTTGTGTCCATGGCACCCTCAAGCTCACATCTCGTATCAAAAAGTTCAATGCCAATTTGTGTCGTTTCAGGCTGACAAGCACGCCTATTCATAAAAAGTCAGCAACTATTTATTATTATTCTATATACATAGTTCTTCAGATTGGGTGGATGCTACCACGTTGAATGGTGTTTACGTTATAGAAGATATTATGTCCTTACTACACTTTTGGTAGAACATGCTCCGCATGCATCGACATTTGTTGCTGAATAGATATCATTTGCCCCAAAATAGGTCCCGCAATAAGGCTCGTGACGTGACAGCCAGGTTACCCAACTCGACCCGAAGCCTTTCTGACTAATATATAAATATAGATTAAGGTATAGATACATAAAGTAAATTGTTTGTCATTAATGAAGAGAGAGTGTTTTAATGCAATCAATGCGAAATATACAAAGTAACAGCTATTTAAACAGATCTGCAAAATTATAAAGCCTATGTCAACAAAATGGGACGTCCTTACAATGCTGGGTAAAAAAAAAATAGAATTGCTGTTAGACAGTCAACAGCTCATTGTCAATTCTTTGAGTATTGCCACTGTCCTTCCAGCGAGCATTCATCCGCACTGTATTAAAACTCCTATCGTGCCAGAAATGCACCAAATTCGCCCCTTGGTCCAGTTCCGCGTTGGTTTGCCAGTATGGGTACTTAAAATAGTCGTCCTCACAGGTAAAATGAACAACCCAAGCTTCTTCTGCTGGGAGTAAACGTTTGTAAGTTAGCGTCTTGCTGATATGGCCCTTAATAGAAGTTTGACTCCCTGTAGCCAAAAGCTCGATAACAACCGTAGGGTTTCCTGCTTTCTTGATGACAATGTCACTATATTTGTGGTCCTCACGCTCACGGAGGTGCCACTGACCAATGATCTCATACTCTTCTGTTTTGTTTAGCCAGTTGGTGAGAACCCTCATCAATTCCGCGTCATAGACGCTCTCTCGAGGGACACTGACATTGCAGTCGCCCATAACCTTAACTGTTTTCCCCGATCCTTTGTATGATCGACTTCCCGCCTGCATAATCAAGTTTTTATCGAAAAATCGAAGAGCAATCTTCATAATCTCTAGAATATCCAATGATCCTCCTCTTTTCTTTGGGGGTGACTCCGAAGGAGCGTGGGGATATTTTGATGGGATAATATATCTCCTCACAAACGAGTCAATGAATGCTGAGGCCATACAGTATTTACTGCCATCAAGTCTTATCAGCACCCCTTCTGCAGTTAGGAAGTCTGCCAATCTCTGTTTTTCCATGTCTGAGATAGATATAACGCCGAGATACCCAATAAAATATGTTCGGAGAAGATTAACAGCATCTGTAGCTGATTCACTCAAAAGTGAATCAACCATCCTTCTAAAAGTATGGTACGAAAACATCCTCTCATTCTGATTGTCTATGGAGAAGTCCTGCCATGTATCGTAATCGAGACAATTCGTCGAGTCGTTGACTTTCGAGCGAAGATCCTCATGAATGGAGCGTCCACAAAGACAAATCATTCCTGGATGACTATTGACATTGAGCACAATTCATTGTATTAGAATGGCACATCAACTCGTGGAGAGTTAACTAAGCTTAAAAAACATACCCATTTGACTTCCAGTGTATGTCTCGAATAATCTCATCATCTATTTTAATCATCTCATCCTTCGCATAGTCATTAAAGAGCTGCTGCGTTTGATCAAGAGTGAAATACGGGTTCCTGATAGTATTGTTGACATTGAACGGGGATATGTGTTGATCTGTTGTCCGAAGGCGCTGAAGACTAAAGGTTCCACATAAGATAACACTGTGAATGGCGTAGGCATTGTTTCTACTCATTGCTCGGAGTGTTTTCAAAAAAATATTTCTGACTTCATCACCTGCTTTGAACAGTTCATCAAACTCATCAATCAAGATGACAAACTTCTCGTCCTTGAGTTCAATTTGACTGAAAGCATTGAGGAATTCTCGTTGGGTTGTAATAACACTGACCGCTTTATAGCTGAAACGAAGAGCATCACCAAAAGTCCCCCAGAAATCAGACTCATTATTGCGAACGTTAACTTCCTCAAATGATAGTCTAAATGAAAAATATAAGGTTAGTACCGGTACAATAGCGCATACATTGCATCCACTTTATCCATTTTCGCGGAAGTTGGCTTACGGGAGGCAGCGATACCCAAAGTCAGTTAATTGGGTGATAAGTCGATACAACCGTGTTGTTTTTCCAGAGGCACGTGCGCCTATGAGCATCACTATCTCGCGGTCAAAAACGCTCTGTAGTATTTTCTTATTGTCGTCATGTTCCGCAGGATCCACATAGTAGACTTGATTAACAGCGTCGAATCTGATCGGTCCGTTGACGGTCCACTTCTTCTTTTTCAAAACTGGCGGCACTAAAAAAAAAAAAAAAAAAAAAAAAAAAAAACAGCAAGACCTGTCAGAAGAGAAAAATAAAGAATCGGTTTCCAATCCTTAAGGGAGAATTAGCTTACATAAGTCATCGGCCCTCCTTTTTTTCTCCGAGTCTGTTGGTAAAGGAAGCAATGATAGAAATTGGCAAGAAAAAAAGAAAAAGAAAAAGCATCAGAGGTAGCCGTCAAGCACATGTGCGATGATTAACCTTTTGAAAAAAGAAGAGAACCAATTAAACAAATGAGTCTTACTCGAAGTGGAAGTAGACGGATCTAAACCGCAATAATGCAAAACCAAAAATAAAAAAAGATGGATCATTAGACATAATCAATGATTAGAACAAGCGTCACCACATGGCAAGTAATTAAATGCTTGCATGCCGCAGTAGCAAGCAATTAGAATTTAAATAAGCTCAAAATGGAAGCAGCAATCAAAAAGACGCAATTGCAGACTATGATGTCATACACAAAAGTTTGAGAACAAATAGCCAATCCCTTACCTTCCAATGGCCGCTGAATAATGACGTTGATAGTCTCCTCAGGCAGAGGCGATGTGCCAAATATCTTGGAGATCTTGCTTGTTGCTCTGGTGAGTAGCTCCTTTGATTCAATATTGGCGAGATTGATTGTAGCGCCCTCATCAGGAACAGAGACGTGGAAGAGATTCAATTTGTCGGCAGGAATGTAGTCGAATTCAGGTTCTTTTTCCTTCTTGATTGCTTTTTTGAGAGCAGCAATTGAGTCATCAGCATCCAATTGGACTTCAAATGCGGAAGAGTCGCCGTCGAGAATACAAAAGAGCTTAATTTTTTGAGTCATCTTGGTTTAATTGCGTACTGAAAAAAAAAAAAAAAAAAAAAAAAAAAAGTAATTGACAGTAAATCAGCAAGAGCGAATTTGATTAAAGTGAACTGAGCAAGAATGTTGGCGTTAATGTGAAGATTGAAAGAGAAATGCTTAGAGGAAGAGGGATGAAAGAAAGAAAGATGGATGTGTGAGAAAAAAAAAAGAGTGGCAATAGGATGTGCTCACTAAAAATAAAATTACGTACACACGTTTTTATTCCCATCATCCATCATACAATTATATGTAATACATACATTTTCCTCTCTATTGCTTGATTATCCTTCAGAATCTTTGTTTTCGCACCTTAACTACACGTTAAACATTTAATTCAAGGTTACATCTATTTTTTTTATCTCTTTCTTTACATCTTTAATTTTTGCTCCTCCATGTGCACCTCTTTCTCTCTCTCTAGACACCTCTTACTCTCTCTTTCCTCGCTTATTTTGTCCATTATTTTTTTATTTTCCTCACCAATTTTTTTCACTTTTATCTCTCAGCACACATTCCCTGCCCATTTTTTATTTCATTCTCTGTGCACCTATTTCTCTCTCTCGCTCTCTTTGCACAGCTTTTTCTCATTCTGTGAATCAATCATTTCAATTTACTTTCGCACACCGATTTCCTTTCCTTATACGCACCCATTTTCCCTGCTCACTGATTTTTCCTTCGCTTCCTCTGTTCTAGTTTTCCTCACTCAGTACACACCTAATTTCCTCCCATTTGTATTTTCCTTTCATTGCGTTCCCATTATTTTTAGCAATCTCTCTCTCTCTCTCTCTCTCTCTCTCTCTCTCTCGCTACCGTTAGAACGTGAAGGCCTCACATCTGTGCCAATCTTTCATTGACGCTATTATCCAATCGACATTCGTAAGTATTTATCATTCCGGTGGTATCCGTCCCTGGTAATCTCTGCATTAATTTGGTGTTCCTGGACAGTCTGCATTATCATGTCTGCGTGCGAAGGTAATGTAACGTGCTTTATTTCATACAGTGGCTTCCAAAATTGTCCACATGTTCCGCGCCCATGTTTTCCATCTTGACAAGAATAATAGCGATGTTTGCTTGCACTTTTATTTTTATCAGAATAAACAAGTATGCCAATGTTAAGTGTACTGGTCCAGTTTAAAATATCTCTAGTCTCATTCATCATGGTTTTTAATTGACAAAAGTATTTAATGTCATTTGGACAACTATATAACCATCACTTATTTTACGTACCTTTGCTGAATTTTTTTCAAATTATCTCCCACACACTTGAGCAGTGCTCCTATTCGAACCATTCGAATCGAATTTCACTGATATCGAATTGGATTCGAATGAGGTAAGCTCAAATTCGATTCGAATTCGAATAGATATCAAAATTCGAATGCTATTCGAATGGTTCGAATGATTCGAGGCTTCGATTTATTCGAACTATTGGCACAATAGTATGGTGCATTTCAGTACTAATGCAATAAATTGCACTTTTGGACATTCATTCCTCATTCTCCTTTTTCTTTCTAATGATCTTCCATGTCATCGCTGTTTCTCATTCGTATTTGTCTCACCTCCATGGACTGTCATCACCATCCTCATCAATGACGCAATTAGCATTTAATCGCAATTTGTATAGTCATGTCTCATTGCATCAGTTGCAGAAAAAAGTACATGTCAGGTTTGTCCATCCCTTACTTCTCACTTTTTCTTTATTCTTTCTCTATAGCGCTATCACCGCTGATACACCAGGCGACACTCTACATATCTGTCATATCTTTATTATAACATGAAGTCACTGTCCAAATCAATTGTCCAAAATGCAACTGCTCAGCTTCTTCAGGGAAAGTCATGCTGGGAAGTGGCAAGGAGCTTTGGGATATCCGTTACCTCAGTTCAAAGGATTAGGAAAAGAAGTAAAGAAGATATTCCAAAGTTGAAAGGGGGCCAACCTTGCAAAGTCACCAAGGAAACAAAACGGCTCTTATCGAGATATTTCGACATGGGTGTATTGGAGACTCTCGAAAATGGCCAGCAACTAGCCCAATCAAGGGATGGAGTGCAGGTTTCTAAAACGAGCATCTGGAGGTACCTCATGGAGGATGATATGAAGGCATATGTTAAACAGAAGCAGCCTGATCTGAAGAAGGAACATATCCTTGCTCGATATAATTTTGCAAAGGATCACTTGAACTGGACTATAGACGACTGGAAGAATGTCATGTTCTCAGATGAGACCATATTCAGCAGGGTTAGGTCCTGTGGAAGAAAGTTCTATTACAAATATCGAGGAGAAAAAACTCTACGAGCACATCATATCAAAAAGACAAGGCAAGGCGGTGGAGGCAAAATGATGTTCTGGGGTTGTATCACATACTACGGACCAGGCGATGGCTGTTGGCTCCCAGGCAAGGTTGATTCGGTAACCTACGTTGATGTCCTCAAGGATTATATTTTTAAATCCCGGGATTACTATTCAATGGAAAAGCACAAATTCATATATCAGCAAGACAATGCTAGGATCCATACTGCAAAAATTGCAATGGACTATATCAAAAAGTCTAAGATAGCTCTCATGGAATGGCCAGCAAACTCTCCTGACATCAACCCAATAGAAAAAGTATGGGCATATATGAAGATGAAGTTGGATCAATATCCAGACAAGCCAAAGAATATGGAGGACCTTTGGGATCGGGTTCAAGACGTATGGGCACAAATCCCTCCTGAATTCTTGGAAAAGCTATATTGCGACATGCCAAAGAGGATGAGGGAGTTATATAAGGCAAAAGGAGGAAACATCATTAAGACAGAAGAGAAGTACCCGAAATAAAGGGAACAGGAAGTTAAAAATTAACTTAGCAGATGCAATAAGGTAATGAAAGCAAATTGCGATTAAATGCTAATTGCGACATTGATGAGGATGGTGATGACAGTCCATGGAGGTGAGACAAATACGAATGAGAAACAGCGATGACATGGAAGATCATTAGAAAGAAAAAGGAGAATGAGGAATGAATGTCCAAAAGTGCAATTTATTGCATTAGTACTGAAATGCACCATAGTCTATGTGTTTTCTTGTATTTCTTCAGCATCCTGGTGCAGTTTGTAAGGGTGCTCTCTGGCTGCCAAGTGGAGTCCTCTCTAGGGTAGCCTTTCCATTTAATGAGGGACTCCTGGCGATTGCTACTGAATCGATGGTCTAAAATAGCTTCGACCTCGTATTCCTCTTCATCATCAATAATTTCAGGCGGCGGCCGTGCTGGAACTCTGGGCCCTAAGGCCTCTGGCGATGGAATGTATTTTTTAAAACGGTCCACATGGAACACATCATGGATCTTCATCGTATTTGGAAGCTCTAATCGGAATGATACAGGCGAGATTTGTTCGACAATGGTATGAGGCCCAGCGAATAATGCTCGGAGCTTTTCCGTCGGCCTGTTCTTATCAGTGTCAACGGTGATATTATCTGTGCTGAGTAGTACCTGGTCTCCAACAGTAAATGAGTGATCACGTCGGCGAGCATTTGCGCCTCTTGCCTGCCTCTCTCTTGCCTCTTCCATGGCTTCCTTTGCCAACGTAAGCGCCGCGCTTTGGGACTCCAAAAATTCTTTCACACTAGGGTTTGATGATGTGTGGATGGTAGGTTGTAGAAGAGATGCTGGGACACGCGGGTTAAATCCAGCATTCAAGAAAAAAGATGAAAATCCAGCGGACGCGTTAACCGAGTTGTTGTAGGCAAATTCAGCAGCGGAAAGCAATAGGTCCCAATTGGTTTGTCGTTGATCTACAAACGCACGAAGGATTGTTTCCAATGTCTGGTTGGCGCGTTCGGTCTGGCCATCTGTCTGCGGATGAAATGCTGTGGACAAGGCGAGTTTGCAGCCCATGAGCCGATGGAGTTCTTGCCAGAACTTGCTAGTGAATTTTGTATCACGGTCCGAGACGATGGTTGTAGGCATGCCATGAAGCCTGAACACGTTGTCAAAGAAGAACCTAGCCACATCTGAAGCCTTGTCTTTGGTGGTGCTAGGCACAAAATGCACCTGCTTGGAGAATTTATCAACAAATACTGTGATGGCGTCGAAATCTCTAGGAGTCTTGGGAAGCTTGACAATAAAATCCATCGTCACAGCACTCCAGCGTTCTTTGGGAATCGCGAGAGGATGGAGCAGGCCTGCAGGGCGTTGTCGGCTAGGCTTGTTGCGTTGGCAGCTTTCACAGGTTTGGATATAATTGCGAGTATCGCGAGCGATCCTGGGCCAGAATACATAACGACGAAGGATATCATAGGTCTTATCGAATCCGAGATGTCCGGCTATAGCGGAGTCGTGAGCGTCGTGGAGAAGGGTAAGACGAATATCAGACTTCTGCGGAATACAGACTAGGTTTGTTCCGCGACGCCAAACATATAAAAGTCCATCATGTAACGAGTAGCTAGGCGGAGGACATTTCTCAAGGCAGAATTTATAGATCGTGGAGAGCTTTGGATCATCAGCGTAACTCTCAATCAGGCGCTGCTTCAGGTTCGGCACTAGTTCGACCACAAGTGAGTTGACAGCGACAGATTGTAGATCTTGGTGATCTGGTCGTCGCGAAAGTGCATCAGGGACGATGTTGTCCGATCCACGCTTGTACTTGAAATCAAAATCATATTCCTCAAGTAGCTCCATCTAGCGCGCTTGTCGTCGCGTTAGTTTAGGCTGTGTTGGGAAGTGGCGTAACGTAGCATGATCGGTGTATACGACGAAATGTGTGCCATCGAGGTAGTAGCGCCATGTTTTGAGTGCATGTACGACAGCTAGCAGCTCCTGTTCGTGTGTTGGGTAGTTCTTCTCGGCAGGGCTAAATTTCTTGGATGTAAACGCTACGGGCCGGGACTCACCGTGTTCATCTGTTTGAAACAACACAGCTCCTATGGCGAATCCTGAGGCGTCTGTTTCTACTGTTGTGGGCAGGTCAGGGTCGAATATCCTAAGCACCGGGGCCTTGGTGATGGCGCTCTTCAAGGCAGCGAATGCGCGCTCTTTTTCCTCATCCCAAGAGAACGCAACACCATCACCCAAGAGAGCTGTCAAGGGTAGGGCAATAGTAGCGAAGTCATGGATGTACTGCTGATAGAACTGAGCAAGGCCAATGAACTGTTGGATATCCCTTTGTTTGGTGGGTCGAGGCCATTCTTTGATAGCCTTGACATGACCCGCGCTTGTCTTGATGCCGTCTTTACAAACAACATGTCCTAGAAATTCAGTTTCTTCTTGCATAAACGAGCACTTGCTTAGTTTAGCATAGAGACGGTTCTTCCGGAGGAGGGAGAGCACGCTGCGAGGATGGGCCAGGTGTTCATTCTTATTCTTGGAGTAAATCAGGATGTCATCCAGGTAAAGTACTACACATTTATCCAACAATGGACTCAAAGCTTGTGACGTCATGGTGGAGAACGAAGCAGGGCCACTAGTTAGACCAAATGGAACAGCATTAAATTCATAGTGGCCATATCTGCAAGGAATGCTGTCTGTTCCAATCTTCATAGAGTCACCACGATCTGGCGGAAGACCTGCAGGAAGTGAGTCAGGAAAGACGTCAGGGAATTCAACTTGGATAATAGAAGCAATATCAGGGTGCATGTTGGTGGCGGTGTTTGGTGAGGATTGAGGGAGTTTAACTGTGGCAAGATAAACCTCACTGCCCGGCTGTGCTGCGACAGTTTGGAAATGCATGTGGCTCATAAGCAATCCACGAGACTTAGCTGTAATAGAGTTAGCTTGGAATCCTCTACATGACCAGCGCACGGTATTGCCATGTGAAGTAAGGTGAAGATCATTGGTGCGCCAGTCAATGTAAGGGTTGATAGCGGTGAGCCAGGGCTTGCCAAGAATAAGGTCGTAGTGCTTGAGTGGATAGACGAGTGGATTAAGGGTGTCGGAGTAAGTGTCACGCTCAAGAGTGATGGAAGCAGTGTGTTGGGAGATGGAGCGGTCGCCGTTAGGAAGAATGATTGGAATGGGTGAACAGGACTGTAGAGGAATGGAGTGCTGCTTTTGGAATGAGGAGCTAATGACATTGCCCTCGGCACCGCCATCAATTAAGATTCTGGCGGGGCGACCATTGACAGCACCAAGGAATGTAAGTAGGGTGTGAGCTGCAATGTCCACTGTGAAAGACTGTAGTCGAACAGTCTTCTTACGTGAGCGGCGTAGTTGACTCTTGGTGGGCAGAGAGGGTGCTAGAATAGAGCGAGGCCCGAGTGGGTCCAGGTCCACTGTCTCGAACAT